GGATCACGGTGGTCGTAGCTGACAGTCTCGTCCTCACAACCGCGACGGGAGGCATTCAGTGGCATTTCGAAGAACTGCGTAGAGGAGAGGTGGTAGCAGCCGTGAGTCTGCCAGGCGGTAGCAGAGGACATCGCTTGCCGACCAAAAATGTAGTTCGAGGCGGTGTTATCCAGGATGTAGAACGCTTGCTCCTCTCCCCAGAGAAGCAATGGCGCGCCAGGCATGTGGATGGCGGTGATGAAATGACCCAGCAGTTGGCGCTCTACGCCGTTGGTGATGGCTGGCCACCGGAACACATCCTGGTTCGTCACTCCGTACATGTGCCGTGGATCTACCTTTCCGGTGTTGGGGTTGACGAAGTCGTTCGTGAGTAGAAAATTGTTCCACATGTCCACAAAATTCCGTGGGGCATCGTATCCTGCCTCGAGATTTCCGTCCATACCCAGGAAGCGAGTCAAGGTGCGGTAGACTGTATAGTGGAAGGCGGCAGCATCCAGAGCACCGTGCTGTTGGCCTCTCAAGAAATACTTTTCAGGAGACTGATCTGTCATTGTAGCAGCCACTGTCAGATTTTCAGGGGTCATATCCGGCTGTCTTCCGCGGCCAAGGAAGATCGAGCCGAAAACGTTCCCACCAGTGATTTCACCGGGGATGAAGAAGTTGTCTTTTCCGTATCGTCTGGCACACTTGCGCATAGCATCGTTCATGTAGCCCATAGCGTCCACTGTTGACTGTGTAGCTTTGTCATATCGGTATCCATCAATGTCGAGTTGAGCTATCATCATGCAGTAGAGGTTCTCGAGCTTCTGACGAACGGGCTCGTGCCATTCTCGCAGACGATCTTGGACTGAGGCAAACTTTGACAGCTCACGGCGCCAATCTGGAAACACACCGAAGGCTTCAGTGTCGCCGTACTGGTCGAAGTCGCTGTCATAGCAGCCCACCATTTGACTTGTGACATCCTCGCCAACAGGGTATCCCGTCTCCAACCAGAACTTCGGATATTGACATGTCTTGTTGTAGTTGTTCCCTATGTGGAAGTCGTGGTATTCTCGAGATGACTTCCACTGGACGCGATGTTCCTTTAACGTGAAGGGTGTAGTGGTATTGAGGTAGCCTTCGAAGCCGATGAGGTCTCCCAGCGTGGCGAACGTATTGTCCAGGATCACGTACATGCCGCGGGCGTGAATTTCTTCTACCGCAGAACGCCACATGTCGATGTCGCCAAAGTGTTCGTCGAGGACAGAGAGGTCCAGCGGTGAGTACTGGTCGTAACCCCAGGGACTGTTGATGAAAGGAGATCCGGCGATATAGATACCCTGCGCCGATTAGCTCAACATTTGTGAGAGGAAGCACGCATCGACATACCTTGACTCCCATGCCATGTAGATAGTCCAGCGTGTCGACAAGGCCTTGGAGATCGCCTCCATGGCGCATCTGATTTGAGTTGAGATCATGCTCGTATGCTGTGCCGTTGGCGTTGTCGTTGGAGGGGTCACCATTCACAAACCGGTCGAGGAAGAGTGTATAAAAGGGAAATCGCCAGTTGGACGGCGAGGGATGATATTGATGGCCCGTCCACTCCCCCCAATAGTCCAGCGGGTCTATTGCTGTCTGATTCTGATTGAGGTTGTACTGGGCGAATGCCGGATCATATCTGAGTGCCCCGCAACTCGAGAGGAATAGAAACACGCTAGAAACGAGAGTATAGAACCACATAGTGTAGACCGAAAACGAAGGACTGATTTAAAACGGCAGGAATCTTGAAAGCGAATGTCTGTGACCGCAAGTAGCGAGGAGGTCCGCGAAGGCGAAGTGGTGCAGGAACTGGGATGTATAAGGATAGTATGCAGAGAAGGATCGCAACGAAGAGTCGAGAAACCCCCAACAATGGTCAGCCTACCTCACACTCCAAAGGTCTTCCACTCAGACAGGAGATCCCGATGGCCACATGCTGGGACCGAGCTGAGCCTCTGTCCAGAAGATCGTGACGATAAAATCTCGATTCGGCGATACTGGGATCGACACGGCCTTTTTGTCGTCACAGAGTCCCATAGGTGGAGAGGTCAATGAGACATGGTAAGCATTGTACTCGCATAGGATCTTGCTCTTGGTCTGCACAAGCACTACCCATCGTGGCAAACAGAGTTTGCGTCGTTGGCTGAAGATGCTGAGGGACCCAGGAACGCGCTGCCGTGACCCACGTCGAGGAACCCATACAACATGTGAGAGGTTGTTGGGGCTCACAGGTGAACGTGGAGTCGTCGACCTCAGAGCTCACTCAGCGCCCGAGCGGCGAGACAACCGGTGAATTGGTCACAGCCAGGCAGCATTGCCAAGATCAGTCAAAGAATAGCAACAATGGGGAACAGCACTGTGGCCATGCTGCTCCGGTGTTGAGCGACAATTGTTCACATTCAGCGCATGACATGGCACGGTACCCATAAGGCTGGTGGGCAGCAGGGGAGGCTGGAACACAAGGTCACCCATGTCGCACTGGGCACAATTTTCGCGTCAGGACAGACGCGGGTATAGGTAGCCACTTTTCGCCGGTTTGCCATACTGTGTATGGTGCCTCTGACGAATGGCTGGGAGGTGCTTCAGGTTAAAAGGCGCTAAACTGTGCAAACTGTGTACACAGGAGGGGCCAATTCCTAGCTGCACGCTACCCTCGAGTACCCTGGTACCTCGTTGCAGGATCATCATACTTGCTCTCTGTCGATTCACGGATCGAGCATTGTTTTCGTCTTCTACAGGATCTTCACAGGATGATTAGATGATTACCGAGATAGACACGATAAACGACGGATGAGCAAAGCTTACCAGAAATCTCGATTTCCCATTACAGTCACACTGTTCGAAGCTGTAAGCAGTTAGTCATGTAAACGAGCCATCTCCTGATGTCGTGTGCTGGGGCAGTCTGTTGATGGTACTCGACCAAGTACGTAGGCAGTGGATCTTCGGTTGGGCCGACGGGGTCAAGCGGCCGCATCGTTAATCGCTCACAGGTCGATGGCCGTAGGGTAATGCGGGTTAGTCACAAGCGAACATCTGAAGAGGAGCCGGATATGGCATGTTGTTCGTACAGTAAGTAATTGGGCGTGAGTAATGGTGTGGAGCGTGGCGGTTAATTGTTCCTGGACGTTGAAACTAGGATAAGGTGTGGATGCCGGGTTGGCTGAGAGCAAGTTAACCACCACGATGCCCTCAAACGGCTTAGCGAGCGCTTAGTGCGGCGAGAATGTCTTGCCTTTCGCACGGGAACCGTTATTGTAACCCTGCTCATAGCCAATCAAGCTGTACCCGTTCAGACTCACTCGTCTCTCACAGCAGATTCATTTTGACTTTACCTCGCTTGGGCGCCACCTACCCAACGTTCCGGCTGTGGCTCCCGCCGCGTGCTTTTTTTGTTCCGGTACGTCCGAGTGTATGCTCTTCGGCATGGCTTCTGCTCGTGATGAATCGCGCCTGATATGTGGCTCGCCATTGACTTTTGAGGCTCTCCGGCCAGAGACACGCGAGGCGCCCCTGCCCAGCACAGTGTACTGTATCAGTTGGCCTTACGGTTGCAGAGCGCGATGTCCGAAGAGGCTCCGGCATTGAGGCGGTGATGCCGCTGCAACATGGGTCAATGTTGCCCTGCCCGATGGTCTTGCTCAACCGAAGTGTCGAGGCCCCTGGAGACAAGAATAACCCTTCGTGACTGGCTTCCCCCTGCATGAATGTTTCCATATCAGTGGAGGGGTTTCGGCGAAGCGATAGGTTACAGTCGTGCCTGTCAAACCACAACATCGAAACCTCTGCGCGGTATGAGTTCGGCCTCACACATTTAGAATTTGCCTGTGACGTATCATCCCACATTGTTGCAGCGCACGACACAGTTAGTACGAGGTACCATTCCCACATATACGAATAGCGTGCAATGCCTGATGTTGCATGCATTGCCATTGCAGCAGGGGGCGGTGATGAAAATTCCTAACTGCGTTCCTCCCACACCTACAGTACCTCGCTACCAGCTGGAAGCACAAGTCTACTCCAAGGCCCCTTGAAGGACAACCTTGCTCGGCACAGACGCCAGTGCCAAAGCGATGCTTGATCATATGGAAGAGCACTTGGTTCGGTTCGTTTCAGGCATCACTTCAGTGTCGCTGGCCTGGATCACTGACCATTGATGGCCATCGCGTATTCTGGCCTGGCTTGAAAAGCGACCCATGGCTGAGGAAATGTTGCTTCGCTCATGTTCTGAAAATGGTGGAGACGACTGGCTTAACAAACATGACGAGCCAACACGGGGCAATACAGGTTCTGCGCACATAAGGATGCCTACTTCCACATCCATGTTTGCGACGCCGCTTTATGGGACGGGTGGTTCACTGTCTCTCCAGATTACCATGCCCTATTCCTACTTACGCAACACCTCTATCCAACAGAAGACATGCAAACCACAACGTTCGAGCACGTCTTACCTCGTACCGCTGTGTATCCGCATCAAAAATCGATCCCAGCAGGATCGTGTTAATGCGTTGGATACACACATAAGCCGAGCTTTTACAATGCAACGTCCCAGCACGTCTCTCGGGAACACCGCGAAAGCTTCAGTATACTCTTAACTGCTCAGTGTCCACTGTGCCACGGCCATGCACAGCCAGCAGCAGCCGCGTCGAACTTTAAAAAAAAAGCCCAGCCGTGACCTTCCTGGCCTCCGTAGTCGTAATCAAATAAAACGTGCCATCCGGCCCGGCTCGTGTACAGTGGTAGTGGTGGTGTGGTATCAGTCACAATTGGCGCCACATGTTTGCCATCTTTGCTCATACTCCGTACTGTTTCACACCTTCGCTCGAGCTTACCACGATACACTAAGCAGCTTCCCCACCAAGTAACCGATAAACCGCCCGTGGCTGCCGAGTGCCGCGGTCGCACAGTAGTGTCCGCCTGCAACTGCCAGCGAGGTTCGGTCTAGAGCAACTCCGAGCTTGGGATGACGATGAGCACGATTGACAATGCGCGTGCGTAGCTTGGACCTCATCGTGAGGTCCTTGACTCGCCCAAGCGTGTCGTCGACACCACGATGGCAGCTGCAGCCCACGCGCAGCATCTCGAGCAACACCAGAAAGCAGCGAGTCCCCGACTTTGCGTTCGCCTTTGAGTGAGTCCGCGTACCTCCCCACAATAGCAGCAGCAAGAGAAGCGAGATCTAACTGTGACCGATACGCAGCATAGACGGCGTGCTCGTGCGCAGCGCAAAGCCCATCCCCCACGCGTCCACGTCGCTCCAATTCCTCCAGCAAAATGACATCCCCTTCATGCTGCTCACCAACGGCGGCGGGCGGCACGAGTCGGAACGCGTGGCAGACCTCTCATCCAAGCTCGCCGTGCCGCTGCACGAGTCCAACTTTGTGCAGTCGCACACGCCCTTTGCCGAGCTGATCCACGGCGGCGAGAACAGCCTGCGCGACAAATGCATCCTGGTCGTGGGCGGCGAGTACGGGCGCTGCAGGGACGTCGCCGAACGGTACGGCTTCACCAACGTCGTCACGCCGGGGGACATCTACGCGGCGCATCCGGAGATCTGGCCGTTCAGCAAGCCCTTCCAGCGCGACTACTACGCGACGTTTGCGCGGCCAATACCCAAACCGATCAACCCGGCATCGCTCGACGAGAGTCTCAAGATCGACGCCGTCTTCGTCTACAATGACCCCCGCGACTGGGGGCTCGACATGCAGGTCATCCTCGACGTGATGCTGTCTCACGAGGGTTACTTGGGCACGTATTCCCGCAAGAACGGCGACACGTCGCTGCCCAACAGCGGGTATCTGCAGGACGGGCAGCCGACGCTCTACTTCTCCAACGCCGACCTGCTCTGGGCGGCGGACTATCACCTCTCGCGGCTCGGGCAGGGCGGGTTCCAGGCGTCGTTGGAAGGTCTCTGGCGCGCGGTGACGTACCACAAGGACCACAAGTCCACGCCGGAGCTGTACAGGAAGGTCATTGGCAAGCCGTACAGAGAGACGTACGAGTTCGCCGAGAAGCAATTGATGCGGCATCGGGAAAGCATGTTCGGGAAGCAGCAATCAACAAGGTTAAGAAAGGTATACATGGTCGGAGATAATCCCGAAAGTGACATTCGGGGCGCCAACGACTACGACTCGCCTCACGGCATCGAGTGGCTCAGTCTGTTGACTCGCACGGGCGTATATAGAGACCAAGACGGGCGTCGGCCAACTTGGGAACCAACGGCCATCGTAGATGATGTCAAGGCCGCTGTACAGTGGGCGTTGAAGGATAGTGCTTGGCACGAACCGCTACGATAGACAATAGAGACGTGCGCCAACATTGACGTGGACATGCTTTTGTTTTTCCTTACATCTCGCTCTCACTGGACCGGACCACTAGACAAACTCAAAAGTATCGCCGCCACGATCGTTGATCAATCTACCGACCCTCTGTGTGCCAACGATACGCTCCAGCTTCAGGGCATCCCACTTGGAAAACAGTGCCCTGATCACACCTTTCGTCCTTGCCTTTCCTCTCCCAGCATCGCCGTCCTTAGCACCCCCAAGCCCGAGCAGCGCGATGATTTCCGCCCAGAATATCGGGTTTTCGGGCAATCCGTACCACAGGATCTTGCGCACGCCTTTGATCCTGTAGCGAAAGTGATGGTGCGATCGCTCCGAGTACAGCAAAAGGGCGTGCCGGCCGGAGAGGAAGTGCGAGCGTGCGCGCAAAACCTCCTTGACAGGGGTATATTCCGAGAGACTTCCAAAGGAGATATTCACCGCGTCGGAGGAAGTGGACAAATGGTTTCGCAGACGGGCAAAATCCGCATAGGTGGGCACGAAGAGGAGGATTCCACGTTGATGGCGTGAATCGCGGATCAACGGGGCCAGGATCGTCGTGGTGAAGAATTTGAAGCGGGCGTCAGAGTCGGAAAGCGGGTTTGGAGACGGGATGCGCAGGAAGGTTTGCGGGATCGGCGGTGTGAATGGTAAGGGAAGGGCGAGTGAAGACACGGATAGCATGGCCCCAGGGTAGGTCGGGACGTATTTCACTCGTCCGCTGATGTTGTGCAGATGCGTGGAGGCTAGGGCGTTCATCTCGGGGGTGAGGTAGTCGGTGAGAATGATCGTCTGGCGCAGGTATTTTGCTTGGCCGTCGAGATACCAATGGCGGACGCGGGAGAAGTCACAGCCATGGGAATCCTTGGGAAGGAGGTTGAGTTGAGAAAAGACGTAATCGACATGTTGCCAGTTCTGCATCTGAAGGGCATTGGCGTGGTCCACGATTACAATCTCAATGGAAGAAAGGAAGTCCGCGTCGTGGGTTTTCTTCTTGTCTTTCCCGCCGCCTCCTGTGGTGACTGTGCGCATCAAGCCTAAAGGCGAGCCAATGATGATGTCCGAGTTGTAGAAACCAGAGAAGAACTTGATGGTCTTACGGGTGAACTTCAGGCCAATGCGGAAGTCTTCTTCGTGGTTGCCGCCGAAAAGGGCTCGAAAGTCTTCGGGCTTATCTTGCCATTCATCCTCGTCCTGACGAGAGTACGTCTCTAAGAAGCGTGCTTTGTTCTCTTGCTGGTCAGGCTCACTGATCTTTGTAATGCTCTCGACGACCCTGGCACATGCTTGCTTCGTCGGCACTATGACCAGGACTTTCGGTCTCGTGAAACCTTGATCGCGAAGATCTGGAGCCTCAGCGGACTGGGCGGCCAATTTGGCATTATCCTTCAAGACGCGATCTCTGGTCTTGAAGACGTGGTTCAAGGCATGGAGGCAAAACAAGTCCCGTAGGCGGGTCGCATTCTTGAGGTCGCGGCAGCCATCCAGCACATCGACATAGTTGAATATCGATCCTGCCAAATTCCTCTCTTCCGTGGAGAGCCTCGAGAGGACTTTGCTACCACCGTCACCGAGCCTGCGTTTCAGATAGGCGTCCTTTGCCGATCTCAATTCAGCCATCTCCGCTGGAGTCCCTCTCCTGCGAATGGCTGTACGGCGTATATCCAAATCCAAAACCGAAGAGGATGTCTCCCATTGCTTGTTATCCACTTGTCCGACCGCAGTTTTCAGATCTTGCTCCGAAATTGCTGTGTAGTGCATTTCAAATGGATCCCGCAGTAGGACTTCCTCGTCGTCGGAGTCAGCCTCTGCAGCTTGGCCAGCCTCTTCATCCGCCTCCACGTCGTCTTCCAATTCGAGGAGCTGTTCTTCGGCCTGTCCTTTCTGGTCCTGACTGGGCTGCTCAGTCTTCGTATCTTCGCCCTTCACGGGTTCTCCCGTACGATCACTCTCGACGAACTTTCTCCTCTTCCTTGGGGGTTCAGAGGTTCCATATGCCGCATTAAGTGATTGCAGCAACAGGCCGTATGAGTCTGAGGTTGGGGTTTCGTCTTCACTGACGGACTGGACGTCTTCGTCTTGGTCCGACTCGAGCTGCTCCGCAACTTCTGGGAGGTCTTCTTCGCTTCCCGTGCCATTTTGGGTCTCCTCATCTCTACCAATGTTAGCATGTCCCTGCAGAATGGAAGATCTCGACCATACACTTACGCGGTTTCCTTGAGGCGCGAAGCCTTGAACTGTCCTTGCTGGCGCAGTATGGGACCTCTTTTCCCTCCAAGCCCCCTGCCGGCAGGCTTGCCTCCTCTGCGATGCCGAGATACAGCCATGGTTGTCTCTCGACCAAAAGACAAAATCGTATGCGGGGAAGAAAATATTTCCAGCGTCGAGCAACCCCAAGATCCTTGCTGCCGCTTTTGTCTCGCCTAACCTGCTATATTGGTAACTGCGTAGCACGCTTGGTTAGGGGGAACCGGGGGAAATACAGCCTCTCGTGCCTGCAGGTGTAGCTGCCACAGCACGCCACAGTTAAGAAGTGCTCCTTGCACTTCAGGCTCTGGTCACTCTGTATATATCTATTGCTTCATCCTTTGACCTATTGTTCTTAAACTCGAACATGCAAGGCGTCCAATCTTGCCCCATCTGGCTCGATACGAGCGATCGATCCCAGGAACCCTAAACCATAGAGGCCTTGCAAGTGCTTACTTCAACGACAGTCTTGGATGCTTCTGCCACCGGCTGGAGCGCTATTCCTGGCCCGACACCAAAAATCCATGGGGCCTGCCACCACAGACATCTGCTGGGCTGTCTCAGGGATGGATATACGCCCCTGAGACACAGTCTCCGCCGCGTGTTAAACAAGGTCGACACCCGGGTCGTGGGTATCGATATGTAAAACCCCCACACCCAAACACACGACACCATAACACGATAATTATCTCAGAGACTTGAAGTCTACAAGCGTCCAACACGAAATGGAATCCCTACGTCACCACCGGACACCTCACGTCGATAACACGTTTGCGATTGACCTGCCCCCCTTCGCACCAGCAAGTCAAGCAAGAAGAACGAAAAGCCCGCGGACGACCCAGCTTGCTTCGCGTAATCATCCGAGCAATCACGCTTGGTGTGAGCGCCTCGGTCCTCACGGTCCTTGCGCTTTCAGTAGTGGTCTGGTATACCGCGCGCCATACAGTGCTGTTGCAGCCTGGCAAGCTTCCACTGCCGGGATGGCCGTCCAGGATGGATATGAAGCCTACCTAGCTCATGTTGGCGGCATCGGGAATCGCCGTGCTCATACAAATTGTCGCGTTCTTCACTCTCGTAGGCCCGGCAAGTTCTTTCGGTCGCCTGTGTGTAGAAGTTCCAGCCCTCAATATCTGACTGTTTCTGCAGATACGTCGGCTCCGCGAATCGCATCTGCACACATGGGCTGTCTTCTTTACCTCCGTCGCAGGGATCGGATTGTGGATCGGCGCGGTCGCATATTTCAAGGTCCAAGAACTGAAGGGCGCCCCCATCTGGACGCTGTGGTCCTGGTCCTGCTCGCACGAGGACTGGACGAACGGGAAAATGACTTTCAGCTCCATGTGCACAAAGCTGGTAAACTTGCTTGCGTTGGTCCCGATTGTTCCCTCCCACACTCGGTCGACGGCCTGCAGTACACAGCGCATCTGCATCTGCTGACTCTCATGTGCTGGTAGAACTATTCATTCTATGCCGGCGTTGCAGTGGCTGTCCTTGAATGGGGCGAGTCTAGCGCTGTTCGCACACAAGTTGCGGAACGTCGAGAAACAGGGACATGGATACACGAGGATCACTAATGTATTCAACAGATGAGCTAGAGCTAGGACCGTGTGCGGGACGACATGATCTCGGAGCATGGGCCTTTGGAGAAATGCACACATGGCCCGAACGCACTGTCCTGCTGGTAGACCCTTCTTTGTGCCGCAAACTGCGAGTCTGAGGTGGCGTACGATGATTTCAGGCCTCACGATACGCGTTCGAGGAGGAGTTCTGTCCATCACCGCTGATTTTCCCGAATCACGCCAATGTCCACGTTCCAACACCTGCCGCAGCTCTACCTTTGACCCAAGAGACTTCGAATAGCGGATCGGATCACTGGTGGTCCAATCCCTGATACGCCGAGATCTCCTTCTGGTCCCCATTGGCGAAGTGCTGTGGATTATCTAGTGTTGGAGGGGACTAAGCGTCGGACGGGACGAACGGTAAGATTGAGCGCACGCCTCCGTGCAGCCTTGCGCCTCAAGCCCGGCACCAACGCGAAGAAGAGAGTTTGAACCGGATCAAGCTCAGCGGACCCGGCCACAGAGGAGGAACGCAAGAGTGATGAAGACGTTGAAGCGGAAGCTGCCTGCGGACTTGGTCTTATATACGCTACTGTTCATTGCAGCGTGATGGTCTTTGGCCGCTCACATCATTGTAGTCACTCGGATCGACGCATGGTCTGCCTCGAAGTAGGCGAGAGCTCTTTGTCGCCGGGGCTGCCTTCCCGCCGCCTTGACCAGCTCTTGTACTCACCCGTCTCCTATCCGGTCCCTTGTCAGCTGAAGCTCACTCCCAATCCAAAGCGTTGATCCGCCTGTAAATGTGGATCGCTCAATTCAGCACTTTAGAAATGCGCGGATCCAAGCAAAACGTCTGAATCGTCGTTCTCGTTCTTCGCCTTCTTTACCCCATCACTTTCAGCGTCGCCGTCACCATTTTCCTGTTTCGTGGTCTGGACCTTCTCCGCCTCGCTTCCTCCATCTTCATCCTCTGCCTCAACGACAGGCGGCCTCTTCTTTCCCTTCTTTACGCTACCCTTCTTGCTGCCGGGAGTGTCGACTTCCCCAGCCTCGCCGTGATCATCGTCATTGGCATCGGTGTCAGCCTTGCGCTTGCGTCCACGACCCTTGGCGCTCGCAATCTTCGGCTCGCCAACAACGGCTTTGGCGCTGTTCAATGCACCGTTGCACAGAGCAGCGCCAGGTTTGATCGAGTTTCTCTCCCAGGTGAGCCCGTGATGTTCCACAATAGACTTGATCTTGGAGGAACTATTTTTGAGACAGCCATGTCCGTCAGCAGTGGTACTTGTCCTTCATTGAAGGTGAAGTGCAGGGAAACAAGCCGCAGACAAGAATGTGATCCGATAAGGTGAAATACAGGGAACCAAGCGATACATAGAAATGCAGCGGATAGATACGCAGATACGTAGATAATTAGGTTAACAGGTAGGTAGATGTCACATACGCATTATGCCCATGCTTGATCCCATGCTCCTTCGCGACGGCGTTCCAGTCCGGCTTGATGAGGTTGACTTGCTCGCAATTCTTGAAGACGCTCATGACGAACTCGAAGTTTGGATCGCCGACGCCGCTTGCTGAGGCGGAAACCCTGCTGGCTTTGGGGGCCATGTTCAGTAGCGTTTGTTCTGTGGCTTGGGTGTGATCAAGAAAGTTTTAAAAGAGCAGGAAAGGTAGATGTTTGGAGAGAGAAAGACCAGGTCCGAATCCCGAGGGTCAAGAAGAAAGTCAGTCGAGAAGAGAAAGTCCAGGTTCAAGTCCCGAGAGTGAGAAGATAGTCAGTCGACAAGAGAAAGTAAAGCGGAAGGTAGGGAGGAAGAGTCGAAGAGAAGCAGAGCCTCGGTTCCATATGGCGTCGTCACTTGGGTGGTCAAAAAGCGGTGGCATCATCCATGTTCCGTATCATATGGCAGGGAATGTGAAGTGAAGGGCATCTGAGCTTGTCATCAGCAACCTATTCTTGATGCTAAGCTCACAATGCAGACTGAGACGAAACGCATCTGAGTATCAGGCGCGGCTCATGGACGAGTGGATGAGTGGATGATAATAACATGAGCTTCAGTTACTGTACCAGCATCTGCACCAGCATCTGCACCGGGCTGTCCAGAGGCAGGATGTTCTATGCACCTGCAATGACTCCCAAGTAGAACGACTGTACAGGCGAATGCAGCGTCCAGAACTTCCTTGGGTTTGGAGTCCCAACCAGAATTGAGTTGATACTCGTAGGTACATAAAGAAATCATGGTGAAGTTCAAGCCGACAACGAGGGGAGCTGAGGAAGAACGAGGTCCCCAGAACACGACCACAAGAGCTTGATGATCCACCGAACAAACTGAGCACGCTAAGGCGTATGCTCAACCGCACTATCGACTAGCAGATTCCCTCAAAAAAGCAAAAAGTATCTCCAATTTTCCTACCAACCTTCCACCTCCCGTACAACAACCATCTTTGTCTTGTGGACAATATCGGAGATAGACCACGACCGATGTCTTCGGCCTCTTGGCTCGACCTGACCGAGTACAACCTCCTTCTTTTCAGTATTCGAGGGAGAGCTGGTCATGCAAAGTGCGTTGCCTTCGGAGCCCGTCGAGTAGAGAGTCGGAGCATTGTGCCCGCCGCCTACAACTGCATCTGAATTTGACATGCACACTGTTTTCGACGACGCCCCCTATCGCGGTGCGTAGTGCGTCCGGGAACAAGTCGAACGAACCCAGATTTCCCGAATTTCTTGTTGTGCCGATGGCGTTAGACAGGAACACATCCCTGTCAATTGAGAGCGGCCAAATGTATGTATTCATGAATGTACGTGAGGAAGACAGGATCAAGTATGGAAGTGTGAGAGTACGCGTGTATTAGCAATGTATTGCACACGGTCACATCTAACCTCTGGCAGCAGTGATGCACTGGAGGCATCAGAGAGTACCTACACACATACACACGCAAATACATATATATCTTTATCATCCCACCAATCAAGACAGCACTAAGCTAAGCCGCCTGATCTACCTCTGGCGTCCAGTAATTCTGATCCGTCACGACGCTCGTATCAAACTTGTACTCCCCCGTCTGCCGGCCCTTTAGATCCTGAAAGCCCTTCTCCGTCTGTAGCAAATACAGGTCGGGATCCTGCGTCATGTTCAAAAAGAACGGCACGTCCAGGCTGTTGATCGGCCCGTCGACCCACTCGACGCCCGCGGTGGAGATGCCCTCCCACTCACGCTCGATCGTGTCCTTCATCGCACGCGGCAGCTTGGTCGTCATCGGACACTGGTACCACTGGGCAAAGTAGTCGATCGCCAGCATGATGCGGTGGCGGTCGCTCGTGTTGGGCATCCCCGCGTGCCAGAGGCGCAGGTCGCGAAAGCAGATGGCGCCCTTGTGGACAGTCGGCTGCACGGGGGGCTTGACCTTTGCGCGGCCCTGCAGGTAGTCCTTCTTGATCCAGCCGCGGTCCGGGTTATCCTGCTGCTCCTCGCGCGGGTAGGCCGTGTGCGTGCCGCACCATACCTCGGTCACGCCGTTCGCGGGCCCGGTGTCCTGGAGGTAGATGTTCATGACGAGGCCCCAGGCGGGCACCTCGGGCCAGTTGTGGTGCACGTCGCTGTGCACGGCTTGGCGGGCCGTGCCGCCGGGGCAGGCGACGTTGCTGTTGATGAAGCGCAGCTCGGGCTTGGGACCCAGCAAATTCTCGCACAGGCGGATCATGTGCACGTTGGCGTAGATGTCGCGCGACAGGAAGTTCGGCTCGAGCGGTGGGATCTGGCTGACGTTGCCGGTCGCGGCCCCTTGGTTCCAATGCATGTGCTTCTTGCGCAGGTAGTCGACGTTGTCCTGCACCATGCGCTCGTACAGCCGGTCGATGATCTCCTCGGGGATGGCGTTCTCGAGCACCACGAACCCGTCCCGGTGGAAGTACTTGATCAGTTCCTGCAGCGTCTCGGGCCTCGTCTTGCCGGACTGGAGCTCCTCGTCGCTCAGCCGGATCACTACGGGGTTGTCCCCGTGCTTCTCGACGTCGGTGATCAGTCCCCCGTTGACGTATCGTGGTGCCGACTCGGCCGGGTGGTCCATCACCGCTGAGGGCGCCATGGTATGTCGTGGGCTGTTTACTACTGATGTGGTCGACGACAAGCTTGAGGCCCAGAGGAGGTGCAGCTCGAGACAACGGTGACTAAAGCGATGTTCGATCCACGGATAGTGTGGTCTGCCAGGTCAGGTCAGGTCAGGTCATATCTCATCGTCCATGCAAGTAAAGTGCTGTAACTCCCACCACGGGGCAGCACCGGGCAAGTTGACCGCCATGCGAGCAAGATTGTGCCGGTAATGATGTGCTGGTGCTCGGATGGTGGCGTCCGTCAAGATTTACCTAACGCCGCCTTGCTGCTCCAGGTATAGTGCAGTTGCCTTTCTGGGCTTCATGGGGGAGGGTCATGAAGCCGCCGAAGCGTGGCTGGTCACAGGCGTATTTAGCCTGATTTGATTCGGCCGTCCCCTTCTTAAGCTTGGTTGTGTTGCTCGCCTCAACCACCGATGGAGGCTTCACTGTCGACACTGCTTCTCCAATCCCGAAGCTAACCCTCGTGCCCTCCCGTGTCTTCTCCCCTCCACGCCTTTGGCCATCCCGCGTGCACCCCCGCAAAAGTCCCCATGATCACCATGAAGCTGTTGTTCCAAGATCAACCACGGAAACCTTGGCTCGGCTTGAAGCGACCCCAATATCCACATTGTAAGCTATACCTGTGCGGCGCTCTTTCCTGATTGGCTCCATGCAATCGCGGCTCAAGAAGAGCTTGCTGGAATAGGGAAGTGAGACACGACGGTGGTATCGGAGTAATGCCGATGGACCTTGGTCGACAATGACAGGCCCTCTCGCATTCAGATCATTCGCTTGCAAGAGTACAATCCAAGTCATGTTGGTACCCGTGTACCGTTTCCAAGAATCAAGCCGACTTAACCCCCCGTGACACGTAGAGTCTGCAGCCGAGGGTATTGCGCCCTGGTGAAGGTCGGTGTGTAGATGAGAAAGTGCTAATTTGGTGCTGATTCATCGCACGAGGCCACATCCGCCTTTCCCGGGATATACCCCGGATTCCGCCATGGCATCTCGTTTGCAGAGATGATCCCCTCGTCAGGCGTGAATAGAAAAGAAGGGCCAGTGGAACTCAAGAACCCCAGCCCGTCTCCCTCCACGGAAACCTGATCCCACCTCTGTCTGTTGACCAGCGTGCTGCCGTCTCTGCCAAAATGGTGAAACTCTTTAACAAAGTCCCGAGGACAACAACGCTGGTCGTTGGGGGCCAAGAGTACCCCGAGGTCAAATGGTGGAAGCACCGGTCTCTCATCCACCTGCACTGTCTGTGCGCGATTCTGCTGCTCTCCTCGGCCACCAATGGATATGACGGGTCCATGAGTATGAAGGCTTCACGCCCCATATTGCGTGCGGAAGAGCCCATCAAGCTGATCGCTTACAGTGAACGGCCTCCAGACGTTGGACTACTGGCAGAACTCCTTCAATCATCCGTCTGCTTCAATGCTCGGGCTGCTCAACGCCATCTTCTCTGTCGGCCAGGTCGTGGGGCTGCCTTTGGTGCCCTATCTCGCTGACCACATCGGGCGCAAGTGGACCATCTTGGTGGGCAGCTCGCTAATCTTCCTGGGCGTCATCCTGCAGACCGTCAGTATCAATATCGGAATGTTCATTGCCTCACGATTTATCATCGGCCTCGGCATCGTCTACACGCAAAGCTGTTCTCCCATGCTCATCACGGAACTTTCGCACCCTCAGTACCGCGCAAGGTTGACCACGATCTATAACACGTTGTGGTACCTCGGGTCCATCATTGCCAGCTGGACCACGTACGGGACCCTCAAAATGGAGAGTCAGTGGTCGTGGAAGCTGCCCAGTATCTTACAGGCGTTCCCTTCGGTGATCCAACTCTTCTTGATATGGCTGGTACCCGAATCGCCGCGATACCACATTGTCAAAGGACGTCACGATGTCGCCAAGAAGATATTCCAGCGTTTCCACGGTCCGGCGTCCGGACAGGATTTTGTCGAAAGCGAATATCGCGAAGTGCTGGAAACAATGGCACTGGAGAAGGAATTTGCCAAGCGCGGCATTTCGGAGCTCTGGTCGACCAAGGGCAATCGTCATCGGTTGTTGATCGTCACCACGGCTGGCATCTTCAGCCAAACCGCAGGATCTGGGTAAGTCGGTTCCTTCCACGTCTGATGAGATGTTCTTCGTTTTCAGAGTCTAGCTCTGTGGTGATGGGAGCTGAGCAGGGTTGACCTAAGCTGACCTCAACCAACAGCATCGTGTCCTACTACATCTTCCTGGTGCTCGAACAGATCGGGATCACAAACTCCAATGACCAGCTGATCCTGAACGGATGCCTGACCATCTTCAACATGTGCATTGCCACCGGCATGGCCTTCACGGTCGACAAGTTCGGACGTCGCCCGCTCTTCCTGACCGCGACCTTTGGCATGTGTTTCGCCATGACCGGGTGGACGATTGCGAGCCAACGGTACGGGGTAGATGGCACGGACGCCGCAGGCCGCGCAGTCATTGCCCTCATCTTCGTCTTCATGTTCTTCTACAACCTCGCCTGGTCGGGCCTGCTGATTGGCTATGTCGTGGAGATCTCACCTTTCTACCTCCGGTCGAGATACCTCACAGTCATGCTCCTTAGCGTGGCTGCGGGCTTGTTCTTCTCAAACTATGTCAACCCCGTCGCGCTCGAGAATATCAAGTGGAAGTACTACCTGTGCTACATCATTTGGCTGGCGATCCAGTCGGCCGTGGTCTACTTCTTCTATATCGAGACGAAAGGCCACAGCCTGGAGACGATTGCCGTGTGCTTTGATGGAGACGACGCAAAAGTCGGTGGCCAGGCGGCGACCGCAAAGGGGAAAGAACTTCTGGGGCAGCTCGACGACAAAAAGTCTCTCGATACGCACATTGAGCAGGTGCCGACCTTGGATAAGGACTGAGTTGTGACGGTTGTGACATGGTGACGGGACATGGATAACAGCAGCAGGTGTAAGCTTAGAAGAGTAGTGATGCATATAGTCTCTGGAAGAATACAGTAGTGTTGCATGGGGTACGAGTAGAAGGGGAAGAGGGAAGTGGGTGTGGCGCAGGTGCGCAGAATATTTGGGCTTCCTAATTGGGGTTGGCTTGGTTCGTGGTCAACTAAAGCAGCGACAGGTTCCGACAAGAAGGAAATAGACTCGAACCGCAACACTTCGTCGCCAATTTCACCATGACGAGGTCGGTGCTCTGTTCTCGTGTGTAGAGGCCCCATGCTATTCCTCTCTGGCGCTGTTGCAGCTCATTCCCGGAGTGTGGGAGTAATACCGGTCCAGTCTGCTATTGACGAAGAAGATCGAGCCCCTATCCAAGCTCCCGCTCGTCGTTTCCAATCTGCTTCGGCCTGAATGCGAATCTGCCACCAGGTAGCTGTCAAAGATGATGAACCGCAGAGTCGCCATGTGACTGTGTACTAAAAGAACCCAAGCTTCAGTGGAGGCGAAAAGCATTCCTGGTGCGTCACGAGCCAGGCGATAAATCAGCCCGTCAATCTTCGTCTTCTTCTGGCTTTGCCTCCTTAACCTCATCATCTCCTTCGCCGGCAGCTTCTTCAGCTTCCTCTTCCTGCACCTTCGGAAGTTTTGTCTTCTTCTTCGGAGCTGCTTTGCCCTTCTTGGCCGGGGGTTTATCGTCCCCGCCGCTGTCATCGTTGTTGGCTTTGCGCTTTTGGGCAGTGGTTGTCTTCGTGGTGGTTTCTCCGGCAGGCTTGCGACCCTTTCCACTGTTACCAGCTAGACCCCACTTTTTGAGGATACTCCAATGACGTTTGTAGCTGGATAACTCCGAGTTAGCCTTTGACTACAGGCGAGGACAGGAAGGGCAGCAAAGGCGGGGGGCAAGCAAAACCACATGGTGTCAATAATGTGGCAGAGACCCCACTCAACCGATCTGTTCTGCGAAGAGACAAGAAACAAAGAGAAGTGTGGCAGAATCACTTACCAGGCAGTCGCATTCTTTGCACCAAGCTCTTTAGCGACCTCGTCGTAGTTCGGCTTGGGCTTCTCTACCGTGTGCTTCAGGCAAGTCATAACGAACTTGAAGTCGTCGTTTTCGCTTTCGGCGCCAGCCATGGTGCTTGAGAATAAGTATCAGTGTCGTAGTGGACGAAAGGAAAGCGAAGACTAGCTGACTACATATGAGCATGGAGATTGGGCATGCTAGCTTACCTGGTGGTGCTGAGGATGAGACGAACAGGTTGGACGTGCGGAATTTGGAGGAGCAACCCTCGGCAGTGGACGGTCGATGAAGAGTTGGTGATTGATGTTTCGCGCTCGATGATTGAAGATGCTGAGATTGAGAAGAGGAATCGGGGAAAAGAAAATCGGGATCATGAAGGGAAGAAGCCAGGTTTATATAGTCGGCGCAGGCAGGGCATGGAAGGCAGGGCAGAATCACATGCTGAAAACGTATCCCAGATCAGTTCGACGAGACTCTAAGAGCCTCAGACCTGACCTCCTTTCACCTCGAGAGCCAAAAAAAGGTGAGGACCACACTGAAATCACGGCAAAAGTGAACAACGAGGTGAGGAAAGATCGATTCATTGTCTTCTCCCCCGATCCTTGCAAAAGCACATGAGCTTGTTCCCGCTCTCGTTATGGATCAGGCCTCTACTGCATATGCAAGCCGTCGGTTCAAAGCCCGCGTGATCTGATACTCTGCCATTTGTTCGTCGGCGTACCTTCCTGCCTCCGACGTCTTCTTCCCAGGCATGAAAGCCCCTTCGCCAGCGCCCAGCAAGGAATCAACCAGTTATGCTCGATGTCGGAGACCCGGGGCCGGACTGTCGACGAGGAAGGGGCGATCAAGCTGGTTGATGGAGTCATTCTTTCTTGGGATTCTCGGCCTCGTTTTTCCCGGTGTTCTCGACCTCGTCCTTCTTGGTATTCTCACCCTCGTTCTTCTTGGCATTGTCGACCTCGTCCTTGTCCGAATCTTCGTCTGAGGTCCAAGGATCGGCTGGCCTCGCAGGGATATGCTCGTACCATTCAAGCACCTCATGGAGCTCCATGAATCTCGCGGGTGGCGTAGGTGCGTTGAGTAGTTCGTACATCCAAGGGGGCCCCTCAAGTTCATCCTCGTCGGAAGTGACAACATCTCCATCCTCGGAAGCGAGATCGTCTTCATCCTTGTCGGAAGCGAGGGCATCTTCATCCTCGGAAGCAAGATCGTCTTCATTCACGGCGGAAGGGAGAGAATATTGATCCTCGTCGGTAGCTGGATCGTCTTCATCCTCGTAGGTAGCTGAAGCGTCGTCATTCTCGTCGGAAGCGAGAGCGTCTTCATTCACATCGCTGTCGGCGGCGGGAATTGTGGGCAGGGTCTCAGGCTTCGCAGCAGCTCTCTCCTTTCCAGGCTTCGCGTCCTTCTTATCAGGAGCGTCGCTGAGCTCTTTGCCTTCGACTCCGCTGTTGTTGGTGGGTGTAGACTGCATAAACTTAGCGAGAGCCTTACCGCGAGCTACAAGCAAGCTCCTGGCTGGCTCTAGGTTGGAGGTAGTAACGCTGACCTCTTCGCCTTCGACTCCGCTGTTGTTGGTGGGTGTAGACTGCATGACTTTGGCGTGAGCTTTACTACGAGCTGACTTCTCGTTGTTTGGTTCTTTGTCGGAAGTAGCAACGATGATTTCTTTGCCTTTGCCCTTATTCTTGGCCTTGACACCGTCCTTGACACGAGCTGGCCTGATTCTTGGAGGCGACTTGTCAGAAAAAGAGGCACGACCTGGCTTCTTTCTTGGAGGTGAGTTGTCAGAGGCAGGGCCGTCATCACCAATCTTGGCGGCGGCAGTGGCAGCAGCAGCGGCCCCTTCACCGCCAGCCTTATCCTTCACTTTCTTCTGTGCAGCACGCTTGCGCTTGGCACCCGCAACGAGGGGAGCTTTGGCACCAGCGGTGGCCTGGCCACCGTCCTGGCTCGCCCATGCAGCGCCAGCTCCCTCGAGTTCTTTCAAAAAGGCACGCACTTTGTTCCTGCAAGTGTGTATTAGTTTGCCTGATTATCCGAGAGGCATTAAGCGGATAAGGGGGGTCGAAGACTTACCCAGCACCGCCGACACTGATGTTAATCTCTGTAGCCAAGGCATCGTAGTCCACGACCGGTTTCTCCTTAGCATGCTTGATGATGGCCTTGTAGAAGTCCTCGTTGCTGACTGCAGGGTTGGTCATCTTGTCTGGTCTCTTGTCAGTTTGGTTGCCATTGTCTCTAGCGAGTGGTTAGGAGGTACGGACGAGACCAACGTTTTGCGGATGTAGAACCTGTCTGCTCTCTTGGAACACTCTTAGCACGCTGCTTAAGTCATATCTAGAGATTAACACACATACTAGGCCGTAGAAGGTTGTCAATGACTCGCAAAGGGGCAAAGCGCGTCGTGGGCGTTGGACGGTGGTGAGGTGCGGATGAGAGGAAGAAAACCTGCAATAAGACGGTCTTTTTGATTAGAAGGAGCTCACTGTCCGTGGAAAACCGCCAAGGAAAGGTCCATTGTTTCACAGTGAAGAATACATGATATGCGCGGAGCTGTTGGCTGTCGCAGGTCTGGCATGGATGCGCCGCGAAACAATGGACCGACCTTTGGAGGCGGCAACAGGACCCAGCGTCCTCAGACGCTTGGGGAACCCCATGGCCCTGATTATCCACGGCAACAATATGAGTGCATGGTCATCGAGGGCAAGACCGTCCATGGGAATGCTGTGACCATTGGTGCACGGATAAGCATTGTCGTGGAGTCGTGGACTGTGGTAGTTGAGGTAAGTACTCGAGAGATGGACACGCTTGCCTTGGCATCCCTTCTCTTTGTCTGGCGGGTGGACTGGTGACAAGCCATTAGAGCCGTGTCCATAACGTCGACCAGGCAAGCACGGGCTAGGCCCGCGTACCGCGCTCAAAGGAACCGACTGCTCTGCCATAAGCAGAAGGTCTAGTTTCCTGCACGGCTGAGACTGCATCAGTATCTGTTGGCGGTGGACGGCCCGGCGTAGTCTCCGAGGTCTTTTCATTTCATGGCTCCCTGCTTCGTCTCGTGGTGCAATAAGTGCGGCCCTGTATTTTCCCGTCCAGGAACAGCTGAGCCTGGTCATGCGGAGCGAAACGCCCGAGTGGGAGATCTGCCAGCCCTGTGGGCCGAATGCGAAGGATCGAATCCCGCTATTGTGGCAAGCCTCGCAAAGGAAGGGAACCGATCGAGGCAAAGCATATGGTCTATCCATGGTTGAAGCCAAGGTTGTTTGACTGCGCGACGACTGGGGCCATTTGATCCCGGCTTACCATTGCACATTCACGGGGAAGGAAACTGCAACCAATATCGGTGGGCATCAAATCCGTTACCAGTGGCACGCCGGCGAGGTTGCTGACCACGACTTACCCGGACCCTGCATCGCAGACTTCTGCCGATACCGAGGATCAAAGCCATACCAGCGACGCCCACGGCTATATTGTAGTCTTGTTGAAGATGTCCCTGGCTGAAGGTTTTACCGCAAATGAGGTTGGCTCTTCGGGGACATCGTTTAAGGGGTAGCCTAATCGACAGCACGGCCGATTGAACGAGCTCTCACCTTTTTGCTTGGTGGAGCAGAGGTCCGTATGACCATAACGCACAGGTAAGCGATGTCAGTCCTTGACCCCGAAGCAATTACCCCTTACAAGAATGACACCGGGAGTGCAATGGCCCGCCAATGCCACATGGCTGACACAATGCATGCATATCGTTCTTTGCACCGAAAATGACAAGGCGCCAAAGGCAGTTTACTATGTAACACCCACTCAGACTTCAGGGGTGCCTCCGGGCACGGGCTCCGGGCGAAACGAATGCGTGGCAAGCTCGCATGTGGAAATCAGCAGCATTGTGTAAACGAAATATTGTATATGCTTGCAAGGGTTGCAGAGCGTGGAAAGGAACAAACCCGTACGCACACATACAACAGCGACTGGAGGGAGTGGTGTGACGGGAAAGCAGGACGTTGGTTTTGGAGGCCAGAGCTTCCAGCTCGGTTGGGAATAGCGGCGCCTGGGCTCGCGTGTTTGGCGCGCCGCCAACCACCGTCTGGCGAGCATGGAACGCAGCTGAGTCGCTGACACGTCTCAACCCCCGGCTCGCTCCAGACCTGGCAGCTGGATCGCTAGAATTCCCACGTGGCCATCGGTGTAACCGATCGTGTGGCTTGTGCGCTAGTACCAAAATTACCGGTTGACCACATGGAGAAAGGATGCCAGAATGCCTTGGCTTTCAGCTGAGGCTTGCTTCGCTACCAGCGAATATCTATCTGAATGACGACTCGATACAGATGACCTGCATGGTTCGACGACTGTGGGCTCGGTACGGTGTTTCCTTAATGGTCAGAGTTGACAGAAAGGGACAGGAAGAAACCGGACTCGGAACTCGCAAACAGGACTTTGGCCTTGGATTTGGGCGGTCGATGACGGTCTAGAACAGCCTCGCTCGCCTTATACTCCCGGTGCGACGATTGGCACACACCAGAGAGTTTGATGGCGCTACGATGGCGCTTCGATGCTTTACGAGTCACTTCGACGCGACTTAGGGGAACGGCCGGAATCCAAGTTCTAAAAGATCTCACCGAAGGCTCACCCAGCTATTGGCACGATGCAACGGGAAGCTGGAACGGGTCTGGGACGTCGCACTGACGCTGTAAGACAGGGATTCGAGAGCATGGTCGCCGAAGTCGCTGCATAACAACCTCTAACCCGATGCTCATGTGATATTATACATGGTAATTACCCCAGCAAGTATAGCGATGTGCTCGTTGTAGAATAATGTACAGGCATTTTGATGTCCATCACTTCATGCTCCTCTTTGGAAGCTTTCGCAGCGGGCAAACCAATGTCGCCGATCGTCATACGCTCAGTGCTATCGACGCTCTCCTCGACAGTGCATCGCGTGTGAAGACGCTGCCATCGGCACCATTGGCCTAAAGACGGTCAAGAACGCCGCGTGCAGGCTCCCAAGGCCAGAGCCCGTCACCGTAACCTCTTCTGTCGCTCCAAGACGACCATTCGCTTTGTCGACAACGTTCGTATAGCATGATCCTTCGCGCGTAAACCGCTTCCTATCACCTTGTCGCTTGAACGCAGAAAAACAGAAGTATAAATTGCTAACATCCATGTCCAAGCGCTGTTATTTTTGGGCGAACGGTTGAGACAGTAAAGATGAGTTGTGCACCTTGCTGGTTGTCGGGTGCGACCCAGTCTTGAGGTATACTTTACCCCAACGTGGCAGGGGTATGACAAAGTTGGATGTTGCGCCTCCAGTATATCAATAGTCGAAGTGCGAGAGGCCGCGGCCGGTTCGCAAATGCACAAACTCACTTGGTCGTGGATGTCATGAGCTTGTTCGTGGACTGTGTCCCTTTGCAGCTCCTACTGTTTCACCTCCGTGGCAGCCCTTCTCGTGTCGTTTCATGTTACTCCGCACGCTGAAGTACTTTCCGCATCCTTCATGCTTGCATTTGTAGGGCTTTTCACCTGTATGTGAATACGTATGAATTTTTAGAGAACTCGGCCTTGAGAAGGGCTTGTTGCATGTCGGACAAATGTACCGTTCTTGGGTCTGAGGATATGAGGGAGGGTTGTTGGGTGGGTAATAATGATGGTGCTGCCACGTTGGAGCCATTGATGGGTTGATCGGCGGCAGACTTATACCGGGAAGGGGGCCAGGGAAGTCTGTCGGAAGCGGTCTTTGTTGAGAAAGTCCAGCGAATACTTGGGGCTCCACCTGACCCTCGCTTGACGGGGCTGTCAAAGAACGCAGCGGCTTCTCCTGAGGCAACGCGTCTGGTACTCGCTTGGGAAAAGTCGCTGGCCATGAATTGGATTCGGCCGAGGAAGGATAGGCAGTCGTCGGCTCAGTGACTGACGGGTACGAGGAGGGTCGTTGAGCGTACAGCTCGGGGTTTGTGCTCTGGTGGAGACCGTTCCGACCTGAGCTGATTCCAGGTGAGGTATTTGTGGGCGAAGGTCGCGCGAAGTCAAAATTCGACGTTGGCAGGAATTCTGGTGTTGGTGGAGGCAGAGACCTTGGGCTTGCTGCCATCTTCGTCCTGTCAGGGCTTATTCCATGTCCATGTGATCCCCCCGATATCCGTCGTACGGGATCGAATGTTGAAGAGGAAGCATTTCCTGGTGCTCGTCAGCATACGAAATTGGCCTCTCTACAGAGCAGACCCAGAAAACAGACCTTTGGCAGAGTGCTCACTGACTGGTCCGAGCAGGCTAGAGATTGATGGTAACGAGGGTCTGACTTTGTTTGTCTGGTCCATGGCACCGGATGCCAGCAGAAAGGCGTGTGAAGGTAAAGGAGGCTGCAGAGATCGACTCGACTCATACGGTGGAAGCAGCGCCAATGCCATAGCACAGATCTATTATGGGTGAACAGGAGCGTATGGTATGATATAGGCCAAGGTCCAGCTTCGGTGCTGGCAAGTCCCCTGGTCGATGTGGAAAACGTCCTGCTTCCAACCGAGAGACTGAGCGGTGGTCGTCCTCAAGAATAAAGAGAGGTCAGGGAACTCTCGTTTGCTGAAGGTGATCAAGATCGATTCGTGATTTACGAGGTTGTGATGGTCGGGTATGGATAGGCTTATTCTGGCATTATCGATGCGAAGTGTCTATTCTGAACTGGCGGGGAAGGTTGTGAAGACCGAAAGAAGATACTGGTTGAGAGAGAGGAATGTTCGGATGGTGGAGCTCAGGGTTGTGACGTTGCAGCGGGAAGGAAGCAAACAGGTCCAGGTTCAAGACTGATCGCTGCCCTTGACATTTGACGAAGAGCTCGCTTATGGAAAGAGGATGCCAGTAGCGACAAAGGAAGACGGAGTCTTGCGGGCCACAATAACGAGCAGGGCGCTTCCGGTGCCGAGGACTCGAGGGGTGAAGATCGTCGAGAATAAGACGGAGCCAGAGGTGAGCCAGAGGTGATTGGGAGGGTGGGCAGCCCACGGGCTATCCCACTCCAGTCGTCAAATAATGCAGCGGCCTTCAGGGACTTGTACACTTGTGCCTGGTTTGGCAGTTAAGAGGCGTGCGATGTGCGGGCTTGGTGGGAGATCAAAAGTGGGCAGAAGGTGAGTTTAAAGCCACCGTTGGTAACAATGTGGCTCGTATGGTTGTAAGTGGGATGAACTAGTGCGAGAGTTCAGAAGTGCCACAGGTTCCGGTGGGTAATCGGTGGTCAAGCCTGGCCTCAGACCCTCGTCATTACCACTGTCAATGATGGTTGACTTTTTGCTGAGTTGTCCAGCTGGCTCGCTAGCTAGCGAAGTCGTCGGAAAGGTCGAGGCGTTTCAGTCCACAATGACCAGCCGAAGAGAGGCGACCCGACACCTGTTGTGACGGAGAGATCAGCCGCGCGAGATTCCAACGCTACTGGAATCCTGTTAGTGAGGACTTAAGGTGCGGCGCAAAAAGATGGTGCAGAACGCTTCCACTTCACAGTCAAAGTGAGTGGATATCTGAGGTCTACACTTGTCAATGTAAAGGTCCGTTAGAGTCCAAGCATGGGCTAGAAGTCAACCGTTATGGCGGGAGGAGAAGGGCAGAGGTCGCAGAACTTACTGCCGCATGGTCAGGTAATTGCGATACCGGGGGGTGCTGGCACTTGTAACACGTACGTCCAGTCTATTTTGGGACAGATGACGAGAAGAATCTCAGTTCAAACTCGGAACGGCACCAAAGGCACAAGCCACCGAAAGGTCCCAGAGGTCGCTCACCTCGATATTCCGAAGTCTATGCCGCTGCTCATAATACCGTTGGGGAGCTACTTGATCAATCCTCTGACCCCGTGAACGGGATATTTGCAACCTCTACGGAGTACCTTGCCTGCTATGAGACGATGGCAAGGCAGAACAAGGGCCAGTGCGGACAGTGGAAATTCACCCCGAACGCCATTCCATGACAGTTAGCGAGAGGCGTTAGAGGCGTCAGATTCCAGGCGTCAAACCGGCTGTAAACTTTGACGAAGAGTTCACAGTACGATAGCGTAATGATAGTGTCTTTCCGTGAACGGTCCGAGGTTCGCAGTAACAGGCCGTCAGGCCGGAGTGGTGAAGTCCAGAGATCTACCGGACTGGGTGGCCCCTGTGATGCCGAAACACGATCAGGCGATCAGGCGGCAATCCTTAGTGCCAATGCTAAGAGTGGAGGTGGTGACTTCCAGGGTTGTCAAGCCCAGAGCTAGCACCCCCCGGCATCCCTGGCACGTAGGTAAGCCGCTAAGCTCAAAACTTGAAGAAGCTGCTTTTGGTGCTGGGCCACGGATCGAATCCATGTCCTGCACGCATGTTTGTGGAAGCCAGCGTCGTCTCACCGCAAGAACGGACGTGCGGCAACTTGCAAAGGCTACCTGAAGCCGACTGGCACAAGGCTCATCGCCTAGAGTTGCACTATGGGAAATGAGAAAGTAGCAGCCTTGAAACTCTGCTCCAAAGGACAGGTGTTTTCATGCAACAACGACTTCCTTGAAGCTCAACTAAGCGCTACTACGTAGTACGTGTGAGAAGCGTATAAATTTTGAGACTGCATTTGTTGTGTGACGAGGAGGGCTAGAACCCAGGATGTCCCTCATGGCACAGGAATCAGTCCAATATCCACCCAGTGACAGTTCTGCCGACGTGGAGTGCATCGTAGATCATCGGTGATTCACCACAGAGACGTGCTGTGTCGGCGCGTGGGCTGTGATACAAGGCGTCGTCTATTAGCAGAGTCTGCCGAGGTCGCCGTAGATCTACCCAGGACTGAGACTTGTGAGTTTACACTTCCACCACTTCTTCCGATCAAGGTGGAACAGCTGGAAAAGGAGCCCAAGCCAGGGGAGTGATTCGGTTAGCGAGTCGATCCAATGAACTTCGCTCGGAGATTATGCGCATAAAGATGCTCTAGTGTCCAGCCTTTGACGGATTCGCTTACCGGCAACCTGGTTCAATGTTGCCAACGAACTCTATCACACGCCTTGACCCTGGTACCCTTGCCTCGGTGGCAAGCTGAAGCCTGAAGAAGATCTGCACATGAATGGCATCGCAGGTTCAAGCCTTAGCAAATCCGGATTTTCGCACATGGAATCCTGCAGAGCGGTAATAATGTTCCTGCTAAGAGAGCCGTCGAGCGAGCCCTGCAGCCGCATTCAGGACGGCGCAAAGTCAACAAGTAGGCGATGCTTAGGTGTTTTCGCTGCGTCGCTGGTGTTCTTCTCATCGTTGATCCCTTTTCCTCATTTGGCCAAGTGCTCCCCGTGCTCGACATCCTTAGCGAGGGGCGGCCTTGCCCCCTGCTGGTTCCGAAGCAGCGGCGTCATTTGGTCTTCCACTGACCCAGAGCCCCATTCGTCAACCAACCCGGGCTGCTCCAAGCCACCCATGTCGATCTGGTTGCACATGGTCTCGTGGAGCCTGTTTGATCGACCCCGGCGTCATCCTCATGATTTCCCATGCAGCTGCCGAGAGTTACTGTAGCCTTGCCATTGTTATCGATCGTACAAGGTACAGGCTTTGTTATTATTCCTTGACTCTCCTGTTTGACCCCATGGAGATGCCGTTAAGTCTACGACAGGGTCGCACACCTGCAGAGGTGGCTCGACTTACTTGATCCTGGTTGATGACTGCACTCGTGCGAAATCAAAGGCGCAAAGGCACGTCAGTCCGTCCTCCTACAGCCTGTTTCATCTTTCCCTCGTGGTTCAACATGCTTATCGTGTGACGAATAGGGGCATCGGATGATCCGAGGCCGTGCGAGGTCTTATGGCAAATTTGGCTGAAGCCCATTATTCCACCATTAGTGAAGAGTGGAATTGCTTCAGTATTACCCCACATTGTGCCAATATAGCGATACCGGCATGAAAAGCTACTGTTGCATATTTCCACATTGATATTCAGGTTATGCGCGGGTGAGGGAAAACTAACACGAGCAAACGTACTAGACTGCAGGCTTACGCAGCACCGCCTTTACCTGCCACTCAGTTGAGTCAGTACTCGCAGAATGCCGCGAGTCTAGCCAGAACGATGCGAGCATTTTCTGTCTCGAGGTTGCCAGATGCCCAATACTAAGCGCATGGGCGCACACTAGACATCAACCCGGTTTGTTGCCTGTTCTCTTCAGCTTCCATTGAACGCCTCGGTGGGCCACGTGGCACTGCAGTCGCGTGCACGCCAAACGAAACACTATCGGCAGGCCTCGTTCCCTGGTTGACACCATGACTAACCGCACTGGACATGTCAAATATCAGGAGACGGTTATACTCGACAAACACTGCGATTGCTGCTTTACGCTCCGGTAAAGCTGTGATGCACCTGCACCATGACTTACAATGATACTTCCACTCGTACAGGCGACAACGCCAGACAGCGAATGTCCAGTTTGTCCGACTCCCAAGCTATGCAGATAATGATGTGCAAAGATCGCCAGGCACTTTTCAAACCTCCGTGCTTCACTATACCAAAGTGAGTAAGACCGCCATAACATCATGTCCGTCGTGAAGTCAAGCTACTGCACGGTCGGTCCATGTTTGGGCATCGCGGTGCTGGCGACGGCGTGTCTCGGCAAGGTATGCGTGGGGCAACCTACTGTCGCAACTTGCTCACCGTCGGCTCACAGTCACATCACCCACCAGGAGCTCCCGATCCCATCATACGTAGTTGGAGTCTAACCAACCGGGTACCGGACTATGAATCGTACTCTTCGAGGCGTCAAGCCACCTTCTAGAAGTAAGATAATACCTCGCAATAACGTCCGAAGCTCGCGAGCGGCTGCTCAGGTCCAGACTGGGAGGCCGGGACAACAATGCTCGTTCGAGGGGCTAACATGTATGCTGGGCGGCATATCGATTGTGATACAAGAACTTACTTTAGACACGAAAGTGTCTTTGAGCAGCAGTTGCAGGGAAGTTTCTTCCGCGGTCAGGCTTAATTATTATCTCGCTTCGTGGGCCCGTCGGGGCTCACCAAGCAACACCGGGATGTTGCGACTTCTGGGGTGATAGCACGAGAAGGCAAGGGCTTCCCGCACCACCTGAGCAACGGCGGATCAAGCTCCAGTCTTTCCAACTCAGTCTCCAACAAAGACCCAATCCATCCATTTCTCAGTACCGTGTCGAGTATTCAGGGCTTCATCGGCCCTTAATATTATTGCAAGGCTGCAGGACTGTCCATATCGTTGAAGTCCGAGTGACAAGGATCCCGACAAGCCTCGTATTCGGCTAGTCATCTCGCTTTTCCCTGCTCATGTGGGTGCCATGTTTCTCCAGTGACAGCTGAGATGTTCCGGCAGAACCCTGGCACCCTGCCGTCTTCAACAGGCTAGGCCCGCAACAAAGATCCCATCGGCGATTCGCCGCAGAGTTCAAAGACGTGACAGACAGGTCACTAAGAAACGATTCAAGCCAGCCGGATCGTTTCCCCGCCAATCCTCCACGTGGCAGCCATCTCAAGGAAAGGCCACCTTCTGTTCCACTTTTACGAGCAAGGCCCCTGATCACCCTCGAGCTACCGAGAATCACACAACAGGCGCACGCCCGAGATCTCCCAACCTTACCCTACGAGTACCTCGTAGTATCTCCATAACTACGATTGGTGTGCTTCTCTTTGCAGACGAGAGCCTGCCCCATCGCTGACAACTTAGCCCCTGGCAGCTGGGACACTTCTCTCTGTGTGCGTGGGAATATCCCGCCGAGCCTTTTGAGTTAGGCTTTTGTATGTTGAATGCCTAGTCAGGGAGAATTATTGCTCATGCAACTAGCCTCTTTCATAACATTTTGGGATTGAAACAACCAGCACAAACGAGTCATGCATGGATAGCATGCCAAACTCCTCATTTCGTGCAACCACAGCCCACATCGAGGCTCTGCTGAGCTGACCATGTCTGCTTACCATAGATGGATAAAGTGATCCTGCCGTTTTGAGCACCGGCGACTGGCCACATAATGACCGTGCCTAGCCTACACCAAATGATGCCACCCTTGCCTTCTCACTATGATCCTGGCAAAATCTGGTTAGCAGACTTCCCGCGGCACGTGGTTCGAAATTCTCATGTTGGGACTCGAAACCCCGAAATCCCCGGGTCCCCGAAGGCCCGCACAGAAAGATTGCGCCCATGGCAGGATTAGCCGCAAGGCCAGACAAAACACAACTATGTGGGGACTCCGTTGACTTTCTCAGATGCCTCATCCATGCCTTGCTTGAACGGTCTTTGACGTACAGAGTCCCAGCAGCATGCATCAGGACCGGGACCGGAATCTCGTATTTTTTGCTACTATCGCCTCCACTATCCCTTGCTGGTGAGCAACGATGGCTGGCTGAAAGAACGGCGCTGGTTCGCGGCATCCGACACCAACCCCACGTCGTCGTCAGAAGGTGTTGGGATTGTCGTGGTTGTTTTAGGGCCTTCATTTCCACTGGGGTCAAAGCAAACGTGATAAACATGGTCCAAGTGCCCAATCAAGGGGCAGATGATGTATCCTCTCCGAGGTCCTGAAGCGCTCGAGGCCTTCTTCCATGGCGTGCAAACAGATTCCTTCTCCAAGTGAGACAAGTCAGGCAACTCAGGTTGCCAACCACGTCGACGAGGATAGGGCTACGGAGAGTTTACTCCCCTGATCGACAAAGACATTCTATGGGATCTTGCTCGTCTAATAGCAGTACCGTACGTGGCACTGGACATACCTCTCACAAGGTGAACATCGAGAACGAGCCAAAGTTCTCGAGCCGAGTCAAATCACGACAAGGTGGGCATCACAGAATCATGAGCAAGCTAAGGACACGCCAATTTTTCATTCTCGGTGCCTGTGGGCAAAATAATTGCTCAATCCGTACTTGGGTATTAATGTCTTGAAATTTTGCTGACAGCAAAGACCGCACCTTTTGAGGCCACCGCTCCAAGTTTGTGACAGCAAACTTATCGCGCTGACTTGTTGTTGCATGATCTGCATTCATTGGCACCCAGTGGATTGTAGCACGAAGTACTGATTTGACAGTTCTGGTCCACCAACAATCGCTCGAAGGATTGTCGACCTGCCTGAGTTGGACAACGGGGCTCGCAAGGACTCGCCAGTCCAGGCCGATCTTGATGTGTCGAGCGACGAGCGCATGTGCCTAACCCGACAAGAGACCTCCCCGTAAGACGATCAATGCTGCCCGCATGGAGCTACCCCGTAGATCTATCGCGGCACCAACGGTCGACGGTATAAGAACATAGTAACACGCAACAGCCCGGTCTAGGTTGCCTATCGCATTCTGGACGCAGAGAGGCGACTGGTCCTGGACGCCCCGATTGGCCCAGTGCCCAGGTCGAGAAATCGTCCCAACACCGCATACACAGGACATAGCTTACCACCTTCCGTACTGAGGTGATGTGCGCCCGAGGCGACACAGTCGCGATGGTTGATCCCGCGATCAATTGGCGATCGGCTGTCGATCCTGGCCCCTCTGTTAAACACAGGCTTAGTCCATGTCTCTTTGGATACGCAACATGGGAGCCTCAGATGTAAGGCTGAATCACGTGCGCCGGTCCAGCATCTCAGATGCTGTGAGCGTGTTATTATGGGCTTGTGTGGGGAAGGTCGGCTGGCTGAAGGGATGAAGCTGTCATACAATCAGTAGGCAGTACCAGTCCGGTTCCTCTCCTAAGGAGACACTGTCCTTATTGTCATAAACTTCATGTTCAAATGCTATTGGCGGATCCGGGCGCGCACACTTGTTGTTCACAATTTGTCCGTGACAACCACGCAAAGCCTGGGACTTGCGCGAGGCGAACGAGAACGTTGTGTAGCTGCTGCAACCCGTACCCGACATTGGACCCATTGCTCCAATGTATAGCCTGATGGGGGCGTGTCCTTCGTTAGAGTGAAATACAGTAGCCAAACGTCGCGTAGCGGTGAGCCGTGGATTCTTGGTGATCCCGCGCGAACCCGACCTTCAGCCAGACGCACTGGTGTTGACACAACGAGTCGATTTGGTCCTGCAATCGGAGGAAGCCAGCCACAATTCACGACAGGTGGAGCTGGATTGCATGTTGTTGTGAATCTCAAGCACAAACCGGCACCTGATATGGGCAACATGCTGCTGGGGGGGTATTTCACAGTGCCGTCGCGTTGCGGGGCAACGACTGGGTAAATAATGAATTGCCTCGCTCTGCACCACTCGTCATTTGTGTACATCATCTCTAACGTTGGCTGCACTATCTGCAAGCAAGCACCCAGTCTTTTCTTATGCTGTGCTGTTAGTTATTGTCCTGGAATGTTCCTTCCATAGCCATATCAGCAAGTTCCAGATTGCGCTTGCCTTCTTATTCGCAACCTGTCGACAAGGCAAGCGCCATGGCCCTCGAAGCTGCCGACAATGACAAGTACGAAGTCAAAGAAATCATTGGTAACTTCAAGACTCTCTGAGTTCTGCTCACCATCACTCACATCGCCTAGGTCGCGGCGCCTTCGGAATCATCCGTAAAGTACACCGGAGACAAGATGGACACGTACGCCGCTCCAACGCAGTGCACCTGGCCTCTACTGACTGGCCGCAGGTCTTGTGCCGCAAAGAGATCAATTATCTCAAGATGTCCCAGAAGGAACGTGACCAGCTGCACGCCGAGTTCTCCATCCTTTCGTCGCTCAACCACCCGAACATAGTCGGCTACTTCCACCGCGAACACCTCAAACAGACGCAGGAGCTGTACCTCTACATGGAATACTGTGGCGGCGGTGACTTGGGCACGGTGATCAAGGACCTGAAGCGGAAGAAGGAATTCGCAAAGGAAGAATTCGTGTGGAGGATATTCAGCCAGATCGTTACCGCTCTCTACCGATGCCACTATGGAGTCAACCCGCCTGAAGCCGGAAGTGATTTTTCCAGACAGGTGCTTCCGCCATCCACCAAGGGCAAGATGATCCTCCATCGCGACCTCAAACCGGAGAATATCTTCCTGGGTGCGGACCAATCTGTGAAGCTAGGTGACTTTGGGCTGTCGAAGATGATTCAGTCGCATGATTTTGCGTCAACCTATGTCGGAACACCCTTCTACATGTCACCAGAGATCTGTGCTGGGGAGAAGTACACCCTCTACTCCGACATCTGGTCGCTAGGGTGCATAATGTACGAACTCTGCACCAAGGAACCACCATTCAACGCCAACACCCACCTACAGCTTGTTCAGCGGATCCGCAAAGGAGACTTCCCACCTATTCCCGACGTGTATTCCAAAGATCTCGCCAACGTCATCGCGCATTGTCTCAAGACAAATCAGAGACAACGTCCTGACACCAGTTCTCTGTTAACAGTGCCTTACATCTGGCTTGCGCGCAGGCAGCAAGAGATGGTCGCGCTTGGCCAAGGCTTAAAGACCCGGGAGGAGGTTGCGGAGCACAAGATCAGACAGGCAGAAGAAAGACTGTCGGCACTTGAAGCAGATCGTGCTGTCCTGAAACATGAGATCGACTCCCAGCTACGTCGCGAGTGGGAACTCAAGGCCCGACTCGAAATTGACAGACAAGTCCAGGTGGAGCTGGAGAGACTACGCAAGAAGTTCGACAAGGAGGTTGAGGAGCGCGCAGCACAGGTTTTGTCAAGACAGAAACCCTCAATTGAAGGTACAGCGCTAAGAGATATTCGCAATCCTCCTGGACCGGTCTACAACAAAGAGAACTTGAACCCGAGCTCATCATTCAACACGGCTGGCGAGGAAGACTTCCCGTCAACAACCGATATCACAGACTTATCAGACCTCTCAATCCTGTCGCCAGTGAGTTCCACGAAGCCGCCACCCAAAAAGACGAAGACTCCATTTGCCCGGTCCAAGACGACATTTGACTCACCAGTTGATGTGCAAATGTCTGAACCATCACCGATGTCTATTTCATCCCTTGCTCTATCACCTCGCAGAAATGCTACAGCTCAAGCGACCGCCAACACAACAGTCACCGCCACAGGCGCAAAGAACATCTTTGCCGAAGCAGCACGTCAGAAGACTCGTTGGGAGCCTCGGTTGGCATACTCATCGGATGAGGAAAATATCAATCCTGCTGACGACTCGGAAGATGATGAGTTCCCTGATTTGTCCAGCCCTACGAGACCAAAAGCAAAGGTAGCAGACACTGATCCCTTCAAGAATCCTTTGCCGTTGAAGAACCGACCTGTCATCACGAGGCAGAACACAACGGCGACCATGCAGAAATTGATGACGAAGCCCGCATTGTTCCCGTCAGCTAACACGGCTGCACAAGTGAGAGCTGGAATTGCTTCAGCAAAAGTTGCCAATTCCATCAACGGTATTCCGCGAAATGCAACGGACTGTGATCTCAAACCCACTGCAATCAAGGCTACAAGTCCTAACCGACGCCTCAGCAAGATCCCAAGTCGCAACGACCTGAGGGAACATGCCATTGCGGAAGAGGGAAGCACGAGCCCTTTGAGACGAGCAGCAACTATAGGCGGCGGGCTCCGCAGCAAGCTTGCAGGTGGTAACGACCCGGCGGGTGGGTTGGGCGTCGCAGGCCGGACGCGCGTCGAACTGCATCAAGCGCGCGCTGGATGCGTACCGGTGAAGGCGAGGGTTGCTGAAAAGGACCTTCCCCCTGTTCCCATCTGGGACCCCGAGATTTGTGGAGATGAGATGCCGAGTCCGTTCTTGAAGAAGGACGTCAAGCAAATACGGCTTATACGGTGATGAAGCGTCTTTCTTATGTCAATGTCGGATAGGGGGAATGATCTGACGACCTTCATGTGTCAACGAACGTATCACTCCGATGGCCTACGGATGGAGGTGGATAACAGGTGCCGCGACCCGACGTCCTTGCCGCCATCTGGTTGTGGTGAGGCGTCTCTGGCCGGCGGATTTGAAAGGACTGTCGGCACGAGTGTGCCGGTCAGACTGCCTCGACGAAGTCGAACTTGCCCGTACAGCGACGAAGCCACCACGTCTTTACGAGTACAGACTCCTCGAAGTACTCTTTTTGCTTTAGGACAATCGGGGGCTTTGAATTTATTTGGAAATGCTTGTACACGACTTGCTTTGGTGCGAGCATGACGGTCTGGATAGCCTCTTGCAAGATGCCAACATGGATGCGCAGTATGACCTCGGCGAACGAGGCGTGATTGCTCACTAGTACTGGGAAGGATGACCGTCAATTGTATCTAGTGAGGAGAATAGAGCTTGCACTGTGCATTGGATGGTCCTGTGGTCGCTCAGAGGGCGCCTGGTCTTGCTTAGATCAGGGTTTCGACCACAAAACGGAGCCCTTTTGTACACCTTAGTTGACATCGGCTCTGAGCCTAGTGAAGGAAGAACCCATCGCCGCCAGGGTCGTATCACACATATCAAATGATTCTTTGGCTTGTTGGGTGGCTCTTGACGCCCGCAAACGACGAATTGAATCGAGATCTCCATAGTCCAGGATCGAGTAATAGTCACCGACAAGGTGAGATAGGGGAAGATTGTTCCGGCATGAATGGGTCTGGGACTCTGCAACGTGGGGGAAAGCAGGACGGAGTTGGACATGACGAATAAAGAGCCCTAGAAGGACAGTATTATTATATGTCCTCATCCTCCACCTCCTCCATCTCGACATGCCGGCTGGGTCTCTGATCACTTCGATCGACTGTGCCGACCTCAAGTCGGACATCCTCATCTACTTGACTAGCCGTGTCCTGATCTTGCGCCTCCAATTCTCGGAGAAAGCGTGCTTCTTCTTCAGCGAGCTTCCTCGCGTTTTCCTGATCTTCCGGGATCCCCACCGACTCCTGCGTCTTCTGATCCGTCCGTCCTAGATATCCTTCGGCCTCTAACCTGTCCAACTCCTCAGGCTCCAGCAACCGACCCGTCGGCCCCACTTTGGCGGCTTGCTGCATTTTGCGGACAACATCTGGCACGAATCTGTTGACGGCTTCTTTGCGCAAGTCGCGGACCTGGGGAGCACTTTCGTACGTCGTCTTCACCACTGGCACAGGGCCTGGTCTTGGTGGCAGCGCGGTATCGGGTTGTGGGGCGCGGGTCTCGTCTTCTTTGCGCGGGAAATAGCGTCTGGATTCTCTGGGAAGCGGCGGAGGAGTGTCTTCTGGCATAGGGATACGGCGGACAGAGTCGTCTGTGTCGCTGCCTGACGATTCTCGTCGCTGATAATGTTTGCGTTTGCCGTCGTGCCGCCTCTTGCCCAAAACATTATTATCGCCATCACCTTCTCTTCTTCGGTGACCCCCACCGTATGTTGGCGCTTTCTCGCCCAGTGCTTCCCGTGCTTTCCTGATAGCTTTCAGGTCTCGCTCGAGGTCTTGTAGAATCGCTCGTTCGCGTGGTTTGATGTCGCCGGCCGCCTCGAGAGCCTTGATGTCGTCAATCTGGCGCTGGATGCGCTCGGGGTTTCGACGCGCCAGTTTCTCATTGCGTCTCGCTTGCAGTTCTGCTCGACTCTTTTTCAGCTGCTTCGCCTTTTCAAGCTTTCGCTGCTGCTGCGCAGGGTTGATTGATCTTTCTTTGTCTTTGGCCATCGCGTCGGGAGCTTAGTGGCAAGGCACGGGCTTGTATGTGTATGGAACCAGATTATTCAGAGTGCTCGCCTTCGGAGCTGCACCACGACGTCAGATGCCAAACATTCGGGGGAATTAGTGTACGATCGGTAGGCTGTCTGCAGCAACTTGCGCACCACCCATGGAACGTTGGGTCTCACCGGTCAGGAGCAGACGAATCCCGACAGGCGGGTTGTCGTCTGCAGGCTGCAGGGTGAAGATCAGAAGAGGTGCAGAGAGCTGGACAGCCTGCAGTAGCCTTGCAGTGGTGCACGCAGCTACTTCGTCAAGAACAATGACTGCTACTTGAGGAACCCGACACACGAGCCTCTGCAGGCCGAATGCAAATCAAGCTCAATCACAGCTGTCACAGGTCGTGCAACACGGCGTCTGAGTGACGGGGTGCATGAACTAAGTGCGGCTCGTGGTGCAATTTGTGTTCATCTGGAGAACGTCGGTGCAGAGGGACTTCGCGGGAGTAGAAGCCCAGCACAGCACCAGCAGCAGCACCAGCACAGGCGATCTTTCTTACAGCGTGAAGAGAGCGTCAAGTATCTCAGAGACGGCATAACATAGCGCCCACGTTCCTACCACCACTCCGCTCGTTGTGACTTCGGAATTGGGTCAAATCAAGAAACAACAGCCACACCCTCGTCTCGGCCGTCGGTTGCTACTCGCTCTCAACCATGCTGCCCCACGAAACGACCCTCCTCTCATACTCAAATGCATCGCGGCGTAGCCAATGGCACCCTTGGTCCCCCCATCCTGCCATAGCATACTAAGTTATTGAATGCCAGTCACCTGCTGCTCACAGTAGCCAGGCACTAGACTGCCCGCTGAAGGTACTCGACACTAAAGGCGAAGTTACAACAATATCCGCGCTCCTGTTTTCCTCTCCTCTCGCACAGTTGCTGGATCAGCTCAGCTCAGCTTCGACCTTCTCCTTTCCAGGGCTTGTATGTGCGTGGTATCCATTCCTTCTTACTCGCCTGGTCATCGTTGCAGGCGATGAAACATCCTCCCTCCTCAACCGTCTCGACCGTTGCAATCCCCGCTCCCCGTTCCGCATCCGCGCCTAGTCTCTAACTCGTCGCTTTGTTACCCGCCGTCTTCAACTGCTACTGCTCTGCCGACCACCGTCCTACCCCTCTTAGCCTGACCAGGCCTGGGCCCCCTGTTCCCGTGCTGCTCACCGTCAAAAAATAAGAAAGACACAAGCGCAGCCGCCAGAGTCTGAGGCCGAGCAGAATCGGCGGGCTCGTTTGAGACGGTGAAATTACGAGCGCTTCGCCAAACCTTGAGGCTCTGCGGTGGCCAGCGACGCGCTCGACTGATACGCTCAAGCTACAATGACCAGGCTCATCCCGACTGCCATATCTCGCAGCTCGTTCGCTGTCCGGTGTCTCTTGCACCACTCTTGACGGCATCCCGCACACCTATCAGCTCCCAGAAGTGCTATGTGCCGTCTGACCCTCACGGCTACCTGTCGAAGCTCAACTGCCACAACGCCTAGATTGGTCGCTTCCACGACTGTCTCTGTTGTCCGCTCGGGACGTCCATGTCCGCGCCTCAGTCAGTCGCCGGTTCTGCTCTGGGCGTGTTTACTCAAGCCGAGCTGTTGACCCTCCAACACCAGCAGCAAATCATGGCACAACGCAGCCACCAAAGCGGCGCCCCGGCTGACCGTGGTCGTGGCACCAGCCGGCAGTCACAGCCTAGTTCCCGGGCGGTCAGTGCCGCCAGCAGTCAAAGCATACCCGGTCGCATTATGCTGGATCCCCACAGTTTGCAAGCTCTACATGCGCATCTGGAGAACGTCATGAGGACCATTCAGCGGCGCATAGAAGAGGTATGAAATACTACCACCAGGAAAACTGGGATACCGGCTAACGTAATTGGCTAGCTCGAAGACGCCACCGAGCAGTCGGTCAGAAATTCTAGCGGTCGAGCGGGAACTTCCATTCAAAATGCGGACAAGGAGATTGCCAGAATGAGACGGATCATGCAGGACATAGACACTCTCGAAGAAGAATTCGAGAAGATCAAGCGGATCCGAGACAAGATCAAAGCCATCAGAAACAACGTTGATCAGCTCAGCGAAAAACTCGACCGCAGTCGCCCAAGTGGACATGGCGCTGGGGGAGCCAGACGACGATGAAATCCCCGCCATTCGCGAAGGATTCGGATTTCTGACGTGTTCGATCAACAACCACACAGAGGACCGGCATCGAAGCAACGATGAACGGGCCCTCCCTATTTCCGACCATTCTACGCTTCTTGAGGTTAAGGTCCCACTCCACGCGGCCATCCTCAGATTTCAATGTTGTCTTATCACTTTCCTTTCCGACGGCGAATGCAGAGATGGAAGCCTCGCGGCTGGTCATGGATTTACGAACTCACGTTTGATGAACTGTACGAGTATCAACGGGTCATCTGTTACCGTATCACACCAAGTACTTGCTTTTTCCCGGCGCTGGAGGACGATCCGATGGCGAATTTTTTGTGCATTTGACTGGCCGACTTGAAAACAGTATTTGGAAGCTATGATGTGATTATAATTCTGCTACAGGTGTCGAGGCTCACGCCGCAAAAGAGACACGTTCAGGCACGGTAACCTCTGAGAACAAGCGCGTCGAACCAGACGATCGATATCGACTTGATGAATGGTGATGATCAACATTCCTCTGCCCTTGGCTCCAATTTCGCTTGATCCGCCCAATCCCTCTTCGTCCCCACCGGAAATCGCTTGATGGTATTGCATCTGTGGCACTTGATCTCGAGAATATCTGCCCACACTTTCTTCCCATTCTTGCTTGGATTGGTAATAGATTCACTGCATGTCCGCCCTGGAATGAGGAGAGCGTCGCACCGCTTGCAGATGGAATGCTTCACGTTTGGTGAAAGGCGGATCTGTGATTTTCGAGACACTCCACGAACATGCATGAGAAGTCGGCTTGCATCATTCGACGGTGATGAAGGTGTATGCCCGCCTATCGTAGAGGCGCCCGCCACGACACTTGAATTACGGTTTTCATTTGAGGTCCCAGTGCTCGCCATGGCTAGATATGATGCAGCCTGGTGAAGGAACGAGAGTCTCGAGTGTAGATGTTTCTGGGACACACCGGGACCGCCACTTTTGGCTGGTTTGTCTTTAGCCATTGTTGGGATAATGTGGCTGGCTGACAGTTCTGTGGCCAATACACATGGTGGTCTTCCTTGCGGTGGTGTTTGTGGGTGAAAGCAGTCAAAATTCACAAGAATAACCATTGTGCAACAGTGGGTGAGTAGGGACAAGGCTGTGCATGACTAATCACGGCTTGGCGAGTTTTGCGCGGCTGCCTTTTTGGCTCGCTCCTTCCGGGGCGCTGAAAACAGCCGAAAACATTCGCACCTCAGCATCATCTCTTTCTCACTTCTTTGTCCGCAACCCATCATTCTCTTTCTCACCACCCCATCAAACCTGTCGCATTGCGGTTCTTACAGGATCCTGCCTGGCTGTATCATCGAAAATCTCATCGCCTTGGTTATTGCGATCTTCTAGACAACCCCTTGGGTCTCGCCTCACCCTCTCTTCCCTCAACCCTCGAGGCCATCTTCAGCCTCACCGATCACTTCATCCACCATGTCTGCCGAAGAGGATCTCATCGACTACTCTGACGAGGAGCTCCAAGCACCCGAGGCGCCGGCCGCCGGTGCCACGAATGGCGCTACGAAGAAGGGTGATCTAACAGTCAGCGGAGGAAAAACGACCGACAAAGGAAAAGGCAGTTACGTCGGCATTCATTCGACCGGCTTCAGAGACTTCCTGCTCAAGGGCGAGCTGCTCCGTGCCATCACCGACTGCGGTTTCGAACATCCATCGGAGGGTTAGTCATTCATCCATCCCTGCAAGCAAGACGTATATCCACCCTCCTGGTTCTTCCTGCGCGAGCGCGTCCGTCCATCTCCAAACAAGAAAAGAAGAGCAAAGCAAGATGAGCAAGATACATGACACTGCCTCTCTCCGCGGATGCGACGGCTTCCAGCCAGTGGTACCACGGTCGAAGCATGGCGGGCAATAGAATGCCACTGCCTGATGCCGTCTGACGGCACCTTCCAAGAAAGTCGCAAATCCAGATCGTTGTTAGCGACAGCAGAATGCTCGCAGGAGCATTTCCGAGTTGACATGCTGAGAATTGCTGCCAAACACGGTTGCATGGCACCGGGTAACAGCCAAACCTACGCTGTGACTTCGCAGGAGAAGAGCTGTCCTGGAGTTGCGCTGTTGCTGGCTCATTAACAGAGCCACTGGAGAGATGGAATTCATAAGCCTGCGCTTGCTACATCTGGACTGTGTGTATTCGGGAGATGGACGGATCGACCTGCGATGCTCTTTTGTCGTCTTCACACATTCATTGTCGAACAAAGTCTAACATCGTCGGTCTCCTGCAGTCCAACAAAAGTGTATTCCACAGGCTCTCCTCAGTGTCGACATCCTCTGCCAAGCCAAGTCAGGTCTTGGTAAGACGGCAGTTTTCGTCCTGACAACTCTGCATCAACTGGAACCTGTTCCTGGCGAATGTTCGGTGCTGGTCATGTGCCATACCCGAGAACTCGCCTATCAGATCAAGAACGAATACGCTCGATTCAGCAAGTATCTACCCGATGTGAAGACGGCGGTCTTCTACGGTGGTACACCAATCCAGAAAGACATTGAGCTCCTCAAGAACAAGGAGTCGTTCCCAAACATCATTGTCGGCACTCCGGGTCGTCTTAATGCTCTTGTCCGCGACAAGTATCTTTCACTCCGCAATGTTAAGGCGTTTGTGCTCGATGAATGCGACAAGATGCTCGACCAGATCGGTAAGCAATGCGACCCGACCTTCTCCAGATACTTGTTTCTCACAGCCAATTCACAGATATGCGCCGCGACGTCCAAGAAATCTTCCGAGCCACTCCCACCGAGAAGCAGGTCATGATGTTCAGCGCCACTCTCCCTCAAGAGATTCGACCTATCTGCCGGAAGTTCATGAGGAATCCTCTCGAGGTCTTCGTAGACGATGAGACGAAGCTCACCCTCCACGGCCTTCAACAATATTCCATCAAGCTCAGCGAAGGCGAGAAGAACCGCAAGCTCAATGACTTGCTGGACAGCCTCGAATTCAACCAAGTCATCATCTTTGTCAAGAGCACACTTCGTGCGACCGAGCTCGACAAGTTGCTGCGCGAATGCAATTTCCCCAGCATTGCCGTGCACTCCGGTGTCAGTCAAGAGGAGCGGTAAGTCCACGGCGAAACCAGGCCATTCACCGTTCTAATCTTTCCTTCAGGATCAAGCGCTACAAGGAATTCAAGGAATTCAACAAGCGTATCTGCGTTGCTACCGATGTCTTCGGCCGTGGTATTGATATCGAACGTATCAATCTTGCCATCAACTACGACCTGCCTGCTGATGCTGATTCTTACCTGCATCGTGTTGGTCGCGCTGGTCGGTTCGGAACCAAGGGTCTCAGTATCAGCTTTGTCAGCAGCGAGCAGGACGAGCAGGTGCTCAAGGAGATTGAAAAGAGATTCGATGCCCAGGTGCCGGCTTATCCGGAGGGCGGCGTCGACTCGAGCACGTACATGGCGTCTTAGACAGTGAAAGGGCGGAACGAACAGTGACATTTTGTGCCGGTGGACGGGAAGTTGGAGGCCGACAGTCACCATGGATGTATGCTGTATTACCAAATTGCTGGAGAGGAAGCTAGCTTCAGGACACGAAAAAGGGACCACAATGCAAATTGATCGCTATGAGAGCTTGCATGACTAGAGCTAGTCTTGTCTTGTGAGATCCTAGACTGACGCTACTGAAACGCGATCTTGATATCACCCAAGATTCCTGCCTCTTTCCCATTGCCTCCTGCTGGCGATCCACCAATTCAACCACTAGAGCTAGCACTTACTACAGTCTTTCCTTGAATTCGTCTACCGAAGCACGCTTTGTGGTCCCCCGCCGCTCTATGCAGCCCGTACAGCAATACACAGGAGGGTACTCCGTACCGTCAATCGGTGAGGGACATGGTGCAAACAGGTTAGCAGCTTTCCAGTAATGCGCCAAAGAGAGCGTCGCTGCTCATACCCGGTATTAGTTTAGTGCTAAGTTTTCATCTGGCGATTCCATTGGAAGGATAGACTGTACTGAGTAGTACTCCTGGCTTCGAACGGTTCAGAAGCTACCCAACACTCAGTATATACTCAGGCGTTCCATAAAGTCGTGAGATGGAACTTGGCGCTACCCTGATATAAAAGTGTCAGCGGCGGCATTCCTTCTTTACTCATCAGAAAGGTTGCTGACCTTTTACGACACCATGTCCTAGGCGTGTGAGAATACAGGTACCTCCTGTGTATTCTTGTAATGGTTTTACATAGAGCGGCGGGGGAACCACATGGCGTGTTTCGTTGGACGGGTTCATGGAAAAGACTGTACGGAGTAGTAGAACGATATAAATATAGTCTTTTTGTCATCTATCCCATCTTAGCGTCAAGTATATAGTCAATCTAGGACGAGGGCCTCTCGGTCTCTCTGTATGGTGTATATATGGGTCTCTCTATATTTGCGGCGCCAGCAGGGAGGAAGACCAAGGACATCCCATCCAGCCCTGGCCCCTTTTAGTAGTTTGTAGTTTATGCATTCATCTTCAAACTTCTCGAGCAACCGGTCGATCTTTGCTCAGCAGTTTATGCATCCAGCTTCAACTTTTCGAGCAACCGGTCGATCTTGCCCAGCAGGATCTGGTAATCTACCGCCATGGCTGCGAATTCGTCGCCCGCCAATTCGCCGTCGAGGGTGCGGACGGCCCCGGAGGCGAGGAGGGCTTGGATGGATTGCTGGTCTGGGTTGTTGAGATTTGGATTTGGATCTCGATCGAGGTCTGTAGATGTAGACGGCGCAGCGGAGGCGGTGGCGGGGACGGAGGAGGATGCTGTTGAAGGTGTCGACGTTGTGCTAGAGATTGCCGCGGACATGTCGACGCCTTCGTCTTCGTGGGGGTGTTTGGGATCGGTGCCCCAGCGCGGCAGGGGCTGAGGGGGCTTCGCGTGCGCGTCTTCTGCACCACCGTTCTTGGTCCGCTCTTGAGTTTGAGACTCGGTGTGCGACTGTGCAACCGCCTCCGCCATGGCTGCCTCCTCGTCCATGACGTCCTCGAGCCCAGAGTCCTCGAATCGGAGCCGGAATCGCTCGCTTAAGTAGTACCGAATATCATCTAGCAGTTCGATACTGTCGGTTTCTTCTCTGCGGGTGATACGCTCGGCGCTCTCTTTGACCAGTTCCGCGAACTCGGGCGTGTCGATGAAGGCTTCCAGCCGATAGGCAATGTACCGGGCGGCGAATTCCTCGAGGCGCTGGACGCGCGTGAGCCAGGCTGCACGGAGGATTTCGTAGATGTCTAGTTCGTCGTCCACGGATTGGGAGTCGCTGGGACGCTGCTCTGGTAGCGGCTGCGAATGGGATACGTTCTCATGGTCCACGATTTCAGGTGACAGGGCCGTGGAAGCGGGCATCGCAACTGCACTCCCATTGCCCAGGGAACTAATCACCAACGCGGCTTTGGCTTTGACCTTCTCCAAAAACAGCATGTCCGCCGCGAAAAGCACGTCCACGGCGATGTCTAGTCCAAAGTCGGCTTTCTCAGTGTACAAGAACGCGAGGATGATCTCGAGCACGGCAGGCGAGCAGTCTATCGAGACGATCTGGAGATGTGGGGTTGGTTGAGCTTCGAGGAAGGACGACGAGAACATTGTGTTGAAGAATTCCGAGCGCATGAGCATGGCCTTGTGGGTGGGGTAGATTTTCGAGCGGCGAGGTTTACGTGTACGAGAGGGCGAGCGCGACCGGTCTGAGTGGGATATGGGAATGCCGAGGGCGTTGGTCGAGGATTGACGTTCAAGGTCTCTGTTTGTTGATCCGGGTACATCTCCTCCATCTTCAGCTTCCTCTTCGTCCTCGTCGGCGCGGAGGAGGATGTCTGCGAAGATGCCGTTGTTGCGGTCCCATTTTATATCGTCTGCCCGGGAGGTTTCGATCTCGATGGCGTGTTTGAGTACGTTGTCGCGGAACCATTGTTCGAGCTGGTCACGACCTCTCTGTACTTCATCCTGGCGCCGTTGTCGTGCCAATCTACGGTCATTGCTGTCGAGTATTAATTGTGAGAGATTCTGGATCTCAAGATGCTTGCTGATTCGGTCCACACCGGCGAGGATTTCCGAGTCGGTGAAGCCTGTGCCAGGACCGCCGCCGAGATCTCGTGGGATTTCTCCGAGGTACAAGTGCCTCAAAGCGATTGCAAGCGATTGCGGTGGAATCGTGGGTGCTGGTTTCCAGACTTTGGTTTCTGGTGCTTGGGCGAGTTTGCTCCGGAAGTAAGGTGACCGGGCTGAGAGGATGAATTTGTGGAGGTAGAAGGTTTCGCTGGTGGTGATGACCATGATGTCGTATGTCTTGGGATGGTCTCGGGTCAGCAAGGAGACCAGATGTGATGCTAATGGCTGTAAGGGATCTGTGGTTTTCGAGTAGTCGTATTGTAGTAGTAAGTTTCGTATCCGGTCGTTTAATGCATTATATAGACACCTACGACAGAGTTAGTGTCTCGTGGCTTGCCTGTCGAAGTGGACTCGAGTGGTACCTTTCGCCCTGGAATGTATCACGCTCGCAGAGTGCGCCAGACTCAAGCAATAACTGGACAACTTCATAATGTCCGCATAAGCTAGCCTTCCGGAAGTCAGCAGACGCTTCACCGACAAAATATGGTAGGGTGGCGACAAGCGATTGCCCACGACCCCTAAAACAAGACTTACCAGAATCAAAGGCGTATAATCGTACTGATCCTTTGCATTAATATTGGTTCCCTCCTGAATCATCTCCTGGCAGACCTTGAGGTCGCCTCGTCTACACGCATCGCATAACTTCTGGAAGTTGACGCTGAAATCGAGGGGATTGTCTTCCTTGAGAATCCCCTCTTCGATTAGTTTCCTCTCATCGAACAGATTGCGCTCGAGTTGGTCTTTGCGGAGGAGTCCATTCGCAGTCATTGTATCAACCCTGTTGTGGAGGGGAAGTAGAAGCCAGTGGCAACAGCAGGGCGTGGAGGAATCGAGGAAAAGAGGAAGGGAAGAAGTGCAATTGTTCGTCATGTCGATGCATCGCCGGCGTTAAGATTAGATTAGATCCGCTCAATCAACCGCCTTAGCGCCAATGCCCACCCTCCCGCAGCCCACATTCAGCCTCGCTTGAATTTTGGCAAGGCTGAGCCCAAATTTCACTCGACAACTGACCCACCAGAGCGTATTTCATCCGAGAGCCACCACAACACTCGGCCTCTCACCTGAAACAAGAGAGAGGTGCTCCCCCTCGTGACACCACCTAGATCGACTTTCTCTCGCCCAGCATGGCTGAACAAGATGGCTTCCTCCACCTCAGCCGTCCTCTCGGTCCCGCCGCAGTCGGCGCACAACCCACAACAGCGCCTCTTCGAGTCGTGATCCAACCGCAAGTACGTTACGTCGGAGAAGGATACAGCGCTACATGCTGTCGCGATTACCGATCTCGAAACTAACACCGATGTCTACAGGCTCTCTTCTCGATCCTCGACCACTGCCTTCGCCGTCCTCCAGACCAACAACGAGTCATCGGCACATTACTAGGCACGCGCTCCGACGCAGATGAATCCCAGGTGGTAGTGCACTCGTCCTTTGCCGTCCCACACACCGAAACCACCGACCAAGTCGAGGTGGACATGGAATATCAAAAGGCCATGCTCGCCTTGCACCTGCGCGCAAACCCCAAGGAAGTGCTGGTCGGATGGTACGCGACGAGTTCGGAGCTGAACACCTTTTCCGCCTTGATCCAGAATCACTACAGCAGCCAAGGGGAGGGCACGTTTCCGTATCCAGCCGTGCATGTTACGGTTTCGAGCCAGCCGGGCCAGGACGTCGAGGTCAGGACGTATATTTCGTCCCCCGTGGGCGTCAGTCCTGAACGGGCGGCCGACTCCGCGGCGTTCATTCCGATTCCTTACATGGTGAACTACGGCGAGGCCGACCGCGCCGGCTTACAGGCCGTGGAGACGGCGAAGGATAGTGAGAGCAGGACGGCGACGATACTTACAGATATCGAGAACCTCGAGAAGTCACTTGAGGACACGCTGGGCATGCTGGATCGAGTGGCCAAGTACGTGGAGAATGTCATTGAGGAGGAAGCGGAGCCGTCTACTGCGTTGGGACAATTCCTGCTCAACACGCTGGCTTTGGCGCCAAAGGTCGAACCGGCCGAAATTGAGAAGGACTTTAACAACCATATTCAGGATGTACTAACCGTCTCATACCTCGCCAATATGATCCGAACACAGATGGATTTGTCGAACAGATTAGCGACCGCACAACTGACCATGGGTGGCGGAGAAGGTGGACAACAGGGTGACAACAAGGAAGGGCGAGGCGACCGGAGACAGAATAGACAAGGTGGACAGCAGAGACAGAACAGAGCCGAGAGTTTCTCGATGGCCTAGAATAGGAGAGACCTGTGGCGCGACAGCAGCATTCTTCCATTTGGCGGCTATGAAAACGCTCTTGAGGTATCGGCAGTGATGTTCACAGGACATGTCAGAAATGGTGCGGAGATTTTCTCCGGAAGGACATGGCTTTACCATTTCCAGGTGGTGAACGAGATGCCCAGATCGAGCGATGCTCGGCTCGAAGCTGGTTGTGGTCGCTGGAAAATGGTAATGACCTCTGACGCCGGGATGGAGGCATACCATGGCCTAGAGGAAGAGGTTGAAAAGTATGCATGCATGCTGGAATATGCTTGCACAGATAGATCGCCCAGTCCGAACTGGGTTCACGAATGAGCCATGTTGGCCTTGTCGTTCTTCGGTCTGACCTGTAGCTTGGCTTTCCGTCGCGTGATAACCAAGCTAGTTAACTGACATTGCCACGTAGAGGGGCCATTGTGTTTTCGACTCCGCGTCAAACCCAGATAAGCAGGTCAATTCGACCTTCGACTCAGGTGGTGTGCTGGTGGATTGAGGACCAAGAGCAGCACTGTAATCGAGGCAGCCGGAGAGGCGCCATGTTGTAAGCAGGTTTCAACTGACGCTGATGTCCCTGCGAGCGAAGCGGGAGAACGTCCAGGTCGACCGATCTGCGACTGGGCCCATGCATGGAACAGGTTCGACGCCCTCTCGCCCCTTGTGACGTGGACTGCTCCGGCCTTGAGAGGTTTCTTTCCTTCAACCCCCTTCTTCAACCCACGTCGCTCCTCGCCCTTTTAGTTGCCCTCTCTTCACCATCTTCCTCGCTGCGGGCACCCGGCGTCGTCTCCTTCCCAGCTTCATTGAGCGTACTTCCCCCCTCCGCCTCCTCTCGGTCCCTCTTCCTCCTCCGTCCTCTTCCCCTACCCTTTCCCTTCCCTGTGCCTTCCTCCCCCACAACCTCGCCGAGATTGACCAAATCCCCGACCGCCAACTTCGTGCCCTCCCGCCCCTCATTGGTATCGAAGAGCTTCTTCTTGTTGTCGATGTCCCGCTTCTTCTTGAACATCTCCTGCACTCTCCCCAACTTGATAGAATCGCGCCGCAGCACGAATTCGAAGTCCGAGAGCTTGAGTTTCGCCCGGCCGGAGTACGTAGCGACGGAGACGGCATCGTGGCACGTTTCGATGATGAAGTCCGTGAGCATTTCATCCAGCACGCGCAAGGTCTCCGGGAAGGGCTGTGTAAACGGTGTGGGCGGGTGTGTTGTGTTGGGTGTGGGCGGGCCGGAGAGGTATTGGCGCGAGGAGGAACCCAGCGGGTGTACGATATCCGGATGGGTAGGTGCACCGTAGGCGTAAAGGAGGGAAGACAGCTCGGGCCCAAAGTTCAGGTTGTTCTTGTGCCTGCCGGCGCGGGCACGTGGTTCCATTGTGGTGGATGGGCTTAGATGAGGAGATGGAGATGGAAGAGGTCGGTTGACGGCCACTCCAGGAATGTAGACCGCAAGTCAGTGGAGAAGTTCACACTCTCATGAGCCACACGTGTCACATTTGACGTGGAGGCATAGTCCAGCAATGCATGTAGGTGCCTCTCCGAAGTGACAGTCGATTCACAACGACCACACGACCAAGAGGGATGTGGCAGTGCTCCGCACGCCTCACAGTACTCGCTGATACGGGGAATCATACCCGAAGCAGGCGCAAGCGCAGACACGGCCCGGTTGCCAAGTACTGTGTACGGAGTACGAGGTACGAGTACGGAGTACAAGCCACCCAGTAATTAGGCGAAACTTTCCGCCCACGGCGCCGGATCAACTCTCAATAAACCACCTTTCAACATCCGCATCCTCGAGACTGGCTGTCTTTCTACTCTTACGCTGGACGATAGATCAAACAGGATATCCAACACATTCAACCTCTTTCTCCTCTTCCTCAGTCGCCCGTCCGCCTCCCGTTCATCTTCTCATGCCTTGATCCCACCAACCTTTGATAAGACAGAAAACCAGCCCGGGCAAGATGGTACGTGTAGTTCCCCAGCCAGCCAAAGCCAGACCAGCGAGCCATGCCACCACATTCGATTTCCTGCGCCCCAGTAAATGGAGCGAGATTCCCCTGCACAACGTGGAGCCGGAACCATCCAGACAGATATTGCTGAATTGAACGCCTGGCACAGACAAAACCGACTAACTCACACGCCTTGAATCACAGACAGCGATATTCAACTTCCAGTCCCTCCTCCTGGTGATCATCCTCCTAGTCTGCACGTCCACCTACGTGCACTCGATGGCCCCTTCACTCATGGATCGGAATAAAGACGGGTAAGCGTGCCACCTCGCGCGTACTCTTGTCCCTACACGCCCAACCCTCGCCTCGCCGGACAGTCGGTCTGAATGTCTGTGATGTGATTCCCACAGCAAGCGATGTATGCTAATCAATGGTTGATCACGAGCAGGGCGTTGGGAGTATTCTGGAAATGCGCGCGCATAGGGGAACGGCTAAGTCCGTACGTTAGTATCATCTGTGTTGCTATGGCGGTAAGTTGTGGATCCTTCAAGTGCCGCCCTCCTGAGAGTGCAATCCTCCAGTCTCTAGTAGACGAAAGTGCTTGCCGTCCCATCTGTTGTGAGAGTGGGCCTTGACGTCTATGTCCCAACGTGCCGAGTCGGGCCTCTTTCTACTCGGTCTTTCGCTGATAAGGAGAGCACAGTGCTCGATCATGCTGGGCTACTAGGACGGAATCCGAGACTGTCCCCCGAATGATCTTTACATCAACACGCTTGTTCTTCTCAATATACATGTATTGTGAATTCACGGCTCAGGAAAGCATCCGGAAACAACGACAAAGCACTACTTAGATACGCCCCCCGAACCCAATTCGAGGACCTGTACGCGCAATGCCATGTTACATCGAGTCCTGTTCTCCCGCCGGAGAATCTTTGGTCCTATAAATGAACTCAGTCGCTCTTTCATACATGAGCAGTGCCATGTCCCACTCCAGCCCAATATCAACCACAATTCCAGGCCATCATTTGGAAGAGAACAACCGTGCAAGAAATCATCGCGTCATGGGTATCGTCACCGCGGCCCCTGGCCTACCGATTGCAAAAACCGGATTTTGTTACAAGGAAAACTTTTTCTTCACTTCTCGCTCAATCTTGGTGGCCCGCCGTCCGATGACGCCGCCGCGCTCCCAAAAGCCGCACGCCATTCAATTGATTGACTTGGGTGCCGCCGTCCACAAAAGGAAAGATATCCATCTCCATCTTCCGTCTCGTCCTTCCATTCCTCCCGGCAAGCTGCTGCACCGGCTCCTTCTCACGGAATACAAGTTGGTCCTTCCTCGCCTCGATGACTGGATACGTCGGCGCACCTAGAAACTCTCGAAACGTCATGGTAGCCTTCTCCATCTTGACCTGCGGATCTCCTGGTGTGTCGAAATCGATGCCCAGCTGTACGACCGTAGTGACTGGTGCTTCTTCCGGGTAGCGGCGCACTTCTTGATGAGGATTGCCAAATCTCTTTTTGTGTTCGGCGCACTGATACACAAGGAGGTTACCCATCAATTTCTTTTTCGACGGTCTCGTACTGGAGGGTAAGATCCCGACCGCTGTTAAGCGGTTAGCCGGGTCTGTCATGTCGAGGGAGGGGTCAATTTCGAATAAGTTGCGAGATCTGTCGGGTCGTTGCCACAGTGGGTCGACACGTGATGGAGGAAGTGGTTGGAAATCGTCGCCTTCCATTTCTTGATCCTCGTCCTCAGAATCAGACTCGAACATGACGCCCATGGCTTTCAATTTTTCAATTGCTCCCGCCTCATCTTCTTTGAGATCGGCCGTTTTCCTGCCCTCGATTCTTGGGCGAGAAACGCTCCGCGAATCAGGGGGCGTCGTGAGTGGGGAAGCGCTTGGGCTAAGCCGTCCTCTTGTATCAAACGTCGAGGGCGACTGCGCGTCTGAGGCGCTCGTATTACTTGCCGCAGCGGTCGTGGATTCAGCCGATCGTGAATTCCTCGAGCCACGACCCGAGTTTGGAGGCCGATGGTGCGTCGTTTGGTCTGGCTGCTCGTCGTCTTCTTCGTGCTTATTGTAGGAAGAGTCCGCCGGTATGAATTCATCCTCACTGTCGGGCGATTCGCTAGCTGTATTTTCGATGTCGTGAAGCCGCATCACCGACACGTGATCAGCACCTTCAATGGCATGTTTCTCCCCAATGATCTCGTCTGTAGCCTCTGAGGTCGCTCTCTGCTCATTGGGCGTAATCAAATCGGGCGCTTGTGACACAGAGTCATGGGCGAACGACTCGCACTCCATCGAATCCGTAGAATCGTCCTCTTCATCGATCTGATTGCTGACCACGGAGCCAGATTGCCACATGCCTCCAGTCGGCGACCTGGTACGCAATTCAGTGCCGGGAGCAAGCCCATGTTTCCCGTCAACGCGCTCAGAGAATTTTGCCTTGCCAGCTGTCTCCGTCTTAGACGTCGCGGCATTCCTCGGGAACAGGTCACGTTCTGCCTCTGTGAGGCCATCCTGCTGCACAGGTGATGGCGTGGTAGCTTCAACAGTGAAAATTCGTTCTGAGGCTGCTTTCTCCTGTGGTCCGGAGATTGTCGAATTCTTAGAAAGATATCGACATTCCTTAGGGGACTCGGTGTCCGGCATGCCAGCCGGGTGATTACCTGCTGGTTTCCGACATCCTTGACGGAGGTTGGCGATAGCAGCTTCTCGTACGTTGTGAGAACCTTTCTGTCGCTTGTTCAATACGAACATGACATCCTCTTTGACCGATCGCTTACGTGGATTATCACCTGCTCTTTCCTGGCCTGATACATCTGGTGTGACAGATGCCTGATCAATGGTCTGAACATCCCCTAGTGATGGCCCTGGCAGAGGCGAACCTGAGGTATAATCAGGCGTCGTGTCCTGTGGCCGCGTCTTAATGCAGGACACGTCGCGGTCTCCCTCGTCGGGAGCTTTATCCTTCCGAGGCCTCAGTTCGTCCATCTTGGCTAAGCAGCGCTTGCAATGGCCTCCTGTACTGTAGAGCGGTCGATTGCACGACCCGCATCTCTTCAACGTTATTGAAGGAGCTGCTGACGTGGGAGATTTCGAAATGCACCTGTCCAAGATCTGAGTCTCCGTGTCTGCAGTAAATTTCATTACCGCGTCCGGAACTGGATTAACGTGCTGCACAGCGTCCTTTACAGAGGTGGCTTCCGTTTTGTTTCTGCCCAAGAGCGGGCGGCACAACAAACCGCCTCGTCTAGCCGCCCCGCCACTCCTAGTGCGAGCTGGCCGGCTCTCTGTGATATGTTCTGAAGCTGCGTATGCAGTGCTGGTTGTCGACGTAGACTGTCCCAAGGAGCAAAGTAAGAATGCTCCCTCAAGTTCAGACTGTGTCAATGGGTGCCGGGCAGGATCTGTTTTACGCGCATTGCGTGCCCGCCGTGCTAATTCTTGCTCGAGAGCATCAGGGGGTGGCAAGGCGGTGATAACGGGAAGCGAAGGCTGTGGCTGAATTGGTGGAGTGCTCGCTTTGTCTTTCGTTCTTAGAGGACTCTGTAGTGCTTCTTGTCCGGAAATTGGTGGACTGGCGGTTGGATGACCGCTTTCCTTGCAGTTTCGCGGAGGACATTCTGTATCTGTAGGTGTTACACCAGAAGGTAATGACTGGCCAGCAGAATCACACTTGCGTGAATGGATAACTTGATCCCTATTGTAGTGCTCGTGACATGATTTTGCCGACCAGTTGTGAGTGTAGGGGCATGTGCCACTACATTGGAATTGGCATCGGCCACCTGCCTCGAAGCGCGGACACATAAAACCCTTAAGAGAGTTCGACCCTGGATATCCACTGGAGTCTTTGATGGGCTGCCAGGCAAGCACTCCAGTCTCTGCATGGGCGTAGAGGCAACGCGGACCGGATAATCTGCATCTCCCTTTAAATTTCCAATACCAGCAGGTAATATGTTTGAGTGATGCTTTTCCATCGATGCCCACGTAGAGACCAGTGTCTTTGTGTGCATACTTACACTTCCCTGCCTGCAGGGTGCATGAATCTTCTTGCCATCGCGGACAAGTAAAATCTTTAGCTTCCTTTTCGTCGCCGCGAGGGGCTGCACGGCCCGTGATTTTGTGTGCAAAGATGCAATGAGCCTCTATGAGGCGGCAGCCGCTGTGTTGCCAGCTCGGACAGGTGATGTGCTTGTATTTCTCTCCTTCCATGACCATCTGCGCAAACAGAGGAGGCTTTGTGGCCAGATCGGTTGATAGTCGTGCATCGAGTGGTATCGAAAGAGGTGATTTTGGGGTTAGATTTGAATTGTGAAGGTGTGCCACACGTGAAGTAGAGTAGAGGCCCATACCGTCCACTTGCTGCTCAAGGAAGGATTGGCATTCCGGCGGCTCGATTGGTCGGAGATGCAAATCATGCTCTCGAGCCGCCACATCATCGCGGACGGCTGTATGTGCATAAGGACGGCAGTCACGTGGAGGACTGAGGTGTGAAGGGTAGGTATCGTGCCGTGACGGCTTGTTGAACCTGGTTTTAGGGTGAGGCAATCCCGAGCCTTTCTGTATCCCTTCTTGCGCTCGACTCTCTAAATGCTCTTCTTCCTTGTGATCGTGGTTACTGGACTTATTCTCTCTTGACCCATGCTTGTTCCGAAAAGTCATTGTGTCTTGACCAGTTCCACCCTCGCCCACCTTGATCAAGGAAGTGTTGACTCTGGGCTGATTCACATTATCTCTCCAGGAGAAATTGCATGATTTAAGCGTATCGTCCAAATAGCGGAGGGACCTGGCATCCGTAGACGGAACTATGATGCCGTAGTCGGCCCAGCTCACGTCCAGTCGGTGTGGAGGTAATGGTCGGTAAGAATCATCCACACGGGCTCTTTCAGATGTCTCGAGGTCACTGCCATAACGGGATTGGCACGGTCTGGAAGATTCAACGCGTTCCGAGTTACGCGATCCAGCGTCCCTATGAGAATCCGCTCGTCGCAATGGAGGTGGGCTAATATTTTGCCTCATTAGACGGGGCGCGGTTGGTGGTAGTTGGTCGAAGATCTTTGCTTGGGATTTGGCAACATCTGAATATGCTCCCTTAACGGAATTTGCGGGCTTCAGCGTGTATGCTGGGTTTGAATTCTCAGGTGCGACCGGAGTCAATGGCCGACTGGGCCCAGAGGAATTGTTGGCAGGAGACGGGGGCGAGTAGTCCACTCCGGTTGAGTTCTTGAAGCCACCATCTCTGGGCATATTGACTTGCTGTAATCTGCGCAAGAGAGTGTCATCTCAACATAGTCCTCGGACACCGGGTGAGGGCAAATGAAACCTATTCAGACACGCGTGTTAGCAATTGATGCCCACCAGTTTCGACGTAAAAGAAACACAGCTTTGAAAGTCCATTGCCTCAGGTCTTTTCAGTTTTTCTGGGTCTTCACTTTGCGTCGGTAAGGTTGCTATGACGAAGAGGGAGCGCTCTCGCTGCAGGATGCCGTCAGAGCACGTGAACGCGTAGAGGGCTCATAGAGACCATGTGCTCCCAGCGATCCAAACTAGAACTCCGTCCTGCGATGTATGGAATCCATGGGCAATGTACGCTGCTGCCATTGACAGAAACATCCATGCTGAATTTAAGATGTGTGCCCCATATTAGCAGCGTTGGTTTGTTCCTTTACACAAAATCTCCAATGATGGAGTCTAATCGCTCAGAGCACACCATTCTAGCCTGATTACTGTGCCCACAGGACGGAGGGCTTGTAAGGACGCGCGTGCCCATGGACGCGACTCGGGCGGTTGCATGTTACCGTATCAGCATGCAGAAGCAGCCCTCACGACAAGTAACCGCTGACTGACGGTGATCAATCAGACCTTTTACCATTGACTCATCTTTGTAGCAGTTGGGCGGAAGCCGGCGAGCTATACACGCCGAAGTAAGGAATACATAGACTCACCGGAGAGATTAGACCATGATGCCCGGACAGTACATGGCGTGCCGCCGTGGCGCATTCCCATGGTTCAGTCCGCCATGCACGGCAATCGAGTTTCGATATCGACAGCGACGGCAAGCAACATGCAGTTGACTTTGAAATTTCTCTTTATAGGCGGGGTGGCGACCTGGCGGTGATAGCGGAAAGACGGGGCGAAAGGAGCAGATGGCTTAAAACCTAAGGCCCAACTACAACGTAGGAACGATGGGTACTTTGTTTGGTGCTAAAAAGCGACGGAGTCTGCAGCACCTATTGCTCATATTTTGAAGAGAATCCGCAGCTTGGTGCTGTTTTGACAGGAAAGTAATTGATGATTCAAGAGTGAGGCTCAAGGGAGGTTTGGCTGGTTCAAATACCCAACTCGAAACTGGAGAAGCCGCAACGCTAGAGAAATGTGCGACTTCCCCGATTGGCTGCCATCGCAAATGGAAGGGAGGTCAGTCGTTGACGCCCAAGCCACGATTTTAAGAGGCTAAACTAGCCGAAGGCAGGGCCCGGCCCAAGTGCATCACAACCGTAGCAGGGCGCAACGAGGCGCAACGGGGCGCGGCCAGGATCCCAGCATTGGACATATATGGAGTACTGGAAACCAATACACTCATCTCTGCAGCGAGTAACTCCTGCAGCTATATCTACCGAGGTGGTGATACGAGTACACCATCATACATGTACTATTGATACACACTCCTGCCTGCAAGAGCCGGGATTGCATTGCCGCCTTCAATCTCAGTCTCGCTCTCAAGCACCTTGTTCTCATCGACACCTTGACTCGCTTGCTGGGCTGCCTTAGCCTCGGCCTCTGTTGGTGCCTCCTCAATGACTGTGTTCGAAGCCTGCCAGCCCAGGACTTTGTCCATCCCTTGGGGCATTTGGCGTTCATCGATACAGTGTTTCACCAAGTCGGCAAGCCGAGTCTGGTCGTAGTTCTCGAGCAAGAATGCCCAGCCCTTCTCGGTTGGATGGACCTCCCGGGCCAACATCATGTGCCAGATCTTTGCCGCAGTCTCCTCCTCGCCATGCTTCAAAAAGCCGCAAAGTAGTTCGCTCCAGCTTCGCTCGGTCGGCATGCATAGGTCATGATCCATCATAGTTTCAACCACATAGACCGCCTTCCGTAAAAAGAACCGACTCCTTGCATAGAAATGGATGAATCCATTCCACATGACGTCATGTTTTGCGCAAGCAAGAATGGTCTCATCCTGCTGTTTGATCATGTGCATTATCCAGAACCACAATGCGGAGACGATGCGTTCGTCGCGTTGGCAGAGTACATAAGCCCAGATAGTGAATCCCAGGACCGCTGGCGGAGGCTGCTCGAGGCCTTTCTGCAGATTGTGCTGAGGCGGAACTGCGTTGACAATACCGAGCTTGACAAGGGGCGTCCTATCGTAAGCTTTGCCATATATGGCCAGGAGATGTGAAACGGACGTCTCGGGGGATAGTTTGCGGTCGATCGCGCAAACCACCCTCACAATATTCATCATGTATGTCACCAGATAAGGATACTGATAAAGGTCCTCGTGTCTGTGGATAGAAGACATCATCGCATCCAGCTTCTCGCGGTCATTCTGCTCAAAGCTATTCTTGAGTAGCATCAGGTAGCCGTTGGCTTCAACACATATATCTCTAGCCTCCATAAAACGAAAGACTTCCCATGCCACTTCCGGCCTACCTAGCTCGAGTGCTCGTTCTAGGATGCGGTTGTGTACTTTGACATTCATTGGCAGGCCGAGTCCAACAAGTTTAGGCAGTGCCCTGAAATTGGCCACAGAGTCAGACTCGTCAATTGTGTCGATGGAAATAAGGTTGGCACAACGCTCAAGAATTCGCACCTTATGTTCCTCCCTCTGATCTGGGAGGATGCGCGAGAGCCATTCAAGTGCTCGGTCGGTGTCGCCAAGGTTCGTAAAGTGGTCGACGATGACTAAGATGACTCGTGGTGATATGTCCTGGTAATTGTCGATGATGGTGTCGATGATGTTCTCGATATGCTCGGGGCTATTGTGCCGCAGGAAAAGGACCAGGAAGTACCAGGGAAAACGTTTGGTGTCCGACGGCCATGTCCAAATGCGCGAGACCCGCTCGATCTGCTGCGCGAATAGTTCTTGGAGGTAGACGTCCGCATCGATCTCGTCTCGGTATGCCTGATCCAAGAAACAAAGACATTCACACCGAAGTCTCCAGTCTCGAGGAAAGAGGATATCAAGGGAGAGCATCAGAAGAGTCCTGCGACCACTGTCGACAAGACATCCGAGCATGATGGTCGCTAGGTGCAACTTATTGCGTACCAGCACTGTCGTGAAGGCGTCACGGAGCTCTTCAAGATTGCGGTCCCCGACGAAAGCAACTGCGACTTGTCGGTGTACATCGAAATGTTGACGTGCCCTGGACAGACCCCCCTCATGCCATAGGGCAATTATTTCCTTGTAGTACGTCCACCAAAACGCACGGAACTCGTCATGTTTTGTCGGACTAATGCCCTCGGCTTCAGGAGAGAACGTTCTCCAACCCGGCGGAAAGGACCATTTCGGCGAGGCTGCGCCGCCCAAACCAAGTGCTTGAAGGTCGGATATCGGCTGCGAGCCTGGCCGCTTGAGTGCGACGGGACGTTTGAAAAAGGATCTGTCTGTAGAGCCAAAGATCCTGGTCGTGTGGGTTTTAACGCTTCGTAATCTGTGATCTAGATCCTTTGTCTGCTTCCCCACTGATTGTCCGCCAGGTTCTAGAGGCGCAGAGACTTCAACGGTTGATTGCGGAGAAGTGTCTGGCTCCGACAAGCTGTTTGATGCCGTGGGCTGGTGGGGAGGCGACTGTCTATTGTAGGAGGTTCCTTCAGCAGGGCTTTGCTCAGTGAGCTCAGCATCTCTGTGCCCAGGCGAAAGGGTTTGGGAAGAATTGTGGAATCGAGCTTGGAACCGACATCGGCATCGGCACCCGCCGTAGATTGGAAGATTACGGTGTAAACATCCTCGCAGAACGATGGTGGGATTAGTGAACATTCAGGTTCGCAGACATCTGGCTCTAGCTCTTCTCCTAGAGCTGGAAGTCGAGGGCGGAGGAGGGTAACATGTGGTAACTGTCACTCGGCGCGCATACAGGTATCGCCAGCAGTCGAAAATCAACTCGCGGCTGAAAAGCCCAGCTTGTCTGCGGAAGGTTACCCGAGACTGCACATCCATAACTCATTATCCTACGTTCTCTAAATAATCACTTCTCGTCGCGAATTCCAAGAAGCGCTGTCATGTCGGCCACACACACCAGTCTCGATGCCGCCGCCATCGATAGGAAGGCCCGTCTCGCCAAACTCGCGGGCATCAAACGCAAGCATCCAGTCTCCGACCCACCAGCCTCCAGTCTACAAGCAGACACAGAAGAGGCAGAAGAAACGGCAATCTCCTCCAGTACCACGACTGATCGATATCTCTCGGGGCGAAACTATGATACAGCTACGAAAAACGCCAAGCTCGGATTCGAGAATGCGCCCATCAGCGCTGAAGTTGGGACTCTGGAGGAACAGGCCGATCGCATAGCCGCTGCTACTGCCGAACAAGCCGCCAAAGACGAGGTCGAGGCAGAAAAAGGCATTGACCTTTTCAAGCTGCGGCCGAAGAAGCCAAACTGGGATCTGAAGAGGGACCTGGATGAGAAGATGAAGATCCTGAATGTGCGGACTCAAAACGCGATTGCCAGGTTGGTTAGGGAAAGAATTGAGAACGCAAAGAAACAAGCGCTGGAGAAGGCCCAGGCCTCGCAATCAGCCGGTCAGGATGGGATTGACGGGGAGGAGGTGGGCATCGAAGGCAACACTCTTGTCGAAGGCATACACTTGCGAGAGCAAGAGGAGGAGCGGGAGGCCGCCCGCGAGAAAGAAGAGGACGATATTCCGGATTGAGTTCGCCCTGTCGTGCTTTCACGATATATGACCACAACAACAGCACACTATGGTCAGAGTCAGCAGCTCTGGCGCGTTGACGCTTCCCCGACTTGCCGCCATCCAGCGAGATGCCGGCTATGCTCTCGTGCCATACCGCGAAAACTTCCCGTGAGGCGCGACGTCTTGCCTCTTATGGCCCCTATTAGGCTGGTCCTTCACCTGAGAAGCGCGGCTACAGTCCTGACCGTGACCTCGCAAAAGGAAGCACCAAGATGTGGAAGGGAAGGTTGAAGCCAGTGCACCGCATAAGCTGCCACTAGAGAATACGTTGTGGATGAACCTTGCACCCTAGACAAGCAGCGAGAGAACGACACAAGCAATTAGAAGTGGCGTCCAACGGGTAGAAGGTCAACATGCCAGGACCCCGGGCAGAATTTCGCAACTAGCTACGATTCCGACACTGCTGACTAGGGTATAATAGAACGAAGAAGCCACCGAATGATCAACGACCGTCCGCCAACGCCATGCGGGCTACTACAAAATAAACAACCGAGTCATACTGCTCTGACTTCCCTTGGTATACAAGCAATGCACAATCCAACTCCACATGGGGCAGCATCACGCCGGCAAGATTACATGTTCATCGCCTGTGTCAGCGCCAACCTCTTGCTATACGGACTCAGACTTCTTTGCTTCCTCTCCCTCCTCTGTTCTCCGGCACCGAAAGGGTAGTCCGATTGAGGCAGCGGACGGTTTTCGTCGTTGCGATCTCGTCTGCCACGTGGCCCATCGTGGGTATCTTCACCATCAAACGACTTTCTGTGTCTGGTGATCTGGCTCTTGTCCATGCTGGGGCTGTTACTACGGCTGCGATGGCTTCCGCGGCGCATGAAACTTGGCCTACCGCGATTGATGGGGCTCATGGTACGGTAACGTCGGCTTTTGCGGTGCGACCCGAGCTCTCGGCGCGGCGACCTGGGTGATCGAGAGGAAGAACTGGAATAGGAGCGGTGTTTTCGTTTTCGCGGTGCATTCGGGGTGGTTGAGCGGTTTTGGCTTGCATGGCCACTTGTCGGGATTCGCTCTCCTCGTCCTCTCGAGCGGCTGCGCGACAGGGACCTGGACCTGTTCGTCGATATGGTTGAGACTGAATCTGAATCTGAAGTTCGTCGTGGGGAGTCTGGTGTCGACGACCGAGGTCCCTCGGGCGGCACCACGAGTTTGGCCCGTCCGGCATTGATGTCAGCCAGCTGCTGATCCGCCACTCCCTTGCTAGATAGAGTCAGAGAAATAATACTTCAAGGAAGTAAATGGAGTATTTGCTACCTGTTAAGCAAATTGTTTGGCGTGTCGCTCGCGAGCTTTGGCACTAATTTCGGGTTCGACAGCTGCTGTGTCCTCGACGGTCTTGAGGCATATGGTCGTTCTTGTACGCTTGCTTTGCACTCGTAACTGTAATGGCGTGCGAGGCCAGTCAGTGAAATGCCATGGCACGGCAGGTGACAGACTCATCTTTCTTTAGACATTTCTGGCAGACAGTGTTGGTGCTGGCCCTTTGTGGCCTCAGGCCAGGAAGTGTACGATATCGGTTCATCAGAGGTAGGCCACTTAGAATCGACAAACCCAAAACTGGGCTGCAGTCTGAAAAGAAACAGTCAAGGCGCTCCGTCAATAGCAGACGCTGCGCCAGCGACAGTATTCTTTTGTTAGAAGTTATTTGAATACACAAGAGCCGATGTATGGGTTCCTGTTGATGCAGAAGGTGTTTGCGATGGATGTGGATATACTGCTGCCTCGGGGCGATGCGTACCCAGCGATGTAAGCACCAAAGAGCTACGACGCAAGGCGAGACCCGGCTACTGCAAGTCAAAAAGCTGAATGGAAGAAGATGGGTCTGGGACAGGCAGCGGCAATCTGGTGGCTCCTCGAGGCAAGAGGGAACGAAAGTCATGAGAGCAGAGCCACCAAAGTCGGGCTCGTGCATGATGGGCGCCCCGACTTCTCGCGGGCACGTGCGGGTTGTCGAGAAGGGCAAACTTCGCTTACCGGCACTGCAAATACTTTGATCCGCCGCCTTGGCATTTCACATCACGGCCTTGCGAACCATGTCTTTGAACGACAACTGATCTCGCTCTGCTGCCGTCGACCTGTCTTCTTCCGGCGGTGATAGTATGCCAGTCATTCCCGTTGGCCGTGGCACCATGGTTTGACTCCTTCTATCACATTTGCTCTCCTAGCCCTCCACACTCCCAACCATCAACATCTCCACGACCTGAAGCAGCCCTAAAAACACTAAACCCCCCAATACTGTAATCGAGCTGGGCAAGACAGAGTAGCCTGCTCTGGATTCACTACCCAATATCCCTCCAGCCCATTCACCTCTCGAACCGTGGTGACTTTCCTCCAAAGCTGTACCATCCAGAGGGTGGAGAAAGCCTCAACAGGGCTCCGCCGCGACTTTCCCTGGTCGTCACATCTGGACGACACCAACCGAACCACGCGCACGCACGTCGAAAGCACAGAAGATCTCCTTGCTGAATCCATGGAGCCTTTCAGGTTGTGTTATGCAGGCTCGTGTGGTGAGCAACAATCTGTGTGAGACAGCGGAAGGAACAATTGACCCAGCGTTCTTCGCTCGGACAACCCACATTCATTCTCAACCTCAATCCTCGGGTTGGTAGCTCCAGCATCGCGCTGCGCGGATACGACGTGACGAGTTCCCTTTGGGCATTATGGCGTCTCCCCAGGTTGGTTCGGCGCCTGCCAAGTTGTCGTTTGCAAAGGTTCGCTGCGCATCGTCATGTCGAATGACTCCCGCTAATGCTTGCTAGGTGGCCGCTATGCGCGCTCCCACACTTCCTGCATCGACTCCTAATCTTCCAGACGAAAAGAAGGCCCGCCCCACCAAGAGCAACAACTCGAAGCCTGTTCAGAGCAATGGCTTCAAAGCTCCCCCAATGTCACCAAGAAAACCTAATTCGCAGCCGAAGAACATCGGAGAGCGCAGTCAGCCAGACTATGTGGCAACCGCAATTGAAGGTCTCTCATTGGTCAAGGACGCAGACATTGCCTCAAGTGGCCTACAAAGTGCAGGGAGCGGTGAATCTCTTGGAGATGATCAGTCACATCTCTCGACCTCTTCCATGAAACAACAAAGCTTTGATACCAAAAGCATGGCTTCTGTCACTACCTTCGCAATGGATGAGAAGGAGAGCATTCGCCCGGATGACAGCGCCAGTGTCAGAGCTGTAGAAGACGATGAAACGTCGAGCGTCCCACACAAAGAGGATACATCAGCATTGAATGCACGCCAATCCCTGCGGCTGAGCACGTCTGGGGTGACAATCGCTACACGCCGTTACCACACGTTAACCCTGACCAATCCGCCACGGTTTGGAGATCTGCCAGCCCCAATCGTACAGGCTGAGCAGCCCGAGCCTGCACCTCCTTCAGAAGGCTCGAGCGAACAGCACTCCGATCCCCACGAAAGAGCCCCATCGCTTCCAATTGCTCCCGATGAGAAGTTGCTCGATGCTTTGGCCTCAGCCAAGGATCGTCTGCCTTTGCTGCAACTCGAGGAGAAGTTTTTGGCATTGATTGCGAACCCATCGTAAGTTGTTCCATTTGCCATCGAATGCCGCTAACGCGTGACAGGACACAATTTCTCGACTTGCCCCCCCAAAACTCCTTTGCCAGACTGCTTGCACACAAATTGGCCGATTATTACTCGCTTGCCCACCACATCAACGAGGATGGCACCTCCATACGCGTCTTCCGGACGCCCAATCCCGCTCTGTAGGTAGACCCGCAATCTTCCCAACGACATGTTACTGATTCGTTTCTAGGCCGACTTCATTGCATGTCCTCGCAATGTCCATCCCTGCCGGGCCGCTACAACCTCCTTCAGCTGCCACATTTAAGATCATGCGTAGAGCTGGACTTGGCACACGACAAGGTTCTGCCGGCGCCAGTACTCCAGCAAGCTCTTCCGCCCCTTCCAAAGCCACCTCAGAAGCCGGCTTGGAAACAACCAGCGAGGAAGGCATCGTGTCCCCAACTGAGGGGACCCCGAACAAGGACAAGTCGAAGCTCACTCGAGAAGAGCGTGAAGCGCAGTACAAAGCAGCAAGAGAGCGCATCTTTGGCGACTTCCAGGAGTCGGTAACGAGCGAGAGTGCTTCGACTGGCGAGAATTCGGCGAGTATGTCACGGTCAAGCTCATCTAGCGGAAAGAGAAAGGCTCGAAAACAGAAGACGCCAAAAGACGACAGCTTCGAAGCCCGCTCCGCATATGTCCCTAGTTATGCTCCCATGCATATGGCGAACATGCAGTCTCAATACCAGACTCACTATTCGGATCAGGCATATCAAGGAGCCTACCAGAACCCGACCAATGGCTATGGCGGAAACATGAACTTTGGGACGACTCCGACTCAAGCTTACCCCGGCTTTGACCAGACCATGCCTTACAACAACGCACCCGTGGGCTACGGAGCCGCCAGTACCCACTCATTTAGTCCTGCGGAATCTTGGTCATCAATGCAGACGCCTCCTGCCAATGGGTATTACAACTACTCAGCCTCTCCGACCAACTACCAACAGGGTATGCCGCCCATGCTGAATCAGATGAACAGCCAGTACTTGCAACAGACACATCCAGGGATGCAACAACCACAGAATTGGATGAACAACCCATATCAAGCTCCTTATCCGCAGTCCCAAGCCCAAGGGAACCCCAACGTCAATGGTTGGTCTGGTTATCAGCCCAATCAAGGCATGAATAACCCAGTGCCATATGGCTACGGCCAGATGCCAAGTCAGAACTTCGGCGGCAATGCCAATCAGCCGTACAATGCTCAGTACGCAAACCAAGGCACATACTCTAGATCGCTTTTCAATCCCCAGACGCGCTCCTTTGTCCCAAGCAATGCCACGAGCCGTAACGGTGGACGCCATGGACGGAAGAAGCCCTCGCCCGCCTCAAGCCAGACCCAGAGTCGAAACAATAGCGTTGTCGCTGCCTCAAGATCGTACGGCTCTGAAAATTCTGGGACACCACCGCCACCATCGACTCGTGGGTTTGAACGTGGACTCGCCGCTAATGTATCCTCACCTCAACAGCGAATTCCAGTTAAGGAAGATTCTCTCCAACAGAAGTACGGGGCGCCTGCACACTTGCCTAAGAAGCCTCCTCCGTCGCAGGTACTGTCGTCGTATGATGTGGAGAATATCAATAATGCTGCGGTCGCCACGAGCTCATTAACTCCGAATCCGCAAACTGCTGCTATCCCATCTGGAACGAGAGGCATTGGCACTAATAACGTGTCTAGTCCGGGTTTGGAGCAAGCTAATGGACCATCTGCATGAGGCATAGGGGTTAGGAAGTCTCAAAAGGGTTGGCACGAAAGGCGGGCGCAACGAATGATTGCATTTGCATACGCGTTAGGACGGGCCATTCAAAAATCGGCGAGGGTATTGAATCTGAAGGGGCTTGGACTACCTAAGTAAGGAGGTATCATGCGTCCATGGGGGGCGACCTTTTCAGCAGGGAGGCACAATGCCTCGGGCAGCGGGACAAGAAAGTCCTTCCACAGAATACCCATTGACCTCCAACTATTGTTTTCAAAAAATCCGAGTAGTCGTGGTCAACCCCCATGATTTCGAGAGTCCCTGCAACGATGGCACTTCCAGCACACCTCACCCAGTCCTGATTGGCCGTGCGTTGACCATTCCCCTCTCCTCGAGCTTTGAAATCAGAAAGACACCGCTACAGAAATGGTGACCCTACCGAGGTAAGATCGCTCCACGAGGATATTGTGGCAAGCTTGACCGCGGCAGCATTAAGGACCTCTACCCCGTCGCCGTGCGTACGGCATAGACACGTTCCCTTCTCTCTGTAGGCGCCTGATCTCCTGCCACCAGTGACTAGCACGACGAGAGACCGCAATCCCCTCCGTACCGGATTACTTCAGCTCCGCTCTATACGGTACTTCAAACACCATCCCTCAGCCGCGTCTTCCCGGCCAAGCTGTACCAGACCATTTATCAACCATGGTGCCGAACAAATCGCTGATCTTCAGCGCCGTGCCCACCCACGCGCCCATTCCAGGCGAGCACATCACGCTCGAGGACCGGCCGTTCGACCTCTCCGCGCGCCCTCCTCAGCACGGCATCACGGGCAGAACCCTCTGGATCAGCCTGGACCCGTACATGCGCGGGCGCATGCGCCCGGCCTCGACGGCATCGTACTCGCCGGCCTACACGCTGGGCGCACCCCTCACGGCGTACGCGCTAGTGCAAGTCCTCAGTTCTGACACGGACATATTCCACCCGGGGGACATCGTCTACGGCCAGTTCCCCGTGGCCGAGTACAGCGCCATCACGCGCGAGATGCTCGACCGCCCCGTCGTGCGGAAAGTGTATGCGCTCGAGGGACTGCCCGCGCCGCTCGCGCCGTTGAGCCCCTGGCTGAGCGTGCTGGGGTCGACGGGCCTCACGGCCTACGCGAGCCTCTATAAGATCGGGGTGCCCAAACGGGGGGAGACCATCTTTGTGAGTTCCGCGGCTGGGGCGGTCGGGTTGTTCGTCGGGCAGATCGCCCGCATCGAGGGCCTTACTGTCATTGGGAGCGTTGGGGATGATGAGAAGTTGCGGTTCATCAGGGAGAGCGGTGGCTTTCATGACGGGTTTAACTATAAGAAGGAGAGGACCGCGGAGGCTTTGAAGCGTCTGGCTCCTAGTGGGGTGGATATCTACTATGATAATGTGGGCGGAGAGCAGCTTGAAGCGGCGCTCGAGGCGATGAACGAGTTTGGCAGGATTGGTAGGTTCTGTCGTTCAGCGCGGTATCATGTGTTTCTGGTTTTTTGATTTCCTTTATCTCTCTTCTGCCTTCTTGACTTATACGGTGGGCTGAATTGCTGGCTTGCTGGCTTGCTGGCTTGCTGGATCGCTGATTCACTGCGTCGCTGGGTTGTTGGGTCACTCGATCACTCGATCACTGGCCGAGTTGCTGAATTGCTACCTTCCTGATCCATCGGCTGACTGGATGTGCGTGCATAGTCGTGTGCGGCATGATATCGCAGTACAATAAGCCGGCGGCCGAGCAATATGCCGTCCGGGGCCTCACGAATGTCCTCTCCAAACGACTCAAGATCCAGGGGTTCGTCGTTACGGATCCGGAGTTTTTCAAGTACAGGGAGGAAAGGGACGAGAAGATGATCCAGGTGAGACCCAACACTCTTACAGCAGGCAGCAGTCTGTACAGTATCTATGCCTCTGTCGGTGCTCTGCTGATGGGTCCCCTCTTCCGTAGTGGCTCAAGGAAGGCAAGTTGAAAAACATCGAACACGTTACTGAAGGGATCGAGAACGCTGCAGAGGCTTTTGTCGCTATGCTGGAAGGGAGCAAGGCGTTTGGGAAGGCTCTTTTGAAAGTGGCAGATCCGGAATGATGCTTGCACAGTACACTGTGCGCCTCTCAGCCATGAACGCCGTGGGGCGGGGAGTCTCGCGATGAAGCATATTTATCAGGCAAATACGGAAAGTCCAAAATCAGGAGGGAAACCCTTCAAGCTTCGATGTGTGGTTCGGCGGTCAAGACGTACTTGTCGGAGAATGAGGCAGGTCGGTATCAGGTGGGAAAACGATTCAAAGTTCGATCTGTGGTGTCTTCAGGGCCACACGACACGTAGCAAGCTATTACCGCTACGGCCAGTACTCGGGCTGTAGGATCCTCGCGGCAACGCCGAATTGCTGGATCCATTCTGATGAAGTCAAGGAGGGGCCTCCAAATCAATATATCACATAGAAACCCTCGTAGCAATGTCCGCACCAGCCGCAGTCTTTATCACACAAGGCCCAGTCCAAATTGTCTGAGAAAGAGTGGGAGAAAGGATCGTGACGCGACAGTGGGCCTGCACCACCACTATTCTGTCCCGACACTGATCTCTGCTTTTGCTTCTTTTTCTTCTTCTGCTTTCGAGGTTCAGGGACATATCCTTCCTTGACAAAAGTAACCGGCCGATGGCGAAGCATCTGGTCCGTCACCTTGTAACATGTGAGTGGAGCATCATAAATGGGTGGCAATCTCACTTACCTCGCTTGCTTGGGCAGAGCTTTCGCATGGGTCAACTGCCAAGGACAATGTGTGTAAGCGAGCCATGATGCTGAAGCTGCTGTTGATTTCCATGTTTCTCACTGCCGGCCTAGCTGGTTTTCTCTGATGGGAAGCTAGCTGAGGCTTCAGGGTACTTTTGTTCCTGGGTCTCTTGACTTCTGGTTGGTCCAAGGTGGCGTTCGCCTCTCCGGGTCCATCGGTTGCGATATTCAGAGCGTTCCCATGTATAGGGAGTCGAGCTAGTCCTCTTTCTTTTCCTCTGGCATGTGGGTCATACTCGGGCTGTCTCGACTGCCTAAGTCCCTTCTCAGTTTCTGACTGGACTTGACCCCATGCTTGCTTTGACAGCTTTTGGCGGTACGCCCGATACAACAAGGGAAGATGCACGACGTCTCCTGTAGCATAAAGCAGCAAGTTTGCCAGCAGAGGCCGTTTGTGGAGGGGCAAATCGTCCAGGCCAGCCTCTCGGGATGAATGGTCAACTTCTCCTTTTACTTGTGCCCATTGTCGGAATTGATCAGAATTTAGTCCACCGTCACGTTGAATGCAACGTTTGAGGCTTCTCAGGCTCAGACCTGTGCGCCCTCCACGGAAGAACTCCATCAGTTGGAGGTCGACCACACCGTCAAGGATAATCTTGTAGTGACTGAACAAGGCATCTGAGTCGTTGCGCACATCGAAGAAAACTTTCGACACAGACGGGGATTGCAACAAGACTCTGAGGGAGTTGCCTCCAAATGAAGTATCGAATGCTGCATGTTTCAAGGTGAAGACGTCGACAATGAATGTTTCCCACAGTGGGAGGACGTGGATTTCGAGGAGGTCAAGCGTACCGGACCGTCCCAGCTTGTGCCCCTCTGTGTTGACGTAAAACGATGGGGGGGTCATTGGGAAGAGCGTGGATTTCACTGAGAAAGCATCGTAGGGCGTCTTTTGTGTCGATGAAGTAGGAAGCCATACTGGGCCGCTTACCCACCAAATGAACGACCCGGTCAGAGGGGTGTCAGCTGTCAGGATCTGAGCTGAAATCTTTCAGGAGCACAATGACGGGCATCTAGAAGGAAAGATAAGGTCACATAAGCACGAAGAAGAGGAGCTTGCAGGAGTCTGGGTCTGGCATCAGGCCAGGGCGCGAGGGGTGCTCTGTGTAACAAGCCAGGGGTCTCTGTTCGCCCTGTCAAGATACCTGGAGGGGAGCAGTCTGAGCCTCCCAGGCTGATGCATCTGCAATCGACAGGCTCCTGGCGACGGACCCTACCTAGCATCAATGAACAATGAGGTGTGGCGCTTAACCATTGGTTCTTGCACGGCTCTCTCTCATGTGCTGAAAGCGATGAAGCTGATGAGGCGCTGGAGTGGCGGTGGCCGTGGCGCAGACAGTACGTAGAAGCAAAACTTTACGAGGTGCAGGACATGATTGTGCCTGCGGGCCTGCTATCGTTGTCCCCCAGCTACTCATACGTACATACGTAACATAGCTTCAACTGCACCTGCCATTTGCTCAAGCTGCCGATCAGCCTTGCATTCTATCTTTGAGAACTAACCTTCCCAGCTCCCCGATACTTTGTTGTCGTCCCAAAGAGCTACAATCAGCGGCAAATCATTGAACCGAGCCCAATTCGGAGGCAGACACCTATTCGGAGGACATCGTGTTCGTCACTGCTACAACTCCGCTCCTACAGACTGCGCCAACCAGCCCGGCTTCTCGTGGTCGAGCTTCGATTTGAGAACATCCGGCTAGGAACCTTTACCTCGACTGCCTGCAACCACTAGATCAACCGCTATCATGTCGTCCCAAGCCCTCTCGGACGACCAGGTAGGACTACAGCTCTGGCCATCTCCGGGGAGATCCTCTAACAATGGTCTAATAGGTCGTCAACGAGCTCAAGAAGATGACCGCCTTCATCCGGCAAGAAGCCCTGGAAAAGGCCCGCGAAATCCAACTCAAGGCCGACGAAGAATTCGCGATCGAGAAGTCCAAGCTCGTGCGCGAGGAAATCGCCGCCATAGATTCGCAGTATGAGAAGAAGTTCAAACAAGCGAGCATGAGCCAACAAATCACGCGGTCGACCATGGCGAACAAGACGAGAATAAAGGTCCTGAGTGCAAGGCAGGAGCTGTTGGATAAGTTGTTCGAGGAGGCCAGGAAGAAGCTTGCCGACACGGGGAGTAAGAGCAAGGACTACGAAGAGGTGTTGAAGGGCTTGATGCTCGAGGCGATGTATCTGTTGGCCGAGAAGAAGGTGAGCGTGAGGTGCCGGAAGGCGGACAAGGACAAAGTGCAGAGTGCGGCGAAGAAGGCGAGTGAGGAATACAAGAAGCACATGGGTAGTGAGAGTGAGGTCGTGGTGGATGAGAAGGATTGGTTACCCGAGGATTCGTACGTCCATCTCCTCCACGAGCAGGAAGCTACGGTACTGACATGCATGGACAGAGCGGGAGGCGTCTTCGTCCTTGGCAGCAATGGCAAGATCGAGTTGAACAACACCTTCGAAGAGAGACTGCATATGCTGGAGTCTGATGCTCTTCCTAGCATCAGACTCACGTTATTTGGCGAGAACCAGAACAGGAAGTTCAAGGATTAGGCGCGGAGACTGAGTCCGGCGTAAGGATGTCAGAGTGTCCCAGTCAATGAGGTCCGCTATCCTTTGCGGCGGCCGTATGAAACGGTCAAGGGCAACGGGAAGCAGTAATAGATCGTACTGACACCAGCTCTGTTTGCTAGAAGGGATGAGGTCTCTTCGGTGGACTGTTACCAATGCTATAACTGTTGCAAGCAAATTGAACTCTTGGGTGCAGTACAAGGTTATCGGCCGCCTGATTGGGAGCTCAAAAAATACAACACAAATGCCACCAGACACCATGCTCAGAAAACAGACCGAACGGCAATTCCCAGCAGACCTATCCATCCACATCATGAGAAGAGAGCAGCCCACACAAGAGTCCAATCAACGACGTTCAGCCGTCGAGATTCAACTGCCTGCGAATCTGCTTCTCCGTCTCCGAAGTCCCACTCGATGACGTGGAATTCACCGACTTCTCGTCGTTAGCAACAAGCGTGCCACCGTCATCATCTCGTCCCTTCTCTGCCTTCTTATCCTTCACCCGTCCCAAAAACCGTTTCATGAAATCCTTTCCCTGCTCCTCACTCCTGACCTCCGCCGCCTCCCTCATTTTCGTGCCGTCGAAGATATGCCGTTTCGGGCGCACCTCCGTCCTCACACAGAAGAGTAACCTTGTCTGCAAGGCTCTAAGATCGTCTTTGGCTTCTGTCCTCGTCATGTGCGAGGCCCCTGGATCATTTATAGCTACTTCGATCGTTTTGACCGCGTCGGCGAGGCGATCGACGGATTTGTTGAAGGCCTGTTCATCGGCACGGCTGGTGAAAGAAGCTGGGAGGCCGCCGTCACAGATGGCGACATCCAAGAGATGAGTGCGAGCGCGCAGAGCGATATAATCAATTGTGCTGCCTCCTTTTCTTCGTTTCGTGTCGAAGTCAGGTGATGTGGAGATGTGGTTGGTCAGAATGTCGAGGGAGACGTTGGGGGAGACCAAGGTCGACTTTTTGAGGACAGACGAGCCGAGAAGGAAGACTTGGCTGAGGAGGACGCGTACTTTGCATGCTAAAGGGGAGGTCGGCGGAATGTGGGATAGGAGGTGAGCCTGCAGGGTTGGATCTTTGAGATACTTGCCCACGTCGGCTAGCATACGCTCGGCGACATGGGTACGCATTTCGACATCGGGAAGAGCTAGAAGAAGGCCCAGCAGGTCCTCGACTCTGGCGCTGATACACCCGTCGCTCATGACTTCCGCGTCAATGACGAGCCGACAGAGCACAGAAGTTAGTTTGCTTAGAGCCTGGAAATCCATGTCCTGGCAGATCGCTTGGAAGAGGTCCAAGACTGCGAGCAGATACTTGGGATTCCGCCTGGCCGGCGCTTTAAGCAGTCGATGCCTGGGCTTGATCTCGACAGAATCTTTAAGGCTGTTGGTATCGGCGCCCATGGTTTGAAAGACACTCTGGACGTCCCGGGCTGAGACGTGATTTCTCGTCCACGTTGAACTTGCGCTCCGTAGGCAATCAATGTATGCTTGTCGGAGTTCGTCCGACCGCTCGAGTACGACATTCTCCAAAGTCCAGTTTAGGACTTGGTCTTTCACGCCGCGGCGCGTCGCTAAGTCGGCCATGTAGCCGGACAGGTATGCCCTTGATCTGGCCTCATTATCTCCTTTCTTCCATAGATCGTCGGGAATGGCATCTTCGGGGAAGGGGTGGTCAGAAGGCTCTTCGTCGTGCCAGTCGTTTAACGCGTTCACCCCGCAGAACAAGAAGACTTGCTGCGACGTCAGGGCTTCGGTGCGGTCAACGGCGTCCATCAGTCTCGCGACCCCGTGCTCGCCATCCTCCGTCGTTGCAACAGCAGCCAAAAGCTTCTTGTCCACATCCGGAGCGTTGGCTGCTTCTTGCCCCTTGGCCGCCTCCTCAACATCTGCTCTGGCTTTCCGCACGTTACTCTCCACCTCCTCGTCTTCGAAATGGTCGTCTAACAGGCTGGCCATGTTGAACGCGAAGGCTTTCTCTTTGGCGCGCAATTCCCGGATCTTGTCTTTGCCCACCAACGGGCCCTGCTTGCGCGACGTTCCCAGAAACAGACCCAACGTCCTTACACGTTCCGCCTCAAGCGCAGCCTGATCATCGTCAGGTGAGGACGAGAATGGAGCACTGTGGCCGGTCTTCTTGCTGACAAAGAAATCCTCCAGCGACTCGAGCGAGTCTGTATCGTCCTCATCCGAGTCAAGCACTTCTATTACCTCGCCATCCTTGAGTACCGCTTGCGCCGAACTTGGTAGGTCGGCGAACGAGAAGGACTTTGGTTGCGGTTGTTTCGGAGTGGCGTCATTCCAAGTGGGTGAACTGAAGATCGAGGCTTGTTTGTAGACCGATGCTGGAGCTATAGGCGTCTTTGCGTGGGAGGTTTTACTCCGGATGGAAAGCGAGGTTCTAGAGCCAGGTGCCGAGAATGGTGATCGCGCAGAGGATCCCGGTGGCTTCACGCGATCGTTGTTGATATTTTGTTTGTCCTTCGCCTTGGGCGTCCTTGTGTGTGCTTCATCCTTGCGTGAGGTCCCGGCCCCTTCTGACTCTTCGAGCGACGGCGATGATCTTTTTGCTGGCACAGTGCTTTTGAGGTAGGGTTCAAAGAACTCATGTATCGTCTTCTTGGGCTTCTTCGCCGGTTGCGAAGAAGACATGAGAGCCGCTAACCTGACATATCAGATTGAGCACGCGGATATCTCTTCAGAAGGTGGGCTGCAAGTCAAGCACAAATTGATGTTGTTAGGCTGAGGTCATTGGCAGGCGACAGGCGATTGAGGCTCGTCTAATACACGCGCTTCAAAACTGCCCGCAAATGTGACGCGTTGGCGAGCGGAGGCCATCGAAGAGCGCCTAACAGGAGCTACACAGTAGTCTAGAACACGCCGAAGCCTTGCGACAGCCTTGCCCCGCATGGAGCTTACTATTCACCATTTGCCTGCTATCTGACACAAAGAAACCGCCGCAAGTGCTCGCATGGCTATATCCAATGCACAGGGCAGTGCGCATCTACTTTCAAGTGCGGCGTGTTCAAGTCCATAAAGGCTAAGTGAGCCCCGCTATGCCAGTCTCGTGGTGACCATGATGTTCGAGGCAATATCATTGGCCGTCCCCTGGGAATAAATAACACAACCATTTACAGAGTACTAACACAAGCAGACCAACCAGGTAGCCAGAAACTGCCAATAGCGAACATGGCAAATCTATTCATGCCCTTCGCTAGGAACACCAACCGAATCATCTCCTGCTGACTCACATCCTTCCATATTGCGATCACCATCACAATAGCACTAATAGAGCCACCTCTCCGGAACGTAGACACAGGAACGTGACAATGCCAACGTCAACATACCCCGACCGCTTCTTGGAGCCCAGATCGACTGAGACACCAGGACAGACTGGAGTTTCTAGTGTCATCTTCTGCTATGGTTACTGCCGCCCCAAACCGTATACTTGACCGTTGACAGCAGGTAGCGATGTAGATGAAACGACCCACCTGGTTTTGCGTCGAGCTCCACCTTCTTCCCGAGCACGTGGAGGCAGGAACGGTGTTTTGAAAGGTACAAACGAGGGTTCGCGTCCATTTGCCAATGCACCTCAGGGATCTCAACAGTCTTGCTTGGCCCTCGTTAGCAACGCTTTCGGGGAGTTGAGGTCTGTCCGATATCAAAGACGAACTGAGCATTCATCCCATGAGTCCAGCACAGCAGATACAGAATCGGTTTGGATTTCTTTACCACCAACAAGAAGCCCAGAAGAGCATCTTAAGAACAGCAGCGTCTCAACGAGAGTGATGAGATCCTGCGTAGAACTGTGATGGAGATAGGTAGGGGCTTCAGGAGAAAACCTAGCTGGAAATTGCCCTTGGATGGGTGCCATAGCTGCTGCTTCAACGAAGACAGCCGTATTTCGTGTGACGGCATCGTCACAGCCCACAACGTTAGCCTTCCTGAATTGTGCGAATCGCCCTTCCGCTGAGGGAGGGGTCAGGAAACCTTTCGAAGCTTGTATCCGCCCACTCTTGTAGTGCGTGAAATATATGTCGATATGGGCTTGAGATCAACAAGCTGTTGCTGCACCTAGCGGAACAGCTTGCCATCCCATGCTGTGCGAGGGAGCTAATTTTCGAGGCATTTTGGTTTAATTCTTAGCGATGGATGATAACAGTCAATGCTAAGCTTGAGGGTGAGTACTCGGGCGTGTGAACAGGAGTACCAAAAGCAAGGAATTCAAAGTGTGGTCAAATCGAAGAAAAATCCAGCAAGTCCAATAAGCGAAATGCCATTCCGCGTGGAAATGCCCGGATAATGGTCTACCGTAGAAGTTACTACTGTGGGTCATTGCACACTTATATTGCACACGTCCAACACGTTCCTCCAGCTCTGCGCATCGAACATTATGGCCGTATCGTCCTGGAGAAACTGAAGAGATCTTTCGACCACTCGTTGATCACGGCGTCCTTGACTCACGGAACCATATCTCAGTCGGACCCTGTACCAGTCATGTTAGCATAAGCACACCACACCTCGACCCTCCGAAAATTAGCGGATACAAAACGCCGCCAGTACATGAAGACAAAGCAGACGGCCCAGCCAGGAGAGTTAGAGATCCACACTCGTCCTCCATATCCATAAACTACGCACACCATGTCAACCCTCAAATACCGGCACCTGGGCCGGGACTCGGCCCACCGACGTGCCCTCCTCCGCAACCTCGTCACCTCGCTCATCGCCAACGAATCCATCTCCACAACCTGGCCCAAAGCCAAAGAGGCGCAACGGCTGGCCGAAAAGCTCATCACACTCGGCAAGAAAAACACCGGCGCGTCCCGGGAACGCGCGAAGACGATATTCTTCGAGCCCGAACGGGAAGGACATATGGATAAATTGTTTGGGGAACTCAGAGAACGATATGCCGATCGGCCGGGCGGCTATACCAGAGTATTGCGGCAGGAAGCGATAAGGGACGATGGCGGGTCCAGTGCGATTTTGAGTCTGGTGGATGGACCTCGGGACATGCGGTTCAGTATGACTGCGAAGGCGATCGTGAGGCAGCGGAAGGAGAGTCTGGAATTGAACGAGGTGATGCTGGCGAATATGCGGAAGGTCACGCGGTTCAGGATTGGTGGCGAGCAAGCTCTGGATGAGGAGGTGCAACGGCTGGAGAGGGATTTGAACCAGCGCGAGGAGAAGGAGAAGAGCGATTTTGAAGAGGATGGCACAATGTATGAGTGGGCTAGGGGTGAAAAGTCCCGGCCAAGCGGGATCAAGAGCAAGGAGAAGAAAGGACCGGGTCGTCTGAGGAGACAGAGAGTGGGTGAGGACAAGGAGGTGCCCTGATGAGGGATAGGGTTGGGACACTTGTATCACCAGATCCAAGAGGGAAACTTGGGTGCCTGCTACTGCATAGCGCTGGAGGTTGCTGGTCAGTCACAATTCATATTGTACAGTCGATTTCAGGATTGTAAAAAAGGAATCACATGGAGAGCATCCGCGGTACAAGTCTTATGCGGATCTCTTGGGTATCGTGGTCTACATCTGGTACAAATCTTCAGTCGTCGTGATCAAAACATCCATCAGCTCCCAGCTCCGAGGCTACACCGCCAACTGTTACTGCTCTCTTGGGTCATAGCTCCACGTCTTCTTCATCATATTGATCCCTCACCACCCTGTAGAGGTAATGTGTGCTCACCACAGCAGGTACCTGGTTCGTGACAAACAGGTCAATATCTGCAGCCTCGACAAAGTCATATAGGGCATTTCTGGCGCTGGTGTCTAGTCCCCTTCGCATTTCACCGTCTTGAAGAGGCACCACTCTTCCAGCATCGCCGTACTCGATTAGTTGAAAAGCGTCGTAAGGATATACTGGGGACAGTTTGTATGTGGCAGCCAACACAATGACGGGCTTTCGATAAAACTTGGCTGCTTTCACGACAGACTTGCTTCCGGCAGCAGCGACTATCGATCCATCCTCCAGCACGGCGTGGGCGTCTAGTATCACTTTGCTTGCGCGAGACATGGCCGCGAATATGGCTGAATCGGATATCATGACCACAGTGATACCGGCTGAGGTCAGAGTCTTGGAGAATGTGTCATTCGGCAGATTGTCGTCATCCTCTGCAATCACATCCTGGTTGCCCGTGAGCAAGGCATGTGTTTGCTGGTGATTGTTCGGGTATGCTTCGGCGTGGATGACGGTAAATTTCCGCTTCGACGCACCTCTGAGCAAGAATCTTTGCACGGTCAGGGATGAAGAATAGGTGAATATGCTTTCTTGCGGGTGGATTTGGTCGAGCGCAGCGGCAGAAATTTCGTCATCCGCGCCGTTGATTTCGTCGATGATTTCCTTGATGCCATGTATGACTTCAGGCCGAAGATTTGGTAAGAGACCTGATGCTCCTAGTTGCGGAGTACCGCTCCCGCTGCGGTTTGAGGGAGAGTCGAGGCCACCCAGATGCCTCATGGTCGGGTGGGCATTGATGCTGAACATGGACGTCACTGGGCGGGCGCCGGTCTCCGGCGCACCAGTGCGAGAGGTTAACAGGGGGGGTCGAGAGCTGCCGGGCCCACGCTGTGGAGATGGACTGGAAGACGACAGGCCGTTTGGCAGGGCATGAAATACGGAAGATCTCAAGTTCTGAGGTGTTTCTGAGGGTGTTTCGAGTGGGCTATTGTCGGTGGTCGAGACCCCGTCATCTCCTACCCTCTGGCCAGCAGCGTCTTCCTCGTCTTCCTCTCGTATTATGCTCAGCACCCGGCGGACGATGTTGCCAACGACTGGCTCATGCGGGGCGGCTTCGACCAACTGCTTGCCCACCTCCTTGACTCTTTGTATCAGTCTCTCCGAGTCGGCTTGCTTGGTCACTTCGACTGTCCGGAGTAGAAGAAGGGTGGTGACTACGGCGCATCGTTTTGACCCTTTGAGCTGGCGTCTTTTGAGCAATCTGGGCCGTTGATAAGCAGGAATGATGGACGAGTGTTGTATTCAGCACTTACGAAACTAGGTATGCTGTAGCGGATTCTAGAGGCTCTGTGGATAGGACTTTTTGAAAGCTGGCAAAGCCCGGCGTCGAGAGAGCCGTGGTCGGGGCCATAACGACAGCAGCCCTTCAGCAGCAGCAGTAGAATGAAGGATGTATCAGTCACCAGCTGGTGTTGGTTGGTGTGACTCTTGTCGCTGAAAGTCGTGGTGCAGAAGCTGTGGACGTCACCAGTCGCAAGCAGTTTCTTGTTCTGCGATCAAGCATGTAAGGCTCTATCGTCCATCCAAGGCCGCGTTCTGTGGGCTCATAGTCTGCAAAATGTGTGCGGATGTGCATTCATTGTTTTGTGACTCGCATGCTCCAAAATCGAGACGCGGAAGTGGGACCGCCGCTCCGCCATCCCGCATCTCATCCACACCCGAGTCTCGTTCCGATCAGCTGCACCAGCCAGCCACCTATTCACTTCCACTCTTTCACTTCTCGTCTTGCTCTCCTTGCGCCTACCCGGGCTTGACCTCTTCGACGTGGCTCTTGCCATATCTCTTTGGTGCCAGCGGTAGCCGCTGAGAATCATCCGGCAGTGACAGCGAACCCTCTCCTAAACTATGTGAGCATATCGTGTCATCTCTTCCGCTCCCTATCGCCTCCTCTCCGTCATCGCAAACCACGTATGCGAGCACACTAGTCATACAGTAGACCGCCGCTGCGACAACTGGATGCGCCGGTCATTAGCGACCTGCTTGTGGCCACCTTCTGGTCCGGGAGATGAACTCCCTCAACCTCATATCCTCCCGAGTTATCGGACAGTCATCATCACCTTCCCGTCCTCGGTCCAGGTCACAGGGAGACCATCTGAAGCAAGATGCCACAGACGACGAGTTTAGAGGGAGATCATATAGCGCCGAGCTCACCGCGCAGCTTAAGAAGGCGCCTCTGTTTTCCGAGAAGCTATCTACGGAACCATCAGCCGAGGAGGAGGATGAGAAACGACCTTTGCTAGCACATGCGCCAGAGACTCCATCAGGCTGGCCAACCTGGGTCAAGAGGCTGGCGGAAGCTATCACTGCCGTTCTGGCCGCAATCGGAGCTCCTGTCGTTTATATTGCGAAGTATTTCAGGGATCCGAACGGCACGTTCTCCATTGTCCCACGATGGGTACGTCCCGAAAGAGGGCCAACTGGTAGTACTGCACATGCCGTTGGCCTGAGCGGCCCTTCGCAGGAAGACACATGGGGTTCGGAAAAGCCTACACGGCCTACGAACCGCGTTCTGCAAGAGACAAAGCTGAGGCACTCGTACTCGAGCGACTCGCTGGAGACTACCACCTCCGATTCAGATGCTGAGCAACGCAAGGCTGAGCAAACTAAATCGCGCCCGAAGGCCAAGCGCGAGAAGGTACCACGTGAGGACTCTGAAACCAGAAGATCCTCCATCAGGATTAAGGAGCAGAATGACCCTGCCTTCAAGAGGCGGAAGCAGAAGAAGGGCACCAGCCCTCTGGCTGATTCCACTCCTCTAACTGTGGACAACATTAAGTCGCCAAGGTCACCTTCCCCTTCACTAAAAATGACAAGATATCCCCACGCTCCTCAACCACCACGACCCCTCATCCCTCGAAGACAACCCTCATATGCCAATGCCATTCCCAGAGTCCCGACCCGTTATGGACCTCCTTTACAGCAGAAGACGCTGATTTTGGATCTCGATGAGACTTTGATCCATTCTTTAGCCAAAGGTGGTCGCATGTCGTCAGGTCACATGGTCGAGGTCAAGCTCAACGCTCCGGTAGCGCTTTCTGCGCCTCAGCCAGGACAGGCAGCACCGGTACTTGGGCCTCAGCACCCTATCTTGTACTACGTGCATAAGCGGCCTCACTGCGACGAGTTTCTCCGCAAGGTTGCAAAATGGTATAAGTTAGTCGTCTTCACGGCTTCGGTGCAAGAGTATGCCGATCCTGTCATCGACTGGCTGGAGCAAGAGAGGAAGTATTTTGCAGGCAGGTACTATAGGCAGCATTGCACGTTCCGCAACGGCGCGTACATCAAAGATCTTAGCAGCATAGAGCCTGATTTGAGCAAGGCCATCATTCTGGACAACAGTCCCGTCAGTTACATTTTCCATGAAGGTAAGCACATCTGGTGGTCATTTGCAAGCACCGAAACTGACATGGACGGGCTCAGACAACGCAATCCCGATCGAAGGATGGATCAACGACCCTACGGATAACGATTTGCTTCACTTGATACCCATGTTAGAGGCCTTACAGTACGTCACTGATGTACGGGCGCTGCTGGCGCTACGGAGAGGAGAGGCAGAGACAGCCTCGTAGAATTTCGCCCGTGCATTGTTGGGGTGGAATGTGCATCGGCTGAAGAAGACCTTGTTTGATTCCTGTACAAAAGAAGCCTCACCATGCATTCCTTCTCCGTACGTGGTCCACCGTGCTGATATTGACAATGCGAGGAACTTGTGTGATATTGCCTAGCTCGGTGGTGGAAGTACGGACACAGCATACTCCGTACTGTGGGACGCTGACCTCACTGACCAATCCCAGCCGATCAGTGGACGGAATCAGCACGTACGAGTCCCGGCGAGTACCTCGTCCAACGGTGAGCGCGATATCACACGTAGATGACACCGATTCGCTGGTCGTAGGGCGCCTGCGGTCCGTCTGCCGTACAGTAACTGGGTCTGTTGTGCATTGATACTCCGTTAGCGGTGATGATGAGCGCAGGTCGAGTCACATTTCCCGCACCATTCTCCATGCTTCATGCTTCATGCACCCAAAAGTGACCATTCGCTCACTTCTTTTTGGGATCATTGTCTTCTATTATTGCCATTTTGCTTTTGTGCCATACAGCCAAGGGCTGTTCGTGCCTTCTTCCGTTGCTCTCGATTTCAGTCAATACGGCTCCAGCGTTATCTGTCAGCATTTTATTTCCATCGGCCCGGACAGCATTTGGTTCCGCTCTTGAAGTACGAGTACCAGGCACTTACTCTTCCTTCCTTTGGGACTCAGGCTTCAACCGAGTACGGTGGGATGGCGCATATTGGACCATGTCGATGAGCAACACACCCACTCCAGATGGCTCTGAACCAGGCACGCCTTCTTCGAGTGACAGCACCGTCGTAGCTTCTCCATCTAGCTGGAAGGAATCGCCTACACCGGTCGATGAATCGGGAGACCCGATTGTCAAGCACTCGTACCTCGACGTTCCTTCCTTTCGTCCTTCCATTGATAGCACAAATTCAGCACTCACCGAATTGTCGTTCCACTCGAATGAACTACATAGCCCGCACCCTCTGGTCCAGAGTCTATCCCACCATGGCGCTGCCTCAAACCAGAATCACCGGTCTACAACATCCCGCTTCCGGGCGGCCTGGGACTCGTTCATCGAGACGAACTACGGTGCAATTCTAGTCTTGGCTTCGCAGGGCTTTGGCACCGGAATGAATATTAGTACTCGACTGCTCGAAACACCTGGTTCCCATGGCGAACCCATGCACCCGTTTCAGATCCTCTTCGTGCGACAATCCTTCACCGCACTCATCTGCACAGTTTATGGCATGTCCACCAAGAGAATACCCGACTTCCCCTGGGGCCAACGCGGCGTCCGTCGGCTCCTTGTCTTCAGAGGTATCACCGGCTTCCTCGGAGTGTTCGGCCTATATTTCAGTCTACTGTATCTGCCGCTCAGTGAGGCGACGGTGCTGGGTTTCCTGACTCCAATCCTGACCTGTTATCTCTGCAGCTTTATCATCCCCGGTGAGACTTTCACCGGACAGCAGCAATTGGCGGGATTCGTCAGTCTCTTCGGTGTCTTCTTCATTGCTCGACCAGCGTCTCTATTTTCGCAGTCTACCTCGTCAACACAGCCTTCAGACGCGACAATGTCTCCGCCCCCATCGAACTCGACAGTGGCTGCTGACGGCCCTCATCACATTACTTCCGAGCAGCATCTAGCGGCGGTCGGTCTTGCGATGCTTGGGGTCGTTGGCGGCACTGGCGCCCTGACATCAATTCGTGTCATAGGGGAACGGGCCCATGCGTTCATCAGCATCAATTACTTCAGCTGGTGGTGCAGTATCGTGTCGCTCTTGTGCCTGCTTACCTTCAAAGATGTCAAGTTCCGGCTACCAGGAAATGGCATGGAGTGGGGCCTACTCGCCATGCTCGGCTGTTGTGGCTTCACCATGCAATTCCTACTCACCGCTGGCCTGGCATACGGCGGCCGCAAGAACGACCAACCACCAGGCAATAAAGTTGGGGATCTCGAAAGCGACGGGCCATCTCATCTCGGACACAGCGGTCGTAGGAGACCGAGAGCCAGAGCATCAGGTACTCGAGCCACAGCCATGTGCTATACGCAGATGCTCTTCGCGCTGGCTGCCGACAAGTTTATTTTCGGCATCAGCCCAGACACGATGAGCTGGATAGGCAGCGTACTGATCCTTGCTGGCGCCGTGTGGGTAGCTGCCGCGAAGGACACGGCTACGAAGGATAAGAAGAACCAGGCCGGCAAGGGCAACGTAAGTCACCATTCAGCTCTTGGATTGTTAAGAAGAAAAGAAACTTCGGGACCAGAGGCTAGTCATGAAGAGGTTGTAGGATTGATGAACGGTCACGATGACGGAAACAATGTTTATGACGGACGCAGTAACGAAGCAGCCGATGTTATTCGACGAGATGAACGACACGGGACAGGATTAGACGGTGTGGAGATGCATGAACTACGACCAACAATGAGCAGTGTGAGCTGATGGTCTCTCTAGCTATCTGCTGACAACGCTCGGAGAATATGCTGTGCTCAAATCAAAATTAGGTGTGGAAGTATACAGGTGCTACACATAGCAGAGGGGAACATGAACAGAGCACGAGGCAGGATATAGGAAGCGCCCGGGAAAGAGTACGCAGCACAGTATAGCGGAGTATACCTATACCTATACCTATACCTATCGCGCAGGGGACCACATTCATATTTCACACGTGTAGCTAGGGCTACTGCGGTTGGCATGGGCGCAGTGTTAGGGATCGAGTTGATCAAAAGGTGACGTTCACTGCTGCCCCAATGCCGCGCCGTACCCACCAACCCCGGTGAAGCACGAGCCGCTCTTGCGCGGTCCAGCGGAGCTCGACGTCAATGTACTGTAGCTCCTGCTTCCCTCTGGATAAAATGTCAGGATTAGAACCGCTTTCATATTTTTACCCCTAAGACACCCTCTTCGTCAAGCCGCAACTCCTCCTAAACCCTCTCTCCCTCTGCTGCCACCTACCTGAAAGACTCTCCACAGGCGACTCTCCACGATCGTCCATTGATTTCAACAAGGTTCTTTTCGACTGGGTCAAGGTAGCTCGAACAGCAACATAGTTGCTGAGGGCTACAACCACGCCGAACCCGTGAAGCTCTGCGCTCGCCCACAATGGGCTTTACAACCGGCTTCGTACGTCTCTTCTACCTGTCATCCTTACACCGTACGTCAGGCTAATGATCTGTACTTGTAGCTCGGTGGCGCAACTCTGACGTATTCGCTCCTCTACTTCGGTCTGTACGTCCACCGCGCCAACCGCAACGTCCAACGCACCCTGTTATCCCAACAATCTGCACTCCTTAACAGCGTGGTCGAGCCGTTACCGCCGCTCCCTGACCCACCCGCATATGAAGTCCGTCGCGCCGGACTAGCCGAACAGGTAAAAGACCGATGGAATCGCGAGGTCGAGAAACTGGTCAGGAACGTGCAACAGACGGACTGGACCGCCGCCAGAGAAGACGCGGAGCAGAGATTAGTGAGCCTCTGGCGGACCGTCAGGCAGAGTGAAACAGGGAGGGAGGTTGAGGAGAGAGCAAAGGAGCTAGGAGAGCAGGTCCGGACGGGTGTCCAGGAGACGGTCGCGGAGGGACGGGAGAAACTTAGGGAGACGGTCGACTCCGGGAAGGAGAAAGTCAAGGAGGCGGTAGACCTCGGTGGTCAGAAGGTGAAGGACGTGGTGGGCGCGGCACGCGAGACGGTGGAGGATCTCGGGAGTGTAGGGAAGGAAAAGGTCGAAGAGAAGACAACGGGACGACCGAAGAGACTGCTCGAAATTGGTTGAGCTTTCATCTCTCCTTCGGACACTTTGCACATGAAGAGAGAGCTCTCCGATCATCGTCTTCACCACCTTCAAAAAGCTCCAGTCCGTCGCTCTGGAAAGGAAACCTCGCCGCTACGATTAGGAACAACTTTTAAGGTCCAGTCTCCTTTCTCGGGAAAGTTCCCGAATGTCATGGCATCACCTGGGCTCTCTCTAAATCCAGCCGCGCTAGCTCCGGCGGGCATAAGAGCAACGCCAGGGAGCTTGCTCTCTTCACTCGAACACGAGGGTTGAGGTCCTGCTCAGTCGGGGGCCCTGTCGTCAGCGTCGACGATTACTTTCGATGGTCCTCTATCCACAGATTTCCCGCCGTATCATTGTGGATGCGATTGACGACGTCCTCGTGGTGGCATGGTGAGCTTTATGGGGCTGCTTGGTGCTGTGACTGCTCCTCCTCCGCATCGCCGTGGGACAATTCAGGATCTGGTGGCGAGTGCTACACATACGAGCCTCCTAGATCATCAGAATACGATGGACCGCTGCAACGACGACGTAACAGAGAGACCTCGGCACTTGAAAATGCCATGCAGCCAAAGCTGTCTAGCTTGCATGTGATGCGTCTATCGTTGCAAAGATCCAACGTCGTTTGTCCCTCTTGGTTCTGGGAAATGCCTTTGACAAGCTCTGCTCTCCGAGGCTTCCATTTGTGGGACAACGTGAATCGCCGCGCCTATGGTCCTTGGATTTGCTAACTCGATGGGCCACAACCATTGCGTTCTCTCTATCTCATAGTCGCCCATCTCGAGTTGCAAGAAGCGCCAATAACACCTTGCATACGCGAGTTCCCTCCGTCATGTCATACCATTTTCCGCCTTTCCTCCCATTTCGTGAAAATCGACCTCGTGGCAACCCTCTTGAAAGCCGTTTTGAAACATACGTACTTCGTCATCGTCGATAGGTCATTCTCATTCTCCAGCATTCACACATGCTGAGCAAAGTTCACGCCAAGCCACCTGTGGCAATTTCAGTGAGCAGTCGACGTCGGCGTCGGCGTCGGCGTCCCCGTTGTTGCTATCGTCGCCCCCAACTCATTCGCGCGCTGTAGACTCCTCTCCAGATCCTTCACCCGGGCCCTCAACGCCTCATTCTCCCTCTTCACCGCGTCGAGCTCCGCGCGCTGTAATGCCGCTTCTTCATACCTCGCTTGCGCGAGCGCCGCATTCGAGCTGGGACTCCGCGTCATGGCCGCATGCGGCGCGGGCGCACCTGAAGACGAGGAGGAGGCATCCACATTCACATTGGAGGAGGATACAGAGCTGCGGTGATGCGGGTACGCATATGCCCCGGCCCCGGCCCCCTGCGATATGTGCGGCGAGGACGTCATGGAGCTGCTGGAGCGGAAGCCGGACGCGGAGGTCGAGTTCTGCCTGCTCATGTCCGGTCGGGGCATGTCCATGCTCGGTCGGGCGCTCGCCTGCACGGACTGATCTCGCGGTGCTGCTACGCCGGAGACGCTCGTGTTGGCGGCATTGACCAGGCTTTCGCGGATGGAGCGCGCCGAGCGGGTCGAGAGGTTTGACGAGGAGCGGTGGCGGCGCGTCGCCGTCGGGATGATGGCGTTGCCGCTGGTGTTTGTGCTGTAGGGGTCCGCCGCGGCGGAGGAGAAGAAATGGTCGGACGTCGAGGATGTGGTGGATGCGACCGAGGCGGTTTGGGCTCGCAGGGCCGAGAGTTCGCGCGTCAGGCGATTGACCTGCACTCGGGGTCAGTTGCTTTTCCCGTTCCCGACAAGGGTCTCGTAAACCAGGCAAGGCAGGAAGGAAGGAGGCTCACAATGCTCTCTTGCTCCTTCTCCAGCTCCAAGTGTAGTTCCGCTGCTGTCAGAGGTCTAGGGTGACGGATGGGTCCTGTCTTGCAAAATCTTGACTCAACATCCCGCTCGCACTCTGCACTTAAAACATCGGCTCGAGGAACTGACCTGGCCCGATCCCGACGCCCGTGTTGTCCATCATTGCGGCCTGTGTTGGTCGGGGAGAGCTCGGCAGGCTCGTATTCTGGGGAAGAGGTGGAGGTAGCATCTGTGTCGACGTCCTTCTTGAGGCTGTCAAGGACGGCGGTCGAGGTGCCGCAGGTGTGAGTGCCTGTGGACTGGATACACCCTGCGGCGACTTGGGTACGGAGTTTACGTCTGGCATGTCTGGAGTCTAGGGCTAGAGATGTACAAGCACTGTTATCAACAGGACTTGTCAGCTGCCTTTTCTCGGCTCTGGGGTATTAGATGGTGAAGCAGGAGCGGCAGGGCACTGTCAAGTTTAGCTTGAAGTGACAACCCCCCGAGCGCAGGAAGGTTCAAAACACGTTCAAACCCTGCATAATGTTTGCCCACGACAAGCGAAATGAATGCATCAAAAGGGTTCGAGTTCCGTCCAGCAGTCCACACGTCAAGGATTGGATGCGGCCTCGCAAGCCAACACAGCAGATGCTGCTTTGAGCATTCAAGTGAAACATGCGGTCGCGATGCGCCGGGAGCCAATCATCTTCTAATCATGAGAGCAGCTCGAACAAGGCCGTCGATGTTCGATACCTGGGAAAAGAGCATTCAAAATGTGTGTAAACGAGCATGGGAACGTTCTTGGACATCAATCACGAATCTATAGACCTATCTCACACTTGCACCCTGCTTTCAAGCTGCCGCCGCCGGCTAATGAGGCGGTCAAGGAGCACTGCTCCCTCAGTCACCATGGCCCGACCGATACAGTAATTGACTGTGTCTTTCAGTGACGAGGTGATGTGGTCGTCTACCAACCTCCGTAAGTGCCGTAAAATGCGCCGCCCTCTATCATAAGCACCGTTAAACCAGTAATGCAGCCATATCGGCATAGCTCGATCCTACCGCAACCAGACATTTGGACCCGTGTGATCAGCATATCCGCCAGCCAACAGTGAAGCCAATCCTTTGGAAGTCCAGATATGGTAGAGTCCCCGTTCATAGATGTGACACTGTTGCAGATGCTTCGACAACAGGCTGTGCTTTTGTCTCTGCCGCACCTGTGTTATTCTGCTGCTTCGAATCAGCATTTGAGGACGCAGCACGACTCAAATCGTCAACACTAGAGTCCTCATCCGCTCTGAAGGGATTCTCATCCTCAGGGTCTTTCCGGATCTTGGGTGACTGATCGCGTGCAGCATTTTCAACATGAGCACTGTCGTTATCTTTCTCGTCCTCTCCGATCATAGCGGCAAGACTTCTGAAATTAAACATGGGCTCCAGACTCCCAGGCGGTGGGGTTCCTGTGCCCGGAAATGTTGCTGCTGGACCCGGCTCAGCGAACGAGGACGAAGTAGATGAAGCATTCGACATCTGTCGCAGATGGGAGCGCTTGAAGGGTTCCGCCGCCGTAGGTATCGGAATAGAACTGGCGACAGACTCCTGGCTGGCGGTTCCAGAAAGCGACAAGGCTGGAACGTAGAATGGCCGTGGCGGCTCGTCCTCGGGTTTTGTCCCGTCGACAGGCGGCGACTCGCTCCGTTCGACCCCTTTGCCTTTGCTAGTTGTGGACTCGTCGTCCTGGCCCAAGGAAAGGTTGCTTTGTGACCTCTCCATCTGACTGCTCGATGCATCTCCATTACTACCGTTGTAGTTCACGTTGAAAAGACTGTTCTTGCGAGCTGCTTTCTCGGCCTTCTTGCTCTCCTTGTCTTTCTTCTTCGCCTCTTTCTTGGCTTCTTTTTCTTCTTTCTTTCTACGCTCCTCTTCAGAGGCCAGACTCAACCTTATGGCTTCCATCATCATCATATCTTCTAGGTCGTCCATTCGACTTCGCCGAGAGCTACTACCTCGTGGAGGTGGCAGAAAGGCGCTAGCCCGGGTCTCACCAGCAGCATCTTGCTGGCGCTGTGCATGTCTTTCTGCTAGCATAGCAAGCGCATTCATACTTGCGCTGGGACCGTTTTCACCGCTTTCTAAAGTCGGTCGCCTTAGCACGCCACGGCGACTAAATGCGGCAAAGGCTCGAGAATCAGCGGCTTGACCATTCATCAGGTAGGCTGCTGTATGCAGAGCCGTAGCTGCGGCGGACCGTCGAGCAGCGTGTGCTCGAGCGGCAGCTAGCTTGTTCGCCCAGTCAGGACGAATTTTGTCGGTCGTAATGACTTCGGGAGCGTTTGCAGACAAAGACGTGCCCCGCCTACGGCCAGGTCCAGGCGATAAGTTCCCAGAGGAGAATGAGGTTTGAGACGACATAGCCGACGTCACTTGGTATGGCTGAGATCCATGGCCATAAGCAAGCCCTCTGCGGAACGGAGGTGGTGTGTAGGTAATACCGAAGTCAGGAGTCTTGCAATAGGGGCAAGTTGCGATTTCAGAGACGAGTAGACCATCTGCTTGCGCTTCTTGCTCCGCTTCCGACACGGGCGGCGCATTCGGATCTGGTTGCTCGTGTTCCGGTGGATGAGGATCAGGTCGCTTGATCTGCACAAAGCATTCCGAACAAATTGGCTGTTCGCAGCATCTAGTAGTGTTGAGATATGGAGGATAATATAGGAAGCAGATCGGGCATTCCGCTGCGTCCTTGTATAGGTAGACCTCGATGGGCTGGCCGTTGACAAAAGGATCGTGCGGCAGCTGGAGTTCTCTAGGCGTCATATTGGCATGCGAATTACCTCGTGATGAAGTTGCCAGAGATGCCAATGTTTTTGCACGAGCTCTGAAAGTGGTGCCGCCAGGTGAGCCAGATAATGGAGGTGAACCGGGAGATGGAAGTGGGAGTGACTGGAGAGTAGGAGACAGCGGGCCGGAACTATCTGACTGAAAGGACTGTGACCTGCCTCCAATCGGCACTGTGAGACTCTTCAGGGCGGATTCTTTGTTCCAATCCTTGGTTACATTTTTTGCCAGCTGATATTCGAGCTCGGGAGGCACTTCGTCGGCTGGAGGAATGGTCATGCCTCGAGCGGCAGCCATCAACTGATGCTCGGCCCATGACTCCGAGTAATCGTTGAGTCCTCTCCAGAACGGAGCCAGGCGTCGCTCAATCTGGATGGTATCAGCAATTGTTCACCTCTTCGGTACATACGTGCTCACCATAAGCTGCCGCACGATTGCCTTGTTGAAGTCCTCTGTACCGACATAAACGCCTTGAGTGACGAGATATCCGCCGTCAACATGCTCTTCTTTCATACTGCGCTCACGCTCCTTGAGTCTGGCTGCTCTTTCCTTTTCTGTTTTTCTGGCCTCCCTTTCCACCTTTGTCTCGCGACGCTGTTCAAGGGAGGTCGCATCTTGATCACTGCTTCCGCCTATGCCGAGGAAAGAGAGGTCTGGTCGGCTGCCTCTCCGCTGTCGAGATGGGTGCCCAGGGCGAAGGGAAGGCTCTGATCCGTTCGGTTGCCCATCTGGCCGTGGGGATAGGCTTGCACTGTCGGTGACACGAGGGCCAGAGGAGCCGTGGCCACGTGCTTCTTTAGTCTGAGAGTTGCCCATGATGGAACGATGTCTGGATCGATGGACAACCTCGCGCTGTTAAGATACACCAGTACTGCTTACTCGTTGCCACATTTTAGGCCTCCTTTGCAATCCCCAGAGAGGTCCTGAATTCTTTGTTGAATGCGGAAGTTGATCCAGCAGCTTTCCACTGAGCTACAGTACGATTAATACACGGGCCGGATAGGACGGAGCGATTAGCGGCAGACGGAGTGGCAAGGAGGATGCTGAGAGTCGGTGGTAAATAGCTCTTGAGGAGCAACGAGGGTGATGTAAAGATGGGTGTGGAATGATGCGTGATCTCACACAGATGTGATATGTCGTGTTCACGCACGCAGTAAGATATTGCAGTAGTTGATTGCAGTAGCAGATGGACAAGCCGCAAGCCGCCAAGTTCCTTGCACACTGGCTCGACGTCAAGCCTTCCGGTGCCTTGCTGAGCTGCACCTGATGCCCGGGTGCTTAGAAGAGGCACGCACGGATGAGGATGATGTTCGGCAATGCGTAATGAGCACGGAGGGGAATCTGAGAGGCGCCGTCCCGGGCTCAAATGATAACGATACGGAGGGTTGCCTGGTGGCCCAGCCAGCACCGTGGCTGAAGGCCCCGCATCCCCCTCCCGTCAAGCTTTAGTTAAAGGTTCTCTCGTGCCTGAACCAGCCGAGTTTAGCAAGCCTTAGGCGTTCAAATTGAATCTCCAACATTTGCCCAACCTCGCCAAGCGTGCCACACAGCCGCCAGACATTCCAGCGCTTGCCCATGTGCGATCTTGAAAGCGCGTACTGTCAGATATGCTCTCAACATGGTCCCGGATCTGATGCGACTTCATATAACACCATTCAACCCCGACCTCTCGAAAGTTGTTGTAGGGCCACATCTGCTAGACGTGGTCTCCAACATCTCCTACCATAGCATCCAGACCTTTCCCGAGAACAACTACGGGTATATCGAACTCCCTAGGATGGAAGGTGAAAGACTCAAGAAAAAGCTTCATGGAGCAATCCTGAAAGGAAAGAAGATAAAGGTTGAAGAAGCGCGGCCGAAGAAGCGTAGGCGCATCGAAGAATCCGAAGAAGAGACAGTAAGAGAGGGACCTAAGGGTATTGACCCATTGAAGGCGAAGAAGGCGAAGAAGGCGAAACAGGAACACAGTGTCGTTGCAGGACATGAGTTGCCAACAGGCCGCAAAGTCAAGCGTGGATGGACGGAGGCACGGTCTACGAGGTCAAGCAAGAAGGACAAGCCGAAAACACAATCAACAACCTCGAAATATACAGACAAGGACGAACTCCTGTTCCGCACAAAATTGCCCAGCAACAAATCTGATCTGGGAGTGACGAAGAAAGAAAAGGGCAGGCCAAAAAGGCAGAAGAGTGGAGACCACACAGTTCACGAGTTCGAGAAGTCAACCCTACAACCTTCGTTCCTCAAACAGGAGGTGGGCTTGGGCATTAAGGGTAACCTGCAATATGCTGAGGGCCAGGGTTGGCTAGATGAGACCGGCCAGGTGGTTGAGAAGGAGAAGCCGGGCACTGCTAAGCTGCGTGAGTTAGCCGAACCACGGCCTCGATCAAAGCGCATACTTGCCAAAACATCGAATCAATCTTCGACGACATCTTCGTCTTCATCAGACCAAGACGAGTCTCATGAAGCGGAAGAGGTCGCCAAACCGGCTAAGGTCGACTCCGATGTTGACACAAGTAGTTCAGGGTCCTCTTGGATTTCAGAATCAGAAGAAACAAACGAGACCACTTCACCACGGCCAGCATCGGACTTTGCGGGGACAGGTGGAGGGCCAGAAGTGCATCCTCTGGAAGCCCTTTTCAAGAAACCCCACAAACCCGCCTCGCAAGATGTTGCAAAGCCATCGTTAGAGATTTCGACGTCATTCTCTTTTTTCGATGCCGAGAATGCTGACGATGTCGATGAAGAGGAGGTCGTCCCACTGACACCGTTCAGCTCCCAGGAGTACCGTTCGAGGGGTCTCCGCAGCGCCGCCCCAACGCCCGACACCGCTCATCCCAGCAGATTTAACAGTTATGGCAGTTCAGGACTACCAGGAGATGAGGACATGGAGGAAGATGAAGAACGCCGAACACAAGGACCGACATCCATGGCTAAGGAACAACCCGTTGAGACGCCTTCACGTACTCAAAGCGAGTTTGAGAAGAAGTTTTGGGAGAATCGAGCTGAGAACAATCGAGCTTGGAAGCTGCGACGAAGGACTGTGCTTAAGGAGAAACGCCAGCGGGAAAACAAGGCACGAAAACCGCAAAATTGGTAGATGAGGACTTGTTCTCATGAGCCGCGTAGTTGGATGCCCTGATTCAACTCAGCCGGACTCCTCTGGGCTGGCCGCTCATGAGCCGAAAGCCGTGGTGGTTCTCATGCGAGGCTCGTGCTGACTCACCCTGTTATGCAGCCTCCGCCGACCTTCGATTGGCCGCCGAGTCGTGAATTTCGGGAGCCTGAAATCCTCATCAGCTCTTCCTTCGTGAACGAGAATAACAGCCCCTTCTGTCAATCTCTTGCGCTCGCCTCTCATTTTTGCGAAACCTGTCTTGTTGATTTCTTAGAATGTGTGCCCAGTGATATAGTCAAGAAAGATCACTTACCCAGACTCGGCTTATAGGTTACTCGTAGCATCAGGACAAAATACTTTCCTCATATCATCCTCAACTGGGCATTGCTGAATTCTCTGTTATTGTCATGACAGCCACCGCTCTGTTCAGCACTCGCACATCGGAGTTTCGCTAGAGTCCTGCACTTCTCATGCCGCCGAAGAATCAGCGACGTTCTCATACTAAAAGCAAGAATGGGTGCTCTCAGTGCAAGGTCCGGCGCATCAAGGTCTATCACACCTGCTCGGCCCGACTTCCTGTGTCTTGCTGACTGAGGCCTAGTGCAATGAGAGTCATCCGGTCTGCAACAATTGCGAGCGCCGCCAGATCATCTGCGACTTTTCTCTGACTCCCGGGGCAAGCAACTCACCGAGCAATGAGACACGAACGCACTCGAGCCAAGCGGGCTCTGTCAGCAGCGGACTGCAACGTACGCCAACACAGCCGGTGGTGGATCCCTTCCGGCAACCCGACCTTGTTAGCAGCAAGAAGGCGACGGACTTGGACGTGACTGATCTGCGATTGATGCACCATTTTACGAGTGTGGTTGCCCTTGACCTGGCCAACGCGCAAACTCCCGAAGCGCAAGCGCTGTGGCAGGTACATGCAGTGAAGTTGGGGTTGAAGCACGAATTCCTCCTCAGAGGCATCCTCGCCGTCTCGGCTTTTCATCTCGCCTACCTTTATCCTGAGAGAAAGGCTGAATACGAACTCATTGGGACGAGGCATCAGAGTCTTGGGCTAACAGAGTTTCAAGAGACCCTGGCGCATGTCGACGAAACAAACTGCCATGCACTCTTCGCCTTCTCATGCTTGCTTATTGTGCTGGCCTTTGCATCCAGTGCAAAGGAAAAGCCAGAGGATTTCACGCGCGACGTGCTCCATTGGTTCTATCTGCTGAGGGGTGCGAACATCGTGCTCAACATGCACCATGAGACAATACGGTGCAGCTTCCTCAAGCCGCTTTTGGATGAGATGGCTCACATGGAGACCACAGCCGCCTACAGATTTCCGGACACAGACCAGATAACGAAGCTCTTTCGAGTGTGCAATTCACCCGAGCACGATAAGGAGACTGCTCAAGCTATTGATCTCGCAATTCACTCTCTTCTCAGCACTTTCGTTCAAGCCTCGTTGCTGAAGACTAGGGGGGATGGAACAGTCCTGGCAACGTTTGTTTGGCCCATAAATCTACCACCGAGATTTCTCGATCTCCTCAGCGAGAAACAACCTGAGGCTATGGTCATCCTCGCACATTACTGCGTTCTCATCCATTGGGGGGAGAGCATCAAAGAAGACACTTGGTTCATTAGCGGATGGGCGGAATATATGCTCGAAACAATCACAGAGTCGATACCCGACGTCTGGCACGAGCAGCTCGAGTGGCCGGCCATGATGATCACGAGGGCAGAGGAGCAACCCAGCGGTGAGCTGACGCCGGTAGCCCACAACCGCTCTCTGACATCGATGGGCAGTTGATGACACCGAATAGTTAGTATCTAGCCGAATACTTGACCTGACAGGTCCCAGGCCGAAGTAGAAACCCGGTCTTTGTACAATAGCAAAGCGAGCTTCTGCTCGTGCTTGATGATATTGTCGGCTGCTGTTTTTCGACGGCCATTGATGCCACTGTCTCGAAGACAGCCTGTTCCGGTGATTGAGCAGGGCAGGAATGAAGCCAGAATCCTCATAGCCCCGGGAAACGACCGAGATAGGGCCACTATGACTCTGCGATATGGAGTGGAGTTGCTGGCAAGACGGATACTGTGGAATCCACAGTCCAAACTCACAACCTCTTGCGCCCCAGCGCCGACCTCGATTAGTTTCAGACTGTAAGGATGTGCAGATGTAGAAATCGACTCTCATACATTGATCAGAGAAGACAATACGTACACAGAGGCACGGTACGAAGCAAATCGGCTTCGCACAAGATCGCGGGTCTGGAGAAAGGTGTCACCGAGGCAGTGTTGCTGCAAGCGAGTGAGGCTGCGGTTGCTCGATGACATGGTCCCGCATCTCTTAAACTCAGATCTCTACACATTTTCTCACTGCCGCCTGTGACCTACAACCTACATTGGGACTTGCTGCACATTCTGCTTCGTGCTTGCGATGTGTATAGTTGCTCTACCGCGGCTTCCTCTTAATCATGGCGCGCCCAAGAACCAGCAGATGGCCTCGCTGCAGTCTAGACCGCAGAGCCCAAACGCTCGCAGTGGAGCTCATGTGAAACGCTTCAAGCGCCTCCTTACGACGTCGAAGCTGCAACCACAACCAACCATGCTTCCCCTGACACAAAACTAAAGTCTCCCTACACCCGCTTCTTGCGTCGTCGCTACCTGGTCTTGTTGCGCTGTGCGTCTCGTTCTCTCCCATTTCTTCCTTGCCCAGCTTTCATTTCCTTCGTCGATCACTTTCTCTACGCCACGTTCTTCTACGCGCTCACGGCCACTTCGACAGTGCCATTGCTACCCAGCGAGCAGGTCTCGTCTCTCACTTCCTTTCATTTCGTTCGCGAGGCATTCCTTCCACGCTCATTGCATACACCCGAGCGACCAGACTCGAACACATCGAGCTTGACGACGCGCCGTCGACAGGGCCGCGGTAGGAGCAATGGCAGCAGCAGCAAAAATGGCGACGAACAAGATTCTCATTGTGTTCATCGTCTTCGACATCATCTTCTTGCTGTGCGCAGGCCTTCATCTGTTCATCCCTCTATACACCCGCATGAACATCAAGAACAACACCAATGTCGACAACATTGCCTCAAACCTGCTGCTGGACCACTGTCCACTTACAGGTAAGAAACATTGACTGCTCTCACACAGGGTACCTACAAACATCTACTGACGTCCGGTCCAGCAAGCATGGCTAACTCGGTCATCATGTTCATCACCTTCCTCCTTTCGGTGCCCGCCTTTTTCATGCGCCGCAACCGCTCGTACTTGAAACTCCATGCTACAGGCATCGTGATATGCTCCATCCTAACCTTCGCAATCGGCGTCGACATCTGGTTCTCCACGCTGCAAACCAGGAAAAACCTCGCACCCATCTGGAACAGCCAACCCCCGGCCATCCAAACCATGCTGCAGGAGAAGTTCCAGTGCTGCGGCTACAGCAACCCGGCGTTGTTCGTCAAGGATAACACGTGCATCAGCGCGGCGACGGCTGCTAGGTTGGGACCATGCATCACGCCGTTCGGGGTTTTTGCAAACAGTTTCCTAGACGTGGTCTTCACCACCTTCTTCGGCTTTGTCGCCGTGGATATGATGTTGCTGTTGGCTGCGCTGTGCCTGATCAGGGATCGCAAGGAGAAGGAGCGGTATCGGCTCATTGATGAGAAACGAGGGTTCGGACCCATCTAGACGGGTAGAGATCGTGTGGTGGCGACCTTCTGAGGTCTGGGATCTGTTGAGGAGTTGGTGTCATTGAAGCAGAGGGAAGCTGCAGAGAGTGGAGTGGTATATGGTCGCCCTGGCCCAGCGGAGGCTCCACGGGCAGACTCACGAAGAAGAATGCTGTACCACGTGGAGAAGAAGCAAAGGATTGTGACTGCGCCGGTGGAAAGAGTCTAGCGGGGGCGTGATGTTTGGGGACCTGGAATGTGGGAGTGGTAGCAAATATCCCAAGCACGGTGTTGGGAATGGTCAGAATCGAATTCACATACAAAGACTACATATAGATGTACAATTTCATGATGGACGAAGCGATACAGTCATTGTCAATGTTCACTTATCGCTCGATTCGAACGCGTACCTACCTATTGAGGGCGGTCTCTAGCCTCTTGGTGAGCTGCGGGCACAATTTTGACTTTCTCGTTCCTGGAAGTAGCCGCTGATCGTCCAGCCGCATCGATCAGCGTCGGTTATCGACATCGTCATCTTTGGCCTGGCGAATCTCTTCACGTCTACTCCTAGACAGGGCATTGCGTTGGATTGGTCCGAGTTACTATGTAGATTGAGCTACGAAGCACGACGTTACCAGTGTCTTCTACATTTCTTTACTCCTCTTGATTTCGAGCTCAAGCAAGGACGCTCATTAATCGATATCGCGCGCCTTTTCGAATCGAGCAAGAGGCAATTCATCCGTCGTCGGCACCCTCTGGAGAGGAAAGCGGATCGAACAGTGAAAGCACGTCAAGCAGGGCTACTGGATAGAGACCGATATGGTGACCAGGAAACAGGCAAGACTTATATCACGCTTTGGACGAGGGAGTGACTGAATCCAACGACATCCGAAGCCGGTCGAAATGGCGTGGACGCTAGTAACGCCGTCATCAAGAGGGATCGGGTTCGCGTTGACGCGTCATCTACTACGAACGCTTCCTCCAACAATCCCAGTTGTCGCAACAGCACGATCAGACCTACCAGGGGTCAAGGAGAACCTTCTTGCATCACTTGAGCTGTCTCCAAAACAAGCAGCTAGGCTGGATGTTCGAGGATGCGACGTCCTTTCCGAACCTTCCATCGAGCAGCTGGCAGAATATTGCAAAGATCGATATAACGACAGAGCCAAGGACAAGAATGCGCACTTGCGCTTGGGATTCATGATTCCTGGCATGTTAGTCCCCGAGAGGGCTCCGGACAAGATAGAGTACGAGTCTGCTCTGGATACATTGAAGCTCAATCTCTTGGCACCCATGATGCTTGTGAAGCATTTCGTCGGCTTTCTGCCACGAAAATCGACAACGCTTGAGCCAGAGGACGGTCTTCCGGATCCGGCTGTACTGGCATTGATGAGTGCCAGGGTCGGCTCCATAAGCGACAATCGCTTGGGTGGTTGGTACAGCTATCGTGCGTCAAAGGCAGGCTTAGGCCAGCTTGTTAAGTGCACGGATATCTTCCTAAAGATGAAGACTGGTACTAAGGCCATGTGCATCGGGCTCCATCCGGGGACGGTCAAAACTGGTCTGAGTGAGGAATTTTGGGAGAGCACAGCAAAGGAAAAGCTTTTCAGTCCCGAGTTCGCCGCGGAAAGGTTGCTTGGGGTCGTCGAAGGCCTGGAAGAAGCCAATGGGGGAAGATGTTGGGACTGGCAAGGCAAGGAGATTCCTCCATGATTTGCATAGCATTGCTTTATGCATACGCAGCACGGAGCATGATAATTGCTGATGAGTAAGTCAATGACGCGAGGCTGTCACGCATCGAGCATTTTATTCGGTTGATGTCGTCCAAAAGATATCTGGCTCATTCTTGCCAGACTGGATTGACTGAGGAAGCTGTGCCGGGCGGTCAGTAGGCACAGCCGGGGGACTCCGGATACTGGGCTGGGTCAGTAACAGCAGGTGTGGGGATATAGGGATAAAATGCGAAGCAGAACAAGTCAGTGTCATGCCTTCTGATGTGATATGATATGCGTTATATGCGAGCTTACTGTGTTCTTCTGCCACTGGTTCCTGGACATCCCTATGGCTGCGCGTTCTGCGATGCGGATAACGTGGGAAGCGTGGAAGCTGAAGCGCAACGGAAGCACGGTGGTTGGTGGTTGGTGGCGGTGATGAATCAGCTGGCCTTTGGGGCTGTGTTGCTAATCTTGGGGCTAGCCACCCTTGAGGATGCGCTAGAGAGCAAGCCTCGGGCTGTAAAACTGGGGTGGCTCGGTGGGTGGTGGAGGGGGAGAAATTGTCGAGCAGGCGATCGCCCTGGGTGAAGCAGCTGGAAGGGACGCAGATTCAGGTTGAGATTGGGATCTGAGCGTACCCAGTATTTAGATCGCCATTCTGTACAAAGACGATGAAGAGTTCCCTCGGAGGAGGGTTTTGCAAGGTAACAGCACAGAGTATCCGCTGCCCCCAGCTAAGACTGGGAAACATAACCCGGTGAGCACTTGCGTGCAGCCGCAGTGGCAGCCCGTGATCAAAGTGCAGGAGCGCGCCCGGGAGCCTGAGTGGTAGCGTGCTAGGTGGGCTAGAAAGACGCAGGAGCAAACTAGCGACTGGGCCTAGTTAGGTGGATCGCGCGTCGAGTGGGCTCCCGGCAGAACTGACCACTGCGAGTCCAGCTTTGGTTCAGCCAGTGGATTTTCGTGCTGAATCTTCGAAGAGTCGGGGAAAGAATGATCCGCTACTGTCCACAGCCAATTAGAGCCGCACTGGCGCCGTAGCTGCCAGTGAGTGTCCGGCAGCCTCTGTCTACAAAAGGCAGGCAGCTGCCGCTATGCCCTTTCCGACTCCCTTTCCTCTCTCGTCCATCTGTTTGCCCGCCTGTCCACAGAACAGAACGGTGACAGTGCATTTTGCAACGCGGTTTCGCAGTGCTCCCTTCCTCGAAGTCTCATCCGAGTATCACTTGTACCTACTGTGCAACTGTACCCAGCCTTGGTACTTGTTCGGTTTTTCCCGCCAAGTCCAGGGCCCTCGACGTCGATTGTCTGCGATTCTGCTGTCCAGTCAATTACATCGAAACGACCATTTCTCCTGCTCGAGACATTAATATTCGTGTCGATTTCATCTCGGGAAATCCAATTCCCGGAGTACTTCTGTCTCCCCATTGGTACGTACGGCGTCCTCTTTTCGCTCGGTTTTCCGTTATTTGCATGTTTCTTCGACCGAAAACGTGAGGATCGTCCCTTCCACCATCCGCTTTGAGTACGGTTTTCAATACAACCAGTCCTTGTTCGAAGAGGTTTTCCTTGGCCGACACACATCTGCAAGAACCGCCCGTCGACCGCCTCGCGTCCGAAACGGAAGTTTTCGACACCTCTGTACCCCGGGATTTGTTCACCAGAAGTTCATCACGGGAACCTCGAGGCCGGACAGAGAGAACAACAGAACAGGTCGAGTCCATCGCCAAGGCTAGGCCTGAGACCCCACCTTTTGTCATCAGTAACCCGTCCGCCATTGGCCAGCACCGATGCCTAGGGCGGCCCTCCGTTGCAACCCAGCGAGACCCGGCAACTCTCAGACCACCTGTTGCAGAAAGGGCCCACCAGACTCCATCCCAGCAGCCCACCAGCCCCCACTCGTTTTCGCCGTCTGGATTCCGCCGAAGCCTACCGCCCCTCTTTCAGTTGGTTCTCCCTTCGACTTCTTTTCCTCCTTCAGCCTTCGAGCTCGTCCTTGCCCACCATACCCTTTTTCACCACATTCTCAGCCCATACAGAAAGTGGTTACTTCCTCTGTAACCAAAATCCACTCCTGTCCATTTGCAGTTTGACAGTTGCACATCCCCTCCGATCCACAAAGCTTGACCCTGCTGCCTTTGCAGTGCTCGTCATTTACCCCGAACTGCCCTGGTGCAATTGTGATCCTCGCCTGTACGAGGTACCTGCGCCTGCCGCACCCGTGAACTGCACCTTCCCAAGTACGTGTTCGTGAAATGATCTCGATACCCCATGCATGGCTTTGCTCACTCGATTTCACCGTCCTGCGCCTTCACTTGCTGCGGTCACTGACAGTCACTTCCTAATCAGATCCTTCACTTATCGCGGCTGCCTCCGCAGAAATCGATTGCACCACTTCTAAAAAGGTATTCCATCCGTCGACCAACTTCCGGTTTAGTCTATTGACACCTAACTTCTTTCGGTAGCCGTCGTCAGACTCTGTTTATTTTCAGAAAGACATATCATGGCGGACATCACCGATCCCTCTGGTGGCCTTGACCATGCCTCTCCTGGCGATGACCTAGCGGGCAATGGAGTCGATTCGCGAGGCACCAAGAGACCTCGAGCATCCATGGCAGGCGACGACGATGACGATGACGACGAGAAAGGCGGCAGAGAACGCAGAAAGATCGAGATCAAGTTCATTCAAGACAAGTCGCGCCGCCACATCACCTTCTCCAAGAGAAAAGCTGGCATCATGAAGAAGGTGGGCACAGCCATGACCCTGAATTGCGAAGCTCGGCACTAACACACCGCCCAGGCGTACGAACTGTCTGTACTTACTGGCACTCAAGTGCTTCTGCTGGTCGTGTCAGAAACTGGTCTGGTCTACACCTTCACGACCCCCAAGCTGCAACCTCTCGTTACCAAAGCTGAGGGCAAGAATCTCATTCAGGTATGTGCTAGATCCAAGAATCTTAGGTGGCCGGTTGCTTACGTTTTCCTAGGCATGCTTGAACGCGCCCGAGCCCTCCGGCAACGAGAATGGTGTCGACGCTCCTGATGATGTTCCCTCGCCCGAAGATGTTCCTCCGATGCCTCCTGCGGCTGGTGTTCCCAGAGCTGCACCTCATACTGGCTATGCCATGACTCCGGAACAACAACAAGCTATGTACTACCAGCAGATGCAACAACAAAATCAAGGTGGCCAGTATGGCGGCATGCCCCAGATGCCTCAACATCAACGTGCATAGGAACCACCAGATTATCTCCACCCATTGATACCCAAACCTTGACTACTCAGCCTGACGCAGAGACTAAAGTGTCTCACTAATCAGCTTTCCTCTTCGCCACCGCCTGTATGATGTCGACGGCGTTGAGGCAATGTCAGTTCGGCAGCTCAGTGAAGTCGGCCTCTTTGAGATTTACTGAGTCAACATCGAACCCGGGAGTTCTTTTGCGGGATTGTTTGCTTTCAGAGGTGATTTTGTCTCTCGAGATCGGTATCTTGACCTGCCACTGTGTATGGATCAGTATCTTGAAGACTGGAACATTGGACCGGTGAGCAAAGACTGGCGATCGGAGTAAGAATACTTCTAGTGAGAGCACCATGGTCAACATGTTGTGCTTTTTCCAGGCACAGAAAATGTCAAAAGAAATCCATCACGTCCACGGTTTGCTGATCCAGCATCTCATTCGTGAACATATCCACTTCTCCATACTCCGTACTGAATGAAGCAAAGAGCGCCTACTTCTTTTCTACCTGCATTTCATTCTACAGCTTGCTCGGTACCCATCTCGGAGCTCGCTTCTCTACAAAGGCCTTGACACCCTCGTGAATGTTCTCGCCCTCATTCAACCTCTTTGAGTAAATATCCACGATGCTCTGAGTTGCATGCTCGGCAGACCCATCCTCCCAGCCCTCAATGATACCTGCTCGAGAGATAATAACGCTGTCAGGACTATTCCCAGCGATTTCTTTCGCATACTCCAAAGCCTTTTTGACCACCGGTCGATCCGACACGTCTGCATCCACAGGTGCGTCGTCGGTGACGAAATTCACCAGTCCCCAAGCCCCCGCCTCAGCTGCTCCGACCGTCCGTCCCGTCAGCGCCATCTCCATCGCTCTCGGCTTGCCCAACGTCCTCACGATTCGGGGCAACGCACCCGCCACCGCAACCACGCCCCTCTTCACCTCCGGCAGTGCAAACTGCGCGGACCTGGCAGCAACCACCAAATCCATATTGGCGACCATTTCCATCCCGCCTCCAAAAGCCAGCCCATTGATGGCCCCGATGACGGGCTTTTTGCCGATCCGTCTGGATACTCCGCCGAAGCCGGACCGGGGCATCTCCCTCCTTCCGTCTCCCGCGCCGGCGGTTTTCCCTGCCGCCCGCGCGGCATTGTTCTCATTCCACTCCTTGAGATCCGCGCCGGCGCAGAACGCGCGGCCCGCGCCCGTGATGACGGCGCAGCGCAGCGAGGGTTCGTTGTCGTACCATTCAAAGAGAGCGTGGAGGGCGTAGTGCATCGAGGTGGATAGGCAGTTGAGGCCTCGCGGGTTGTTGAGCACGACGAGCAGCGTGTCTTGCGTGGGAAAGAGGAGGGTCGTCTTGGGCGTCGAGGGCGGCTGCGTGGCCAGGGTGCATGGGTAGGCCGACATGTTGATTGAGTTGCCTTGCCTTGCCTTGCTTAACCTCGCCTTGCTTGACTTGGGTTGTTTTTGGTGCTCAGCAGAGTACGGCGGCTGTTGTGATCTGATTTGATTCGGTCTAATTCGATCTGAGAGTGTCCTTGGTTTGGTTCGTCGTAATTAGGTACACCACACGCGTCGATGTACCGGATCGAATATGGTACCGCGATCTGTACCTGTGCTTGCGTTGTGCTCGTGCTTGTGCTTGTGCCTATGTATGTGACTCGGGATGTTACTCGCCGTTTGTGGAACCGACGGGTTTTCAATGCTGCTGTGCAAATCGTAGCGTGCCGGAGTATGCTCTCAGACTACTCTGTACGAATTCTCGTGCCTCCTAGACTATGTCATCCAAATTAGCAAGTGTGTAATGTCTCTACCCTATCCCATCCAGCAGTCGGACTTTCCACACACACTCGCGGCTGTGGCTTGTGTCGAGCGAGGGAAGGGGGGAGTTGGGAGACCTACGTACGGTATCAAGGGCACTTTCTGACTCACTCACCACTTCGGTTGATTGCTTCAGACCACCGACTTGCTTCACTGAGTCGAGTAGCCAAGTAACGTAGTCAGGAAACGACCGATTTTCCCAGCTCAAGCTCAAATTTAGAGTCGAAGGTCCAGTTTCCGATGTTTGAGGCTTCGAGTTGAATCCTCCGTCGTTCGTGGAATGCTCCGTAAGCCGTTACGTACACGGGTAGCTGCATTACAATAATCGTCGTAGGGGATTGACAGAAGACAAACAGCTTTGAGAGCACTCCAACGTTGTTCCCACTTCGGGTTATCCACACACGTCCATAGCCGAGGCACAAATTCGGTGGCACTCCGACTGACCAACTAAGGTGGAACCCACGATTAGATAATCTCCTGTGCGGGACATACTCTGGGGAGAACAGAAGCTCGACGCTGCGGTGGTCGTAGGTGATGTACATGCTCGGTCTACGATAATGAGATACGCATCGACCGCTCAAACGTCCGCCGTATTCTTGGGACGGAGGGTCGTGGAGCGCACTGGTCTCTCTGGACGGGGGGGATGTTGAGGACGTGATGCGGTTCTCAAAAGTTTGAAGTCCGGACTTGGGCGCGGGCCCCAGGACATTTTGTACTGTGGACAGGGTACTCAATACCCAGGCCGTCTTTCGCCCGAGGGTTCGGAGAAAATAATACATAGCAGATATGCAGTCGCGGAGTGTTGACGAGGCTGATTAAATGGCATGGTTGGTGTGATGATATATTGGCTGACCCCTGGGTGAGCCCATGCATCTCGTTATTGCGCAGTAGTGGGCTGAACACAATTCAGCCACAACCGAATAATTACTCTATGACGAGCAGTGCCGGTACTTGACCTCGATATGCCCTCGCTCTGGAAGCCCCCTTGCTCGACTATCCCGCAACTTGAATCGGCCAATTTAGATGATCAGCCCGGCAGGCCTCATCCTCTCCTGTATCCCCCCGAATATCACGCCTCCCCATACCCCTTCCTCATCGTCCCTCACGTCAATCACTCCCTCCTGCTCGGGAGTAATCATCATCGCCCTCCCATGCAGGGTCTTCTCGCCGGCGAATCTGCCTACCACGTCGACCACCCCGTCGACACCGACGAAAGTGAAGCCCGTGCCTAAAGCCATCCCAGCCGCAGCGAAGGCTTCCAGCCTATTCCTGCACCATCGGGGTGTCCATAAAGCAAGGCACAAAACAGTTCGTGCAGATATCGAGACGGGGTGTCTCGTGGCGGAGGCCACGGCAGAGACCTCGAATATCGACCACTAGAGTTTAGGTATGGTACATAAACCCTTACTTAGCCCGGTTGTTGAATTATCGAAAGACAATGATGACTTGGAATTGCATATAGATCGTCTAACAGACAGGCAGATCGGTGTTGCCTGGGTCGTAGCCATTAACTCCGCGCACACAGAGTCAATACTCGCACTTGGATGTATGATAGTCCGCAATTCTCCCACCTCCGTGTGGGCCACTGTTGAGCTGATCAAGATGAGAGACTTTGAGAATCGCGATCTGTGCAACTCTCCGGGCCCGTCATTACCCCCAGTCGCCGGCCGGTGCCGGTTCATGTACCACATCCCAAGTTAGGCGGTGGTGAAGATGCCCAGGAGATTCACGTCGAGGGTGGGACGGCGCGGTTGATGCGGAGTGAGCTGCTGTCGTCTTACCCTTTGATCACCATGTCCACAAGGCTGCTCGCCTCACTGATGACGCCTGCCAGCAAAGCAGCAACGTCAATGGACTTAACTCGGAGAGGCTCGCATAGCGTGTTCAAATGCTTCCACGGAACTGTCATGGTCCGTCACGTCGCAGCAGACAAACGTTGCAGAGACGCCGTTGGATTCGAGACCTGTGACCACGCGGCTGCCACCCTCTGTATCCAGATCCGCGATGGTAGCGTGGGGCGCCTATATGGTAAAGCGCTTGACAATGGCAAGGCCTAGGCCGGATGCGCCGCCTGCTCCTTGTCAGCAGGCTAACAGTCTGATATGCGGACCAATGTCAGGGCTCTCGTCTCGAATGAATTTTAAGGGTGCTTTGGCAATTTAAACAATCACTTGCCTATGACTATGGCTGACTTGCCACAGAGGGGAGAAAGATCGACGTCATTCGAAATGTTACACGAGATAAAATGCCATTGGTGTGTTGTTGTGAATTAAGGAGCCGGACCGGGACTTTATACCTTTGATCTGATGGGGGAAGCACTGCCGAACACATGTAACCGAAGCCTGTTACGAAGAAGGGTTAAGGACCTTGTGTGAGCCAAGAGTCCTGGTGGTGGGCGAGGCCAGTCCTCCACAGACGATCCTTCACAGGGCTGGAGATGCCAGAAGAGGCTTCACGAGCTCCTGCCATAGTGTCACAGGTACTTGTGCGAGAGGTTTGCACCAATGCCGTAGCGTCGGCTGTGTCGGTCTCCGTTGTGAGAAAGGTCAGGCCAGTCCAGAGTCCTGGGGTATGAAGATCTAGAGTGGGTTTGGTAGAGATACCCAAAACCCTCCTCAGTGGCGGCCATGGAATTCCGTCGTGTCGGCTTGTCTCAGAACGTGGGAGTCATCGTGTCACCGCACGGCCCTTTTGCGTCGTAACGGAATGTGTCAGGTCCAGCCAGCACCATGGAATGGTCTTACCAATGCTCAAATCTCCGACGCAGATCAATTCGGACCGCGGCGAGTTATGTAGTTGAGGAGTCCCGCATGTGAGCCGCCGACAACTTTTGGCCCACAAGCTCTATATCGACGACTGTCACATTCTCGCGCTTCCATGGGTGGGATGTGGCAATGTCCCGCGGTCATCCTCGTCTCCCTATAGCCTGGAGCTTCAGGCTTTGTGGTGAGTAATTACCTCATGCCACTTACGGTTTTGACGGTGGAGGATAATATCGGTGCAGCATCGAACCCTCGGCAGCCCACTGTGCGAGCGCACGCCGTACTTCGTGTGCTTTGAAATGCAGCGTCGTCCTATTTTCAAGTTTGTTGGATCAAGATGTGTCTGTCTTGGTGTCTGTATGTCGGGCCACATACAGGCTTCCATTAGTCGGAGGCAGGGAGCAGTTTGGAAGAGCCGACTTGGTCTGGACTCCGTGTGCCGGTGGGGAGATGTTTCCAGAACAAAGTCTGTGTGGTCTGTAAAGCCAGTTTGCTCAGTCAAGAGACGACTTGAACGACAAACCGGGTACGGAGTAGATCTGCCAGCTCCCGGGAGTGGCTCCGAAGCAAGGTCAGTCAGCCAGTAAGGTTCTGGCTGAGGTATACCTCCCCCCGCCTGAGAGCAGTACCAAAGAATATTGGTTTCGTAGAGCCCCTACCTCGGACATGTTCATGTTGTACTTGTTTTGGTGGATTGGGGCAAAGTCGGTCTAGCCCATCGATGCCAACTGTCGCAAGCTTTACGCACGTGGCTCGATCTGAGAATGCAAATCGTTCGGTAGGTTTATCTTCGGTTTCTGAAAGCAGTACGCGAACAGCACTTCCCGACCTTGGCTCAGATCACGGTTGACCACTAGTTCAGGAAGAAAATCATGCTGCGAATAGACAACATAAAGCGGGATGAGCGATATTGGCCTTGGGAAATCTCGACCCTGACATTCAGTGAAGCGAGAAGCTCTGCAGGTACAGCAGAAACTGGCCTTGAATCGTATCATCACGTCATCTTCGTCAACAACGCTTATGTTATCACTACTCATAGCACTTCCCGTGCAAAATCTATATGAGAGAGAACTGGTGCCTTTATTCGGGCGCTGCGAACGTAATCCACGACCAATCCCGTCAGTCCATAGGAATCCACGGAATGCTCGTCACCTTTCCCAACCCTCAAGGATGGTATTGCTTCATGAAGTGTTGTTGCGACATGCTTACTTCTTCTCGCTCTGGACCTGCTTCACCTTCTCGAGGACCTTGGGATAGAGAGGGTGGCTAGACTCAAGACCGGTAAGTTTGGTGGTGGCTTCCTCGGCACTCATTTCGCTGAGAATCTTGGCCAGTTCCTTGCTCTCATCATCACCTTCGACATTCTGGAATCGCAGAGCCATCTCCACACCACGGATGAGAGCGGTGACATCGTACCCGCGTTCGGCTAATTGCGCGGCGGGGCCGATGAAGCGCTCCTTACGACCAAGCTTTCGGAGTGGTGCACGGCCGACACGAACGGGGACGTCTTCGAGGTGAGGGTTGGAAATGCGGTGAATGATGGTATCCACGTATTTCTGCTGCTCCTCAGGAGTGATGCCATGCTTGCCGCTAATGAGGTGTGCTGTCTCTTCCAAGGCCTCGTGGACCTCGTTCCGGATCTCTGGGTCTGCCATGGCTTCATGGATGGTCTTGTGGCCCTTGTAGTAGCCGAAGTAGGCAGCTGTGGCGTGGCTGGTATTGACGGTGAAAAGCTTGCGCTCGATGTATGGCTCCAAATCATCGACCCAGTGAATACCTTTGACTTCAGGATGACCTGACTTGAAACCAGTGGTCTCCACGCACCACTCGTAGAAGCTCTCGATGACGACGTCAAGATTGGCATTTTGGGGTTGCGTTGGGACAATTCTGTCGATAGCGGAATTGCCAAACTCGGCCTTGGAGTCGAGGTCCTTGAGCACTTCGGGCTTCATGTTCTTCTCATCCGTGATAAGTGCCTTGAGAGCGTCTGTCGCATTGATCATGTTCTCGCAGGCAATGACAGCGAGCGGCTTGGACTTTGTTCTTGCGGCAATGCCATCGGCAATGGGCTTAGCGATAAACTTGAGGACGTTCGGACCGACGGCGCAGGTGACAATGTCTGCATCGGCGATACATTTGACGACCTCGTCCATGCTGTACTTGGAGTTGAGGGCGCGGTAGTTTGTGATTGTCTTGCTCTTCTCTCCATCTTCCCCAACCTCAGTGATCTTGTATGATTTAGATTCATTGATTCGGTTGATGAGATCGTCAACGACATCGACGAAGATCACCTCGTAGCCACTCTCGTGCAGGAGTTCAGCGATGAAGCCACGGCCGATGTTGCCGCCACCAAAGTGGACTGCCTTACCGCCTGCCATGGTGAGGTGATGGCTAGGGTGATGTGAAAGTGAGACGGAAAGTTGTGCAAGTATTTGCTTTCGGGGTCTACTGGTCAAGTCAGTACAGCTGACATGCAAGACTGACGCCGCGAGGAGATGGTGGTGCACATACAATCTCTTGTCAAGCTTGAGCTCTGTCTCAGAGTTCAAGGTGAAGAGGACTGTTGCTAGATGAAAGGTCTTTGATGCAAGTTCAGGGTCTGTGAGAAAAAGATTCAGAGACCGAAGGAAATATTTATGGCATTGGGAAGCGGTCAACAAAGACTGAGTGGGATGGACCACCAAAGTGGAGGAAGACTAGCATCGTGCAGCTTCCTGTGCCCCTCAGTGCGATGAGTTGAAAGTGAAGGACGCGACCTGTGGTAACAGCTTGATTGGCTGTGAATGTCGATCGTGCAAACTACGTCATAGCGCCACGATTGGGCGGGCAGCCAATCGAAGCGGGGGTTGATCTGAGGATGAGCCTCCCATGGAGTACTCGGACGTGGAAGCAAACCATTGATTCATGACTTTGTGTGCACCAGGAAGCCACAAACAATTCGAAGATTGTCAAGCACGACGAGATTTCCGCTAGGACTCTGTGCAATTATTCTTCTTGTCTGTTATTGAGCTGGGCGATGCGAGTCGCCGCCTCAAATACTGTTCAACTCATTTGCGACCGGAATAGACCATGCTCAGAGTATCCAGCAGACTGTGCTATTAGTTGGAGCTGGGACGGTCTTCCACGGTGTGAGACTATCCAACACCTGTCCAGCAGTATCATATTAAATGCGATGCCACGTGGCACGCATTCGGAATCGTCCACTTCCATGAATCACTAGTCGCTAGGTTTGTGCATCAACCCTTCAGTATTCCCCTTTCTCGTACCGCTTGGGCCTGCGCCTCCCCACACAGCATTGCACAATAGACACGAACGAAGCAAGCAGCATGACTGCTGTCGCCGCCCATGTCATTGCGAGGAATCTTCCACCCCTGCTAGCTGATATACCAATCTCATCTGTGTATTTGTTGATTCTGTCCACCGCGATAACTATCACGGCGGTAGCTACGGCAGAGGCGACACCGAGGGCGCCGAATGCAAGCTGCCGAACAGCATTAGTATTTCCGAGGTTACACATGAAGGGGAGGGACTCACTATATCCACCAGCCAGTTGATGAAGGCTGACAGCCGCCCATCAGTGAAAATACTGGCGATCGCTGTGATCATAGCGAGACCAGAAAACACTATCCCAATGATATAGAAGACAACCATGACACGGCTGACGGTTTTGATGGTGCGTTCCGCGTCCACCACATCGCTTGGCCAATGAATGTCATCCAATGTAATTCCGGCAGGCAGGTGATCTTCAATGTATTGGGTTGGTTGAAAGTGGAAGCCCAAGGTCGGGTTTGAACATTGTGTGATGTTCTTCTTTGCATTGACCGCTGTAGAGTTGGGCGAATATGTGCCCTGGCAAAAGTCTAGGACATGCACGTTGTACAGATCAGGGAGACCCAGGAGTGAGGCAATATCGACTGTCAAATCGTTGACTATATCGTTGACACCCTGCTGGATATCATTGCCCAGGGTCGAGAGCAACCCGCCGTCGCCATCCGATGTATCGAAGAGACTCCCGTGGCCGAGTTGGGAGATATTGAGCTTGCTTCCTGTCAGCATATGTTTCTACAATAGTGCCGAACACGAGCTTACCGTCAATAACTCTGTATCCTGTAGGAACGATCGCGTGTTGCCTGCAAGTAAGCAGAGGATGGAGAGGATGAAAGCAGTGATGGCGCAAGCCAGCGTCAGGAGGGACGACAACCGCATCTTGTGTGGGTTTCGAGCGTATGAAATTGTCTACAATGAAGACCGAATGCGGGTTCAAAAGCAACGACTTCGTAGAGTCCAGTGTAAACTGACCCAGCTTATTTGATGCTTGGGTGATGAAAGCCGGGAATACGATGTTGAGAATGGTGACAGACCTGTTATACGACAGCAGTACCTTCCATGAGTATTGCCGCTGAGCCTCACTCTCGACGTTTTCCTGGGTTGCGCTTGCGTCAAACTTGGCCATGACAGTGCTCGATGTGTGGTCAGAATCTCGTCGTGGTGACAACGGTTCCCACCCAGCCTGACATGGACCAGATCCACCATGAAAATGGCTGGCGTCCTGGGGCCGGAAGAGGCAAACCCAAAGGCCTGTGCTGATCGCTGGTTGGATTGTCGGGGCGCCTCTTCTGACTGAACCAGTCTTGGCCGCCCACAGAGGCTCAGTGTGGGTCGTTCGATTGGCGTCTCAGCCACTTTCTTTAGCATGATCGTCGGCCGCGTAGCATCAAGGCCGACGTCATGCCCACGATTCTCCGATCACGCGTCAACAGACAAGGAGCGCTCAAGGCCAGGTTCCAAGCTCCGCGAAAACAAGGCTGAATCTCAAGTGGGCATTGCTGTGCGCGGCACTTGCAGTCAGTCTGGCTCACTATCGACACCACGCTGGCGCCAAGTCAAGGGCTCCGTCTTACACGAACACAGTGCGAGGTGCAGGAGCAAAATACCATAAATCTTACGCGTCGCCGAACATCCTCCATACCGAGAATAGCATCCAAGAGGTCACGTGGGACGGCGAGATCGCGGGGGCAGACCAGCTACATACCGTGCTCAATGCTCAGTGAACGGCCGCGTACCTCTCTCGCTTGTTCAGCTCGACAATGGCGCTGCGGTATGGAATATTTCCGGTGCTCGTTGGAGATGTTGCACTCTGATGGCGTGCATTATCCAACACAGAACGACGGAGGTGGAGCCAGTGCGAGACACAAACACGATGCTGATTCAAAACCAACTCTACGAGTAGACCACCGGTGAAATGGATCGCAGCCCTTGTATTCTCCTACGCCGCAATGGCAACCTGGAAAACTTCCTCGTATTTCGGCATCGCATCTGCTGTACTGTGGTATGCTTAGTCTTAGTTTCATAGCTGGAGCTCGTGGTAAGCGGTTTGCCAAAAGAACTCTATCTCCGCCTTGCCCAGTCGAGCATCAGCCTGGAACGAGTAACATAACAGAAGCTGCGACATTCACCACAGGATGGAATGTCATTTCCTTCTGCATACAGTCCCTCCCGACCAGCTGCTGGACGTGTGCTGCAGTCGCGCCACTCAAGGTATTACTCAGACATTCCTGATTCTGGTTGCAAATCCTGAGTCTCCCTTCGCAGTTCTTTGATGGCGGTCTCAAGGCTCAGTTAGCGCTTTGCTTTGCGAACACGGGTGATCGAAACCCTTGACTCACCGCCAACGCCTCGGGATTAACTCCATTCTCGATCAGAGAAACACATAATGATAACTGCGTGCGATCCAACTGGGTATTCTGCGCTAGGGATCAGCGAGAGAATGCAGGAGAGGTACTCCACTCACAAGGAGGATTGAAATCTCCTCGAGAATATCAACAACCTCACGAGCTTTCTCGCGCTTATCAGCCGTCGAAGGCATATTACCGAACGCACCAATCGAGCGAAGGACCGCTGGTCGTATGTCTTTATATTCGTTCAGGTGTATTGCAGACTGACCTGAAGGATCAAACACAGGGCGTTGGCACCTAGGTGGCTTACCAACACGCGACAATTATACACGAGCGTGCATCGTTTCAACTACTGTTTGCTCCGCCCAAATCTTGTCATCTGCTACTGTACACATTACCAAAACCTCACTTTCCTTTCACTAACCCTTTTACCCGTACAATAAACTAAGGCCATTTCTACTGGCTCTCGATGCTTGCTAAGAACCTGTGCTCGACTCCTTATTGAGGGTTAATGAATACTTATCGCGCAATGCGCGTGACCACCATGGGTCATCCGGCACCCGATGCCTCCAGTCCACCGCTTCCGATCTTCAAGACCATCCAACAACTACCACGTTGTGCTATCTCACACACATTGCAAGAGCTGAGAACTCTAGAGCGGAAGTCATTTGCTGCCAATGATGTGTTTCATTTCGATGACAAAGTTGTCAAGCAGCGTAATATGGAAATCCTTGTCGGACTTAACCACCATTCAACAGTATCCAGGGTTGTCGCATATGCTGTTTCTGTGACCTCCAATCGTCGCCTCCTTCTCCATAAGATTTGCGTTTCACCAGAACGCCGCCGCCAAAGAATCGGCTATTTGCTAATGGAGATCCTCGTTGGCACTGCAAAGCGTCGGTCTTGCCGCGGCATTGATCTCTGGGTCGATGAGGCTAACCATGCCGCGCAAGGGTTGTACTTTGAACACGGCTTCAGTGTGCAAGAAATTGTTCAAGACTACTACTCACCTGGCAGAAATGGAGTCAAGATGGCCCTCGATTTGATTGATTGACGAGTGAGTATGTCCTACCGAGAGAGGCTTGCACATTCCCTCGCGGGGCTATCCCTTGCAGGCTTTATCAGATGTTGGATGCCGACCAGCCCCTCGACAACTCCAATATTACAGGTGCTTGCAGCCGCGTCATGTCGCGCACGCGTTTCCCAGCTTGTCGAAGCCTGCCTGCCGGACTGTCTACCTATCCTGTTGGTTAGATGAGATTTCATTCTCTGTCCCAGCATGTACTCTACCCAGCAACTCGCCACATGAATGCATCTCACTGGTATCAGAAAGCCTTTACTGGCATCTTCCTTTTTATCTGCGTTATGTCTCGTTACAGCCGAGCCTCAGCTGGCCTTCCCGATCAATTCACAAGTCCCTCCTGTGGCATATGCATCTCAGCCATACGATTTTGTCTTTTCCGAGACTACCTTCGTGTCCAGCGCACCGCAGATATCCTACACAATCACAAACGGTCCGAACTGGCTCGAGATCGACAGTGCTTCCCGCAGATTCTCGGGCGTGCCCAATGGTGAGGAAGTGGGAGCAGCAACTATCCAGCTCGTCGCCTCGGACTCGACAGGGCAGACATCCACAAGCTTCACTTTCGTGGTTGCCGAATCTTCAGACCTTCACGTCGATGCGCCAATACTTCCTCAGCTAGAACGCAGCGGGGCTACTTCCTCACCCAATTCGCTACTTGCACATCGCCAAGAACCCTTCAACCTTTCTTTCGGAGAGGATACTTTTCGTGGTGCGGTCCCCGCAACCAGATATTATGCTGTTTCTGCAGACAACACACCTCTACCTCCGTGGGTGCAGTTTGATGAATACACATTGTCATTTTCGGGCACGACTCCTGCGTTGGTCTCCGCCCTGGCCGGGCCCCAGACATATGGCCTAAGACTGATTGCGTCAAATGTACCAGGATTTGCCGAAGCAGCAATCGATTTTGACATTGTCATTAGCAGGCGCGTGTTTGGGTTTTCGACGGCGTCCCAGAACATCAGCATCTCCCCCAGCGTTCCCTTTCAGTCTGCATCATTCCGATCCTTCCTCAGCCTGGATGGCCAGGCTGTAGCAGATAATCAACTTGCAAGCGTTGATGCAGATGTTCCGACATGGGTCTCGTTCGACAAAAACCAGTTATCCTTGAGCGGGACTCCCAGTGTTTCAACCAACGCCACCATCACAATCAGCGTTACAGATATCTATGGCGATGTAGCCCATGCCACCGTCTTTCTGCAAGGTTCGGCCAATGGGAGCGAGCTCTTGGGGACTCTCGCTGTTATCAATGTTACAGCTGGAGAGTACTTTTCTTACACTTTGGCTACTCCTTCGTTCTCGCACTCAACCCGAGCGATAGCAGATCTGGATGACGCATACAGCTGGCTTAACTTCGACCCCTCGAGTTGGACTCTGTCCGGGCATGTTCCGGTCGATCAAAATGCGCAGCCGCTAGATATTCGAATCACCTTTGAAGATACAGCATCAACTGCTACAGGGGATGTCGTGCTGCAAGTGGTGCACGCCACGAGAGCAACAGGGGTCACCTCGACGCAAGTTTCAAAGACACAGACTCTTCCGAAGGCCAGTGTCACCAGCGAAGGTCCAGTGCCAGCTACCAGTCCCAGAAATCAGAAAACAAGCAACAGGCATGCCTTGCACGTCACACTTGCCATTGTCTTTCCCCTATTTGCAGCCAGCCTTGTGCTTCTTCTATTTCTGTGCTGTCTTAGAAGAAAGAAACATAGCAAACGACGTGTTAGCAAGAATTCCGTTGAGGATAGTCCTGGGTCTGGTGAAGGGCCTGGGCAAGAGCCTGCTCCACGAACTGCATTGTCTACAGAGATCCTGGGACTTGTTAACCCCCAGCAACCAGCCCCTCCACGGCCTCCGAGACTCGATCTCCAATTGCCAAACGACTCGATGCGACAGTCTAGACAGAGCCTGTCGGCTGCAGCCCGACTGGGGCCACTTTCTCAGCACCGAATTTCACAGATATTTGCGGATGATCCAGGTCTAGCTACCGGCGTAGCGATACCTAGGCGAGCTGCGAACACCGCAGAATCTGGGGAGACAACAGATTTCGCCCCTGCAGCTGCGTCAGTCAACCAGGGCGCGCTGCCTCAAGGTCCTTTGTCATCCATCGTCAGCAGATCCTCGATAGCAGGCCGTCAAAGCTGGAATAGGCATTCTTCCAGACTGAGTCAACAAATTGTGCTGCCAGCAATAGTGGGATTACCAGATCGAAGAAGTGGTGCCGGTCACGGCGCTGGTCTACTCTTGCCTCCTGATGCCACTGCAAGCCGCATGTCTTGGCGGGATACTTGGACATCTTACCCATCGATTGACCCTCGCCGGACGACGGTGGTCCTAGAGTCATTCCCGGCCCCTCCCGGAGATGGGTCAGATTCCGGCAAAAGCCTTCCTAGAACAAAGATACCACCCCCTTTGTTACGAGTTGTCTCCGAAGATAGTGACGAGGCCATGTCCTTCGAGGAACAGCGTCAGAGGTGGCACACAGAACGTGCAAGAGCGAGGCTGGAGGGGATCTCACGATTTTCCAATGAAGGGTCGGCACGGATGATGGGGTCAAATAGAACACCGTGGCGTGCAAGGGATAACGCAACAGAAAAGTCTGAGCCGTCGAAGCCGATCAGCAAGCCGAAAGTGTTAGGCGAACGCTCATACGAGCACTCATGGTCGGAATGGTCAGGAGTTGGACCAGCCGCCCGCGAATCTTCACAAGTGAGAAGTCCATCAGTCTCACATATTCTCAGTCGACCGGTGTCAAGAAGGAGGCCCAGCGTTGCGAGCAGCGGCCAGTTTGAGTCGGTCACGTCCTCTGACAGTCAGTGGGAAGACGAGGAGGATCTGGAGGTGGAAGAAAGCAAGGAAGGATTCAGACAGTGGCAGACTTATAACCGCTCACAAGCATCGCCGCGCCTGCCTTTGAGCCCAGTTCCTGCTTCGAGGGAGAACTCGGACAGAAGGAGTGCCAGTGATTACACGAGGTATCAGACGCGGGTGGCGGCCGGGAGATGGCATGTCAGTGTCGAAGAGCGAGGGCTGACGAGATCGTACGGCAGCCAGAGTGGAAGCTTCCGTTTTCTTTGACCTAGCCTTACAGCCTGGGCGAGTGATAGTCGTAGAAATAGAAATGAAAAGGCCTCCGCACACCGTTGATTGCATTTCTGGAATGCGCATCTAGGAGTGACGAAAGAGTCAGGCGGCGATGAGTGAGTGGATGGAATTCTTAGTCAGGAATCGGTGGTGATGCCATTTTGCCCTGAGCAACGATCGCCTGCACCAACTTGACCAGCCCACCTTCTCAGACCCGGATCATCTTTTGCTTGAACGGCACTTTCTCCATCACTGCACGCGACCCTCTGATAGCGAGCAATAGGACTACTATTCACTCAGATTACCATCGGTATCGTCTTTCTGTGCTTGAGCAGCTGTGCATATCTCGTTACGTTACCGCAGAGCCTGCGTTTTGTCCTGTTCTAGGCCTTGGACCTGCCACACTCTGCACGCCGCCCGCTGCCCGCTTGTGATATCGTCTACAGAGGGTATATGAGCACCGTCACACTCAACCCAAGTCTCCAAGCGAAGAACTGCCAGCATGGGTCAGACGCTGTCAGAACCAGTCGTCGAAAAGGTGCGCTCTCCATTGATACACTTTGCTGATGCTTCGAAGAAGCCACCTGCATTTGCGCACAACCTCGTGACGAAGGCCATCGTGCCGGCTCGTGGTCTTTGCCTCGACGCGAACCCAGCGAAAGCTATTGACAAAGCCGCTGACCGATTCACCTGACAGGTCTCCGATAGCGGCGCCGACGACTGTGTTTATTATGGCCTTTCGGCCATGCAGGGATGGCGTATAAGCATGGAAGATGCGCACGCTGCCGTCCTCGACTTACAGCCAGAAGGAAATAGCAAAACCCCGCAGCCTGCTGCGCCAGACAAACGGTTATCATATTTCGGGGTCTACGATGGTCACGGGGGAGAAAAAGTTGCGCAGTTCGCGGGAGAAAACATCCACAAGATTGTCGCAAAACAAGACGCATTCGCCAAGGGCGACATCGAACAAGCTCTGAAAGACGGCTTTCTAGCCACAGATCGAGCTATTCTAAATGGTACGCATCGGGTCTACAAATGATGCTCTGGGATATGCTAAAACCCCGCCTAGATGCCCGGTACGAAGACGAGGTGTCCGGTTGTACCGCCTCGGTCGGCATCATATCGAAAGACAAGATCTGGGTGGTGCGTGCATCTGTCTGGGTATCGTGATTTACGCGACTCACATGCTTCAGGCCAATGCTGGGGACTCGCGAACTGTACTCGGGGTCAAAGGGAGAGCAAAACCACTGTCTTTCGACCACAAGCCTCAGAACGAAGGTACACGCTCCTCCTTATATCACTCTCTGCGTCAAAGGCTGACACAGGGATAGGCGAGAAGGCTCGTATAAGTGCCGCAGGTGGTTTCGTCGACTTTGGTCGAGTCAATGGCAACCTTGCGTTGTCACGTGCCATCGGAGACTTCGAGTTCAAGAAGAGTGCCGATCTTTCGCCCGAGCAACAGATTGTTACAGCCTTCCCTGACGTGATCACGCATGAGATCTCTCCCGACGACGAATTCTTGGTCATTGCTTGTGATGGTCTAAGCTCACTTTTCTGCCTCGCTGGTGGGCGCCGCGCTAACAGTGGTCAGGAATCTGGGATTGCCAGTCGTCGCAGGCGGTGGTCGAGTTCGTTCGAAGAGGAATTGCCGCCAAGCAAGAATTACAGTCGATTTGTGAGAACATGATGGACAACTGCCTTGCATCCAACAGTGAGACAGGCGGTGTTGGTTGCGACAACATGACCATGATCGTTATCGCTCTCCTGAATGGCAAGACCAAAGAGCAGTGGTATGAGATGATTGGCAAACGAGTAGCAGATGGTGATGGTCCTTGTGCGCCACCAGAGTATGGCAAGTCCAGCCTCAACTCCAAAAAGACTAAGGCTCTTCTAACAGGCGACAGCTGAATTCCGTGGACCGGGTGTTCGTCATCAGTTCGACCACGACAGCCCGGATGAGTATGAGCTGGATTTAGATCATCGACCGAGAGGCTTTGGAGGTCGGAGTGGCAGGATTATCTTGCTCGGAGACGGAACAGAAGTACTGACGGACTCAGATGACACGGAAATGTTCGATCAGAGCGAAGAAGACAAAGACGCCGCAAACCAGGTTAAGAAGAGCACCCCGGACACGTCAGATGTCGAATCTGCTCGAAGCGAGCGAGAGGGTACACCAGCCCCACAGTCAGCCAGTGATGAGTCGAAAGGATCAAGTCACCGTGATGCCTCGCAGGGTAAGAACACAGAAGTCAAAGCCGTGGCAGACGAGACGACGGCGAAGACAGTTGCCTGATAGCAGGACACAAGGAGGCTCCGGGGCAGACAGGCAGATGTTTTTCCACCACGACTAGCGATACCCCTGTCGTCACCGCATTGATGAAGAGTATCTAGCATTCATGAGATCGCTTTAGAACCTCGTGTGGGTACGGAGTATTGCACCCTGACTTCCTTCGCGTGGTCCATGGTGCTCACGTCGTCGTGATGCAGCAGCGAGCACAATGGCAGGTCCATGCTGTACCTGAACCAAGCACAGGATTAAGTGCAATCAGGCTATGAGTTGGCATGAGCAAGCAAGCATTTCGTATTCCCAATGACATCCAATCACAAATGGTGGGCAAAACGATCGGTGACGTTGGACTCGCAGCTTCCTCGCCGAACAACCCGTGTCGCTGTCGTTTCGAGGGCAGCAAGTGGTGCAGCAAAGGAGACAGACGCACATGCCCGGCTGCTGGTGTGACGGCATCACCAACTTTGCCAACAACAGGTTTTCTTTCAGCATGGCACATTTTTATTTCCCATGGCGGTTGCAGTCAGGCGAGCAGCGTACAAAGTAGACCCGAACCTCTTGCCACACCTTTCCGTTGCCAGTCTGGCTTTTGGCCGATAATCCTAATCATTTAACTCTCACTATTGGATCGATTTCGCTTCATACCTCCTCCGAAATTGTTCGTCTGACTGTGGAGCTTGGCACAGCTCGTTGCAACTTTCTTGACTTGCTTCTGGGTCCCGTTTCCTGGTGCTTCTCTGTCTCGAGTCCCGGGACCGTCTTTCGCAAGCATTGGTTTCCGTTTTCACCCCGTCAACATGTCTTCTCCATCGTCAACTTCATCCGCAAAGCGAAAGAGGCTGACCGCCACGGCGGATCTCCAACCTTCATCACGCGATGCCTCCGGCGAAGAGCTGGCCGATTCTCCCTCGCATAACCTGCGAAATCGCAAGCACGCTTCAAGCAATTCAATTGACAACAACATCCCGCCTAGCAAGCGAGCACGCACGCGGTCGAATGCTAAGTCCGCCGAGTCTAACGGTCCCCCTGGGCCAGACGCTGCGCACGACAACCGCGGTGAACAATCGGCCACCACCTTGGACAATGACGAGGAACAGACCCTCAAGAGACAAAGTAGAATCACAAGTTCCTCGACGAAAGCTATTGTCGCTGGCGACCATGGTACCATGGAGGATGCTGGCAAAGCTGGAATGAGAGATCCTGTGGGAGGATACAAGACAAATCCGCCGCCTGTGGGTAGGCCCGTCAGAGTCTATGCCGATGGAGTTTTTGATCTGTTCCACCTGGGGTAAGCTAGTATCAACTCCCTTCCGGCAACTACCTGCTAACTTCGTGCAAAGGCACATGCGGCAGCTCGAACAAGCAAAGACCGCCTTTCCAGACACCTACCTGATTGTTGGAGTAACAGGAGATGCAGAGACACACAAGAGAAAGGGCTTGACCGTGCTCACCGGCGCAGAAAGAGCAGAAACACTCCGCCACTGTCGATGGGTCGACGAAGTCATCCCAAATTGTCCCTGGATCGTCACGCCCGAGTTCCTCGAAAAGCACAAGATTGACTACGTGGCGCACGATGATGAACCTTATGGCGCAGCTGAAGGAGACGACATCTACGCACCTATCAAGAAGGAGGGCAAGTTCCTTGTCACGCAGCGGACCGAGGGTGTCTCGACGACTGGAATCATCACTAAGATTGTCCGAGATTACGAGAAGTACATTGTGCGGCAACTCAAGAGAGGCACCAGCCGCCAGGAACTCAACATAAGCTGGCTCAAGAAGAACGAGTTGGACCTGAAAAGGCACATGCAGGAACTGCGAGATAGTGTCAAGTCCAACTGGATAACGGCCGGCGGAGAAATCTCAAGAGACCTACGATCGTTCTGGACAAACGCCAACTCTCGACCTGCAAGCCCAGCTCCGTTTAACAGACAGCTGAGCGAAAGTGCCCTCAGGAGTCCAACTGGTGGCCTGAGTGTGGTCGAGCAGTTGAAGCAGTTGGAAGCAGGTCAAGTCGACAAGAGAAGCATATCTCCCGGGAGACTCAGCAGGAGCGAGGACTTTGCCGCTGGGTACAGCTTAGGATTGATTGGCGGTGTCAAATCATGGGTAAGCATAGCCATCACCGGCCCATAGAGGCCGTTGCACGGGTTTGACGTGGAATTGCTGACACGAACATTGCAGATGATGCGTGGCCAACGAGCACTTCGAGATAGCCAAGCCCCAAGTCCGGAAGGAAGCGAGGACGACGAGGCTAGGAGTCCCGTCAGCAATGATGGGAATGATCGAGAGCCTCTCACTGTTACCCTGACGCCTCCGGCTGGGTTTGGAAGAGGTCGAAAAGGAAAGACTGCTAAGAGCGATCCTCAGGAACCTAAGCGAGAAGCTTTGGATGTCTTGCATTGATTTCGCACCGTGGAGCGCAGGGCTTCTTCTGCTCAGAGGTCTTTTTGGCCGGAGGACTTGCCAGCAACTCACCAGTCATTCACTTTCTGAGCCGACATGCTTATATTACGTATGTGGCCAGTAATTCTTTGGTATTATAGTGAGAGCATGGGGTTGAAAAACACGGCCGGGGGTTATACAGGCGTATGGACGATATCACTTCGGGGAGCTGTTGTGCTGCGTTTCTCAAGGCTGGCATTGATGACACCGTCAAAAGTACCTGCTATTTGCTCGAGCAACAAGGAGCGTTCTATTTACACCTATGACAGATGGAATGACGCGAGGGGAAGATCGTTAGCACCAATGGAGCGACCAGTGTGTGTCTTATGTATCATTTGTTCATAGTTTGCCAGTTCCGGTTTCTCATTGTCTATTCGGCCCTAGCTTTCAGAGTCTCCATGCAGACACACCCATGCCGTGCATTGACTTGATGTTCTGAGCAAGATAGGGAAGTGTACCTCTGCTCGTGGTGCACAGTTATCATCTCCAGCCCACTGGACCTTGCTCCGTGGTTCGGAGGCCCCTCACCACTTCCGGAGCAAACGCTTCATCCGTCCATCCATCCATCTGATTGACTGATTCATACGCGCAACCCACGGGAGCGAAGCCTGCGAAGAGCTATGCTTTCGTGCAGCTCACTGGATCTCTTGCGTTGTTCCGCCTTCCACTTTCCAGAGTACACTCCCACCAACGGCATGCCACTCCACCTCCGCGGCAAAAGTCGTCTATGACCGCGGCTTCTCCTTCTTTTCCTTCCACAGCGCACTCAGACCCACGCCCGAGACCTTGACCACCTTGAACCGCACACCGGGGATATCACCCTTGGCTTTACCCTTGCGACCGAACCCAGCAAGGAGGACTTCGTCGTTCTCGTCCACAAAGTTGAGACAACCGTCATTGGGCACTGTATCAACGCCATCAGTATGGATGCGCCACTCCAACCGAGACGTTGACGAGATTCATCCATTTGGGGCGGGTAACACAAAAAGACCACTTTTCTTCCTCGCCACCTCGTCTCTTGCAATGGGGGTAAAGAGAATACGTACCGAACGCAGTCACCTTCTTTCCATTCTTGATCAACTGCACGCGCACGCACTTTCGGATGGCCGAGTTGGGCTGCTTTGCTTCGACGCCGACCTTTTCCAGCACGATGCCCTTGGCGTGCGAGGAGCCGCCGAAGGGGGAGGACTTGTAGGCCGTGCCGAGGAGGCGCTTCTTGTAGTGCAGGTCGGCCCAGCGGCCTTCCTTGCGGGCGGCGACGAGCTTGCGGGCCGCGTTGAGACCGCGGGGTTTGCCTCTGTTTGTCATTTCTGGAAGAAGAGCCCGTCTGTCAGTATAGGTTGTAGCAGGTGCAAGGCACGAACATTGGGGAGATTGAGCTCAGGATGTAGTGAAGATGGGAATTTTGCGACAGGGAGTGCCCCTTGGGAGAAGGATTGGTTGGTGATACGAGAGCGCACAAAAGTCGTACGTACTGGCTTTCTGGGACAAGCAGGTGGGTGATGAGGGTAGGGTTGACGACGCTGTAAGATCGACTTTGCGAGCGGCGACGGCGATATTGAGAGTAGATTTCGAAAAGTGGAGTGGTGCGTTGCCAAGATCAAATTGCGCTTGGGCTCAAGTCGGCGGAACATTACTGTGTATTATCCTACGGCGAAGTGGGGCCTCGTTTGCGCAGTATGATGTCTACTGTCCAGTACCACCCGAGCCACCACGCTTTCGGCCTCCCGATCAACCGTTGTGGACTGTCGTGCTGCGTCTGTCTCCATGATCCGAATGTAGCCCTGGGTACAAAGGCGAGAGCACCGCTCTCAGCCCAAGCCCAACGTGATCCCTCCCCACAATCATGGCCTCCTCACACAGTGGACCTCGCCAGCCGGCGCACCTCGAGACCCCCGGGACAGCCTCGTCCTTTGAACGGCCAAAGCTCACCACCACCACTACCCGCACAACGGCGCACCGCCTCCCCCCGCCTGCTCTCTTCCAAGGCCCACCCTCGAAGAACGCCTCGCACATCTCTCTCGTTTTACCCACCGACCGCGTTCCTGGGGCTCCCTCCTCCGAAACCGAAAATGCGGGCCACCAACACCGGATCATGCGCCCGTCGCGCGTCCCGCCGGCTTCCTCCTTCTCCGGCCCCAGCTCCGGCCACCTGCGTCAGCATGCCTCTGGCGCTGCAGGGGGAGCCGTCGCAGACGACAACCGCGCCGAGCAACTGTGGGCGGAGATGCAAAAGACGCTCGCCGATGTGGAACTGTCGGCCATGAACACGTCGCACGTCTTCGGGGCAAGCCACCTGCACGCGCTGGAGGATCTGCGCGCGGCCCAGCTCTCGCTCGCGCAGACCTGGGCGAAGACCGAGACGGACGAACTGCTCGAGCACGATTTCGACACCACGAGCAGAAACGAAGCCAACGTCGGGGCAGCGTTGGAGGCCAAGACCTCGGCGGGGGGGACGGCCAACGTTCCGCCCATGCCCATGTCCACGCCGAGCACCGCAGCACGCGCGAAGGGCACGACGCCGCAGACGGGCTCGTCCCCCGCGACGGCAAAGGACGGGAAGGACGGTAAGGATGGTGGCGGCAAGCCGAGCGCGTTCACGAATGATAAGAACCTGGAGGAGGAGACGGAGCGGGACATCCAACTCGCGAGGAAGCGCCGCGAGGCCAACGACCGGTATTTCTCGCAGGTCAATCGTGGGGTGTTGGAGGTGGTGAGTAAGCTTGACGAGGTGGCCGGGGCGATGAGGCGCGTCGAGCGCGAGAGCCGCGAGATCTGGGACGAGAGTACCGACGAGGATGACACCGAGGATGAGCGCACGGGCGGCAGTGAGACAGAGGAGGGTGATGCTGATGGCGAGGGAGGGAGTGGTACGGAACGGTCGGGCTTGACAGACAGTCCTGTGCCTGTGAGGAAGGATGGATGAGGGCTATCTATATTCGAGTCCTCAACGATCGTATCATTTGATCGGCGCATGAGAGCCGTGGTTACCAGGTACATCTTCACCTTCGGATGCTCTTTGACGGGCCCTCGCGCCTCTTTTTTACCGCAAGAGCCTGATCCTATGCGAAGAACCTTTGAGAAAGACCCTACAAGAAATGGAGGACGCCAAGGACAGGAGCCTTTTCTCCATTCACTTCAGTGCACCCCTTGAGCCGGCGGACAGGTCGGATATATTATTTACGGCAAGGATTCCATGAAAGGGGCATTGTTGTTGGAATGTTACGGCCTGTCTAAAATAAGATGATGGTCCGGGTTAACAGTACCTTGGATGAAGTCGAACTGCTAAAAAGTGAATGGGACTGGAGCTGTGACTAAGTGAAGGCAGTTACCATGTCTTGGGATGAAGCTGTTTTATGATATCGGCGTGGATGGAAGGTCATGTCGACAATGTGAAGGAGGTACAAAGCCAACGTCCACGCCCAAGCATAACTGAGCTCCGAGGGGAAACTCAGGTGGTACATCAGCTTCTTCATACAGTATTTTACAGAGACAAAGGGACCTCGACTCATCCGAGCTGTCTGGCGTGACCGAGTTCACCTTTTGGCAATCGCCTAGCTTCACATTGACGAAGTTATGGGCAGGAGAGGCAAAGCAAGAGACGAATGAGACTCTTATCTTGATTATCCGAATCGTGGCCATTATATGAATATCCATCGCCTAGGTTTCAGGCACCATGAGTGAAAAAGGAACTGAAGACCTTACTCTGCTCCACGCCTTCGACATCTTGCCCATCCCAATCAGCAGAATCACGCAATCATTCTATGCGATATTCTCCTTGGTTACATCCTCGCCTGTGCCGTCATGGTCATATCGACTCCGGAGCGGTTGCGGTTGAGGTTGTTCCACCGGACTGGGACGTTGGTCGGCGAAGCGGACGGATGTACTCCTATGGCGCGTCCTTGGACGACGACCATCTGTTTTGTCCACAGCTTCTGCCACCACCGTTCCCTGGGGTGCACCACTGCGCCTTCGGTAAGCGTCATCTGGCTCCTCGGTTGACCCGCTCTCGTTCTTCAGAACCGTATTTCCGGCACTGTCTGAGCTGCGTCGACTTCCCGTCGAGACCGCTTGTGAAAGGCCAGAGTCACCTCTCCGGCGTCTTTTGGAGTTCTGAGTCAGGAATGGCGAAGGCGTCCGAGGAAGCGACGCGAGATAGTCTCCATGACGGTCCTCGTCGTCCAGTTCGGCCCAGATACCTTCGGTGTCAGTGTCCGGGCCCACGTGAACTGGCAGCGTCGATGGCATCGTACGGGTGCGGCCAACAAGCAAAGGTCTTTCTTGGTCGTTGGAATCTTGCGAAGCAGCACTGGAGCTTCTCCGCTTCCTTGCGGGAAGTAGCGGAGCTCGTTCGTCCACGGGTGACCGCAATATCCCCATTCCTGGTACAAGCGGGGTCTGGGGAGGCGCAGGTGACTGATGAGCAGCTTCTTCCGGAGTGGTATCATCCAATCTCCAAGACAACGCTAAGACACCAGTAAGGAGGATTGCGGTACCCAACGCCACCAGGCCGGCATCCCGAGAGCTTAACCTCGACCCTTGCTGGAAATATATCAAACCGTCTAGAATTGCAATGATGTTGTAAATGCAGAACACAAAGGGGTATAGTACGCTGGTGCTGCAGAGGCGTAGACCGAGGTGCAAGTAGTACAACTGCGTCAGTGCAAAAAACAGTAGCGCAACCAGGATCAGCCACGACTGGAAACGGTCGAACTGGTTTTTATGATCGACAATGGTCCGGACGATCAATTCAACCGCTGATTTGGCGACCAGGAGCGAATGAGCAGACAAGATGCCAGATATCAGGGCGTAGGAGAGACCGCGAGTCAATCGAAGCCGGTTGACCCGGATTCTCAAAGGGTGAGGAAGCTGAGCGGTGAAGGAGCGGGACAGGGTTCGTTGGCGATCCGTCGATACTGATCCAGCCCGCGATCTTGGCCTTTCGGTCTTTGCCAGGTTCTCTGCAATGCGCTTGTGCGAGGACCAAATCTTGAGGACATGAGCGAACAGTATTGTTGCAATCACCACGAGCATTGTGGCAACCATCCACATGATGAAGTCTCTCTGTCCGAGCAGATGTAGCAACTGCCGCAGGTTATGCGCCGGCTCGCCAATTGCTCCAAATGCAGCGATCAGCGCGGCCCCCGAACATGTCAGAAGTGTTCCGATCAAAGAGAACCGAGTGAAGGGTTCACCCAGCAGCAGCGTCGCAAACGCGGTATTGAAGACAAGGCCCGAAGCTTGCAGGGTCGAAAGGACTGGGAGAGGGAGGGTCGTGATTTGGATGGTGCTGCCGACCACGTTGGAGACCAAAAACATCAGCATGCCTAGCTGCCATCTCCGTCTCTTGTAGGGAGGAGTCCGAGGCTCCGTGTGAGGCTTGTCATCTTCAATAATGTGGGACTGTCGCTGGAGGGTCAGGCCCAGGCTCTGGATCGAGGTCGACAGGAGGCCAACAATGACTCCAATCTATACGACAGTCAGAATTCGCCCATAAGGATAAAGTACATGCATACAGCGATGGTGCCTTGGGGCGAGATATCGCCCAGTTGGCCCATGGTTGACGCAGGCGGGTAACGAGCAAAAGCGCATTCGTGAGGGCGACTCGCCGGAGCCGCTCATCTTGGAACACCGTGCATGGAGAAGAATAGTCTAGCTGGCGAAGATAACCATGATTGTAAAACCTCCGCGGCGACGATGCAATCGCGAAGAGCCGCCTGAAGAGCGAACGGCTTTACCGTCTCAAAGGGTGAGCGTTTCCAACACAGTCAACATGAGGTCATCGGGAGCGACCAAGCCTGTGGTCGGAATGCTGCGCCGTAGACTTTGTCTTCCGGGGTCGCATTGCTCATCGCTACGACGTAGTTGCCTCTTCAAAATACCAAAAATCTTGGGCTTCCACAAGGTCTGACCTCTCCTTGACAGCCAGACTCCAAAGAGAGCTTAACAGGGTTGAGTGCCGTCGACAGTGGCGGGTTGTCACACGATAGCACAATGCATCTTCCAAGTAACGTGCCGGCGGTAAGTCTACCTCGTATCTGTCCTTCTCAGCGGGCCGACCGCAATAAGCCGCTGTCACCGTCTGCTACGCCTAGGAGTTTCCAACTCCACAGTGCGGAAACTTCAACTCCGTCAACAAAGCCTGGTGTTCCCCATTGTCCGTACGCCCACCGTCCTCGCCGGGCCTTTCCACTCTTTCCACCAGCAACGCGCCACAGTACTCTGAATACCCCTTATTGCCACTGAACCCGTCAATCGGAGCCCCCTGCGAAACAGCCCGGTGCACCTTCCGCCACGAGAACTGATGCTGCACTTCCTCGTACCCCTCGAGGTGTAGACTCTCTCATACGTCCCTTTACCAACCTCGGATAGCTCCACGGCCTGCGTCATGTTCTCGTTCAGGAACCATTCCCACTCTCGGACAGTGCAGAAATCGCCGCACAACTCCGCGTCATGGCATGCTGGCGGCATCCAGGAGAAGCTCAGGATATCGAGTCGGCAATCTCTTGCGAGTGCTTCAGTGAAAGTCGAGCCACAATGCGTGAGAAAGGTGGGAGGGTATGAGCTTTCTGCAATGATAAAGCGGAGGCCCAGGCTGACTAGGGCAAGAAAGACCAGGACGACACCAAGCATGGAGATCATCTTACCTTGTCCGACGAGCGACGGGGTGCTTTCTCCCTCAGCAGCCTTTGTTCGAGATCGTTGTCTCGATCTGCTACAGGGCGTTGCTTGTATCCCAGATATCTATTCATCTCGCCGAGAATGGTTGCAATATTTTGTTCCAAAACCATCCTAACGAATCGGTCGCTGGGGCTTGCAGGAGGTTCGAAACTCCCGCGTACAACGAAGTGCGAGAAAAGAGTACTCGCTTCTCAGGGACCGAGTGCGTATATGTCCGGCGCCAGAGCCATGCAAGCACCAAGGGCAAGCCAGCAACGTCGACTGCTGGTTCAAATCCCGGAGTTGAGCAGACATGGCGATGTTGATAAGCATATATTACCCTACGCCTTCTCTTTGATGACGACGATCATAGCATCATACATCCTCTAGACCTCACGAGGTCCCGGAATATATCATCCTCATATCACCGCCTTCAGCAAAATGTGGATCTTAGCTCCAGTCCGGGGGGTACACGATACCTACCCTTCGGTTAGGGTCCAGCAATGAAAGCCTGACCATCCATTGCAGTGAGGGTTGGGTCGAGTACTAGAGAAGCAGTGCCTACTGGAGTGCTAGGTAGGGTACCGGAACGATCAGGCCGCTATTGTCCTTCTAAACAATTTCCACCGACGGTTGTTGTCAGCTTACTATTTAGCCACCCTACTTGATCGAGAGCCCAGCCTTACCCTGTCGAACGCAGTGGTGCGCACAAGGCTGCGCCAAGACAGTTTGTTCAGGGGTTGCTCCGATCTTGGAACTCGAACTCGTACATTTTTCCCGCCACCCACCTTCAGCATCACGGCGCAATTCGAGAGAAACCATCCTGGGCGAACCCATCATCTACGAGGTAGGGGCATGCCTTCTATCTGCATGTATGACTCTGATCTGCTGGGATATATTTACCGCATATCGGTGGCTACCGACATGCCCCAGGGACTTACTAAAAAGTCCATTCCCACACCAGCAGCATTTTTAACCAACTTCCTGCAAGCCGGCTGGGTACAACATTCGCTTTGAAGTCAGCGTCGGGATTCTGTGGTGATCAAAGTCGCGATCAAAGATGCCGTCAAGATCGTCTGAAACAAAAAGGGGTGGCAGGCCTTCCCAGTTGACCGCGTCTGGGGAGGACCGGTTGGTTGCTGAACCGCCAAACACCCGCAAATCTTCATCAGCGACGGTGAAATCGTCAGCGGTACTCCGTATAAATCGGATTCTCCGAGACCTGCTCCGGACCCTCTAAACCTCGAATGACTTCGTTGACCATGTCATCGAGACCTCCGCGGTCATGGGGAAATTGTGTCGTTCAAAGAAGCCAGTACGACTGCCAAGGAAGTCTTCTGCGTAGAAAACGCCTTATTGGAACCAAGCGACCGATACGGTCTGCGGATCGATCAACGGTCTGCTATCGACTCGGCACCTCCGGGCCTGACGCGACTTACATGGAGACAACGGCGCTGGTTCATCTGGAGACAGAATCTCGCATATGGTTCTGAAACCTTGCTCGATGGGCCCACTGGAGCGCTGCGCCTTGATGGCAAGCTCTTGGTCCGCTGTCATCTTCCCTGCAAATCCCTTGGGGTTGGCAATCGGACATGAAGGATCTTGGCTCGAACGAGTACTTGACTTAACGATGTCTTCTCGACTCGCGAGTACGAGGAAGCACCGCTCAGATAAAAATACGGCCGCTTGCTTACCCTGCAAGAGCTTACCCTGCAAGAATGTTCCCTGCAGCGAAACTTATGTAGCGTTGCGCGGAGAGGTCGACCGAAACTTGGCGACATGAAGTACTTTAATCTAGCGATGCTTTCAAGTTTGATAGCCTCCCGATGGCGATAATTGGGTTGAATCATACCAACAATATGGGCACATGATCTCAAGTCCTGGGACATAGTGTAGAGCGTAATTCTTTTCACTTTCCGATCTGTCCTTGTCTGCATTCCCACGTTGAATCAATTCCCCCTCTGCCGCTGATGACATTCATGTCGGCCAATTCTTCGGCTATTCTGGGTTGCGTCGATCTGCGTCTGAGCCGGGACTCCTGCCTTAGTAGACCTGCGGTTGGAGCCTCATTCTCATCAGCGGTCGCAAAGGAGTCAAGGAAGTCTCGCTGTACACCCAGAACAACTTGAAGCTCATGAGCTGTCGTGATGAGGAGCATCTCGTGACGGGCATCGGCTGGTTTGGAACTCTTTTGGGCTGCTGTCAACCGGTCTGCATCCTGTGGCGTTATCTCTCTCGATATGTGGCAGTCCAAGTCTAGCAGAAGTCAGACGTGATTGGGAAGGTTGCAGCTGTGGATGACATACGGGTGACACGGGCAAAGGTGGACTTGGGAAGCCGCTCTCATAAATGTTGTACCAGCACGCCTCCGACCCAGGACTTCTGCAACTCTCTGCCACGGGAGCTATTCGTCCCCTCTGTTGATCAGTCATCGCTCATTGGTGAGGTCCTTACTTTCCGCTTCTGCGCACATCGGATCGGCCTGTTCGTGCTGAACCGGTGCTTGCACGTCGTTGAACATAAGAAAGCGGCGACTGCAGTGGTGGGTCGAAAGTGAATGCACAGCGTACAGATGCTGTCTTCTCTATTGATTAGCATGGACTCCTTCTTTTGTGTGGGCACCATACCTGAGACGTCGGATACTTGTGCGCAGGTCGAGTATCGCATGTAATGGTGTGGCTCATACTAAGTTAAGTACTCGTAAAGGGATACTAGTATGCAAAGAACAACTTATGCTGCCCGTCTTCCACAGGAACAGCATGACATCTGCGCTTTTTGTCCCAGGCTCGTCCATCGGTACTACTATGTATCTTCGGGATCGCCGTGGCTGTCTGAGGTCTGATACAAGGGAACGTGCTGTCTTCTGGGTGCATCTTTCGATGGCATTGTGGCAGAAGACGATGATCCGTGGTTTCTGGAATTCGAGTTGGAGTCGCTCGAGTCATGGAGCTTCGATCCGTCGACTGAGTGAGTGAGATAGCGAATGATGTTAGACTGTTCGGTGAGGATCGAATGCGGCCACTTCGATGATAGCAAGGATTGCGTAGCCCTGCAGGGCCTCGAGAAGGCAGCTTATTGTTTTGGGCTGAAGAGCCCTGACGGTAGTGAGCTTAAAGTAATAAATTGATGAAGATTTGACCGACTTCCAGCATGAAAGGGAAACGGAGTGGACACGAGGGAAACGTCGCGTGACGTTTTCAAAGGGTCAGGAGCGCAGACCATAAGGAATCAAAGCTACCGCGAAAGACCTCGAAGTACTAAGTTCTAAGTACATAAGTAGTACTATGTACGTTGGGTCTCCTTGAGTACTTACTACATACTGCGTACTATGTAGTTACTACTACATAGTAGGAAGTAAGTATGTACTACTACTAGTAGTATACATTTCCACGTGGAGGTGGTGCCGTACATCAAGCCCGCCGACGAATGTGGAGAAACACGTCCGCCGAGAGAAGGTCGGACGCAGCCATGCTACGGAAAGCAAAGACAAGAGTTGCGGGCATAGTCTCAGCGCGTTTCTTGCTTCTGATTGACTTCGTGCATATGTACTGTATGTATCCTTTGCCAGCCTCATTCAGCATCTGATCTGGGGGGAAAACTTAGAAGTTGCGAGCAGCCTGCTTTCACTTCAAGACGTTGTTCTTGTTCAGACGCATGTAATAAGCGGGCTTGGAATTTCTTCGGCCTCTCAATTGCCTGAAGGCGCCCTTATCATGGCTTTCAGTTCTGACGACCGTGGCAGGTACAGTACTTAGTACCTCATCTGGCTTTCAGTGCGACCCAGAAAAGTTTGTACGCTCGAATGCGTCGTCTTTTGCCCTTTGGCTTGAAATGTCCTCGCAATTAGAAGTCATTGTTCAATTCCAGGGCGACATGATCACGTAGACTCACAGGTTCACACACGTCGTTCATCTTTCAGCGCAGCTCGAACTTCGCATCGGTGGTTTTTCTCAACCCCACATCATCAACTTTTTTTATCCCGCATCGCTACTAAGTAGTCCCTCTCAGATCCCGCAACCTCAGTTTTTCTTCAATGCGGCATCATCAGTTTTTCTCACATCCGCAGCAACGGTTTGCGTCACCAGGTTCAAAAAGGCACTGCCCTGCACAGCTTGCTCCGTCGTATGGTTGAGGCAAGGCACGGTGAGACGGTTTGGGACAGCCTTCTCTGACGAGGAAATGAACGCGAATGTCGCCATTCTCATTATCCCTGGGAGCAGTTCTACCACCGTGCCCTACCAGTACTAGTAGTACATACCGTGTGAATTTTGTTGTATCTGCTCTCCCAGCTGGGCAGACACCCTGAGATGGACTGTAACCTCAGCAGTCTTTCGATGAGGATCCGAGAAGCGTCCACAGATCAGAACGTGGATCTAAGCTTCAAAATCGCAACTAAAGTATCGGTGTATGTACTGTTATTCGCCATGTCGTCAGGCGCCCATGCCATCCGATCCTCGCTCAATTTCTGATGGTGTGGCGCTGTTCTGATGCTGGTCTAATGCTGGTTTTGATAGTAAATACATAGTACCCCCCTAAGGAGGGAAATTCATATACACTTCATACATAAGTATTTAGCCTCAAAATTCGATAAGTGTACGAAATTCGATTAGAGTGGATTAGCTTCGCATAACCTCTATTACTAAAATAATTGTACTTTTTAAAATAATGCATTATACTTCTATACTTAACTAAAGTAGTGAAGCAGAGTATCGGTTGCTGTGGATTAAATATATATATAGTGTTCTTAGGGAGCATTATCAGAAGCCATAAATACCAGTGCACCATCAGCATCAACTTTAAAGTCCGGCTCAGAGGCACCTCAGAGTCAACTCAATATCGTCTCTAGTGTAGCTCCGAGTGGGCTCAGTTTTTTCTCTAATAATGTAAGTCAGAGTGGGCTAACTGTACTAAGCTGCCCCCCTTAGGGGGTCTAACCCGGTCTGGACCCGGGTTCAGCTCGAGCTGAGACCGATTTAGCGATTTGAGACCGATTTAAGACCGATCTGAAGTGGTCTGGGACCGATCTGGATCAGCTGGATCGATTTAACTGATCTGGAGTGGTTTAAGACCGATCTAGATCGAGCTATACTTAATTAGGTTAAATAAGTATATTTAATATAATTTTAGTATATATTTTATAGAGCGTAAAAATTATATTAAGTATAAATAAAAAAACTCGTAAGAAAAATTAAGTTATATACTAAAATAAAGAAATAAAAAAATAAAAATTCGAGAAAAAAAGATTCGAACTCGAGACCTTTTTTTATTTACACTATATCGATCTCAGACCGATCTTAGACCGATCTCAAACTGGTTCAAACCCCTCTTACGCGGGCTATACTGTAGTCTTAGCTCTGGGGCGGCATACATGTAAAGCACTGCACAATGGTCAGCCTCGAACGGCTTCAAGATGTAGCTGATATGGGCTCGAATGATGTGGTAAATCCCGACTCCAACTCGGCCCATTCAGTGTTGGTCGGAGCCTGCGCGGTGGCGCGGATAGACTGACCACTTACAATGTTATCACGCCGACGAAGACTGGATTCTCCCAGCGCATGTCTATTCGGAATGCTGATGACGTGACACGAGAACGGCTTGTCGACGTGCTTGCTACACGAACTTTGAACTTTAAAGGGAAAGTGCAGACCTAAAGTGTGTAAGGGCCTTCTCCAAGATGGCAATCGTTCCACGCAGGAGGCAACAGCCTGCAGGTATACAAGGACATACTACATAGCATGGAAGGACCGTTTTTAAAGACGTGGCAACAAGTTGGGGCAAATGTTATGGGCCAGGCCGTCTCTAACGTGATGATTGAAGAAGCTGCAGGTCGAATTGCCTCGAAACAGGTTAGCCATCCATACATAGTGCACAAGGTTCGGAGACGAGTGTCAGGACTTACAATGACAAGGGACTACTACAGTAGTATCAGATCGATGCACATGCGGTCCTGACCAGGTGAAAATCCCTCGTGAACATGAGCTGGCTTGGGCTTCTCGAGATCTTACCAGGGAAGCACGCAATACTTATTTGGTGCAGTGTTGGTGCACATCGGCTTGGGCTGGTGCACCAAGCAGATCGTGCTGTATACTAGTATGTAATATGTACGTCTGTGACACGACTCGTCCATAGTAGTATTAGTATTTGTCCAACATCACTCAAAGGATCGGTTCCACGAGATCAGTGGTCTGCTCAAGGGAGCAGAGCAAAGAGGACTCTTGGTTAAGCATGTACCTGCCTTACCTCCTACGATTCCCCGCAACCACAATTGGCGCCGATGTCATCGGAGAAAGACGTCACTCCGGCGATATTTCAGTCGTTTCTCCAGTTACTTTCCGAAAAACCTCTTAAGGACGCAAGCTCTAGGAGATTGATCGACTCAAGCGAGGCACGTGGAGGAAAATGCACGATGGTCCTCAAGCTGATCTCCGCGACCCCGTATGAATGCTTTCCCTGTGACTCCTGTGCACATGTCTAACTCACCCCAGGTCGCCGTACGCGCGGAAGGTCCGCATAGCTCTTGCGGAGAAGTCTATTCCATTTGAACTTGTTACTGAAGTTCCCTGGGATGGCACAACCCAGACACCGCTATACAACCCTCTCGAGAAGCTGCCGGTATTGATTGACACAGAAGCTGAGAACGACGAAGACCAGGCCGTGTACGAGTCACACTTTATCCTCGACTGGATTGAATACAAATATCCGGCGCCACAGTATATCAATCTGGTGCCGAGCACAAAGGAGGGTGAGTTGTTTGGAAGAAAGGTTCAAGGTACGAGATCCCAACAGGTCGGCTCACAACCAACTAATTGTGCTTGACACGTTCATAGTCGTCGCCGACGGGATCTGCGACGCCTGCGTCTTGATGTTCTTCGAGAAACAGCGGGTTCTGCCTTCGCAAGAATGGACAGCGCGCCAACGACGCAAAGTGGACGGCGGCTTGAAGAAACTGGCACAGTGGGTGGGGGACAAGGACTTCCTTATCGACGATCGCCTTACCCTTGCGGATGTGGCAGCCGGCTGTGTGCTGGGTTATCTTCGTGTACGATTCGCAGAGCATCCGTGGCAAGACTTGTATCCCAATCTGAAGAGGTACAGTGATTTATTGGAAGCGAGGGAGTCATTCCGGAGGACCCGACCGGTCCCTCAGGCCATCAATGATAAGATTGTTTGAGCCGTGACCATGAGCGTACCTATGGGGACATGTTCAAAGGTAGTACAGATCAGTCCAAGAATCAAAGGTACCGGGAGCGTTCGAGCCAGGCCTTGCTGATTTCCAGGGCCACAAGTACAGTTTTGCTAGGGACTACGCGAACCCAAGGAACTCAGCACACTGGCAAGGTGGCCAAGAGGTGGCCAGGAGTCGGTAAGCAGACCTTGGAATGCCAACCTTGAAATGCCCTGTGCAGCGTGGCGTGGCTTCTCCTGAGGCGCACAGGTGGTCGAAGGATGTGGACAGATTGGCACCATGACCAGGAACATTATGTCCCGCAGCGTCTGAGGAGAGCGTCCCAATACAATGACGGATCCAGCAGACTCAAAATTGGACCGTCCCAAGGCAACGCACAGATATGGTTCCACTCAAGTGCTCGTTGCCTATGCTGAATTTGAGCAGCCGTGGCATCAGTGCAATTTGTAGGCTCTCACTAGCCACGTCGTCAATTTGCAAATGTGGCATCGGCCCTTCGTCGTTCTTCAACAAACCAACGGTCCTGTCCGTGAAGGATCGGTGTAGACGACATTACACATTTTCAAACCCCCTGAATCACAGCGAGGCCTCCCAGACCGCCGACTGTGGTGCCTTAGTATGGGTCCTTCATTGAAGGCTATCGGACTTCGCATGGACTGACGGGTCAAGAGCCTTGTGGAGGACGTGAACTGTTGTACGGCTGGGTGCTGGGCTTCATGGCGATGGTGAAGCCTCGTGCGCAAGCACTTTAAGCTCGTGCTCGAACGACTGGTGTTTTTGGGACTTTCCGAGGGGGCTGGTTTGAGCGACATGCATGCTTGCGATACCGAAAGCACGGACCGTGCGACCGGGAATATCTACCATAGACAAGAAATGGCGCATATGGCTTGCAAATGCAAGCGATCAATGGCATGTTTTCAGCTCTGGATTGAGTGCCTTTAAACGTGCTCGGCATGTATTTTTGAGCTAAGGCTGCCACATCCTTGTTCGCCAGCGTGTCCCTCGATGGAGATCTCAGCTGGGACTCAGATAAGCCAGGCTCCGGGAATTCGCGAGGGAGATGGTGGCAGCGGCCAATAGCAGTGGCATGGACTTTGATCTATCCCTGATTTCTTCCTCAGTAAATGCGGAGGCGGATGTTCCCTTCCCAAACGTACCATGCGGGAAGTTAGCGGACAAAATATCTTACTCCTGCCGTTGAGCCGGGGCTAACTAGGCAAGCTATACCGAGGGAATCAAAGTCGGCGGTCGCGTGTCGAACGGTACGGGATCGTGAGGAGACCCACCATGGCAGGACGAAGCTTGCTGCAGTCTTCGTTGATGGGCATTGAGACTGCGAGCACATGTCAGGCTACGGATCTTTCAGCGGATTTGCTCGCTAACTTCTCCTGCAGAATTGAATTGCAAACTGGACGGTGTGGAAAGGAGCACATGTCTGAGAGAATGTCGAACGGACAGTAATTCCATCGGTGAGATGTCGCAGTGCAGAGGTGACGTTGGGACTGGAGCCATGGACAACACATGCAGAGGAAAGGATATTCCCGTTCGCCTTGGCTCAAGCGGTGAGACGAATTTGACAGACCACTCCGAGGTACTGAACGATGCCCCATCAGAAAGGATTTCGGGCATGCTCGTGAGAGAGAATTCGATGACAGCAGGGTTGACGGAAGGGTGCAGGTGCTAGCTGCAGGAATCCGAAGCCAGTGTGGTGGGAGTTCGGCAGACGCGTGAGGAAGTCGTGGTTGCTGTAGTCATCCTGATTTGAAATCGTGCCGGACATGATCCAGGCCCGTGTTGGTAGTTCCTAGGAAACTGGATGGACGGGATCTCGAATTTACACTACATGTTCCAGCAGAGCGGGAGGAGACATTTCCCGCATGTGTAGCTGTTGCTTGATGGTATAGCGACGCAAGCATGCAGGTGTAATTGGACGGGCAAGGGAGACGCTGCTCAGGTTCAAACAACCTTAGAAAGGGTTGCGATGAGTTGACATTGACACTGTTGCCGAGCATCATAAAAAAGGGCACGGGTCGAGTCTGCATTGCTGCCGGGACTCTTGCTCCATCTGTGAGAAAGCCCTTTAGATTTCAATTACATGTTTGTTTTGATTACTAGACTCTCTCCCATCTTTCTCACGACAGGGGCGGCACGAGGTCAGAAATCCAGTAAGCCAGGCAATTGGAGAGCAGACTGCAACCGACAACCAACAACAATCGTGGCTCCCTAGCCAGATTACCTGCAGGAACGCCTATACAGTGCTCCATAGGTAAGTTCTAGTTCACCTGCAAAACAATGCAAGCATTCCTGCAAACTGGCTGCACGCTGCCGACCTTCACTTCAGCCCCCATGGCACTGTGAATGACAATATTTGGGCTCAGCAGTTCACTCCCACCACCAGTCCAAGATATTTCTGTCTGTTACATGTCTGGGATGGAATAATCTTAAGTCGCTGTACTTATGTATACTCCCATCTAGGCTGCTCTTACCATCATCATCGACCCATCCACACGGCGGCAGTCTGCCGTCTGTGGCTCCTACTACCACCCTGTCGGGATTGGAGAAAGTCGCTCAAGCAGAGCGTCATTCCTTACCCGCAGCAAATCTCATCGGATCCGGCAACCACCTGAACCTGCACGCCAAGTGAAAGGGATCTCTGAGAGACAGCTGCACGCTTTACCTTCGCAGTCAATCTCGAAAACCCTTTGACGGTGCGTTCGCCAGGGTGACGAAACAGGTAAAGAGAACGTGTTGCGTGTGACGCGCAGTTCGCCAAGATCGAGGGACGGGCATTGGTCAGCGACTGCGTGGGCTGCCCGCATCCCTGGTCTTGCCCTCACAGCCACCGCGAAAAACCGCCCAGAAGCTTGTTCTGGTGGTTCCGTCCTTCCAGGCTGCGCACGAGGGGCTCTTGGTGCTCGCGGCAGCCAAAGGCCCTCTGCGGAAAAAGTCCTCACTACCGTGACATATCGCGAAATTTGCCTGGCTTGCCCTGGGCCAACTCGATCAGAAGGCTTTACGCACCGTAGTTAAGGCCTCACCTGCCGCCAAGGTCCAGCGCCTGCTGCGCTCCTCTTGTTTCCCAGGCATTTCTCGCAAAAACACACTTCACCACGTACCCTATCCCTCGCCACCCTAAGTATCATTATTACCAATATCCAACTTCGGCTGCACACAATCGAGAAACGACAACAAGAGAGCCCCCGAACTCAGTCAGATTATTCCCTTTGCATTATAACTAGATTCGCGATACACAGACTGCGTCCACAAACATCAGACCTTATCTACCGCCACTAAACGTCGAGAGATAGGGCGTCCTGCCCGACCGAAACAGTCTCCCCCACTCGTCACCTACGCCCTCCCGACATCCGCTATTCACATGAATCAGGCACCATCGCCAACCCATCTCGCTCCCCCAATCTCCCCTACATTCGTCGAATCGCCTGTACACTCGTCGCAAGACGATGCGTCGACACATTCGATAACGAGGCCGGGGGAGGGTACGGCACATCACCAGGTTTCGGCCGCCAACGGAGCTGCCGTGCCTATCACGGGCCTATCCAATCTCTCCCCCGCGGACTCGAGTTCTGGCGCAGCTGCGCCTGTCAAGCAGAAGCCTAAGATGACGCACCGTCTGACACGAATGTTTTCTCGGACCGACGCCAAAGACGTTGAAGCTGCCAAAGCCGCATCCGAGCTAAAAGATTCATCTCCCAACGATCGGTCCGGTTCAGAGAACGGCAGCATCAGCAACGGTAGAAAATCTCCCAGCAGGCAGGGTTCGAGTGACGAAAAGACCGGCAAGAAGATGACAATTCTTGGTGCAGCCAAAGAAAAGAGCAAAGGCGACCCGCTCTCAGATGGCTCCTACGCTGCTCACAAGAGATTCGAGATGCACGAGGATGGCACCCACGAACATCACCTCAAGTCTGCCAAACGGCAAGAGAAACTATCCGACATGCTCCGCGACATGCTCGGCGGTAGCAAGAAGAGAGATCACGATGGTGGCGGTGATCAGCAGCTGACGCTCATGTCGTCCTGGGTAGACCAGCTGAGGTTGGAAAAAGACAGCCTCGCTTCCGACAGAAAGGGTGGTCCAAATGCCACAGCGAACTTGGTCGAGAAGTATGGCAAATGCCAGGAGATCGTCGGCCGTGGCGCTTTCGGCATCGTCCGAATATCCCACAAGCCTGATCCCAACAGCGCCGGAGGAGAACTGCTCTACGCTGTCAAGGAATTCCGTCGTCGCCCACAAGAGACAGCCAAGAAGTACCAAAAGCGCCTGACAAGCGAATTTTGCATATCCTCGTCGCTTCGGCACCCGAATATTATTCACACGCTCGATCTTCTGCAAGACGCCAAGGGAGACTATTGCGAAGTCATGGAGTACTGCGCTGGCGGTGATCTGTACACCCTGGTCCTCGCAGCTGGTACTCTCAACGTCGCCGAGGCCGATTGCTTTTTCAAGCAGTTAATGCGTGGTGTCGAATACATGCATGAGATGGGTGTCGCACATCGAGATCTCAAGCCAGAGAACCTCCTCTTGACTACACATGGTGCCTTGAAAATCACAGATTTTGGCAATGGCGAGTGTTTCCGGATGGCATGGGAAAAGGAAGCCCATCTGACCGCTGGGCTTTGCGGCAGTGCACCCTACATAGCCCCGGAAGAATATGCTGGTGGCGAATTCGACCCCCGTGCTGTCGATGTCTGGGCATGTGGCGTCATATACATGGCTATGCGAACCGGTCGCCATCTGTGGAGAGTGGCCCGCAAGGAGGAGGATGAGTTCTATCAAAGATATCTTGAGGGACGAAAGGACGAAGAGGGCTATGCCCCGATCGAGACCTTGCACAGGGTAAGTGTCCTTCCCTATCACGAATCGACTTTCTGCTGACGTTCACTTTGCAGGCTCGCTGCAGAAACGTTATCTATTCAATCCTCGACCCAAATCCTGGCCGCCGGATCACTGCTTCTCAAGTCCTGAAATCGGAATGGGGAAGAGAGATCAAGGTTTGCAAAGCGGGTGAAGAAGGCTACTGACCCTTCTTTGGCCCGTCATGGCCTAAACGCCGTCGACTCGGCTAATTCAATCGCTCGTGGTCTAGACACGAGGACGACTTTGACGAAGCGATGATTGAAGCGTTTTCTCAACAGAGAATAAAAAGACCGGCGTCTGTTTCTTTCCCCGTTCTTTTCCAGCATTGCATGCGAGATACCAACCAGACCGAAAAGATATGTGGCAGCAAAGCAGTCTGTCACTGACTGCATTTGGATAAGAGGCGAGCACAGGCATCGTTTCCAGCACGTTATGAACCCATATGGCGAATGCACCTTACGACGTTCTCTTCCGCTTCTTCCTCATAGCCGCGCGGAATTCTTTCAGCACGCGCCTTTGCATGTACCAACACTCGACGGTGGTCTACCTAGCATACAACTTCATGTTTGCCACCGCGAGGCCCGGCACGGTCAACTACTTTTGCCGACCTTGGATCTCTGCATTGTTGCTTCAAGGCCCAGGCAACTTCCGACCGATACACTGTACTACGAACCTAGGGGATGCTGTTCTGATACGAACCCTTTTTGATACTTGATTACTTCAGGAAGAGCGCCATCTTTTGAGCGAGATGAATGAAAATGAAAAGATTCTGAGCCTGTTCCCGACGCAGTCGATTGCTGTCTTGCTAGGTGGCGTGGAGACAGCGCGGACCTCATGGGATCCAGCTGGGACCGAGGTGACGACCTAGATCCAACCTTTGAAAAGACCTGCTCCGCCTTGCCGCCGCTTAAATGAGCCTTTTCAATGGCTGAATACTCGGCGCCGTGCTCTTACTTTAGCGTCTCCTAGATACAGTACATACTCCAACAGTCGCCCACATTCGGCTCCTGGCCTGCCCTGCCAGACCTGTGCCTGACAAGGACTGCGCCTCGAAGTATCTTGCATATGCGGGCCTGGTCAGATTAAAGGAGACTACATGCCACTACACGTGCAAGCGTGCAAGCAAGCAAGCCCGTTGCCGAGGCCCTTTCGTCCATACCGGCAGTTTGAGCATCCCATAGCATGGTTCGAATGCTTTCGGCCTCTGAGAGCAACTGAGTCAGCTAGCTAAGCACAGTGGTCGTGCGGTATACATATTCATGTCTCCTGCAAATTATCTCATCTTTCAACACGATCCTACCGTGACGGCGTTGTGTGGTTGTGGTGTGCTATGCTGTGCTCGACCACCCGCGCTCGCTATCCTGCCATGCCCGCGCGACCAGATGTTAATTGAATCCGCATGCGTGACCATTTTTGACGTGGAAGGACATACGTGTGGAGAGATCAAGCCCTGAACTCGCTGGGCATTACCTGAGGATATGTAAAATATCTCCTTCGTACTCTGGACTGCGTACATGCGGAGTCGATAATTAATCATGCTGAATCCTGAGTCGAGGTCCAGTACTATTCATTGCTGTGCTGGTGTACTGTACAGACTGACAGATGGCCGAAGCCATTCAAGTTATCAATGCCTGGACGCGTACGGAGTACATACATGACCATTGCCCATGCTCAGGCAGACAGTAGACGACACACATGCCCCCGACATTGACCTTGACCTTGACCTTGACCTTGATCTTGCTTTTCCATGATAGAGACAGAGACAGAAACAGTAAAGCCGTAGCACTCGGCCGATCCATCATTCGCAGCCCAGCACCTCATACTCCATTCGCCCTGCCCATGCTCGTTCCTGGCCAACTAGAAGTCCTTGGTCGAGACTATGGGGACGGAACGACGATCCAAGCAGCTCTTACGATTGTCCCACTGTTTGTTCCTCCCTCAGGCCTTGACACTCCATTGCAATCCCTGAAGCTAGGTTGGAGACATAAAGTCCTGGGACTTGCCCCGAAGCGGTCCACGAAGATATGACCGTTCAGACGGCGTCGAGGTGGCGTGTCGAAGTCGGTTGACTGACTCTTCGCCCGGCACCTGCTCTCCGAGTCCCTTGCCTCAGATGTTGCTTGATCCAGACAAGGAAGCGGAATGAATGTCGCAATCCGAAGCGTGTTCGACTTAGCTAGGAAGATGTTCAGTCCATCTAATCGCTGTCATCACTATCTTCTTTCACACCACTCTCTCGTTTCTTCTTGTCCTTCTTCTCCTTTTTCTCCTTCTTCCTCTTTTTCCGCTCGGCGCGCTCTTCGGGAGTCTCACCCTCGTGCTTACTCTTCCGCTTCTTCTCTTTGTCTTCCTTCTTGACGTTGACCGTAGAGTCGCCATTCGTGGCGGGAGTTACTGCTGCTACATCATCCATCGCCATGCTGGTGTCGCCGTCCTCGCCGGTTGGTGCAACAGCGGGAGCGGATAGAACATCGGATTTAGAGGTTGTTTCGGCCACAGGAGCGGAGGTGGTGCCTTCTGGGGCGGCGGCGTTGTAGTCTGTGTACTCGGCGTTCCATTTCGCCGGAGTGTTTTCGTTGGGTCGGCCATATTTCTGTGAGGAACAATCGTCAGTGCAGATAGCGTGGAGGTGGAGAAATGCAACATACATCAAGCTTTCCATCGGACTTCATTTTCTTCTTTTCCAAGGCCACTGGACCCATACCCCATCTTCGCGGGTACAGGTCCCTCTCCATGATACATCTCTTCACTTTGGCGACAACTCCGTGGTCACAGGTCGAAAGCTCCACCGTGGACATTTGCGCAATCCCAAGCGCGATGGCCTCTCCTTTTGTGGTCATGAGGACGACTTCTTCGTGTACCTCGATGCCAGCTTCAAAGCGCAGAAGACCGGGAATCATGAGTTTGGCGCCGTAGCACACGGCATTGACCGCACTGTCCTTCACCACAATTCGCTTATATGTGGTCAACAGGCTTTCGAGTGGAGAGATAACTTTTCGAAGGTACGCTTCGTCTCGGTTATTGTCATGCATCCATTGAGCATCCAGCACGTCGTGCAGTGTGACCATTCCATCAGCCTCAGCCATCGCTCCACTCCTTACTCGTCGCAGTTCTTGCATGTGTGCGCCGACTCCGAGCAACAACCCCAAGTGCACACAGAGTGTCCGAATGTAGGTGCCGGCTTCGCAGCTGACCCAGAACACGCCGAGATGTCGATCGTTGTCGAACTCGTAGAGCTTGCTTTCGTGAATGGTACGGATACGAAGCTGTCGCTTGACGGCAGAAATAAGAGGTGGACGTTGAAAGAGAGCTCCTGTAAGTGTCTCTAATGCTCGCGCAAACTGTGCTTCGCCCCCAGGCAGCTTGTCGTGCAATCGGATGACGCAAACGTATTCCTTTCCAGCACCTTGTTGCGACTTGACCAGCCGGGTGGCACGGTCTATGCACACAATCAAACATCCTGTGACCTTGGGGTCGAGCGTGCCGCTGTGACCGGTCTTCTCTACTCGCAGAATTCTCTTGACCCAGGCGACAACTTCGTGGCTAGACGGGTTTGAGGGTTTGTCGAGGTTGATGACACCTGACGAGATGTAGGATTTGAGGTCGCGCTTCAATGGTGTGCAACCGACTGGGATTGGCGTGAAATGGCCGGTTCGCACGAGTACTGCAGTATTTGTGTGAGCTCGAATCGCTATACACTAAACCCATGGGAACATACACTTGTCATAATTCTTCAGCAGTAGAGGCCACTCGGAAGTCGGAATATTTGGCGTGACATTCTCTGGCTTGATGCTGAAATCGGCATCCTCGACTTTTGCCATATTGGCGGAAATTTTTGGCCGTGCGAGAGCCGAGTCCTGGAGCGCGAAGTGCGCGCGCACAAAGCCCACAAAGCTCGAAGAAACCGGACAGAGCTATTAAAGACTCTGGGCGTCTCTGGGGATAGGTGACTGGGCGACAGAGTGAGCAGAACGTGGAAGTCCCGTATGCAAATTGAAATATTGTGCTCGCAGTCTACAAGCAACAGATGGAGTCGCAAAAAATCGAGCGGAGACTTCGGTGTCTTGTTGTTCCGTTCCGAGGCTGTGGTGGAGCCTCGTCTTGGCACAACTCACTGAACTTTCAAGCCAGCATCTTCGAGACACCTTGTCCGAAACACCAACAAGTTCATTTATGCCCTGACATTCGTCTCGAATTCCTCCTTTCCGCGGGACTGGTCCAAGATGAGCGGCGGCGGTACTGACATTATGGACAGGTTTTGGAGTGCTCCTCCGGTCACTCGGTGGGCGATCTGATGGATTTGCAGCTTTTCTTCGTGTTGCTAATTTCGCCTGCAGGACAATCGTGGCAGCCATGTTTGCCGAGTCGGCTTTGGTCCATTCGGGCCTCCTCAGCGGCATGAGAGTTGTGTATTATACGCCCTGGGTATTCAAGTTCCCTCCGGAGCTCTGGCGAGTCCTATCAGCCTTCCTCCTGACGGGTGGCGGCTTCTCTTTTGTTTTCGACCTGTACTTTAGTAGGTCAACAAGTTCTTTCCCATCGTGAGTCGGCGCTGATTGCTTCAGTGTTCACATATGCCTCTGGGTTGGAGCTCAACTCGCCGCGGTTCACTCAACCTGGCGACTTCTTCACTTATGTGGTTTTCGTGGCCACTTCTATTTTGGTAAGCACGTGAGCTCTTTCTTTTCTCTATTTTCAATACCGTACCCGTTCCATATTCATCTGCTTACCCCAGTTCTCCATGTCTGTTTCTGTCTTTCCCAAGCATACCTCGCATATCTGCCCGCCCAGCCTTTCCCTAGCTGAAGCGGTTCCTGGAAACGAGGGAGATTACCCCTGTGGCACATACAGAATCCGTCATTCGCAAATCTGTCAAAGGACTGTATGCGGTGCAGGTATGGTGGGGGCTCAGTGAGAAAGCTATCCGCGATGCATCAAATTGCGGGTAGCGGTTCGGGCCTCCTACATTCAAATACCTGTATCAACCCATTGTTTAGATTTCAGCCTGCGTATGCTCTGGTAGCACGCTAACATCGAGGCAGGTGTCTGGTGGTCTTTTCCTGGGAGCCAACGTCTTCACCCAGTCCCTCATGCTTGCATTCATCTATACCTACGCCCAAGACAACCGGGGCAAGAAAGCTCACTTTGTCATCCTTCAAATCCCTGTCGAGTTTCTCCCCTGGGCGATGCTTACACTCACACTAATTATGGGAGGTCCGCACGCAGCCTTGCAACAAGCAACAGGCGTCTTTGCATCTCACCTCTACGACTTCTTAACAAGACTGTACCCTACTTTTCAAGGTGGACGGAATTATATCCAAACTCCCGCTGCCATCAAGAGGTACTTTGGCGCCAATACAAGCACCTACACCCACAGAGGATACGGGACAAGCTTTAGACCGGCCCAGAATATCCCTCAACAGCAAAGTCGAAGCTGGACAAGCGGCTTCTCGAGTTCTTGGAGTGGTCGAGGTGCGGGTAGGCGCCTAGGAGGTGACTAAAAGCGTCGTTATACGACACGAATTACCGTGATATGTACAAACACCATGTGATGACCATAATCGTGATACCCGACATCAAACACCTGCCTGTCTTCAACAGAAACAATTCCATCATGCTCAGACGGCGATTCTTGCACGGGATTGTTCATGCCAAGAACGGCGTGTGTCTGAAACACGGCGAGGCCCGGCGGATATCCACACCCGTATCCACAGCCTCGTCTCTCCCACAAGTCTCATGCACTCTCTGTCTCACGGTTGCAGTGTTTCCCGCAGATCTGCTGGCACGTTTCCTGTCTGAAATGCTTCGACTGGCCTCAGCCAAGCCGACGTTGCTGCAGCATATGTCCCATCAGTCGACATGGTGGAGGTGGGACCCGCCTCGAAGCATCGGAGACACCGACCACGCAGTTCTTGACACAGACCTCTCGCTTTCGCTTGGCTGGAACCTCAACTGCGCATGCACATTCGTCGGCTCTCATGCTGTGTTGAGCAGATTTGTGGGCAACAAGGCTGGTGCACATGTGTGATCAACACTCAAGCATGAAAAAGCAGAGCGTGCTCGCCTCGACCCCGTCCACAGTCTCGATGTGCAACATGCAAGAGAAAAGTGGCCCTTGAGTCACTTTTCCATGGATACCCATACGAAAAGTGAATGGGATCAAGCAAGGCAAGCATTGACACGGGTACCAGTTTTCTTGCGCTGCTCGCTCTATATCAATCGAGCAGCCTGCCCTTACACCTTCCTTCCTCCACTCCCAGCTGCGTCAAAGTTCCGTGCCCTCTCCTTTCTTTTTCAATTTCGTTACAGCGGGCAGGTCCTGCTGCCACCATCCTTCATTTCAGACCTAGGCTCGCCTTCTTTTACTTTTAGCTCAGACAACAGGTTGTCCTTTCATTTCCACACTACACAATGGGCCGGTTCCTCTCGCTTTTCTTCACCCTATCACTTCTTCTTTTACCAGGAATACTGGGCTATGTCCTCCCCGTAACGCCATCCAGCCATGACCTTGCCTCGCGTCGCGACACCATTCTTCCTCGACATCGTCAGAAGGGCAACAACGACGGCAATGGCAACGGCAACGGCGGCAATGCCGATGCAGACAACGGTAATGGCGGCGACGATGCCAATGCAAATAACGCCAACGCCGGCGCCAGCGCAGTAGTGTCAGCGGACAATTCTACCAGTGTAGCCGCCGCCTCTGCCGGCAATTCAAGTGCTGTTGACGCATCAGCCGTGGACGCCACGGCACAGCTCGACGCAGCCGCCGCATGCATGGCTGCCGCCCTCGAATCAGCTGCAACGGCTAATGGCACGGACGTCATCGCCGTGGACAACAGCACCATGGCGGCCATTGCGGCTTCGTGTGCAGGAAATTCAACAGAATTAGCAGCAGCTATGGCCGCGGCCTTGAACGATGCTTCGGCTGCGGCTGCAAGCAACGCGACTGCTGCCGTGGACGGATCCGCTGCTGCTGCTGGGAACGCGACAGCTGATGTGTCCGCAACCAACAGCACTTCCTCCAGCACGGGGAATGGCAACGGTAGAGGCAACGGCAGAGGTAACGGCAACGGTAACGGCAACAGTCGCGGCTCCAATAGGAACGATGGTTCCAACAATGACGCCGCGGCCAACAGCCAAGGAACCAGTAATGGACGGAACAACGCAATCAACATCATCATCGACGACGCCCTCAGCGTGGTTACCTCTGTGCTTGGGGGTAGGCAGAACGACAAACGGGCGCCCAGGGGGGACAGAAAGGATGTGGTACGACGGAAGTTACCTTCCGGGTTGGGTGAACGGGCTTTCTGAAAGGGTCTTCAGTGACCTCGAGTTTGCGGCGTGAGGGTTCCAGCATTGGATTGCTAGGGAGGGTAAAGTCCACCCGCACAGAACTTGTACAATAACCGGAAAGAGGGTTGCAGGGCCCGTACCTTTGGAAAGACAACAGGTCGAACAAGGAAACATGGGATAGGCTGTCACGGCAAGGCAGGGAAGACAGGCAAACCGTTCCAGAGAAGACGCTGGACGGATCATATGGGTAGATAGAAACCAAAATGGGAAGGAAAAGCCATACGTGCAATGAAAATGCTATCTAACGCCGGAGCTGGCCAAATAACGTTTTGTGCTGCACATGAAATGAGAGCACTCGAAACAAGCAGTTCGACGGGCTTGAGCAATGGTCGAGATGTGGACCATGGCCGAGCTGCAGACAGTGAGATTGATGTTCACTCAGTTTCATTTCACCTCTTAAGAAGCCCATCTCAATGGCATGTGGCGGTAAAACACTCCATGGCTATGCTTATGGCTCAATGTAGCCCGTCATACAGGTGGGAAGAGAATTCCGAAATAGCTACATGCCATATCTGCTCTGTCTCTCGGCTCTTAGGGGGTGTAAGTATGCTCTTCAACGTCTGTAACGTGGATGATGTGGTTAAGGTGGTTCTTGATGCGGTTGTCCTCGGAATGCTATGCGCTATGCTGCATGGTCACGGTCTGCCTCAGCCTGCCACCGATAAAATGAGATGTGTGCGAGCAGCATCTGCTGCCAGGCCTGCCCTGATGTCCGCGCTAGCTTTTCCAAGGAAAAGATGATCCCTGCCCTAGCTCATGCTGACCCGGAGAAGGTAGCGAAGTTTGATCTGCGCCACGTCGTACACGATGTATTCGTTGTACCTGTAAAGTCTGTCAGCAAATGTAACCATCCGAAAGAGGAGTAGAATCACATGAGAAAGGCACCATCGACATTGGCCGGCCCTGGAGGCTTGCTGACGACGTCAGGCATCTTCACCCCTTTGAGGCTCGGGTGAATACAAGCAGCGTCTTTCCAGGCTTGTGGAGCGACCGATCCTTTACCCCAGGTAGAGATGCGGCCCTGGTCTATGCAATGCGCACCAGCGTTGTAGTCGGCGCCAGTCAGCTCGAGCATTGGCGAGCCCAGTTCGGTTTCACAGAGAAGCAGGATCCCTGTGCCACCGCTGATGCCTGGCACACAGTAACCAGCACTTTTTGAACTCATGTCAGCAAGATAAACGCCTTTGCCAAACATGTAGCCGGAAACTGGCGCCTCAGGTGGTGCAATGCGTAGACCTTGGCTGAGAATGCCACCAAAGTTCGAAGCACGCGAACCATGCCAGAGCAGACGACGATCACTCTTCGCTCCCAGTTTCGCATAGGATGATTTGTCGAGACGGTCAAATTCGCCATTTCGTTCGATACGGAAAATGTCCTGAACTGTATACCGGATATTGTGGGTGCCGCCGACAGACTTGGTCAAGTAATTGGTGATCTCGTTATACTCTGAGCCGGTCGGGGTTAAGGGTGTCATCTCTTTCATACCTAGTCCATCATATCGCGCATCAAGAACATTGATGTTCTTGTGTTTCTGGACTGATGCGGACTTCATGATCTCGTTCGCCAGTTGCATATCTGTCAAGGCCTCGAGGAGACGGATTTCTCTCTGCATAACAGTCAGTGGGAACTTGAGCTAGTATGTGAGAAGAGTCGGGACGGCGGTGGTACCTTAATGGAATCCATATTGCGGAGGACAGGCACCTGTCGTCTACCAACGACGTGGGGAACGAGTGAGAAATATTGATTGCTCCGGTCTGCAACAGCCTGGGATTGGCTCTCCCCCATGGTAGCCGCAACAGTGGGGTCGGCGACGAGAGAGGCCAGCTCCTTCAGAACTTCGTAACCCTTGAGCAACGTCTTCTTACTGAGTTTTCCCAGCGGCATCTTATTGGCGTCGTAGTCAAGTTCGGCCATTGTGGCGTTGAAGTACTGCATGTTGAAGATGAGTTCCATCAATCGTTGCACCGGCGGTTCAAGTTTGCTTGGAGCGGAGACTTGCTCTTCTTCCTCGCCGTCATCTTGGTCTGGTACTGGCATCTTCTTCTCGTCCTCCGTATCCGAGTCTTCGTAGTTGACCTCCAGGTAGACGTACTTACCCTTCTTTGAGGGTCCATCTCGCTCTTCCCAGGCAATACCACTCTTCTCCTTGAACTTGGCCTTGAACTGTGCAATGGCGTGAAGGCAGTCGCCCTCCCCAAACCACTTGCTTTGACCTCTGTCACCCACTCTACCCCACCGGGTCCAAGTCTTGAAGTTGTTGTTAGTTTCCAATACTTGCACTCTGTAGAACTTGTTGTTGTTTGCACCGGCATCTGATTTGTTGAGAGTGGCGTCATAGATCACCCCGTCACCATCGATGTACACTGTGTAGTCTGAAGCTGAGGGGACCTGTTGATCAACGGGGACTTTGATGGCTGACTTGGCATTGGTAGCAGCAGTGGCTGCGGTCTTTTTTGTCAGGCCAGACTGCTTTGATTTCTTCGGTGGCTGGAGGTCGTCTTCTTCCTCGTCGTCCTGTTGTCTGGTACGCTTTGATGCTTTCTTGGGGCCGCTGGCTCTCTGAGGAGGTTGGCTTTGGTTGGGTTTGAGAGCATCAACACTATTCGAAGCCGAATCCTCGGGGTCAACAAGAAGGTAATCATCGACAGCGACAGGAATGCTTGACGCTAGTGAGTCGGCAAGCCATTCGTAAGAGACGATAGAGGTATTGGGGTTCTTCTCGAGTTGCTTGATTCGATCAATTTTCTTGTCAAACTGAGCTTGGGAGGCAATCATGTGAGTGCAATCGCTCGGCTTTGTTGTGTAAGAGCCGCCGCAATTCGAAATATCAATCTTCAATTCAGCAACACTCTTGTTTCCGAGCTCGGGATGAGCATTGGGTGTGTAAGAAGCAAATGAGATTGTAACGCCATCAAGAGAAGGGACAGCAGACTTAGGAGGCGCTTTGATGCGAGGCATTTTCACCAGAAGGTCTAGCAGGATCAGAACGATTGAGAGACGGCACGATGATGAGAACAGAGAGAACAAACCTGTGTTTATGGCCTTTGAAGGTGTAACATGCATCTGAAGGGCAGCTGTGAGATGCGAGGCAGCAGCAACAGCGAAGTGGAAACTTTACCAGGCGCGGTCAGGCACAACGGTGCTAGTGGATCGGTCGCGCTATCACGTGGCTATGACGTATGCCCCCCCACCTTTGCCTCGCATTGGTGTTCGACCCATCGGAGCCTCGTGAACGGAGTAGTAGCCGCAAAATGCAATGTTCACAAGCCTTTAACCATTTCCAAATCAAAGCCGGCGATCATGGCTGACAAGAGTCAAGCAGAGACAAACCCTTTGCTACGACGGCCGCTATACATCTACGACCTTCCTCCTGAGTTATTATTCACCCTTACACTCGCCGGAAAGGAACAGGCGCAGCCACCCGACCATATTCCCACAGATGAACCTACAGTGCGGCACACTAACAACAACGAAGACGGTGTTGCGAACTCGACATCGTGTACGCTGTGCAAAGTCAAATTCAACACTGTTCAAGACCAGCGAAACCACGTCAAGTCAGATTTCCACCGATACAACCTCAAGCTGAGCATAAAACAGCAGCCTCCCGTCGACGAAGCAACCTTTGTGCGCCTAGTCGGTGACTTGGACGAGTCATTGTCGGGCTCCGACTCGGATGACTCTGAGGACGAGAATGACGAGGGGTTAAAAGATGGAGACAGCACACTCACGGCTCTGCTGAGAAAGCAGGCCAAAATATCTCGCCCTGATGTCAATGGCCAGACAGAAGGCTCTGGGAAGCGTGGATTTGGAAATGCGCCTTTAATATGGCTTTCAAGTCCAAAAGTAGGGGACGACGTCGGCTTAGGAGTCTACAGGGCTATTTTCTCGTCGGAGGAGCAGGAACAAGCGCCCGCGTCTTTGGTGGACATCATCCAGAAGAAACAGCTGAAGCCAGCGCCGGCAAAATTGAGCGGGCAAGCACAAAAGGGTGCAATGCAAGCCGCTCAGAAAGATCCCCACTTCTTTCTCTGTATGATAGGGGGTGGCCATTTTGCAGCCATGGTTGTTTCATTGGTGCCAGAACTACGGAAAGGGCCCGGCGGCATTGAAGAACGCCATGCGGTCGTCAAAGCTCACAAAACGTTTCACCGATATACCACGAGACGGAAACAGGGCGGCTCGCAATCGGCAAACAACAACGCTAAAGGCAACGCACATTCCGCAGGATCATCCATCCGGAGGTACAATGAGATGGCGCTAGAAGCCGATGTCAGAGCTGTGCTGCATGATTGGAGAGTTATGATCGACAATGCCGAATTGCTCTTCGTACGTGCAACAGGAACTACCAATAGAAGGACGTTGTTTGGACCCTATGACGGCCAAGTCTTGAGAAGTACAGACAAGCGGATACGCGGCTTCCCATTCAGTACCCGTCGAGCAACCCAAGCCGAACTGCTTCGTTCCTTCCACGAACTGACCAGGCTTAAGATTGGTAGGTTGACCGAGCCTGAGCCGGAGAAGTTGGCCCCTGAGAAGGCGCCGAAGGAACGGAAAGCGAAACCTCAAGCCCCAAAACTGAGCAAAGAAGAAGAGGCGGCACAATTTCACACCTCGCAACTGCAAGCCCTCATCCGGCGGTCCAAGGCACCCGGAGTCCTCCTCTACCTGACCAAGAACGACCTGTCCCCTGACTTTACCTTCTTCCCTGCATCAGACCATCACCACGCTCCGACACCGCTCCACCTCTCCGCCTCCACGAATTCCCCTGCGCTGATCCTAGCGCTCCTCGCCAAGGTCAGAGCCAATCCAACTATCAGAAACGACGATGGCAAGACGGCGTACGACGTCGCAGGAGACACCAAGACACGGGATGCCTTCCGCATCGCTCGCCACCAGCTAGGCGAAACCGCCTTTGACTGGGCCGCCGCCCACGTCCCCTCGGCTCTTTCCCAAGAAGAAGTCGATGCCAAAGCGGCACAGGAGAAATCAATCTCCGACGCAGCGGAAGCTCAGCGCAGACAAGCTGATCTAGAGAGGTTGAGGCAGGAAGAAGAGAAGCGTAGTGTGAATCGGATCGAGCGGAAGGCTGGCGCGGGCAAGACGCTCACAGCAGCAGTGGAGAAGACGGGCGCCGAAAGGAGAGAAGAGGAGGCGAGAGGCCTGACGCCCGAAATGAGGATGAAGCTGGAGCGCGAGAGGAGAGCAAGAGCGGCGGAGGAGAGGTTGAAGCGTATGCAAGCTGGACGATAAACCTGATGATAAAATGATACCCATGAAAGACTACACCGGATGCTGCCAAATCTGCTTCCCAGCCTCGACCAACATGACAACTGCACATCGTGTTCGGGATGGCTGCATGCTCCACCATTTTCCGCTACCTCATACGGGGAGCGACATCCCTCTTGCGCCCGTCCACGGCCACCCATCCTCTTCACTCAAACCACAATCTCATGCTCCTTGAACAGCGGGAAGTTCCTCATCAGATGATCCCTGGCCTGCACAAACTCGCGCTGCAGCACCTCCTTGTGCTTGTCGCTCCGGATCGTAATCTCGCACCGGTACGGCTGGGGCCGGATGTTGAACCCCTCGGTGTAATTGTACGTGTCGTACACGACGCCCTTGGCCGGCTTGATGTCGAAACACCACAGCAGGTGCGCGATGGCGATGAAGAGGTTGTTGCTGGCAAGGTCGGCGCCGGGGCAGATGCGCCGGCCCCAGCCGAAGCTCGAGTGGCCAAGGCGCGACGGATGGGCGAGGCCATCATTCTCGCGCGGCGTGGCTGCCAGGTATTCCTTGGGCAGGTAGCCGAGGCTGTTTGGATCCTTGTCGAGGAAGCGCAGCGGGTTGAAGTGGTCCGGGTTCGGGTAGTACTCCGGGTTGAGGTTGATGGCCCAGCTGTTGCCCAGGATGTTGGTGCCCGTGGGGATGTAGTAGCCCTTGTAGGTGTCCGGCTCGGTGCTCGCGTGCGGCGTGCCACCCAGCACGGCGACGGGCCGCCAGCGCAGCGCCTCCTTGCACAGCGCGCGGATGTACGGCAGGTTGAGCTCGTCCGAGTACACCGGCAGGCGGTTGGAGCCGATGACGGCGTCCAACTCCGCGTGTGCGGCGGGCAGGACCTCCTGGTGCGTCACGAGGGCGAGGATGGCGCTGCACAGCGTGCTGGCCGTGGTGTCGGCGCCGGCGCCGAAGATGCTGGCGGGGAGGCCGTTGAAGTCGCGCTCGCCGAGCAGGGCGAACGTCGCCGGGTCGGTGTCGCGTTGTTCGAGCAGTGACTTGGCCAGACTGGGGGCCAGGGGAGGGGCGCCGGGCTTCTTGGCGTTCTCCATGTCTTCGCGCACGTAGTTCATGAGTTGCTTGTCGGCCTGTTCGTTCTCGTCGCCCCAGCCGCGGACCTGGCGCTTCCAGGGAGCGAGTGCCTCGGGGACGCTGGCGAGGATCGGGAATGACTCGGCCAGATACCGGCCCGGCACGTTCAGCGACGCCATGATGTGCATCAACTTCATGCGCTGGCGGATGATCGGGGACTGCATGCTGTCGATGCGGTGGCCGTAGGCAATGGTGAAGACGACCGATGCCGTGAAGCGGTCCAACAGGCTCTCAAAGTCCTGCGGGTTGTCCACGAGCATCTGGCAGAGACGCACGGCCTCGGCCTCTTGCACGGGCTTGTACTCTTGCAGGGCCCTCTGGGTGAGGACGCTGTGGAGGACCTTGCGCCGGACAGACCAGTCCTTGCCGTACTTGGCCACCAGGATGCCGCTGTTTTGGCTGTAGATCTCGCCCATGACGACGAACCGTGGGCGCGAGCTGTTCTTGTGGGAGCGCTTCTCGAGGAGTTCGGATGCGATGACAGGGTCGGAGATGATGATTGTTGGCCGACGGCCCAGCCAGAGCGTGTAGAATGGGCCGTATTTCTTGGACCATTCCTGGAATTGGATCCATGGGTATTTGTTCGGGATGTCGAACTTGTTGCCCACGAAGGGAAGCGGCCGAGGCCCAGGAGGCATACGCTTCCATAGTATCACATCGTGGATCAGGACACCGAGTGCCGCCACGAGCAGGAGCGCCGTCACGGCTGCCCAGGCCCAGAATACGGTTGACCAGCTCATTCTTGCTCAGTACCTTGACGAGCAGGTGATACTGATCTCTCTATGTGTTTCCGTCACGGTCGCCTGGAAGTCGGGAAGTCGAGTAGCCACAAAGAAGACCGACGACTTACAGTAAAGTAGTGAACTTCAGAGTCCAGAAGCTTGGGAGACTCGAGGAGGTTGTGCGTCGAAGAAATGCGCTGCACATCGGCACCGTCCCGGACTGAATCCGTCGAATCCCCTCACCAAGGGAGGCAAGAAGAAGCATTTCAGCCATCTCTAGGCACGTGGCCAATTGCACTGTCGATGACGCCGAGTAAAGACCCGGCGACCATTGGATGATGGACGCCGCCACTTCAGATGTGGTACCTTCGATGGAGGAGAGATGCGCTCCTCGTGGGGTCGCTTTGCAGATGCGGAGAAAGCCCATCGCCTGGCTTGACCCTGCTTAAAGCTCCCGATCCTCGGCAGTTGTAAGTGTGGATGGAGTGCCGGAGAAACCCCAGACCTTGAGATGCCTCTTCGCATCATGCGTCAGGGCTCGATTGGGATAGTGGACAGTGCGGCAGCGGACCAGTTGTGGGAGGGCAGGGGAACGGGCGATATTTTGGTCCGACAACAAACCGGAAGAATAGAACTGGATCAGCATTGACTTTGGAACCGTTGGATTTTTATGTATCAGCACTGTCCACGACACACGAGAATTCTCGGTCGAACCCTACCTCCAAAGCCCCAGCAGCAACCAAGAATCCAACGTCTAGTCACCATAATCAAAGATGCCAGAGTTTTTCAGACTCCCGCCTTCGGGCATCAAGGTCATAATTGTCGGAGCCGGTTTCGCTGGCTTGTGCGCAGCCATAGAATGTAACCGGAAGGGACATGATGTTATACTGCTGGAAAAGGTCGCCCAACTAAAGCCCCTGGGAGACATTATCAGCTTCTCCTCGAACTCTGGCCACATCTTCGAGCGTTGGGAGGGAGTCGTGGAGAAGCTCGAACCTATCATCCATCACAGTGACGGGCTCAGCTTCTATGACTGGAAGGGTACCTTTGCCACCAAACAAATCTGGGACGTCGAGAAGCAATGGGGCCGCCGCATCAATGGCCACCGCGGCGAGATCCATCTTGCCGTGTATGAGCATGCTAAAGCTCGAGGCATCGACATCCGGCTAGGGCAGCAGATTTCCGATTATTTCGAGACAGACACCGAAGCAGGTGTGTTTGCGAATGGCGAAAGGTTAACGGCCGATTGCGTATTTGCAGCCGAGGGCGTTAAATCCGCCGGAAGAAAGATTGTTTTGGGCTTCGAAGATCGACCTAAGCCGTCGGGATATGCAGTGTATCGAGCATGGTTTTCTTCCGACGAGCTTGCGAAGAACGAAAGGACGAAACATCTGGTCAACAACGGCGACTCTCACACCGGCTGGGTAGGTACCTCCTTCATTTCCGAGGAGAATGTGGGCTAACGGAACACCAGATTGGTGAGGACAAGCACTTTCTCGCCGCGGCGATCAAGGATGGCAAAGAATTCAGCTGGGTGTTGACACACAAGGACGACGCAGATATCGACGAAGACTGGCAGTTTCCGGGGAACAAGGAGGAAGTCAAGAAGAACCTGCAGGGATGGGATCCGGTAGTCCACGACATAGTCGATGCCACGCCCGCAGACCGGCTTGTCGACTACAAACTCGTCTTCCGAGATCCGTTACCGACCTTCATCTCACCCAAAGCTCGTATTGCGTTGATTGGTGATGCGGCACATCCCTTCCTGCCCACATCGATACAGGGAGCGAGCCAATCAATGGAAGATGGAGTAACGCTCGCTATCACGCTCGAGAAGAGCGGCAAAGATGACGTGCCCCGAGCGATCCGAGCATATGAAGCTATTCGATACGAACGCGTCCACAGAGCTCAAATGACGGGTGTGACAACACGGGAGCAGTGGCACAAGGCTGATTGGGATAAAATCTGGAAGGACGTCAAGTCACTGCACTTGAAGCGGGAATCCTGGTTGCTCGACTTTGATGCTGAAACACACGCGTACGAAGTGATAGACGACGTGCTGAAGAAATTGGACCGCGGCGCGACGGTCAAGGCAGACGCGGTTTCGGAGCCAACTCCTGCTCCCGCGAACGGCGTGCAGAGCAGAATTGCGCAGGAGATTGATCAGCTTGCGTAGCTTGAGTGAAGACGTGGTGAATGAGCATGAAGCAACTCTGACTCCCTGACAGATGAACAGAAGATATCAATAAATCCGTCTGACCGAAAAACAGCAGTAGTAACAAGGCAATCCGTCTGTCAGACAGGAGACGCATAGGCGCGTTAGTGCGCGTTGTCTGTTTCTTGTCGAGGCCACTTTCAACACTCTGGTCGCCTTCCACAAATACCGCATGTCTCCAGGTTACTAATCGCGCGTTGAAGGCGGGATGTCAGACCGGCCGGACTCGTTTCGAATACGATTGCCTCGTACATGGGCACCAGGTTCACGATCCATCACGCACGCTACTCGGACCACAAAGATTATGATTCCCCGCCGGCCGAGCAAAATGCACACGTCGTCAAGATACGCTTTCTGCAACAAGAGGCTCAATTGCCGGACTATGTGCATGACGGTCTCCGGGAAGTGCACCTTCACAGTGGGAGGTGAGCTTTCCGGAGCTTCGCACTCGTGCTGCGTGGATGATGTCTTGATGTCCGAACTCTTCCACCCACTCCTGACACACAGACCGATCAACACCAATTTAGCCGAACCCCCCATTTCCCACTTTCGGCCCGTGGGGTAAGTCGGCGGCAATGGATCCTCTTCAATCGTCCGTCCAACCTGGAGACGGAGCCACTGCGTACACAGTAGTGGCGACCGCTTGATGCAGGGCTTGCACGTCCGACCACATGGGCACTCGCCAATTGTTTCTCCCTTGTCAGTGGGAGTATTCCGGTGGCCTCATGCCTTGCCTCCTGAGAACACATTTTGACCCCCCAATATACCGCTGTAGCGTCCAGATTGGACTCGATCTGCGGCGATCAAGATGGAGGAGCGAAGCTTCATGCTACTAGTGCCCTAAGTACCACGCTTCTTTCAGCCAAATGGAGTTTAGTGGTCCGGAAACGCAGTGGAACGCTCGCGCCCTTCTGCTCTAGCACACGCGCCATCGCCTACGTTATCACCAGGAGTAAGTCAATCAGGTAGGGATCCAGTGCGGAGGGGATTTTTCGAGCTCTGCTGGTATTTTTGGTATTTAAGCTGCGAAACGTCCAGTCACTCTGTCTTCGCCTCCAGCCTTGTCACTTCTCTGACATCAAAGCCGCTCTACCAAAATGCCTTTCGGAATCCTCGACTGTAAGAAGTTGGAGAACGTGCCTGGCACGGCCTTCATGAGCGACCAGGATGACTTGCCACCAGAATACGCAGACATACCTCGAGAAGTACTGAAGCACGGCAAGGGCAGGTTTTCCAACATCATCCTGATTCCTCAGCCCTCGGATTCACCCAATGATCCTCTTAACTGGCCGCAATGGAAGAAGGAAATGATTCTTCTCGTTGTCAGCCTGTCTGCCGCCGTCGTCGGCGCGTTCGGGCCGATGCTATCGCCTGGCTTCGTCGAGATCTCGGCGCAACTCAATATCACCGTTGAGATCTTGTCGCAAGCTACGGCATGGCTGATTCTCACCATCGGTCTCGGTCTCTTTCTGACGAATCCCTTGGCCAAGATCTACGGCAAACGGCCGATCTACATCCTTGCCAGCTGCATCATGTTCGCCTGCTCGATATGGGGAGCCAAAGCCGGCAATTACAACAGCTTCCTGGCTTCAAGAGTCATCTCCGGCATCGGCATGGCTCCGTACGAGGTACTTTGTCAATCACCTACCTGAGAAACACAGAATGCTGACAAGCTGTGCCTAGGTCCTGGTTCAATGCACCATCGGAGATTTATATTTCGTTCATGAACGCGCGACACGAATCGCTGTCTGGAATCTGTTCCTCTTGACCGGCATCTCCGGCGGAGCCCTCGTTGCCGGCTATATCATCGAGTACGATGGATACGAGTGGACGTTCGGCGTCTGTGCCATTTTCTTTGGCATCCTGCTGTTTGCGGTGGTCTTCCTGGTGCCAGAAACCACGTTCCGCCGAGACGCTGTTGTCGTCGTTCCGGATACAGATACAACCAGTACCGACCCCGAGAAGCCCGGAACGGAACATGTCCATATGAAGCTGGGCCACGAACACGACCTGTCTCAGGCTCACGGAGAGAAGGAGAAGCACCTCTCCTACAGCGCCACCCGGGGCTCCGCCGAACCGAAGATGTCTTACCTGCAGTCGCTCCGGGTCTTCACCGGCCGATACAGCTATGCACCGATCATCAAAATCTTCACTCGACCGGTCATCCTGTTCTTCTACCCCGCCGTCTTCTGGGGCTTCCTCATGTACGGCACCACTCTCACGTGGATCGTAGTGTTCAGCGTCGTCAACGGAGTGATCTTCGTGGCGCCACCTTACAACTTCTCCGTGTCGCAAGTCGGCCTGATCAGTTTGTCACCCTTTATCCTGACCCTGGCGGGAGAGGTCATCTCCGGGCCTCTGAACGATGCCATCTGCGTCTACTTGACGAAGAAGAACAAGGGCATCTACGAACCGGAATTCCGCCTGGTGTTGATTGTGGTTACCGCAATCCTGGGGACCGTTGGTTTCTTTGGATTCGGGGCCACAGTCCACTACCAGACACATTGGTCGGGTCCGGTCTTGACCTTTGGATTGGCCAACATGAGTCTGGCGTTCGCCTCGACCTGTGTCTTTGGTTACGTGATCGATTCTTACCCGAAGTTGAACGAGGAGGCGTTTGTCGCCATCAATGCGCGAAATCTCCTGACGTTCGGCCTGACATACTTTGTCAACAACTGGCTTGCCCGTGACGGTCCCTTGGAGGTCTTCTGCATCCTTGGAGCTCTGTTCTTGTTTGTCTGTTTCTTGACAGTCCCGCTCTGGTAAGTTCCAACCCCAACGACCCTAAGAACACGTTGTAAGGCTGACCTGCAACTAGGATCTATGGGAAACGGATTCGATCGTGGATTGGCAGGAATGAATGGCTCCAGCAATATATGAATGACGACTTCTAGCCTGGGTCGACAAACAGTGATCGCACTTCCGTATAGGGGGCCTCGATCATGAGCGGCCGAAGGAGGCCATGCACCACCACCACTCAGTGGGTCTGATATAGGAAATAATGGAGGTCAAGGCGAAAAGATCATCAACTTGAAGCTTTCTAATTCTATATTTCGATCTTTACCCACACACACCCTTCTGTGGCCTTAGTTTCAGTTTCGCATCTTGGTCGAAGCTGTTGCAGGCACAAGCAAGCTCCAAGTAAATTCCCCATTGAGCTACGGCCAAGATATGAAAGGACGCCTGTCCCACTTCGCCACGCCCATGACGCATCAACGTCCAGCAAAATGCAAATGCCCAACAAGCGGGCCTACTGTACGGCCGAGTGGCAGCACGCCTGAGAGAGCCCATGAGCGTTTTCAGGCCACCATGAACCACGGCTATTAGCCACGAGGGTCGTTAGTATCCGAACGACTTGCGCTGTCTCGCTGTGCATCCCATCATTGCTCGTCGCATCCATCCTTGTCCAGCGACACTGCAGCCTTACCTGGTAGATTATAATAGCAACATTAGTGATGACTAGTCAAGCTCCTTCTCCTGTTTTCTAGAGGCGCGAATACTATCTTACAACACGGAATTAATCGCTGGTGCGTCAATTCTCGGCGCATCTATAGCGCTTTCAGCTCCAAGTCCTGGAGTCGCATTCCCCCCATTCAGCTTCTTGTCAGCTCCGCAGATTGGATATCTCATTTAGTGACCGGCCGCCATCAACCCTGTCACCACAGCACAGCGCCGTTCCCGCCCCATCTGACATCTAGCTGCCTGCCAACAAATCATTTCCACCTTGTTGCTATTACATCTCCCCGTTGACCAGCATAAACCAGCGCCGTCATTATCGCCTCACATCGTGTCCGTCTCTTCCCGCTCAGTGCACCACCACTCGGCGATGCCCAGCATGAAGAAGAAATCCGTCTACACGAACATCACTCCCATCCCCTCCCACATCCCGCGTCAGCTCGCCGTCGACATGCTGCACAGCCATGGCGAGATCATTGAACTCAATCCTCTCGTGATCGGCTACAAACCCATCAAAGCCCCTCAGACCGCCCCCGCAGATGAGTTCTTCTCGACGTGGTACGAGATCAATGAAAGGATCCAATACGTGCCGGGGATAGGGAGGGCCGGCGCAGGCAAGATCTCATTCAAGGGATGTTTTCACGACATGCCCTGGGGACTACAGACACACGTCTATGCGCCCATGGGAGTCGACCTGCGCAACAAGTGGCAGATCCGGGGCAACCAGCCCGGCGAGCCGCCCGAGTCGAGGGAGTTGGGGAGCAATGCCCCGCCCGAGGGCCTGTATTTGCGCGAAGACATCGAGATCAAGTGTAACCCTGCCATGGTGTCGTTCGTGAAGAAGGAGATGAAGGCCGCCTCCAAGACGATGGTGGACCGGCTTGTCAAGAAGGCCGAGCTAATCGACTCGGGTGTCCTCAGCGCGATGTTCGAGGAGGGGAGACTCAAGACGATGAACCCGGCCGACCGGTCGCAAACATACCAGCAGCAAGGTCACGACCCGTCGCAAACATTCCTGCAGCAAGACGCGCACCGGTCGCAAACATTCCAGCCGCAAGGCCATTACTCGCCGTCCTTGCTCTCTCCCATGCCTCAGTCCGCATTCCCTCAATCACCCAGCATGCCCGGATTCCCACAGTCAGCATACGCACGACAATCATCCTACGGCATGCCCAGTCCAAGTCCCCAGCCACAACCACAACATGCGCAGATGCCGCCTGCACAGGGCCTCGCCATCGAAATGCCCGGAAACACACACTTCCTCCAACAACCGCCACCACAAATGCCCCACCGGTTCTCCACCGCCATGTCCGAGCTCTCGGCCAGCTCGCCGAACCAGACCGACTTCCCCCATCAGAGCAGCCAGTCAGACCGCCAGAGCTATGCAGAGTCCATGAGCTCCATGCCCAGCTCTGTAGCCCGGTCCGGCGGCATGGCGTCTCCAGGCCTCGAGAAGCGGACCTTTGTTGCTGAGTTGCCGGCCAACAATGGATCATCAGTACCGGAAAGGTCGCCCAGGAGAAGTCCGGATCCGAACTATATGTCGGCTCAACAGCAGCAGCAGCAATACAGATACAATCCGCAGGACTACGCGCGTATGTCGTGAGGTCAATGTGTGAAATATACCCCAAGGACGACGAATTTCCTAACCACGATCTTTGAAATCATGTCTATTTGAATACTATGAATTCGTTCTCAGTTTACTACGCACTTACATACCTTTTCTTTCCCATTTCAGACTAGGAGTACTTGATTCTACCGCAGAGATATCCTCCTATGAGCTACTAAGAGGGTCCTTTCCACGACGGAGTTCACATGACCTGAGACCAATTGCACTCGGCTCGAAAAATGCTGGAAGATACTGGAAGATTGTCCGAATCGGGAAGAGGACGTCCGGATATATACGATGAGACATTCCATGAGACACGTACGGAGTACGGCGAGGGTACTTGGGGGGTACGGCGCGGCGGTCATATGCTTATCGAGCAGTTTCGATGCACGATTGTCCGTGTCGGCGTGCTGGCGACGGCTTGTTACAACATGTTCAGCGAAAGTAAGGGCGGTTGGATCCATCGCGGCGCTTGCGTTAGTCGCTACTCCCGTAGACAAATTCAGCTGCGGGTATTTAACATGGATTCCTTTGCTTTCGCTTTCGCTCGGACTGAGCATCATCCTGTCATTGTTCCATATCGCGCTCTCGGGGCCAGCCAACCGCAGACGAAGACGTCCTTCACGACGTCGTCTTATCTTACGTTCGTGATCAGTGGAGGAAAGTCCTTGTGTGTTACATCGAAGAGGAGAGGTGCTGCATCGTTCGCCCGTCTTGATGGGATCCAAATTGACTCGAATGCGAACGGTGATGGTCGAAGGGACGCTACGCCAAGGCAGAGACGAAGACGAAGGCGATACGACCGATCCGGTCTTACCGTGTACAAAAAACCATGTTCACCGAGTCTCGTCGCACCTCTTGACACGTACCGGAATGCCCCTCATGGCTATGTGCTGTGGCCAGCCCTTCGGAGTCATGAGTCCTGATCCCTTGTCTCTGGAATGATGATGGCTTTCTCGAGTATCACTGTGCTGGTGATGACTTACTGCGTACACTTGCGTCAGCGACTCGTGTGAGAAGCACTGGTAGTGGTCACCAGCAACAAAGTTCTCGTGAGGCTCAAGCGCAAATACTCAAACCCCAACTTGTAGACAAGTCAAGCAAGAAAGCATATCCCTAAGGCGAGTTAGCATATGAATTCTGGTTCTCTCACACGAAAGGCAAATATCGTGTGAGCTCAAAGGTTTAATGGCGCGGGTGCGACACAACAACCTTTGTGGTAGGCACGCCTTCCCCTTCCTGCGGCCCCCTGCTTTGTAAGGCAGGCTGATGCAGGGACGCCCACGGCCAACGGGCGGCATACATACATAGTCATAGCTAAGGGACTAGACCTCAGTATACTCGTACTCTGGTAGACACTCAGACTTACAGCAGTGTTTGAGACGATGGCGATGCCCTGGCACAAACAACTTCGTTAGATGACAACTACGTGAAGAAGCCTGCTGGTCGACCTGATCAGTAAAAGACAAGCAGCGAATCGACGACCATCAGCGCAGCGATAACACACAGCCAATTAATCTACCCGTGCCTCCCTCGGTTGATATTGCCTCATGGTTGCTACTCGTACTCAGTACGAGGTAGAATACTGACTGGCGCTCGGTTGCGTGGTGAGTCGGGATCATTGGCTCATTACTCCGTATTCTAGGTGATAACAAGGACGACATGCTCGATTTGTCATGTATACCCTTTCCTCAGCTCTCGTGGTACTTCCACCTGCTGAGATCTTCGCACAAGTACGCAGTAGCACGGCGTTAACAGCTACTTTCCAGGCAAATCAGGATGTAAGTTCCTCTGCCTGTACTCGTACTTGTCGACGCGGCATGATCCTGGATTCATGTCCCAAGCGGCACTCTGTTGATTGACTGGTTTGACTTGGTCACCTCCATTCAATGCAGCAGGGGAGGCAGGTGGGCCTTCAAGACGTCTGACATCACCCCTCTCGCTAAGTACGTCGCAGAGTCTTCGGGCTCCAATCCCAAATGTCGCTCCCTGCACTGCACTGGGCGTGTCGGCTTGACCCTGGCGAGGCCGGGAACATGCTTGCTCGGTACGAGTACGGAGTATGTAGGACTCTTGATCAATCTAGCACGAACTACCATGTCCACCACTGGGAGCGCGGAAGGTAAGTTTGATTACAAACACATGCTTTGGAAATTCAAGAAGATCGAATCTTTTTTTTTTTCGCAAACCAAGAGAGCAAGAGTCCGGGAGTGAGTACCTCGTATCAGTTCAAGTGCTCGCATAGGTAGTACGGAGTAGAATACTTCGATATCAAGGTACTCGTACTCGCCGCTTATCACCACCACGAAAACTTGCACGGTAGAATATCATGGCACTCGTATCGTGAGCATCGGTATTTCCGTCTGCGGGATACTATGCATCGAATGTGTCCCTCGTGCGGAGTACTCTCCTCGAGTCGCCCTATGCCATGGTAACTCGTAGCCGTGCCTGACTTTGTCGTGCCAGCTGTGCCCTGGATCCACCAATGGACACTTGAGTTTTGTTCACTCCTGGAAAAGTGACCAGGCAGCCTCAGCAAGGCGGATCGAACGGCCATTCATCATTTATGTCTCATTGTCTCAAGCAGAAGCCACTGGTGCCACAGTGGCCGTGTAGATCAAACGGCTTTTTTCTCCACAATGATCGACGCTCGGAAGCCTCCTAGGGCCACGGCGCGTGGAGAAGCCCAGTGGACAAGCCCACGGTGTCAAACGTCCGGGCTGGACAAAGTTCGCGGTGGGTGCGCGGTATGCAAGGAACAATCCATGCCTTTTCCATGCTCATTCGTGGAGCTGCGCCGTTGAGAACCCTGGGGATCTACGTAATTGCAGTACACAGTCCTGCCACCAACCAGCCTCGTCGCCTTACACGGTACTCGTACCGTGTACTTCAAGTTTAGGCGTGGCTTGCCTTGCCTTCCGCTTCCCTGCTTGCTATCCCTGCTTGATGCCTGACTGCAAGTTTTGCCGACCACGCCCAGCGAGGACGGGTCTACACAGTACAGACGGAGTACCTCGTACGGAGTACGCAGGACGAGCTGCGCAAATGAAGTACTGTGTACGAGTAGGACGAGGAGTAAATCCTCCGTGGACGAACTCCGTAGATGTACACAAATCTGATATATCCAAACCGCAGGTTCAACGCGCGCACAGGTACTCCGTACACTGTGTACAATCTCCACATCACGCAAGGAACGTGGCCTACGAGCACCCTCCATGACCTCTTCTTACGCACCGTACGGAGTATAATTTGTACTTGCACTCGCCCTGAAACCAAAGTATCTACTGCCGTCCTCGTCCTTTTCCTTGTACCCCGTGCTATGACACAAAGCACTTTGACGCCCTGCTCCACTGATTTCCTGATCTACTGATCGCCAGCACATTTCGAAGATCGGCGTGGAGCGCAGGCGTGGGACCCCCCGTCGTTTGGCTGATTGCGCCGTCACAGCTCTCAAGAAACTTGAATTTGCTTTTCTAAATGTGTTTCACCATTTCTGGGCCTTTGGATCACTGGATACCTCGTACTGTGGGTTTGCCCATCCCAGCTGTTCATTTTGCTGTCCCTGTCCCGATTCGGGTGGTGTTCAAGGGGTACCTCTTACGGTTTTACTGCGCACGAGCTACAGTTGAGTATTCCGTGAATCGTCACGCCTCGTTATTCAAGCTTCATCGGTCTATCGTTCTGGGCACTGGCGAGCGTTGACAGAGTACCGCCTTCAGCATGCCGGCTACTCCTGAATTCGTCCACCAATATGGCATGGTTCGGGAAACCACATATCATATTGATAACAGTGCTGTGTACCGACTTCCGGCTTGCCGATTCCCTGTTCCTCACTCGCATTGCGTTGACTAAAGGAAATTATTATGGCCCTCGCACGCGATCGACGCAGGTACTTGTCTCGCTACCACTCTGATCCATGCTTCTCCAGCTTCACCCACAGACATGACGTCGATCAGCGCAAAGGTACCACGTAGAGCCTTGCAGGCGCTCGGCAGGGACTTGCTCGTGCTTGCTCGTGGAACCACGACAGCGAGTCGGGCTGATGATCGTCGTCAATCACAGATGGCATTCGAGCTGAAGACGTGAAGATCCTGTTTGAGTGAGTGGCTCCTGTGGCTCATGTCTCAACCGTGTGGCCGATCCCAAGGGGTCAGCCAGCTACTCGTGCCCTGGCAAGAACAGAGGTAATGTGTATAAAGTCGACATCAACCCTCTGGTGATTTCTCTATCCCTCGCAGCTCCCGTCCATACACCTCAGCCCATCTCAGTCCGGCCGCCCTTCGACAGTCCAACACATTCACGTAACCATCTACCACCAGACCATCCCAAATCCATATCGAAAATGTACTTCTCCACCGTTGTCGTTGCCCTGGCTGGTGCAAGCACCGCGCTGGCATCTGCCATCCCTGGCAAGAGTGCGCTCTTGGAGCGTCAATCCGCCGTCGTTCTCTGCACCGGCGCCAGCAGTTCTGCAGTCTGCTGTGCCACGGATGTGCTCGGCGTGGCTGATCTGGACTGTGCACCACGTATGTTCCTTATACACAGCCAGCAGCATTTGACAAGGAAGAGCATAGATAGACTGACATGATCACAGCCCCAACTCCCCCAACAAGCCTTGAGGACTTCACCGACATTTGTGCTGCCATCGGCCAGCAGGCTCGGTGCTGCTTGTTGCCCATTGTAAGTTGTGGCCCTTGGTGTGTGATATTCTTCAAGACAGTATTGCTGACACTGTTGGACAGCTTGAACAGGGTCTCATCTGCGCGAACCCCGGCAAGTAGATGGGAGCCGTGGCTGACGGGCGTCCGACGGGATGGATCACCGCTGTCACTCCTTGATATGGATGGGAGGGTAGAGCAACATTGTCTCTTGTGATCCATCGCACCTGGGTTTGGGAAGGGTCGCGTGCATGAGAGCGGCGGCTGTTACGGAGCGAATGGCGGTGGTGCATGCATGGTCCGGGCGTTGTGCGGACGGCATAGTGGGTGGACTGTCTCCGGTTGGCACATTAACGCCGTACCAAAAGTGCACTGGCTCCACTGGGTATCATAATACACTGAAAAAAAATTGTGAATCTGTTGCTCGGTCATTGTTTCCCATGTCGTGTTGACCGTGTGATCAGAGCACAAGCTCACAGCGTTGGCTGATAAGACTGTTCGTGCCTGGACAACGTACACACAGGTACCCGTACCACAGCTTCCGTGCGCCCACTCACTTCATGGAGCGGAGCACATCAGCATACCAGATATCGGATTCTCGTACCCTCGTCCTTGTTGATCTCGAAGATTGTTGAGACATCAGCCGTGTGATTCCGTCTTCCTCGTCGAGGGCTTTTGTGGACGAAGATGAGGCTTCCAGACTGGAGGGATCTGTGCGGTGCTGGTTCTCTTCGTTGATGTGCTCTAGCACTCCTTTGTAAGTTGTATTCCGCCGGCTATGCTGCGTCATCGGCGAGACTTCCCGTTGCACCTCTGATCCTCCCTGCCCTGCTGTCGCATCCGAGTCGATAGCCTCGATCGTATTTGACCTGTGGGTTGCATTGCCGTTGACGAGATCAACCAGCTTGGAGAGAATGTTCAATTCAAGTTTCAGCTTCACGCTATAGAAGAACCCCTTGAGGCTCTCCTGGTAAAGTTGATAATGCAGGAACTGCAAGGCGACGATCACAACCTGTATAGCAAAGTGTCAAACACGCTTCTTCGGGATCAGGTTCGAGAACGGTGTGGGGTCACTCACATCCATAGAAATAATGATGACATTAATGGCGAACAGCTGCCAGATGACCCTACGTGTCTGGGCCTTCGAGATGATATTGAGGAATGAGATGGCCTTCCACAGGTACAGCCCCGAAATGGCAAGTTCCTGGAGACTGATGACAATCAATTGGATCTGCTCGATGTAGTAATACCCCTCGAAGAACGCTGGCCGGCCTGAATACGTGGAGCCAAAATCCAGGACCACCACGAGGGGGAGGATAGTGGCGCTGATGGTGATGATCATCCACTTCACGGCCCGGAGGATCAAGACGTTGTCCAACACCAAGTTCAGCCGCGAGTAGAGGACAAGAGACTGGCATGCGATCATGGACACCCAGCCGATATCGAGGATTGTCTTGCCCAACCACAGGACGCCGAGATCGAAGTACGTCAGCAGAATGCCCGTCGCATAGCAGAAGACGCCGAAATTGCAGACGCATAGACTCCAGAAGTATAGGCCCTTCCACCTCTTGAACGTCGAGACGACTAGCAGGACCATCTCGAGGGCGTTGTACAGCGCCAATGCCACCGACAAGGTCACGATAACCGAGTCGGCCGAGTATTCGCCTGTGAAGGAGTTCTTCTCGACCGCGGCTTCGTAATGGTCATGGTATGACCGCTCGACGAGGCGGTGGACAGGGAAACCCATCCTGAGGTGTCGCTGGTTGTCGGTTTAGATAGGAGAGGAAAAGGGCATCGATGGGGCCATGATGGCGATGGCTTGGAGTGGTCACTGGTCGATTTCACGACCCTGTGATCCCATGTTGTGTGCTCCCTGCTCCGTAGTGTGTGTTGGTGGACGGTGGTCAGGATGAGGCCAGCAGAAAGGTCTTGAGTAGAGGGCGACGATCCGACAGCGATCAATCGTTCACCTTCGCCGAACCCTGAAGCCCCGGGGCTGGAATCAGGGAATGCCTGCACCCAGCATGGCCTGCTGTGGCGAGGCACAACGCGATAAGGCTAATGGCCACGGCCTTTTCTGGTTCCAATGGGTTGGTTGTAGCTAACGGTGACTAGCTGAACCCTCGCATGAGCTCCAAGAGCCGGGGAAATGAGGGGCCCGCTCGGGCGGACCACGGAGTTCATGCCATCAATGTGGCGGCCATGCGAGGTGCAGTATCTCGACATCGAGGCTCGTTAGAGGAGCAGTGAGGAGATAACGGCTCGCTTAACCTGTGAATGCTCAATTGATATGTCGCCAGTGATAAGGATGCTGGACCTTTAAAAAAGCCTATTGATATCTCACCAGTGATTCAGACCTTACCTGCCAGAATAGTCCAACACAGCTTCCACAGTGCGCGGATGCTCTAACGTGGTAGCCGCGTCTCACGACCGCTTCAAATTCAGTAAACCTTCGCTCTTTTCCTATTGCAAATATTCGCAATTAAACAGCTATCGGAGTATTTCTGTCTGACGCTTCATGCTCGTGACACAGGAGAAGATCAAATGCTCCGGAGACCTCTACCAGTTCCATGACTACACGCTGCAGCCGAAGCCGTGGAACTGGGAAGCCAGGCCGCACCTGGAGATCTTCCTGGGCGGGGATCCATGGACGCGAGGGAGGTCACCACGACTGTTTTGGTTACTCCTTGAAGGAAGGTAGTCTGGCATCTACCACAAGAACTTGTGGCTGGACGGGCGAGTACTGAATGATGGGATCACAGCGCTTGGAGTATTCATCGAACAGATCGAGGACGTCAAGGACCGCGATCGTGGCGAAGGCCGAGTAACAAAGTGAAATCTGCGGCCAATGGCTTTCTCATCGCGCGTGGCAAGGACGAAGAAGAAGCCATCCGTGTGCTGGAGGAGATCCAAGGCGAAGTTGACAAGAATGCCGACGAAGCAGTTGCTGAGCAGGTCAAGAACGTGGAGGTAACGCCCGCAAATAAGACGGGCATACGGGCGAACAGCAGATTTGAGAATCTGGGCAGTACGACGAAGGGTTCAAGACGAGTTGGTTGGCACGCCGCAACAGATTGCTGATTGGGTCTTGTTACTCAAGGGCTCGGGGCATGAGTATCCTTCTGACTGCCTTCTTGGACTACGTTGAGGAGATTGAACGGCAGCGCCATCAATGGTTCTATCAGGCTGTGGTGGCAATTGTGCACACATGTGGAGGGCGGACGGTACCGGAGGTCAGCCATGACTGTCACCTCCATTGTCTAGAATCCGGATGTGACCGGCGATGTTCTATCCCATCGTCCCATAGGTAGGTGTCAATAGTGGTCGACTACGGTATAGCTCAAGAATAAAGACAATAGGGAAAATACACGCCAGTCCTAAGAGGCAGACACACGCTCTCCAGTCGAAGCACAGGCAACATCCTTGGCACGGGCATTCAAATTGCGGACAATAGGCATCACAATGAGGGTGATCGTCAGGTCAGATAATAGAGGTGTGATTGAATAAGAGGTCGACTGGGAGTCAGTGAATGTGAATGGGTGATGATGGACGTGGTTGACAATACGTGGTGAAGGCTTGGCGCAATGCCTCTGTGCACAAAATGCTTCTCCGTATCAAGGAGAAACTTTCATCCGCACCCCACATCATGTCTTTGATCCGCCGTACCAAGAGTGTGGATGCGCTGCGCAAGGCAGCCCTCATCCAGTGTCATTGGGAGGGGCGGTTGGCACGGAAGATCCCGTGGACTCAAGCTGGCCCTACCATCCACCGTCTCTTCCTCCTCTACAAGGTCATAGAAGGTGGCCTCCTTCGTGACGAAACGCCCGCCGAGTTCAACGAGCGGCTCCGAGGATCCTACCATCTCTATCTAGAAGAGCGCGATGTCGTGGGCCGGATTCAAAAAGGGCGTCAACCGGGCGACGACCCAGGTGATGATGAAAACCGGGCAGGTGGAGAGGACCAACGACCGGGACTACGAGGTCGAGGAGAGGTGAGCCTGAGCTGACATGAAGATCAGCCCATCCATGGCTGACCGTGACACGACAGACGTTACAGAACCATGGAATCAGCAGCGAACCGCCTACAGAAGGAAGCGAAGGGATATCTGGACAGCCTGCGAGGTGAGCTTACACTCAACGAAGTGGAAGGGCTCCATACTGACTGTGCCGCTTCTACAGCAATGACCGCCTCCCAGATGAGAATAGCCGAAACAATCGACGCCTTCTACGGCGACGCTGGTACTAAAGATGGAGTCTCTCGATCATACAAACAGGCCGTCGAAGATTTGGACGCCGAAACAATCAAGGCACTTGATGGCCCCTACAGGTATGCTGGCTGTCTTACATTCCTCTCATTTCCACCTTACCCACCAATTTGAACAGAGCAACCGTCCTCGAACCGATCTCGCGCTTCTGTGCTTATTTTCCCGACATCAATGAATGCATCAAGAAGCGAAACAACAAGCTCCTCGACTACGACTCCATGCGCTCCAAGGTCAAGAAGCTGGTGGAAAAGCCCGACAAGGACGTGACCAAACTCCCCCGCGCAGAGCGAGAAGCCGAGATGGCCAAACAAGCATACGAACAACTCAACGAGCAACTCTTCACCGAACTCCCCCAGCTCATCGATCTCCGTGTCCCATATCTCGACCCCAGCTTTGAAGCCCTGGTCAAGATCCAGCTCAGATTTTGCGCAGAAGCGTACAGCCGCATGGCACAAGTTCAGCAATACCTGGATCCAGAAACCAGAGAACAGTATGCCCGTGGCGACTTGGATAATCGCGTCGAGCAGGTTCTTTCAGAGATCAGAGATCTGACAATTGCTGGAACGGTCTAAGCCGCTTCCTTACGTTTATATTTCACAAAGACCAATACTGCGCCTTCGCCGAGCTTCTCCTTTTCACCCACAAAGACTACGCTCAAACCAGCAAACAACTACTACAGGAATGCTTTCATGAGCTTGATGGATGAAAACGATGGGGTGGAATTGCAATGCTCACTGCAGTGAATGGGAGTGGTCTGCTCGCTCATTCAGAGCATCAAAGCATAGCATAGCGTTGGCGTTGGCGTTGGCGTTACATGGCAGGCACAGAACACATAACCGAGAGCTAGACAGCATTCCACAGCCACATGGCTGAAAGACAGCACGGAGAGATGACACTCTCTGATAACATCAGAGTGCTTCAGAACAAAAGCGACCAGTATTCCAGGTTGCCATTTTATATATACTCTTCCCAAACCTGCCTGTAAAGCCACCAAGCATCCTCTCCAAGGCAAGTTGACGACCCACGCGGACTAGATGGCACCCATCTCCTTCAGCTTCGCAATCATGCCATCCACATCTTCAACCTTCCCACCACCTTGCCTGACGGGTGGTTCCTCAACCTTGACAGTCTTTAACCTTGGGGACCCATCCACGCCATAGTCGCCTAGCGACTTCTTGTCCAATTTCTTCTTCTTCGCCTTCATAATGTTCGGCAGACTCGCGTACCGCGGCTCATTTAGCCGTAGATCCGTCGTGATGATCATCGGCAATTTTGCCTTCAGGGTTTCCACGCCCCCATCGACCTCCCGTTCCACGGTGACGGTGTCGTTCTCAATGGAGACCTTGCTCGCCTGCGTTGCCTGCGGCCAGTTCAAGAGCCCGGCGAGCATCTGCCCTGTCTGGCCACTATCATCGTCAATGGCCTGCTTCCCCAGGATAATCAAATTACTCTTCTCCTTCTCGGCGATAGCCTTCAACAGCTTCGCCACACCGAGCGGCTCGAGCGGTTTATCCTCGGACACGTCGACGTGGATGCTCCGATCGGCGCCCATGGCCATGGCCGTGCGCAGAGTGTCTGCGCATTTCGCGGGGCCGGCGGACACAGCCAGGATCTCCTCGACAGGGGACTTGCGCTCTCGTAGCCGCACGGCTTCTTCGATGGAGAGTTCGTCGAAAGGATTGAGCGAGTGTTTGACGCCCGAGGTCTCGACACCCGTGTGGTCGGATTTCACGCGCGGTTTGACCTGATCAGTAGAGCCGTGGTGAGTATGAGGCGATGGTACATGCTGGAGGAGAGCAGCGAAGAACCGGTAGTGTAGACTCACAGCATAGTCAATGACTCGCTTGACGGGGACTAATATCCGTAACTTGGACGACATGTTGCACTATTGCCCCCAACACTTTCGAGTAGACCCCAAGGACGAGCTCAGTATACAGTATGTAGCCGGCCGGTCAACGGATCCGACTCTCAAATCGGTCGACGCCCTGCTTACGTATGCATACACAGGCAAGCTGGAGACGTGACAGAGCGAAACACTCGAACCTGGACTGAGGCTCAACTTGAGAACTCCTAACTTAGCAAAGATCTAAATCGTAGCTCACACTCTCGAAAGGCCGCAATCGGAGAACGAACCGGACTCGACAGCCTCGGTGGGCGGCATTAGTGACGGCATCAATTCGGCCTCTACTAAAGTCCCTCCAGCCCACGGCAGGCAAGTTACCCGAAACAGCGCTTGGCGAACGCCAAGCCCACAGGCGGTGCGAAATTTCGGGAACACGACCATCCTAGACTGGTTGGAACGTCGTCGAAGTTCACGATCAATCCCTCTACCACAGCAACTCGGTCTCGAACTACGAAGTCAAGATGCCGGTACGTTACGCTCATATCAGCTGTCCGACTTGACGAGCACGGAATGAATCAATGGTCTCTCGTCGAAGAAACATGCCCCAACGTCAACCTGCAGTCAAAGCGAATCTACACCCTCCTCCGTCCTCACTCACTCGCATGGTCTCACCGAGAATGCCAACATGACTAACGTTTGACAAATGCATGTAGAGCCACAAATCCTTCCGTACGAAGCAAAAGCTCGCGAAGGCGCAGAAGCAGAACCGACCCATCCCACAATGGATCCGTCTGAGGACCGGCAATACCATCAGGTGAGTCGCTCTCATCATCTTCATACTTCGTCCTCGGCGCCCATGCACGGAAGGAATACATGTCTGAGGAGGGATTGGAAAGAAAGAGCTGTATCACCTACCATGGCGGTTCGGCAGGGAGAGGCGCAATACTGTTGTCGGAGATTGGACTCGCAATCAGACAAATGATATATACATACCTGGGGAACCGATGTGCTGACATCCATGGGTCGTGATCTATAGATACAACGCGAAGCGGAGGCATTGGCGCAAGACCAGAATCGGCATCTAGATGACTCCGCCGTCGGACTCGGACCCGGACTCGCTCCCACAACCTAAGAGATCTCGGCTTCCAAACGCGTTCGATATCAATCCAACTGCACAATCAATATGTCTCGTGCCGATGGGGGGCATAGAGAATGGGTCTACGGAATGATCGATTGAGGGTGGGTGCTGAAGATCGGGGGCGAGCATGATTCGGGGAACGCTTATGCTAGCAGTAGGCGGAGGTGGTTGACTAGGCCATGAATCAAGTTATGAGGTCGAAACGCCGGAATGGAACCGGGAAGACTCTTTCGACTTCGAGATATGCCATAGCGTGATATCTCCGGCAGAGGTTTGCGAATGATCATGCAATCAAAAAAACTCAACCTGAAAAACCACTCTTGGTTGATGAGCATCATCTCTCAACCTTGGGAAGTTCGACGTAGAGCAAGAACTCAGGGTCCACGGGAATTCGACTCATCGGCTCATTTTCGCATGTCTACGTGAGATACGTACGTAGTCAGCAATGTCTGACTGCTAGGGCGCCTGTACCACTTTCCACCCCGCATGCTGAAAGTATGCTTTATCCATTCCATCCCAGGCGAGCCCAGAGTGGATGTCATGTCGTGTGCTAGACCACGGTCGTGTGAGTCGTGCAGTCATCACCAGCAAGTCTCACTGTCACCATCCCAAAAGGCCACTCTGGTGCATACCGCATAATGCATGGCCCCCAAACCCCATCAACGCCGCTCAACGCCGCTTCCTGTAGATGCAATCCCAAGAAATAAGTGACGATCTGCTTAGCGGCTGTGAAATTGTCAGCATTAGACACCAGACAAAAAGGGAGTTATGACTTACTCTTCGGCCCACTCGTTCTCCCGGCGGATCTGGTCCTCCTCCTCAGGAGTGAAGTCATTCTGAATGTTGAAGGTCTTCCGGATTTCTTCAGGCGACTTGCCCTTGATCATGTTCGCGACAGTCTTGCAGCCAACGTCCAGAAGAGCCTTGATGTCGAGATAGTTTGCTGCGAGGATGATCTCGAACAACATTTCCTGATCAACTTGCATGAACTTCTGATCCCACTCCTCGATGTCTGTAGTCTTCTTGCGCGAATCGGAGTCGTCTTCGTTCGATGCAGGAGGATCATTCTTGTGATGCGTGCACCACTCAATGACCTTCTTCAGGACAGCGGCATTGACGTTGGGAATGGGAATCGCCTCTTCCATGGCATCTTCACCGAGATCGCCAACCATGTTCTTGATGAGGACGGACTTTTCGGCGACATCTCGATCTGTGATACGTGAGCTTTGGTCGGAACAAGAGCGTTGGGAGAAGTGCTTACCAACAGTGATGTCTTCGCCATCGGAGCTCTGCAACATGAGTTTCTTGGAGTTTTCGGAAGACATGTTGACTCAAGACTTGTCTGATCTGTGATAGAGTGGGGGGTGATGGTGATGACTGTAATGAGGTTGCGTCAACTTTGATATTGAGAAGAGTCTGATAGAGAGTAGTATGGATGAAGAGTCAGAGGAATGAGGATATGTCGTGTTGGCGTGTATCGACTGATCAGGCACCTAGACAGGCAGTTGAGAAAGAGGTCGGAACGATTGCCCTCTGACCTGCGAATGCGGCAACCGCTTACAGAAACGTTGCCAAGCCGGATCTCTTTGTAGCGCTGCCCTGACTAAAGCCTTCGATCTGTCTTCTCGAGAAACGAGAGTTTGTTCGCAAGCGCCAGTACAAGCGCCCTTGCACTTTTCTGAGAGGAGAATGGGACGTTGAGATGAGGTATAACTTACCTGAAGGCTGCTGAGTATCGACTCTGTTCTGAATGTGGGAAAGTTGAAGCTCTTGCAAATGCAAGTTGAAAGAGTTAGAGGCAAGAGCAGTACTGGCTGATGACAGACGGTCGTTGGCTGCTGTGTTCTTTGTCACAATTCACCTATCACTTGGCTCTGAACAATCTGGCTTTCACTTCGAGGCAAAACTCATCAATAAGCCGAACAATCAGTCTCGCACAGGACATTCACCAGCATCCGGTGAACCATGTGATCTGACGTCACACGTCATCGGGTGCGGAACATAGGCGAAAGCGCAATCTGAAGTCGGAGGCCAGCGTGCAAACAATCTTACCTCGGGCTGCGATAACATCAGCTCTTCCATGCGCCTAGGCATGCGCCTGTATTTCTAGTCGCGTATACATTCAAAACCTTCTGCCGACCGCTACCGTCCTCTTCTCCGACGTTGTCGCAGGCCTTTCAACCCCGTCGCACTTCGCCATCGCAAGTGACGCGTCTGTAGACGCGCTCACACGGCAACCATCAAGATTGAGAATGAGTCGGAGGGAGTGGATGACAATCCGTACAAGATCAAGGATAATGACACAGTTCAAGCCATATCCAGGACGGTGAATGCAGCGGAAAGCATGTGGCGGCTGTTATACTTGTTCCTGCTCATTGTCCGTGTCTATTTCGCGCTCTGTCCGAGTTATCTTCACCCGGATGAAATCTTTCAAGGTCCTGAACCAATCGCTGGTATGGCGTCGCAAGGTACAACCGCAGATCCATTCGACTGACTTTGGTTATAGGATACCTTTTCCCGTATCCAGCCCGTCAAACATGGGAATGGACGTCTGCTCACCCCATCCGGAGTGTCTTTCCTCTGTGGCCCATATATGGCTTGCCAATGACCCTGTTGAAATGGGTCTGGGCTCAGGACGAAGACGACCTTGTTGATCCCACTGTCATCTATTATACTCTCCGACTTGTGATGCTTGCTCTCAGCTTCGTGCTCGAAGATTGGGCTGTCCACGATCTTGTTCGTTCTCCTCGACATTGGCGACAGGCGGTTATCTTGGTCACTTCTTCTTATGTCACCTGGACTTTTCAAACACATACCTTTTCAAATTCTGTTGAGACACTCGTTGTGCTATGGAGCTTGGTGGTGATAGAACGCATTTTGCGCGAAAACGTAGGTCACTTGTTTCAGGACTTCAGAGGCAAATACACTAACATCGAGTGTAGAAGCGTTCAGCGATCGCGTCGAGCATTGTGCTGGGATTTCTTCTTGTCTTTGGCACGTTCAACAGGATTACTTTTCCAGCCTTCGTTGTGATACCCGGCATTCACTTGTTGCCACACTTCTTGAATAGGTGAGAGAAAATTGGTATTTCCAACGCTTAAAGTGCAGGACTAATTCATTCTAACCAGACCATTTTGCTTTCTTGCTCTTACTTTGTCTGGCATGGTCTGGACATTGTTTGCTATCGTTGTCGACACAGCTTACTACTCCGGACCTGCTGCGACCAGGTCCTTTGGAGCACTATTCGACCATGTCCGCCACAACCCTGTAATAACGCCTCTCAATAATCTCTTGTACAACACACAGACGAGTAATCTCGCCGAACATGGCCTCCACCCGCACTACCAACATCTTGTCGCGAACCTGCCTCAACTCCTTGGACCGGCACTTGTTCTTCTGCTTGCGAGCGCCTATCCCTTCAACCTGCGCGTGCTCAAGGCCACCCTCACCAACAACCGACTCGCTTCCGCCGCCGCAGGGACCCTCTTCCTGAGCCTAATCCCTCATCAAGAACCGAGGTTCCTCCTTCCAAATGTTCCATTGATCTTAACCAGCGTCCGAGTACCGTCCTCGAAACTCTGGTCACGCATCTTCTGGGCATCATGGATCATTTTCAACACATGTCTTGCTGTTTTGATGGGGATATATCACCAAGGCGGGATCATTCCTGTTCAACTCGCTATGCCCTCGCTAATCGTGCAATCAACCAACGCCACTCATTCCGAAGCCCACAACATCGAAGTATTCTGGTGGAAAACTTATCCGCCGCCAACATTCCTCCTCGGATCCGAGCCACAGCACCCAGCCACGAACCGGTCTCTCAACGTCTCCACCGTTCCACTGATGGGCTACCCACAGAACGAACTGGTTTTCATGCTCATGCAACACATGCCGACATGCGACCCCACGTTGATTGAACGATTCTTCATCCACAAGGAAAAGACGGACGTCTATGTGGTGGCCCCACTGAGTGCATGGCGCCTTGATCCCACCACTCAGAGTCCGGAGCCAGGGCAAAAGAAAGCATATCAACATCAATATCAATACCCCGCCGTCTCGAACTTCAGCTTCGCAATCGATATGAATCAACCGCCCGCGCAACTGCAGATGACCAACCTGGCAGTCTTCCGGCGACACATTAATCTCGATGATTTGGACTTTGGCGACGACGGAGTCTGGCCTACACTCGATCGCGTGGTGGGACGAAGAGGCCTCGGCGTGTGGAAAGTCGATCGCATTTGCAGTCCAATCCAATACGTCGATGCACATACCGGGGAGAAACTGAGCCCGGAGCAAGTCAAGCAGAGGGAGGAAGATTTAGGTATCAAGCACAGCGAGGCAGATACGCACGGTGACAAGCGGGAAGAACAAGAACCGAGCGCACCCTCGTTTACCAATCAAGGGGTCCGAAAGACAGAAGAGCCTCTCGGGCCGGCAAACGCTCCCGTTACAGCTGCTATCAAGGAAGCCTTGTCCAGTCTCAGCTCGACGCTGGGTGGGATGTTCGAAGCGGAGGAAGCTCAGGAGATCAGGGTCAGTACAACTACTGTGCCAGCCAACTTCTCTGCGCAAGAGGTGAATATAGCATTCTAAGGCGGAGACAATCTGCTATCAGACCGGGGTGAAGAAGGTTGAAGTGAGATATCTCTAATTCAAAAGAGCTGTCGTGGGGTCTGTCGAGAACTGTCCAGGACAGCCTCGGTAAACAGCGTTTTTCATACGCAGCTCTGCGGCGGTAGTCTGCGACCTTTACTGGCTCTCTGCTTCACAACTGCTTCTCGTGTGCTTGTGTGCCTGTGTGCCTTCTTTGACCGTGTTAGATCATTAGTCGCCCTCATGTTCCTCTCGTCGCAATTCAATGTCCTGAGACAACATCACTGCTATCGCAGCATCAACTAGAGGCGGATGCCCACAATCACCCCAATCATCAAAAGAACTCTGCCTCGCATTTTTCACGTCGCAGAAGCAGAAAATGATCTGGCGCTCAAAGTTGCATGAAACGGTCGGCTCACTGCTGATCATCATCGTCCGGCTGCTCAAACAGGAAGTTGGCCGCCAGCTCTTCATTCTTGTCGCACGCAAAGTAGGCTTGAATGACCTGATCCCGAGAGAAACCCAACCGGCATAATCGCTCGATGGCGTCACGCTCTTCCTCGGTGACCTGGATCGAAGTTGCCCCAGGAGGAAGAGGACCGCCTTCTCCACCTTCGCCTTGCGCGTCCTGTAAGTTGGGTTAGCACTAACGAACAAGTAAACAAAGTCTCAGGTTGTGGTTCCACATACCTCGGCCAGAAGCTGAAGGAACTGGTCTTGATTTGAGCCTATCATTTGAGCAAGTTCGGGGTTGCCTTCAGCGAGTTGTTGGAGGATGGGCTCGAGCATGGCTGGTTGTTGCTGGACGAACTGTCTGAGCTGTTGAAAGTGAGGGCTGTTCCGTAGAAATTCAATGTTCGGTGCTCCGCCTTCCGTCATTAGACCCGCGGCACCCGCACCTGCAGCAGCACCAGCACCAGTTCGTCTCGCACCACCGCCGCCTCCGCGGGTCTGGCCAGCCTGCGCTGCGGCTTCGAAGAGGTTAATAGGCTCATCTCCAGCAGGCGCGGGGGCGGTGGCGGCGGCTGGAGCAGGTTGAGCAGGCTGAGCTGCAGGAGGAGAGGCAGGGTTTCCTTGAGCACCAGCAGCTGGAGTGGCTTGTCTCTGTTCAGCTTGGATGTTCTCGGGAATGCCGCTTAGGAGATATTCGATTGCTCGGTCAGGGTTGAAGAATGCGGCTCGCAAGGCACGATCTATCTCCGGCCTGGCGAAACCCATCGCCTCCATTTCTCGGACGGTAGATTCATTGCGGTTACCAATGAGGAAGGCTGACGGATCGCCGAAGCCACCGCCTTCAGCGGCAGGTGCCTGGGTAGTGGTCGTCTGCTGGGGTGTCGGGGTGGAGGGCTGATTGGAGGGAGCACTTGCAGGCTGGGACGCAGGGGCGGCTGGAGGAGCAGGTGTGGCTACGTTCGTTGACGGCGGCGCAGGTGTAGATGGGCCTCCAGCCTTTGCAGCAGGTCCACCTTTTGGCTATCCACCGTCAGTTGAACGCCTTCTGGGAACGCGGGAATGCGACCAACCTTTGACACCATACACACAATGAAGCCTTTCTCTTCGATCTTGTACGACTCAACGGTATTCGCATCGGCCAGCACCTTGCCTGTCTAAGGGTCAGTGCTGTGGTTTCGAAGAGTAGTAAGCGCTGCGAGGATCTCGGACCGGCATAGATGAGTTTCTGTGATGCGGCTTCCCATCCCTTCTCTGCGGCAACCTTTTCTTTCACCTGGCCGATCTAAGCGCAAGATGTCAGTTTCTGGTGCGCATTCTCTGACGCCGCGGAAGGAGGGACCATACTGTGTCTGTAGGCTCGGCATCAATGGTGAACTTTTGCTGCTTCAAATCCTGCCCCGCTTGTCAGCCGTCGTCTGTAGAGGGCAGGTCAGATCGACCGACTCTGAATGAGAGCTTCATCTTGCCCCGCCACACACAAATGCTGATGCGGCCTTTCGCAACTCAAGTAGTAAACTGAATGACTGTCTGTGGTTGACAATGAGGTATCGTAGTCCTGAGACGAGTCTCTCTTTTACGCAGAGGATTGATCTGAAATAAAGCAGAGGTCAGGTTTCAAGGGTCGGCGTGAGTGATGCGGCGAAAGGGTGGATCTCGCTGCGCATGTCATCGCGCCTGCCTACGCAATAATCATAGCAGCCTTTGGTGCCTGCCCCTTAGGTGCCTCTTCAAATTCACACCCCTACACGTGATATGAGAGTGAGGCTTACTGCGTTCACCTCACCATATATGTAACTTCACTGCTAGAGGTCCAAACTTGTCATTAATGATACAGGAGGCTGCTCTGATATGGGCTGGTCAATCTCAGGGACTGCCTCCATCAACTTTACTTTTCTTCCGCTTGATTTTCGCTGCTCCATCAGATATAGGCGTAGCTCTGTCTCCCACTCTCGCTACCCCGGAAGCTGCAGCAGCGGTAGCCGACCGAGGTGCGGCAACAGAGCCAGCTCGCGATTGACCGGGAGCTCCAATGGGTGGCGATGATGTCGGGCCCGTAGCTTTAGCTTGGCCAGCCGTAGCTGCGGCATCTTTGTTCTTAGAAAACCGAAAATTCCCTGGCTCACCCACCAAGGGCATGTCGTCCGAATACTCCTTTCCATATGCGATAGTCATGCGAAGCGCTTCCCACGCCGTCCTTGCTCCACTGCCACCATCTACATTTGCCTGCGAAGATACTGCTACTTTCTCACCAGTGGGTGCTCGGCTCTCTGGCACCACAGATCCCTCTCTACTCTGAGGAGCAGCTCCTCCTGACAGAGCCTGCCGTGTAGATGGCTTGACAGGCTTGTAGTAAGTGTGGCCATGAGACACCGAGAAGAGCGACATGTCCGTCGGGGCGTTGAAGAGCTTGTTGAGTGCCGCGACTGTGTTCAACTATAGACGACGATGTCAGCAGGAGAAAGTGACAGGGCCATCACTGCAGCTTACCAATCGATTGTTCAGAATGCTGGCAACGGAAGGAGCCTGGTAGATCACATTGTTGACAATGTAATAATATCCGAGCACGGTGACACTATCGTCGCTCTCGTTCTCTCGGTTCTGCTTGCGGATGACCCAGACATTGGTGTTCTCTGGTCCATTGGGCCCTTCAACGGTGGCTTTCTCTTCGAGGGGATCGTGCTCGACAACATACTGGATGCCGCGCTGGTGACGGAGATTTGATTCAAATCTCGCTCTTGTGCCTAGGATCTCATTCTGGTTGGGAGTGCCTACCCACTGGGTAAACAATGACTGGTTGCCAGACACTTGGTCGAAGAACGGGGATGTTGCAAAATAGAAGAGCACTGTCGGTTGATGAGTATGAAAGCATGCGCTGTCTGTAAATCGAAACCAACCGTTATTGGAATGTAAGTATCCTCCGTTATAGCTGATCCAGTTAGGGTCAAAATGGGCTCTGTCACTCAGATCGTCCTTGTTCTCAGCCATGACTGCTGCTGTCGAAGTTGGCTTGTGGTCGAGGGCACCTGCTCATCTTGAGCGTGTGTTGAAAATGGTCAGTGCGAGGCCTGTGTGACTGCCAACGCGTCTCGAGCGAACTTCGTAATCAAGATCATGTTGTTGCGGTGGTGGAAGTCCAGGAAACGAGAGAATGCTCTGGATGCTTGCTGCGGTGGAGCACGCGAGCGACAAAGCGCAGTGTCCGGCAAAGCATTCACGAACATTTTCTCTGTTTTCGTCCCCAGCCAAATTCCTTCCGAAACCTGTCAGATTTTACTCTTCCAGCATATGGGCTCGGAGTTCTTGATTTGGTCATTGTCTGCGGTAGGTTCCCCTTTCCTCCTTTCAATGAGTGGACGGTTTGTAGTATATCTGGCTGCACACTCACTCAGGCTTGGGCGGCTGTTGATCTTTCTTCCTCTCTCATTCGGATCTGCGAAACCGTCTAAATGACAGCCCAAAATTCGATTCTCTTCGTGGATGCGTACGATTCATTTGCAGAGAATATTGCCGCACTTTTATATGGATGCCTTCAGGTCCATGTTACTCTGATTAGAATTGATTCCAACATTCAGCAAGAGTTCAAGCAAACTAGTCAGGAATTCTTTTCGTCCTTCGACGCCATCGTCCTCGGCCCCGGGCCCGGAAATCCGGAGAACGCTGAAGACGTCGGCTTATTCAACCAAGTATGCGCATATGCGGAAAGCCAGCAGATCCCTGTCCTGGGGATTTGTCTGGGATTTCAGAGTCTGTGTGCTAGATATGAGCTCCCAGTTGTCCGGATGAGCCTACCCTGTCACGGCCATGCAAAAGAGATATGTCACTCCGGCAGAGATATTTTCTCGGGCACAGAAGGCATCCTTGCAACTTGCTACAACAGTCTCGGCGTCTGCCTTGAGCACTTCAGGGGCAATGATACAGCGAGTCGTCCAGGTTCATCCGGCTCCCACGAGAGTATGTCATCCTCACAGAGCCTTTACTCAACATCCTCCCTCTACCCTACGAACTATGCCGGCCGCAGCGAATCCCATCAGATAATGAAAAGCTTGAAGGTTCTGGCTTGGGATAAGAACGGTTGGGTCATGGCTGTCAGACACAGGCTCCTACCATTCCACGGGTTCCAGTTCCACCCCGAATCGTGCAAATCCAACCTGGCTTGCCAGACTCTCGTCAAACAATGGTGGAAGGCAGCGACGAGTCACAATGAACAGTGTCGAGACCCACTCCCTCGCCGACAAGCGAGGCCCACACAGGTCGTGGGACCAGCTGCTAGCATATTGCCCACCAGTGCGGTGAATTTGTTAAGTGAGCTGCTCTCGGTCTCAAGCACTTTCAAAGGCTCTGTACACCGAAGATCCATGCATCTCCCTGGGGCTTCTAGCATGATCGCAAATCTTTGCCACCAAAACTCACGGGCAGACTGTGTTGCCATGCTGGAGTCCACGAAAAGAGGACGCTACAGCATTTATTCTTTCACCCACGAACAGAGTTTCCTACTGGAATACAAAGCCGACCAGGTCCTCTTCAGTCTGCCATCTTCAGCCCGTGGTCCTGTTCAACGCTCCTTGCTTAGCAGAGAAGTGGCTGTCGCGCTCATCGAATCTTTCATCCAAAGACGAAGTTTCAAAAGTGACGAGGCAGACCTCCCGTTTAGCGGCGGTTTGATCGGGTTCATCTCTTACGAGTTCGGTACAGCGTCTTTGCGCTTGAAGCTTCAGAGGCAGAATGTGCCACTACCGTCGACGCCAGAGATCAGCCTTCTCTGGGTAGACCGTAGCGTCGTCTATGACCATGACACTGGAATGGCACATATCCAGTCTATACGAGACAATGACTGCTGGGTGGATGAGATTGCGGACATGTTGCAGAGCAACTATAAAGCTTCGGGCGACGCTGTGAGTTCGGCAACCAGCAAAAAAGCACAGGAGATTCTGTCCTCGGCCAAATTCACCCTTCCGAATCATGACCAATATGTATCTCAGATCCGCACTTGTCAGTCCGAATTACTCGTTGGAAACTCGTACGAACTGTGCCTGACCACAGAGGCAACCATCACTACGCCCGCTAGCTCCGAAGCTCCTTACTTTCTCTACAGGAACCTTCAGCGGCACAACCCTGTACCATTCGCCGCCTATATTAGCTTCAACAAAACCACGATCCTCTCTTCCTCGCCGGAACAGTTTCTCTCGTGGTCAGCCAAGGACGGCGCGATAGACATGATCCCTATGAAAGGCACGGTGAAGAAGACGCCGGAGATGACGCGCGCAAAAGCCACAGAGATTCTCTCCTCTGCCAAGGAAAGTGCAGAGAATCTCATGATTGCGGATCTGATCCGACACGATCTCTACAGCACGGTGGGCCATGAGGCGAAAGTCGGGGTGGTAAAGTTATGCGACGTGGTCGAGTCGGAGACGGTGTTCTCGCTTGTGTCGCACATTCGCGCCCATGCTCCCGTCTCTCCCAACACGGACAAGGACTCTGACGAATACGCACAAGCAATGTCGAACTATGGCCTCAGAGCACTCACACGCACCCTCCCACCCGGCAGCATGACGGGCGCCCCGAAAAAGCGGTCGTGCGAGATCCTCGACAACCTCGAGCGCAGAGACCGTGGCGTCTATTCTGGAGCCATCGGCTACATAGACGTCTGTGGGAACGGGGCGTGGTCGGTCGTCATACGGTCTGCCTTTTCGAACCGCGAAGATAACGGAACCGATCCGACTACCGGCGAAGAGACACAGAAGTGGCGCATTGGCGCTGGCGGTGCCATCACCGTGCTGAGTGATGAAGAGGAGGAGTGGGAGGAGATGATGACAAAATTAGATAGTGTGCTGACAGGATTTCGGCTCGATTGAGTACTGAGACGGATTGTGATTGGGGAGATCTAAGGCGATGCTTCCCGTCTTCCGGAAGAGGGAGGCGCAACACCTGATATTTGTTTCAACATGATATGAAGCTACGACTTTCAACACCAAGATATGAAGCTATGACTTTCAACACCAAGATACCCCATTCAACTGGATCACAGGACGACACAGCGTGACGACAGCATCTTCACCGGCTGCGGGAAAGAGTGGAAATATGAAGGCTTGTGGAGGCAGTGCTAGGCGTTTTCGGAAATGGATGTATGTACTGCTCAACATCACAAGCGCAACACCGAGGTTCAGGCTTGAACCTGCGAGGAGTTTGCGTGGTTCTCTCCGGTGTTCTCAGCACAAGGATTTAAAACCCGCAATCAAACAAGAGGTACTCATTAGGAGGCTATTCATTCAAGCCCTTTTGTCCGCCCATTGCCCGGGTTTCCTGATAACAAATCGGTGGATCCATGGTGCTATCACGGAGTATGCCAATAGAAGCTTCCGCCATTGCGAAGACTCGGTACAACCCTGCGCGGACCGTATGTGACATGTCTACTCTGTACCTTCTCAAAGCGATCTCTTTGCTTGCAATGCATGCTTGATTTACAATCCTGTGACCTAGGCCTTCCACATCCTAAAAAGTCTTTTGAACGGAGTATCTTTGGAGGTCTATCATGTACAGTCAGTCTATCCATGTAACACTCTCGTCTCATCTCATCGCGTGTGGCCCAGAACCGAGTAGAGCCATCTATCCGATCCACGATGCAGATGTAGCCGTATTGTTAGGGCCATTACACCCCCTTGTCCTCTATCCATGAAGAAGCAAAAAACCATCGCCCAAATTGGACGATTCCCACAGAAAGGTCTACCGGAGCGCCACCGCTATGCCATCCCATGCTATGCTCATAAGTACCTTTTCCCGTTGACACTGGCTTGCAATACAAGACCACTCACTACCCATTGCACCTTTGTGCCAGACGCTTTAGATCTCAACAAGCGGAGCATTCAAACTCGCACCCTCACCCTCACCCTCTCTTCCTCTGATGGGTAGTTGCTGAGCTTGGCCCTGGCCCTGACTCTGACCCAACACCCTGACTACCCTGCCGAAATACTGCGCCACGAACCCTTCCGTGTAATAACTGTGATCGCTACTATGGTCGCCCACAAGATTATGGGCCAACTCATGGCACAGAATCACCCACCAGTATACAAACGCCTCGGCATAAGCTTCCGCTTCTGTCCCTTGGCCCACAATATTCCGCTCGTGGAGTTGTTCAAAGTATCGGTAGTTGCAGAATATCGACCCGTTTCGGTTGAACCCGATGGTCTTGCCGGACGTTTCGAAAAAGATGTTTAGCGTCCGTGGACTGAGGGAGAAGACCTCCGCGAGAGAGTTCAAGAGGTGTGCGAACGACGTGAGGCCATGGGAGTGCTGTTGGAGGAACTGGCTGGAGTTGCTCACGGACGAGGGCGCCAGGTAGCAGTTGATGCCATGTTTGATTTCTGCCACGAAAGTCAGATCGTGAGCCGGGTGCTCGTCGCAGTACGATTTCGTTTCCTGGAGGACGTTGGTCTCTCCGCGGCTGAAGATGTCGGACGAGTTGTGTGCGCGAGACTTTTTGATGGCTGTGAGGAGATTCTCGCGGAGTTGGTGAGGCGCCGTCACCGAGCCGCCAGTCGGCTTGGGCTGTGCTTGGTTGCCTTGCTGATCGTATTGGTATGGTGGCGGAGGATCGGCTGTCCCACTGGCATTGGTGAGTTCTCGTTGGCTGCTATCGTCGTTGTTGCCAAGCATCTGCTGAATGTGACGGTTGTTGCCGAATCCCAGCTGACGGGACAAGTTGGAGAACAAATTGCGACCATGTCTGCGGACGTCCTCTGCATTGATCGGCGTGGGCGTGGCTGGCTCTGGCGCTGTCAATGATCTGTTGTCGGGCGAGTCTGGGAATCCACCTGGGACATGGTCTTGTCGGGCTCCTTCCTTCCCGGCCTGCGCTTGAGAAGCTCGCCATGCCCTTTCCTCTTCCTCAATGCGCTTCTGCTGCTCCTCAAGTTGTTGCTGTCTCTTGCTTTCAGCCAGTCTTGCTTCAGCAGCCTTCTGCCGCAGGATGCGAGAGACGTTGAAGCCTCGGGCGCGAAGATCAAGCAGATCAGTCTTCAGCAGCATCTCCAGCGTGATGGCCGAATGAAGTTTTGGTCGGGTGAGCAAAATGTGCACCAGAGCCTGGCTGACCTGGTACAAGTCCGGTTTAGCACCTGTGATCCAGAGAGTGTACTCCTTGTTGACCGCAGTTATGACCGCCGTGCGCTTTTCTGTGTGGCTGACGTTTCGTCCTCGCAGCGATCTTCTCAGAGAAATTGACGACACCAGCTGGACCTGCAGATTCTTCTCCAGCCACTTTGCGTCATGCTTGATGGTGTCCGAGGGCTGCTCGTGTAGAAACAGCGTCGATCTCTCCAGGATCTGCTTCTGTAGTTTCTGTGCAGGCTTTTGATCAGGAGCCCGGGGGCCATGGCGAGCCGCTTCCTCCACCAGCGAGCTGAGCAACGGGGATCCGAGAGCAAAGTAGAAGTCCTCGAGGCTTTCTTCCTGCGGTGCGGCAAGGATGTCTGCCTTGAATAGATTGTAGTTGAGGTAGTCGTCAATAATGATAGCGTCAGCCGCGCTGCACAGCTGGAATTCACGAATACCCTGGACTTCGTCCTCATCGAGCTGATCAGCTTCGTCAGCATGGCCAGCATGCTTGGCTACTGGAGACGTTGGTGGCAGTTCACTGCTCGCAAGGAGGAACGGCGCTCTCCTCATTTCTGCCCACAGTTCTTTGTTCTTCTTAAGAGTCTTAGTTGCCTCGGCCATGCTCCGGAGCAGAGCCATGTACTTCTCGGCGTTGCGGAAGGTTGCAGAGATGCGTGCGGGTTCCTTCACAAGAATCTGCGCGATCTCCAGCTTGGAAGGCTCCTGCTTACAGCCGCATTTGATGAGGAACGAGTTCGCCTCAGCACCAAAATCCACGAAGTGAAAGATCTCGCCGAAAGCCTCACTTTCGCCCAGAAAGCAGTTTCGGGGCGAAGTGTGGGTTTGGGGTGCCGACTTCTCTTTACCCTTCCCGAAGATGGGTATGAAGTTCAGATCACTGAGTCGCGCCATACCGTTGGTGTTGATTTCTCCCAAGCGTCCGGCAAAATAACTGAAGAGGACACGTGCGTCGTTATAAGTGCTCGGTGGCTTGTTTGCTAGTATATTGATGCACTGATCCATTGGCGGATGTTGTCGAACACCGAATTTAGGCGCATGAGGAGTCCAGTCACGCTTCAGGATGTCGAAACCAAGCAGGGCAGCTCCTTCGTCTGCGAAGCACCGTGCGGGAGTGGCAAGCCGATCGGGCTTGTTCTCGAGCGGCAAGAAAGGGACGGTGATGCTCTGATAGTCAAACATCCCGTAGCCGTAGCCATGATGGTGGGATAGAAAATAGGCGAGCGCTCGATCACGGCGGTCAAGGTCGTACGTAGGTCCTTTCTTTCCGGCTTCAGCCATGATTTGAACAAGCTCCGGAGCCAAGGGCGTCGTTCGCAAACCGAGAGAATTCAAGAACCGGCCTTCTGGCGTATTGGTGCGGTAGGCGCCTGGCCAAGCCAGAACTGGGAGTCCCAACTGGCGCAGATCATGCCGTGGCTCGAAGAGTTCGCTCACTTTGTACAGCTCAGTAGACTCTCCGCCATCCCTGCCATCCAGTTGTTTCGGACATATGGCAGTGCTCCTCAGTTTCTGTATGTCGGCCCCTGGAATGTCATCACGTACAGATGCAAGGTATTTGATCAGGTCAACATGGCTCCATTGAGGTTTCGTGGCGGTGACAGCCTTTGCGGATTTCGGCTCTAGCGACAAGAGTCTTCCGAACACGACATCCAATTCCACAGTCTTGCGGACGCCGAGAGCAAGCAAGAACTTGTCTTTGACGTTCCCGAGACCTTCTATCGTCGCCAGATCATCAAATAGTTTCACGTTCGGGAAGTAAGCATCACCGGGCTTTTTCATCCCAAATTTCGTGGGAATCACAGTGTGCTTGACAAGAATCTCGACGAGGGCAGTCTTTGAAGGCTGGCTAAGAGAGTCCCATTGTTTCGACAGTAAAGGCATGACCTGCGAGCTGAATTCGGCGGATTTCGTGATATCTTGATTTTCTGCGAGTATCTGACGATTCCCGGCCTGAGCAATGAGCCACCGGACCCACGTCACTAATTGAAGCTCCTCCCAGCCCAGGCTCTCCAGCTCATGTTTGCTCATGCCCCTCGTGAATTTGAATGGCATGACAGTCGGTGGGACGGGAAAGTCGACCGGAGTCCGGCTAGGGTTCAAGAAGTGACGGATCTCTCCAAGTTGTAGAAGCGGACTCGCATTTCCTTCAGGACTGTCGTCATTAGCGACAGCAACAGCCAGCAGACTCGAAATCGTAGCCTTGTCGAGCTTTCCCTGAGTTGATTGTTTCGTGAGCCAACCCAGAAATTCGGACACCTGAGGCGCAGTGAGAGGGCTCGATTCGAGCGCCAACTTTATGTCAGTGACAGTGACTTCTGTCAGAAGACCGAAGTCAACAAGCTTGGAAACAAACACATGTGCCTCAGAAGCCAGTTTCTCTGGTAGAATCGGGATGCCCGACATGAAACTGAGATCTTTGGGCGCTATACGGACATCATGCGTCGGCAGTACACCACAAGTTGAGACCACTTCAATGGACGCTTTCTTGCTGCACGTCCAGAATGCGTCCTCCAGGAGTGAGCCTATGGAAGCCGAAGGCGTTGACTCTCTGAACGTGAAGTTCTTGAACGTGGTGATCGCCTCGTCCAAGAATGGGCTGACTTGCTCCATACGGATCTTCGATCGACCATTGGCTTCTCGCTGAGTCTTCTCCTTGAGCTCTTGTAACTCGCACGACCACACCATTCGACAGACAACACCAGCTGCACGAAGCATCTCCATATTCCAAGTTCTGACGTATCGGGCATTCAAGTCGATAGATTCTCTTTCAACAGTAGGTATCACCGAAGGCGCTGAGATGTGTGCGCTAAGTCCAGTTGTCTGGTGCGTGGGAAAACCAATGAATATCTTGCCACCTCGGCTTGGAAGCACTGTTCCGAAGACGTCGCCTGCCGCGGAAGCCTTAGCAAGGCTCGAATCTTCGATGTAGGGTGCAGTAAGAATGGCGAGTTTGGTGAACTTCGGAGGCGGCTTCTTCGTCGCTCGCTCGAGTTCTTCGTTGAACTTGACGCCTGTGAACGTCTTGATGGTTGCAGTGTTAACGTTCAGAAAGACGGTGGCAGACACCTTTGTTGCCAAAAGATCCGTACTGGCCGGCCCATCAGGCTTGCTATCGACGCGGGCTTCTTCTTGCACAGTCCCTGCTAACCTTGAGAAGAATTTGCGTAATGAAGGGGCAGCATCTCGGTCGGATGAGGAATGAGCGGCCGTCTTGGACGCTTTCCAGCCGATGACCGTCATCCATGACCCGTCTATTTGTGCAATCTCCTTGGAAACCTTTGTGACCCTCATGAAACCTTCGCTGGTCTTCGGTTCAATATCGCGGGGAATTGGCACCTCATAACTCGGCGAAGTCTTCTTCCGCAGGGAGAGCAAGTTCCAGTCGTCCAACCAGAATTCAATGTTCTCCAGTCCCACGAAGGTCAGACTATTTGCGAGGAACTGTGCCAACGGTAGTAGCGGCGGCACTGGCGAAGTGGTGTCCCGATAATCCAGGACGAAATTTGTGTCTGAAGACGTCTCGGAATCAGGCAGTTGTAGCCGTCTCGTGAACAGCGAATTGTTCTTCCAGAAGAATGCCATGGCCTCTTTCCCAGAAGACACAAAGGGATTCTCGCAATCTGCAAAGGTGGAGTAGAAACCCACACCAAAAGCACCGATCTTGGTCTCATCCGGGTTTCCTTCTGCAATGCGCTTCAAGCGATTCCAGTCATTCTCACTGAAAGGCTGTCCATTATTTGTCACTACCAGCCTCTTCAGAGTATGGTGCTGAACTGTATGCCTCAGTAGGCTCGATGACGAGGAGTCTGCGGGTAACGGGACTGTGGCTGATGGTATCGTCTCGAACTTGATGGTGATCTTTGTTGCCGAAGCGTCTGCGGCGTTCTGAAGTAATTCCCGCAGAACTGTCCATTCTCCCGAATATCTAGCCAAGACCTTGTCTATCAGGGCTCTTGTGTTGACCGTCACGGCCTCCTCATCTGCGCCGGAGCGTAGCGTCCGCGCTCGGAGGGCGTCAAAATCCATATTCGCCACGTTGGACGTCAACCGGTGGTGGGTGTGTGGTATTGAAGGGCCAGAAGTCAAGGAGGACTGATGCCGGTGTTGAAATGGAGGCAGCCCGTGGCGTAGCCGCGTGAGGTACGGAGTTAAGGCTGCGTAGCCTTGGTGGCAAGAAATGTTATTGAGGACGAGGAGCGATCTGCATCGGCGGATTTCTACAAAAGAAGGTCTAAATACAATATAACTCGTCCCGCGAATCAAAGACGACGCTAGGGAAGAAAGGCCGTGAAAGTGACAGAAGGAGGGAGAAGCTAACAATGCATTATTTGTGAGGCTCCTCATCACTGGGCACTTTACGAATCCCGCGCAAGGCAGATGCCCGCGAGGCTGCAACGAGGCTGACGTCGTGTATCCTGCAGGGTCCGGCCTGCCACGTGATTACAAGGCTGACTTGCTTACATAACATGTTATATCTCCACGACCCACATACCACCGACCACCTCTCGCACTTTGTCCCGCTGTTGTCTCGATGCTACCAACTGTGTATTCAGACCCTTGCACCTGCATTATCCGTATAGATGATTTTGCGACTGGCACGGCTATAGTGAAAAAAGCAGACGTTCTCCAAATCCTCATCCCTTGATGGCTCGTTGAAAGCCTCCTCGGGACATCTTAGCCTATTCTCACCATGTCATCATGGGATATAACCCCTTCCTGCCTATTGCGGGCGCCAGAGTCAATGTTCTATGCATCCCAGCCGGTCCGATTACACCAGATCGCTTCCAAAAATTTGTCAAGGCGCTCCACAATGCTGCTAGCGTCGAGCGTAGACTCGTGGATGCGACCCCTTCGTCCGGCTTGATCTTCTACGATGTCTCGGCGAGTCAAGACAAATGGCGGCCACATCTCTTCCCTTTCGAGACAAATAGCAGGCCTCAGGTTGTTCTGGGCCTGGTGGATGGTACGAGACTTCTTGCTGCTTCTGCAAGCGGCTCGCCGGAGACTGAGATCCCCAGAAACGACATACTTGAGACAGTCGAGTCTATCAAGACCCAATTCGAGGAGCAGCAACCCTTTGAGCCTGGACTAGTCGTGCGCCGGCTGATCTACTGTGGCACGGGGGTCAACGCCCCTTTCGGCGGGGATGGACTCAGCCTGCCGGATGTTGAGGGCGACGAGGCCGCTCGTCAAGTTATGGTCACCATTTCACGACTGCTTCTAGAAGGTCTCACTCGCATCGTCACCGACATGAAAGATCAGCCGATTAGCATGGTCCCTGGTGCCCGTGACTCCCAGGTTCCTCGACGCACTGGCACCACTCCTGTTCCTGCGAGCGGAAGCTCAACACCCGTGTCTACGAAGCCGTCAAGCCCGATGCCAGCCACGAATGGAGCGGAGCAGCAGGTATGTTTACGTCCGCATGAGATGTCTATGCAACTAACCGCTATCCTAGAGCGACACCTCCCGAGGACGTTTCAACATCATTCAGGGCATGTTCCGTGTGCAATGCGGTTCTTGGATCACCGCAATGGACTCCCTTGCGGAAGGAGCTTCAATTGCCCAAAGCGGACACGACCATCTATGGCATGCAAAAGCTCTTGAGTACCTTCTGAACTCCATGGTGCTTTTGGCTTGGTCCGACATGACCTTCGTCGTGCCGCAAGTGTGTCGTTCTCTGCCCAATAGAAGCGGAGCATTCGGCGGAGAAGTTGTGCCGAAGTCAGGGGACTCTTTGAAAATACTGGCCCAATTGCTCCCACCGCTGGTCGAGACGATTCTAGAACTCTATGCCAAAGTGGCTAACCTGGACTTGGGCGGTTCTCTCCAGGATGTCTTAAGGGAGTCCCGTGTAAGACTGGTGAACTTGTTGGTTTTCGTGAAGCGAGCAGGAGGAATTCTCACCAAGCAGGGCCTGAACCAGATCGCTACTGGTTCCGACGATGCTTCTGATATGTCGATGCAGGTCAAAGGAGAGCCTGTTGCCGTTTCGAAAGCCGGGCTTGCAAACATTCTGATCGAAACACTTCAGGAAGCTCAATCCAGCAGAAGTCTTCTGCATTACACAGCCCTTCTGGTAGCAATTGCTACCAGTCTGTCAGTCTTGGGACTAGACCGCAAACACGCGTTCTATATCAAGCAGCTCATGCAGCAATTCGTTCCCAAGCTTATAGAAGCGAGAAAAGTTGGCGCTTCCGAAGCCGGTGTTCATCCTGCGGCTGGCTTACCGCCTGTGAGTGCCGCACTCCAGGGAATCATGCCAGAAATGGTCGCGGGGACGAGGACAATGTTGAACCTTGCCGCTGGTACCTACGGAGTTCCTCTGCCACCTGTCCCCCCAGTACGACAGAGAATACCGGCAGAGTTAACCACGATTCGTGAGAGACTCAGGGCTTGGGCTATTGAGCATGACACGGGCGATGCCATGCTGAAAGTGGAAATGCTCCGGACATGTGTGAGCGTCTGCGAGGCATTGCCCGATGTTCCAGCTGGGCTTCACTTCTCGTCAAACATCCTTCGCACGGCGAGGAGAGTTGCCACGATGCCAAAGTATTCGGTAAACGACGTGCCTTTGATCCCTGCCGAAGAGCAAGCACGCCTCCTGGATAGCATGAAACGTGCCGTTTCGGCGGCCTCTCGCTTGGGTTCAGAGGGCTGCCGTGCTGAGTACTGGGACGACTTCCTGGTCCGAGATATCCAAGTTGTCGAGCGAGACGGCTTCTCAAAACTTATAGCGCACAAGCCTAGCGATCTGGCCATACGAGGGAGTGCACTTGTGGACGCGGTGCGAGATCCGTTCATATACAATCCATTCTCGAAGGATAAATCCGTTGTTGCTGCTCCTGTCTTGGTGGCAGGGGAACTCTCGACCTTTGGCGTCCTCCTTCAAAATCCTCTCGAGGTCGAGATCGAGATTGAAGAGATTCGTCTCTTGAGCGAGGGGTGTGCTTTTTTCCCGTCGGCTCATAGCATCGTGTTGGGGCCACTGTCGTGTCAGCTGTTCGCCCTGAGCGGCACACCCACCGAGAGTGGCGACCTCGGAATCACTGGCTGCAGAGCAACGATCCGCAGTTGCTATGAGCAGGACTTCTTGACCTTTCGTGAGGCTTGGAAACCCCCAGTGACTCTGAAGCAGAGAGCGATCAGCAGAGCCAGACCCCGAAGAGGCCAACTCAGTGGGGGAAGCGGCGAAGAACCAGCACAGGTCGATTCCCTATCGGACCCTCCAGTACCGACACCTCTGAAGCTCAAGGTCATCAGCGCCCAGCCTCGACTGGACATCAAGTTGAGCAGCCTGGGAAATCCGGCCATGATGCTCCTTGAAGGCGAGAGCCGTGTTTTCGATGTGACATTGATCAACGAGGGCAAGAGCGTGCCGGCAGACCTTGTCTTGATCACTGCTGAGGATTCAGTCAGTGAGCGGCTGAAAGAAGCTCTTACGACCCAGGACCTCAACCCGGCGGAAAAGCACGAGTTGCAGAATCAGCTCGCCATCCATCCAGCGATCAAGATCAAGGACAAGCAGCACCATGACTCCAAACAGATCCTAGAGCCCGGCACGAGCATTGACTATGGGGTCGCAGTCGTCGGTCGACCAGGGCTTGTCAGTGCCACTGTACAGGCAGACTTTGCCTTTCTGGGAACACCATCTGCTGAGGTCCGAGGGACATTCTATACAAGACAAGTTCGATTTCCTGTGGCCGTCACCGTCAACGGCAGTGTCGAAATACCTAGATGCAATATCTTGCCTATCCATAGCGATTTTGGCTGGAGCTCGGGACAGGTCTCGGGCGAAGAACCAGTGCAAAACCATTCGACCGTGGCAGCGAACTTAGGCAAGCTTTCCCGCTGGCTCAAGACCAGTTCCGAGGCAGGTCAGTACTGCATGTTGTCGCTCGACCTTCGCAATGTGTGGCCTCAGCCGCTCAGCATCGAACTCCGAGCACGCAAACCCGGTGCTGGACCTATAGATGGCCAGCCTTGGGATGACGCTTACTCAATCATCGAAACATTGCAACCAGGACATGTTGACCGCGTGGTCCTCATTGTCCCTCGGATCTTCATTGTGGATCCTCACGCCCCTATACCAAATCTTGAGACACAGAAACAGTTTGTGGTGACCGCGTCGAAATTGAGCGCCGAAGCGGAAGCAGCAAGCCGAGAAGCCTTTTGGTATCGTGAAGAGCTGCTCAAGAGCCTCCACGGTGTTTGGCGAGAAGAGACCTCTGGGAGACACGGAGAGATCGACTTGAGAAAGGGCATAAGATTGAGTCCACGTATGGTGGATGCGCTAAAAGTCGATCATGTCGAGATCGAATACGCCGTGAAGGCGCACGAACAGGTGCCGGACGATGGTGGACCTGAGGGCGTCACAGCTGTCAAACAAGTCGGACGGGCTCATTTCTTGCTCAAAACCGAGGCGTTCGCCACCTTGTCCGTCACCATCCACAACCACAGCCAGGAGACGCTCCGCCTCATCCTCAGACTGCAGCCTGCTCTACGACACCAGCCTCAGAAAATTGCGCTAGATCTGTCGAAGCGGTTCGCCTGGACGGGCGTGCTTCAGCGCTCGGTGCATCCCGCCATCGAGCCCGGTGGTGTGTTTGTGGCCCAGCTAGGCATCATTGCCCTTGTCGATGGAGATTACGTGATCAATGCATCGGTGGAGGAGGTCGCTGGTCGTCGCACGAATAGCGGCACGAAGGCTTCCGACGCTGCGAATGCGGGCACCGACAGGCGGATCTGGCATGCACGATCGCCTTGCTTGATCGACGCCACCAGCTAAGTGGGTACATCAGAGTGATCGCTTCTGTGTAGGAACGTCACAGTACAGATAGGACAAGGTCGATGATCTGCAAGAAGACATCTCGGTCCATCTCGACCTTGGCAAGTCCCAATCCCAACATAAGCGCACGGCTTTCCTCAGGCGACTTGGTGACAATGGCATGGGCGATCTGAGAGGCATAAAGTTGACCCATAGCTTCCCTATCAGTGCCTCCAGCACCAAGCAGTGTCCGCGGGGAGAAACGTGATGAGGGAAGCAGCCCATCGTCCCCATATTGATTTGTTTGGAAGTACGGATCTGATTGAGTTGGATTGTCGCTGAAGAGCGGCACCGTGACCTTGATCACTGTGTGTCAGCGTCGATACGGATGACCGGAATGACTGCAAACCATACCCATTGCCCTAACCTCCCGTTCTGCGTGACTGTGATCATGATTTTGTCCGCGAATGACATGTACATCACGTCTGTCTTGACGCCATTGATCTCGCCGGCAACCTGCTTCGTGGGCGCAGGAAAGGGAATTGTCACTTTCGTGTCGTCCATGTCTACCCCGTAGTCTTGCGGTATGCCCATTTTCTCGCCCACCAGAAGAGCATGGGAAGAGCACCAAGATGAACAAAGACAGACGCCGACACAGCCGAACCGAAACATCCATGCCAGTCACGTGAGCCGGTGACCACCGCCAGCCCCACTCATTTTTCTGCCGGTTGAATCCCAAGAATTTCCCACGAAGCAGCGAGTTGCAATTGCACAGCCGGTGGCCGGTGGTCCTTGTGGTCCTTGTCGCGGCGGTCGTTTTTCTTTGCCATCTACATCCTTCAGCAGCCATCGACATGCCTCGATTCGTGCCACGACAACGTAAGCACAAGGTCCTCGCGCGCCAGAACGCCGCCGCCAACGCTTCACCATCACCCGTGGGCACCCCAGCGTCAAGTAACGCAGAGGTCATAATACCGCAGCCCAAGGCCGAAAGGGAGGAGAAGAGGCGCCAGTTGAAGGAGGAGCTGGTCGCAAAGCAGTCCAAAATTTCGAGCAAGAAACAGAAGAGACTAGACAAATACATTGAGAATAAATTGCGGAAGGACGAGACGCTGGATCTGCTGAAGAAACTCGAGAACGAAAAGGTCAAATATGAGGCTTCTGTTGCCGCAAATGGTGGTATTCTTGGCAAGCGTACCTTTGAAGAGTTTGTCAATCTAGGTCGGCCGGAGAAGAAGCCACGGGAGGTGAGAGTTGAGGAGACGGAGGATGATACTGACGACAGCGAGGATGATTGCGAAGTTCAGAACCGTCAAGCCTTTGATGATAGCGAGGCCGCGCAACAGCTGGTGGAGAATACCCTCGCGCCAATCACAGTGGGGAGTGGTCTTGCACAACCACTTGCGCTGGACGAGACGGGCCTGCCTATCATACAGTCGCGGAAGAGCAAGAAGCGGAAAATGCTACTGGACGACAGTGTGGAAGAGTTGCCTTGGGAGGGATTTGATACGGAGGCGAGCGAAATTGAATATGGTTCGGGGGACGAGGGGGCATTAGACTCTGACGACGATGAGTCCGTCGAGACGGCCAGTACTGATGGGACTAGGTCGTCCGTCGATGAGGGCGAGAGTTTGGATGAGGATGACGATACTGGGAGCGATACATCGGAGACTTCGCGAGACGGCAGTAACGAAAAGATCAAGCCTAGAAATTCAGTTTTCAAGCTCTGGGCAACGCAGCAGTTGAATCACTCCATGGGCCATACGCCGTCCTACACTCCAGGAGAAGGCCAACTACTTCCAGCTCCCAAACCAGCCTCGAAACCTTACAGTGAAACCTCAAAACCCAGTATTCCCGCCGACTCGCCTGAAGATAAGCCCAATCGAAAGGCCTACGCCGTTCATGTCGAGCGATCCGAGGAGATCCAGCAATCTCGCACTCAGTTGCCCATCCTCCAATGCGAACAGGAAATCATGGAAGCCATCCACAACAACCCCGTCGTGATCGTCAAAGGCGACACCGGAAGCGGCAAGACGACGCAAATACCTCAGTTTCTCTTTGAAGCAGGCTATGGCTCGCCCGAGGGACCCTCGCCCGGCATGATTGGTATCACTCAACCTCGACGAGTTGCAGCCGTCAGCATGGCCAAACGGGTGAGCGCAGAACTGGGTCAATATGGGAAAAAAGTGTCATATCAGATCAGGTTCGACAGCACTGCATCTGCAGATACGGCCGTCAAATTTATGACGGATGGCATCCTATTACGAGAACTATCCCAAGACCTGCTTCTAAGGAAGTATTCTGTCATTGTGATCGACGAGGCCCACGACAGAAGCGTCAATACAGACATACTAATCGGCATGCTCAGCAAGATTGTCCCCGCCCGAATGCAGAAGAGCAAGTTCAACCCTGACCCGAAGCCTCTAAAATTGGTGATCATGTCCGCAACGCTCAATATCGACGATTTCTTGCATGAGAAGCTGTTCCCGGCTGATATGCGGCCACCTATCGTGGAAGCCGAGGGACGGCAACACCGTGTGACCACGCACTTTGCATTGAGATCACGAGCAGATTATGTCGACGAGGTGATTGAGAAGGTCCAACGAGCGCACCGAAAGCTCCCTAAAGGTGGCATTCTCGTGTTTCTGACAGGGCAGAACGAAATCCGACAAGTCGCCAAACAGCTGAAGGCTTCCCTGACGCCACGAAACGGCATTGAGAGACAGGGAAGCGTGAATGTCCCTCGAGTGGAAATGGCGGCAAGTGAGGCACCTCTTGAGACTGAAGATATGGAGCTAGGCTCATCAAAGATCGACGAAGGGCAGGACGACTTCGACATGGAGATCCTCACGCCCTCGGACGAAGAAGCCGAGGAAAAGGAATTCGAAATCTCCGAGGATGAGGGAGACAATGAGGAAGACACTCAGGAAGCCACCACTCAGCCTGCAGCGCTCTCGAAACCCAAGGAAGCGTACACCTCGGTCCATATACTCCCGCTATACTCGCAACTCCCTACAAGCGAGCAACTCAAAGTTTTCGACCCGCCACCAACCGGCTCCAGACTGATCGTGCTCGCTACAAACGTTGCAGAAACATCCCTCACGATCCCTGGAATTCGATACGTCTTCGATACAGGCCGGTCCAAAGAACGCAAATATAACCTCGACACCGGTGTCCAGAGCTTCGAAATAGACTACATCAGCAAAGCCAGCGCCGCGCAACGAGCCGGCCGAGCCGGAAGAACGGGCCCCGGCCACTGTTGGCGACTGTACACCAGTGCAGTATATGAGGCGTTCTTCCCGGACCACGCGGAGCCAGAGATTCTACGTGCCCCTGCGGAGAGTGTAGTCCTGCAACTGAAGGGGTTTGCGTACCCCAGACCGATTGCCGAGTTCCCGTTCCCAACACCGCCAGCATCACAGACCCTGACCAAGGCCGAGCTGCTGCTGAAGAATCTGGGTGCCTTGACGCCCACGGGCAGCATCACAGACTTGGGTAGGCAATTGTCCATCTACCCGCTCTCACCTCGCTTGGGCAAGATCCTGGCCCTGGGCCTCGACTCCTCGAATCACCACCTGCTCTGGCACTTGCTGACACTGGTCTCCGCCCTGGCCGTGCCGGAGATCTTCCTCACAGAAGCACAGCTCGACTCAAACCCACACGATGGAGGAGAGTCCAAGAACACCGACGCAGACGCAGACGCAGGTACCGCCCTCGACGACCTCCGCCAGGAATACGGCCGTGCCCGCACAACCCTCACGCGGCACGACAAGACCTCGGACGCCATGAAGCTCCTCACCGCGGCGAGCATGTATCTCGACACGGACCGCATATCGCAGGCCTCGCTGCTGCTGTGTCGCTCGCTCTTCCTGCGCGAAAAGGCCATGGCCGAAATCGCCCAGTTGCGCTCGCAACTCGACCATCTCGTGCGCGTGAACAACCGCACCACCATCACGCAGGACCACCTCGAACACTCGCGCGCGCACACCAAATTATCATCCCAAAAGGTGACCGCGCGGCTCAACGGCCTCGTCGCAGCCGGATACATCGACCACCTCGCGATTCGATCCGACTTGGCGCCCAACCCTCCCGTGGCGGCAAGTAAGCCTCGCCGCGCGATCGACGTGCCGTACCTGCCCCTCTTCCCCGTCCACAACGCCGCTCATGCCAGCCTTTTGAAGAGGGCAGTGTTTATCCATCCGTCGTCCGTGCTCGCGAGGGCCAACGTCGAGGACCTGCCGCCCTATATCTGCTATAGTCACCTTCAACGTGCGCACGCCCGAGCCGTGGCCGTGGCCGTGGCGGAGCAGAATGCCCCTGCCCCTGTTCCCAAGACGAGGATGTTTCCTCTCTGTGCACTTACCGGGGGGGAGATCTGTCGGTTGGCCCGCGATACCGCGCTGATAAGCTATGGGAAGCCGCTTCCCAAGTCGAAGATCGAGGAGATGGCTGGCCGGCCGAAGAGGAGGGTGTGCTGGGTGAGTTGTGAGCTGAGGGGCGTGGGCAGTGGTGGTGGTGCGTTGGGATGGGGATTGCCGCCTGTCAAGGTGAGGCAGGTTTTGGATATGAAGTCACGGGAAGGATGGACAGTTGAAGAGGTGCTGACTTAACCTGGTGACAAGGTCAGATCGAAACCCTGAGCGATGCTTAGGCACAAAAGAGTGCGTCCCATCGTCGGTTGTCTTAGGAGTTACAGTACAGTATGTACGAGAGCCAAGTCCAGCTCGGCTCAGTCACTCTGCCTAGGCATGTGTCGCCTCCGTCTTTGTATTCACCATGAGCCAAACCCAGCATACCAGTCTCGCTTGTTTCCAGTAGCACCTTCTAGGTACATGACCTCCCGAAATTTATGCGTATGCCTGAAGTCCCAATATTGCGATAATGGACGACATTGCTGTACATGCCTGGTAGAGAGCTTTCATGATGCAAAACCCTTTGTCCAGTCAACGACCAGACCTCTGTACATCGATCTCTGGATGGCAAGTATCTGTTTACCACAGACTGACACCCCGCCTCCGACCACTCCCTTGCACCCCTGTCAACCCCAAGATCCCTCGCGCGACCAGACAACGTAAACAAGTCAATTCTTTGGTGTCGGCTTTGAGGCGGTGCTGCTGGTTCTGCTGCGTCGTCGGTCTCCTTTGTCTGGAGTTTCTGGAATGGTCGACTCTAACCAGGCGATCGCTCGATCAACCCGAGCCTTCGCCGATACCAGTTCCGCTTCGAGTTGCTCGGGACTGAACCCTTTCTCCTCTTTGATCCACCAGGGTGCCGCGTTGATACACATGCGAAGAAGGATCGTTGCCTGGTGAAACTCAGAGGTACCAAACTCAAGAGCCATGTCAGATGCATTTCCAAGCGCGGATGGTGCTGGAATCTTGGTAGACAGTGCTTCTGGTAGGGCGTCACGGTCCTTCAGCTCGTCCAAAAAGCTGGCGTATTTCCTCAATGGCCATTCGAGATTGTCGTTCTGCAGACAGTTGGCGAACTCTTCGTCCTTGGGGAAAAAGCCAGCAAATTCAAAGTCGATGATCGCCGACACTTTAGCGCCTCCATTTCCATGAGGCACTGCGAGCACGTTGCGAGTAGATAGATCATCGTGGGTGAAGACCATCGGTTCGAACCCATAGCGGAACATGGGCAGTTTCGGGAGGGACACATCCAGGAAGCGCTTCACCTTGTCATACACTTCGTCCGAGGTATGGCCGTAGAGTTTGCCTTCTTTGAGTTTCTTAAGAGAGCTCTTCAGCGAGAAGGCGGCGTACTTTTCTGCAGTACCCAGTGGAGATTGTGGGGATGAGTTGGTGATCAGACCGTCAATATGGACGTCGTAGCCTGGAAGAATGACTTTGTCGTACAAAACAGCAGCGGGTCCCGGCTGAGAGCCACTTCCGACAATTCGTAGATTGCCTACAGCCTTTGCCGCTGGCATGTCCTTCCGCCAGGTAGCCACGTGAGTACCAATCTGGCGCATCAGTTCGTCTCCGGCTTTGCCAGCCAAGTCTTCTGGGCTGATAGGCTTACCAGGCTCGCGAGTAAGCAGCATCCAGCCTTGTCCCTCGGTATCCTTGCGGACATTTTCAATTGGGACACCATCTTCTGCTTGAATGGCCAAGACCGGAATATTTTTTACCTCATTGTCTCTGAAGCCGCGGGGAAATCCAGGTGTGCGGACCTTCTTGCCGTCGTCCGACCAGGCGATCAACTTTGGGCACGGGATGGATGAGCAATGCTTCTCCAGCAGAAGCAGGCAAGCGACCTCGTTTTGGACTTTGTTACGTCCGAATGGATGGCCTGCTATCTTGAGGACGAGGAATGATGACTGGATCTGAGTGTTGGATTTGGCAACCTCGACTTCCTTGTCTTCCAGTTTCCACTCTGGTCGGGTGTTGAGAACAGGCTCGTTGAGGTTGATAAAGTAGATGCGATTGTTGAATGACTTCCCCGATGGCAAGTGCTCGATGGTCATTTGTTCCTTCTTGACGTTTGGGAGGCATCTCTCAACCACGGATTTGATCTTCTCGTCGGAAAAGTAAATGTCATAGTTGGGATTTGCGCGAGGAGTAAGTCTTTCCGCCGTCCGGAACGGGAGGTTCGAGTGAGGAGAGAGGTGATCCATCTTCTGCGAGGTGACTACAGATGCTGTTGACGCAACCGCGGACTGAGGTATGATGAGAAGAGAGTCTGTAAGGATGATGAGTTAGGACGGAGACTGAGAAAACGAGTCGCAGGTCTTTATACCCACATGAAACTAGACAGTCTTGATTGCAGCCTCTGATGACATTGACAGTGACGAATTAACTGGAATTGTGAGTGACTTGTAAATAGGTATGTTCCCGTGAACTCAGCTGTCGAACCCGGGTGCAAAAACCGAAAAGTGCAAGCAGCCCAGTCAAGAAGACGAAGAAACACCGGAAGACCGTAAGTGAAGTGAAAGATGCCTCAGGACTTTCGAATCGCGGAAGGGACAGGAAGAGCAATAAGTGATGATGAAGGGGAAGGTACGTTACTTGCTAGACGGCAATTCGACATCAATCCTGACCAGCGTCTCCTCCGTCTAAACAACAAAACTGTCTCATAACTTTATCAATCTCGTTCTTGCCCGCTCCCAGCTCTTTCCCCCGACAGTCATTGTCTCTTTGGTGGCCGTCTTCCCGTTCCCACAGCTGCGTCTCCTGGAAGTACCACATTCCTGACGGAAACACCAATCCGAGTGAAGTGAGATTGAGCTTATGGCACTGTCATCTGGCTCCTCATCATAGAACAGAGCGATGGGGAAAGGCTCAAAACCGCAAGTTACAGCCTTCGTACTTGACGTCTATGACCAGCAAATCTTGAAGAGGTGGCACACTGTCGAGCAAAGCCCTAGTCGACGCTTCCGGCCACGCCGGCTACCTTCAGCACCGGCGCAGAACACCATGATGACGCATCATCAGGGATGCATGCGGCTGCGGCATATCGTTCAATATGCTTGGTGACAAGATTCGATCATAGCTTACGGTTCCAGGTGTGCGCAGCAAAGACCTTCCAAACGACCACAGAACCGGAGAAAGAAGCGAGAGCCCAAAGCTGGCTAAGATCCCGTCCTAGCCTAATCACGAGACTGTCGAATGCCACAATATAGGCTACAAGCCTTTCATAAAACAGGATGGCGCTTCTCAAACAGTACAGGTGGAGGCAGGCATCGATTGCGCCGCAGAAAGTCTCCCGAGAGGAGGTGTGAGATGCAGGACTGAAGGATTCAGAAAGACGCCGGAAACAAGGCTTTACTAGCTCCTTTCAAGACAATGCGGCCCACGCAAACGGTATGTGGTGCGGAGTACGGAGTATGTACTGCCGTCCTGGGGAACTCTCACGACTCTATCCCTATCTCCAGGCCACACCCAGCAACAACTGCGCCTGACATCCTCATCCTCTCCTTTACCCCGGGCCCATGTGTTCCTGTTCTCAGATTCTATCAATTTAATTTCTGGGGATTATCCTGCCACAGCTGACCAGACGACGTGGCTTTGTTTCAGCGGAAATGTGTCCCTGCATGCCATGGCACTATCTGGTGCTATCGATGTGTGGCTGCGTCGTTCTCCTTTATTTGGGTCTAACAACGCAACCACCTGAGATTAGGATGTTCCAATGTCAACAAGCGAGCCAATACGAGAAGCGGCCTTTGTGGCTTCCCGCCATGATTGGTCGTTCAAATGACAGCTGTTGTTTGGTTTCGAGCCACCTTTTCTCGAGATCATGCTTGATCTGGCAGCAAAACGTCGTTCAGCACCACGCCATCTGTCCTGTACCGCAACACCATACCGGCTGCGGATTCCCTGGATCTTTGTGTCGACCGTTCATTCGCCAGATCTCGCTTGTCGTATTCAAGCTTTCAGCCATGTGGTACTGGGTATATTTCAACAAGTCCGGTCCTGTTAGTGTGGAGATGATCAGTGAACAACATGGCTTGGAACAGCTCCTACGAGTACTCTGTTTGTGGTTCCAGGCCATGTCCGTGCTCGGAAAATCATGGCACTGTACTCGGCTGTGTGACTGTGATGATGCTAAAGTCTCGAGGAAATGGCACTGAATGAAGCAACATCACAGGTAGGGACTCGAACGTATGTAAGTTGGGACAATGCTGTCCGCTTTGCTCGCCTCAACCACAGGAGTCAACTCATCTCAGCCTTGCCGCAAATCGCTGGGGCTACGCCGGCCGGCTACACGCCAAGGCGAACCACTCGCATAAGGTGAGCCGAAGTAATTTCAAGAGCCCTGGGCTGGATTCGGTGACCATCTGCCTCTCGCCTGCCGCTTTCCTCGCCTTCTATCTCCTGGAAACCTCAGCGCTGTGAGTTCGCCACTTTGTGGTCTGCGGCGTCGACTTCCGGAGGCCTTCATTCTTTTAGGTCTATTTCTCTGCACAGATCAGTGACTATACTGGTTGTCCAGCTCGACCAACCTCCAAAATGTCGCTCTGTCCAAATGGGGCTCCGCCCATGTTGTAAGTTCTTCACCGCGAAAGGCAACGCGCGCGAGGAGTTGCTGTGACAAGCGATTCTGGGCCCGACTAATAATCTCGACAGCTTGCCATGGACAAACGTCACAGTCACGACCAACCAGAAGGCCATAACTAGAGGCATTCAGGTGTCCATGGGGAGTCCGCCACAGATAGTATCGCTCAGGCCAAGCACTTCCGACGATGTTCTGTATGTGGTGAATCGAGAGCAGTGCTCTCCACAATACAATGACTCCTGTATCGGACTGTACGGTGGTGTCTTCGACTACTCAAAATCACAGACGTTTCTACAGGTTGCAGAGGCTCAATGGAACGGTACACTCGAATCGAACCCAAATCAACTGTCCTTCGTCCACTTCAACGATCTTTTGACCTTTGGGAATGCTTCCATATATGGATATCCTGCGGTATATGACGAACCCGGCTATGGTGGACAAGGCGTTATCCCGCTCGGAGCTGGTTCGGACTTCCTGAGGATTGGCGTTGAAACCAATTCCACACCATCCACCGTTTTCGGACTCTGGCCTGGCTCTCGGTCCATCGACCACCCAGTCGACGGGTCACTCGTTATCGGCGGCTATGACACGACCAGAATCAATGGCACTCTGACCACTTTCGACTCTCAGGAACAGTGTGAGATGTGCGTCGTCATCACTGGCCTCTCTTACTCCGACGAAACCGGCTCTACGAACCTCTTTTCCAATTCATCCGAATCGCTTCAAGTCAACTTGAATCCTTCACAAAGGGTGCTCTACGTCCCGCAAGGCGTTTGGGAAAACTTTAAGACAGCTACTGGTGGCTACTACAACGCCTCGTATCTGTCTTATGCATCCAACGCTGTACCAACAGGTAATGTCACCGTGACGCTGCAGAATGGCTACAAGTCCGTCATCCCTGCTGAGGAATTGTTCTACTACCCACGCGGCTACAACGACGATGGCCAATACGAGGTTGTCGACAACACGTACCAGATCAGCACGGTCATCAATACTACCAGCGACGGATACGTGCTGGACTGGGGTATCCCTTATATGACAATGAACTACATTATCGCAGACTACAAGCGCTCGCAGTTCCAGATGGCACCCGCAATTCGGACAAACTTCGACAATATAGGGGGTGGCTATGCGCTCAAGGCGTCCTGTGATCCAACGACGGAAGCAACACCTGCTCCGACCAGCAGTGCGACGGTCGGTCCTGTTTCGACCACAGCAGCCGCCTCATCCCACCACAGCAGCAGCAACGTCGGTCCTATCGTCGGAGGGGTGGTAGGTGGCGTGCTCGGTCTCATCCTCATCGTTGGTGGACTTGCGCTGCTGTTCTACCGAAGCCGGCGGCGCAGGAATTTTGCAGCTAGCGGCGAACACGGACAGCCCATGATGACACAACCGATGGCTAATGATGGCATACCGCACAATGGTGGATCGCAAGCGGACAGGTATTCTCGCTGGACAGCGATGTCTCCCACAGAGGCACCCAGCGAGCTGGGGGGAGGCGAAAAGACAAACGGGGCACATGCGAGCGTCAATCAATGGCTGTCAAGTCAAGCTAGTGATGTAAGTCTTTCGCCTCCACACTTCTGCGTGTGAGCGTGGTGCACCCGCTAACGTTACTTCCTAACAGACGCAGACGGTTGTGAGCTCCACGTCGCCGAACCCCAATGTCGGCGCAACACTAGGACATAACATGGGCTCGCCCCAGACCACTCATCAGCAGCAAACGGGGACGATGGATAGACCATTCGAGATGCCCGCCCAGCCATATGATACTCGGTAGACAACGACCAATAGCCGCTCCTTTTCGACTCACGAATGACTTTGAACAATTGCTTAGTTCGACGGTTGCAGTATGCGCTTTCGCCCCGGGCTCCGATGGTCAAGTTCTTCATCATGCAGTTGGTGCTCTTTGTGACTGGGTCCCTCAATATTGTGTACGCAGGATACAATCGCCTTCACTTGAGCTGGGTGTCGAGCTCGTATTTGATAGACATTGGCGCCAATTCTCCCACCACTTATCTCAGTATCATAGCTCTTGGCGTGCTGCAGGACACAAATTTCCTTACGAGCTCACGATATCCAGCACTTCATTCGCATCGTCCGATACTTTCTCTTCTGCTTGAACCAACTGCTTCCCGAAGTTACCAGGATCTATCCGTGCGGTTTCTGCTGCCCGGAACCGTGACAAGGAGTTGATCCAACACTCGACTATGAGTGCTCACCTGCTCCATCGGCCTTTTCTCTCTTTAACCTTTCTCGCTCTCTCTTCTTGTCCAACAATCGATTCAATTTCTTCGCCACGTTGAAAACACCCCCTGTGCCGGCCCCACACGCCGCACATGAAGGATCCTTCCGATACCGCTTCAGTGCACACGCCTCACAAAAGTAATGCCCACATTTCGTGACGATAGGGTTCTTGTAAGACTCCTTGCAAATAATGCACGCAAACGGTATTCTTTCAAGCAGCTTCTCGTCCTCATTGTCCTCCGCCCCCGCCGCCGCGCCGTTGCGATCTGCAGATGCAACCGTCTTCCCACCAGGGGCCTTCCCCTTTGTGCTGATCTCCCAGTCCCGATCGAGCTGCCAGCCTTGCTTGTAATCTTCCCGCGCGTGCAGGTACTTGCAGTTGTCACCGAACCCGCAGAACCCGGTCTGCTTGTAGTCCTTGCACACGTCGGGCGCGAAGTCGGTCACGGTGATGGTGCGCACGTTTGTCGACGACTTGACCGGCCCGACCTGTTTGGATGAGGCTGCGGCTGCGCGGTCGGGATTTTTCTGGATGAACGATTGATAGTTCGCCACGCCTTTGTACGTTCCATCTGTTGTGCTCGTGGGCTTGGGCTTTTCTGACGCTTTGGTCTCCGTCGTCCCCTGCTGATCCTCCTCATCGAACCAATTCGAGGTCTTTGTGGCGTCGTCTTTGTTGGTGCGCGCCGCTACGGCTGCCGAGGCGGCTGGAGCTGGCTCGCCCACTGATGAGTGACGAGGTTTGGCATTTTGAGCCGACGATGCGGCGACGGTGCCTGCGTTCTTGCGCCGTCGCTTTACTTGTCTTTGGCCATCAGAGTCCTCAAAGGACGAAAAGCCTGAGTCCGAGTCCGATTGTAGGGCGGTATCGGGGGGTGGTGTGGCGGGTCGTTTGCGGATCGTCGATTTGGACTTTAGGTTGCGCTTTTTGAAGGTGAACGCGGGCGCAGGCGCCGAGGCCGCTCGCGGGTCTTCCATTCTAATGTGTGTGTTTGTGTGTGCTGGTGATACACAGTAGGAGGGCCGCGGAGAGGGGTACAAGGTCGTGAAAGATATTGGAACAAGACTTACTCCATACAAAACGCGGAGTGCGCGGTACAGGCGACGATTCTGGAAACTTGCACGTTTCAGACGATTGCTAAGCCGGTCGTTATACGAGATACGAGACAACGTGCTTGTGTTCCGCCAATCGATCAGCTGTCATGCGGGAGCTAAACTGGCCTTTTGCCTCGGTACACTTGCCTTCGTCACGCTTTCTGCTCTTTCTGCGTGCACGGCGCCTCACGAGTTCGCGATCTAGAAGTACATACCTTCTGCGCAGCAATGTGTGCGCGAGTGTCGGCCCTGTACATTTTTGTCTTGTTACCTTGATGTTTTTTCTCAGGAGCGATTCTCGAGCTTTCTCGTTTTCTTACCTACTCTCCGGCTTGACCCGTCTCCTGGGAGGCCATGGTTGAGAATGCTGCTCAGGGTCAGCACATCGGCGACCTGCCTGACACACCTCCCAGGCTCAGTCCTGTGGCAGAGGAGCGCAACCGACAGAGGATAATCTCGTTCAAGGTCACTCACATACTTCTGACGCTCATTATTTTATGGTTAACGTGGGTGACTTGCTGAGAAACCGTGCGCTGTGCGCCGATAGCATATTGACCAGCTTCTAGAGTTGTACATATCATCGGCATTCTCTTCTTCGCCAAAGGTTTTCTTCTCACTAGGCTGGTGTTGGACAACAGGTCTCAATGTGATATCGATCCCTATGATCAGCCAACCCCTGACGTCGACGGCTGCTGGCATCCCAAGACTTTCGATCGAGCAGTTATCATAATAATCGATGCTTTACGATACGATTTCACCATCCCTTCCCATCGTTTCTCTACCGAGCCAGAGCAAAAGTTTTACCTGAATAACCTCCCTATCTTCCACGAGATCGCTGCTTCGAGTCCCGCTAATGCATTTCTCCTGCCCTTTATTGCCGATCCTCCAACGAGCACGCTCCAGCGATTGAAAGGCCTCACGACTGGCACACTCCCTACCTTCATTGACATTGGCTCGAATTTTGCTGGCACGGCGATCGAAGAAGATAACATCGTTTCTCAATTGAAGGCTGCGGGAAAGACGATTGTACAGCTCGGAGACGACACGTGGCATTCTCTATTCCCTGGATATTTCGACCCGAATATGACGCGGCCATATGATTCTTTTAATGTTTGGGATCTTCATACTGTTGACAATGGGGTTGTGGAGCATATTATGCCTTTACTCGAGCAGTCTCCGGTGCAGTGGGACGTTATCTTTGGACATTTCCTTGGGGTCGATCACGCAGGTCATCGATACGGACCAAACCATCCAGCCATGGCCGAAAAGCTCCGCCAGATGAATGGAGTGGTTCAGCAGATCATCGACAAGCTCGATGATCGGACGCTCCTTGTCATAATGGGTGATCACGGTATGGACACGAAAGGAGATCATGGCGGAGAGTCTGATGAAGAGATCGAAGCGGCTCTTTGGATGTACTCGAAGCAGCCTCGGTTCGGAAGAATCGACAGAGACGCCCTATTACCGCCCGCCACTGCTAAAGAGCGCCCTGTTGGTCAGATCGATCTCGTCTCAACCCTGTCTATCCTGCTTGGCCTACCTATCCCGTTCAATAATCTTGGCATGCCTATCGCTGAAGCTTTTCTCGGATCAGGAGATACGGACTGGAAAAATCTCGCCGTGGTGGGACGTTGGGCTCAGGGTCAGATTTCAAGATATCAAGAGCACTATTCTGTCTCGCGTGACTTGGGTCTCCCTGACGAAGCCTACACCATCCAGACCATGTATCTTGCCGAATCAACAAAGGCCTACGAGGATGGCCGGTGGGAAAGCTCATATCGTGCTCTTGTCAATTGGCACGGGGAAGTAATCTCTATGTACAGGCAGCTGTGGGCGAACTTCAACCTGGTAGATATGCTGATTGGGGTTTTGCTCTCGGGCTCTGCACTCGCCCTCCTCTTGTTTGCTGTCTTCCTCAGAGGAGACAAAGCCGGACTTGCTGCTGGACTGATCCGAAGCATAGGACTTGGCACAGCTACGGGCGCTGGGCTGGGAGCTTTGCTCGGCGTTGTCTTGCCAGCACATCTCACAGCAGTGGCTGGTGTTGTTATCGGCGCAGGTGCAGGAGGCGTCGTTGGAGCTGCCTTCTGGTCCCACTGGCACCACTTCGCCCCCCGGTCGTACTTACCATCCACATGGGGTTGGATGATGTTCATCTTCTCCGTTACCCAGTCGGCAGGATTTGCGTCGAATTCCTACACCATTCACGAGGATACCATTCTTCTGTTCTTCCTGGGTTCGTTCGGTCTTGTATCACTAGCCTCTTCTTTACGCCAAGCATCCAAAGCTGATCGAGTCTTGGGGACCTACCAGTCAGTTGTTTTCATCCTCCTCACTCGAGCTTCCTCATTCTCGGCCCTTTGCCGCGAGGAGCAAATGCCAGGATGCCGTTCCACCTTCTATGCTTCAACCAACTCCTCAACATCAGCGCCATGGCAACTGCTCATACCATATTCTGTGGCTCTGATAATCCCAGAGATTATCAAAGCTTTCTACAAGGGCACTGCGTCGTACGCGGCATCTGCCGGCTTCTGGATAGGCTTCAGTGTCCGGATGGGTTTGCTGCTCACCGCCGCCTATTGGACGGTGGATGCCGCCGACAACGGCGAGTGGCTGGTCGATACGATCTCATCTAGTACTCTCAAGACGATCGGCATTACGCTGGCCCGGTGTTCCCTAGCGGTCGCTATACCTGTCGGGATAGGTACCTTTGTCTGGGCGAAGCCCTGCATCGACATCTCTATAGCCGAACCGAAAGTAGCTGTGGACGAATTTGGCAAGCCTGCTCGACCCCAGCTGACCATATTTGGCTTCGCGAACGTCTATGGAAGTCGTTACTTCCTCATGGTGCCCGCCCTGGTATTGACACTGTGCCTGCTCCTTCCACCCATGGGCCAGTATTCCGTTGCCATTCTAACCTGGCAGATCCTGTGTCTGCTCGAGATCTTGGATACTAACGGACTGACTGTCACCTCCACCAATAAGTCTAGTGTCGGTCCGATCATGCTGGCAATCCTTGGATCCTACCATTTCTTCAAGACTGGACATCAAGCAACATTGGCTTCCATCCAATGGAACTCGGCGTTCGTCCCCTTACGCACGATCCGATACCCTTGGTCTCCGCTGCTGGTTGTTTACAACACCTTTGGGGCTCAGATTATATGCGCAGCAGCGGTCCCATTGACCGTCCTGTGGAAAAGACCAATAGAGAAGGCTGGACTGCGCGGGCTCCTAAACGACGTACTGGGCGCTTGCCTGACGCACACGCTGTACTACGCAACTATTCAGCTGGCAACAACCTTGTGGGCGGGACACCTGCGGCGACATCTGATGTTATACAGGGTTTTCATGCCTAGGTATCTCATGGCCAGCGGGGTACTCCTCATTGTCGATGTGGTCCTGGCTGTTGTTGCCTTGGCTGGCGTTAGGGTCGTTGGACTCAGTGTGGGCGAGGTCTTCGGCTACTGAAACTACTGTGTACACATCGAGTTCCTTAGCGCAGCCGAGCTTATGCAGGGCTCGAATGGGGCGGACGGCCACCAATTCCCAATGGAGCTTGGTGACTATCGTGAATCTAAGGTCCTCTTTCCAGTTGGCTTAGCTAAACGATGGATCCTCTACTAAGAGTACAGTCTTAGTCAACCATAACGATGCACAAGACTCCAGGAACACTACCGGCAGCGAGTAGCGACCGGTCCAACTTAGCTAACAGATGCCACGGTTTGTCAAGCATTCCACGAAAACAGAAAGGACCTCGGCCGCCAGGGCCGCTGAGTCACGAAGTAACAATCTGCACCATCTTGTGCCCGCAATGCCCCTCGTTGAACGGTCGCATGCTTTCCTAAATTGAATTATGGGGCAACAGCGGTCGCCTTACGTCATCAGCGCGTCTTCATCGATTCAATCGCTTTGCGGCCCATGACGGAAATGTACAGCAAATCAACACTGTCAATCTTTCCAATCAATGAGGGGACCAGAGGCTGCTCTCGCATTATATTAACTGCGATCACTGTCGCCGCTGAAAAATTTTCTTTCTTTCTTTATCTTCGACCTTCAAACCGCTTCATCCCAACTCGACTTGACTTTCGAATCATACGGACCTCAGTTGTACTTGAGTATACCCCGCATCCATTGAAATCCGAGCAAATCCGCCAATATGCCTATCCCACCTCCCACAGCCACCTCTCTGAAGGACCTCTTCAGCCTGAAGGGTAAAGTGGTCATCGTCACCGGTGCCTCTGGCCCCACAGGTATTGGCACTGAAGCTGCCCGAGGATGTGCTGAGATGGGTGCTGATGTTGCCATCACATACTCATCTCGTCCGCAGGGTGGTGAGAAGAATGCCCAAGAACTGCAAGAGAAGCACGGCGTCAAGTCGAAGGCATACAAGTGCAATGTTGGCAGCTACGAAGAGGTGGAGAAGCTGGTCAAGGATGTCATCCAAGACTTTGGCAAGGTTGATGTTTTCATCGCCAATGCCGGCCGGACTGCCGACAGCGGCATCCTCGATGCCCCTGTCGAGAAGTGGAATGAAGTTATCCAGACTGATCTGACCGGTGTCTACCACTGTGCTCGAGCGGTCGGTCTGCACTTCAGAGAACGAAAGACTGGCAGCTTCATCATCACTGCTTCCATGTCCGGCCACATTGCCAACTTCCCTCAGGAACAGGTGCGTTTTGAACTTTCCTCCCACTACGCAAATCTTCTAACAGGTGACGCAGACCTCCTACAACGTCGCCAAAGCTGGTTGCATCCACATGGCCCGCTCTCTGGCTAATGAATGGCGCGACTTTGCCCGTGTCAACTCCATTTCACCTGGCTACATTGACACCGGTCTGTCCGATTTCGTTTCTCAAGACATCCAGAACCTATGGCATAGCATGATTCCATTGGGCCGGGATGCCAAGGCGACCGAGCTCAAGGGTGCTTATGTCTACTTGGCCAGTGATGCTAGCTCCTACACGACTGGTGCAGATATTGTCATCGATGGTGGTTACACTGCCCGATAAATGCAGAATTACGTGTACAGCAGTGTGCGGGCAAGAAGAAATGGGGACGAAATAGGGTGCGAGTGAGTTACGAAAACCATTGTATAGAGGATGCTCTAGTAGAGACTCTTATGGGTTGGGAGGATAAGAAGTATCATTCTTAGCAGCCAACACCGAGTCGAAGCTCTTTGAGCCATGCGCATCACGTCCATGATCAGGATGCTGGCCCAACTGGGAAGTGATCAGATCACCCCAAAAGCCGAAGAAATAAATTAAGATGCCCTTTCCACGCCGTTTCGTGATGCTTGGAGATGGCTTGTTGGGTCTGTCACGGACAAAAATGCCTTTCTTCATTTTGATCATAGTCGGATTGTGCCAAAGTACATTCGGTGGCCGATAGTTTTAAGGCTAGAGGCGTGACGCGATTGAGGAAGAGCTACGAAAGCCGCCTCTCGCATAAACCGCCCTGCCGCTTCTGGTATTTGTACATACGGCAAGTCGACCGAGGGTGGGGGCATAGAGTAGTGGGGGCAAACTAGTAGCCTGCCGTGCCTCCAAAGCGGCGGGAAATTTCCTCCGAAGCGGTTGAACTGCAATCTTCCAATCGCTGCTTCTTAGCATGCTGCCTTTTGATGCTCGAGATGGCATAGAACTCCTCAACTTGGCCACCGCAGCCTGAGCTTCCAAGAGGGTCCAAACAAGTTTGCACCTGACCAACTTCGGGAATAGCAGGCGGCTAAAAGGAGCGGGCAGAGCCAGGCAACCACCATGTCCTCCCGGTGTCAAGAGATCTAAATCCATTTTTGTGGGCTCGGTGCAAAGCGCCAACATGAAGATTGCTACCCTTCAGTTCTCTCCGCGGCTGGCGGAAGTGGCAGCCAACTTCAGCCGAGCAGAAAGCCTGCTCATGCGGCAGGAAAGGGAAGGTGAGCTGGATGGCATTGATCTGTTGGTTCTTCCAGAGCTTGCATTTACCGGTAAGTCCAACCTCCGCAAGCCCAGGTAGAGTCGGCGTTCCAACGTCACGACAGGGTATCATGCTCTACCACGGTCCGAGTGCCAGCAGAACGAATGCTGTCCCTGTCTGCACAGCCTGGCACTGTTGGGGGCTAACGAGGGTGGCAGGGTATAACCACCCGTCACTAGCAGCAATCGCACCGTTCCTCGAACCAACAGCGGCAGGGCCTTCGACTCGATGGGCGGCCCGCACCGCCAAACGCCTCAAATGCACCGTGGCTGTAGGCTATCCCGAAGCCGCCGAAGAAGGCAACTACAACACAGTCTATGACAAACGGATCACTGCCGAAGAGACCGGCAAGGTCGCCTACAACTCGCTCGTCTTTGTCGGCTCCACAGGGGACGTGGTGGCCCATTATCGAAAGTCGTTCTTGTACTACACCGACGAGACGTGGGCTCAAGAGGGGCAGGGCTTCTGGGCGGGAGTGCTTCCGATTGGTGGCACAGGTCAGCAGGTCAAAGCTGCAGCGGGTATATGCATGGACATCAACCCCTACAAGTTCGAGGCGCCTTGGACGGCGTATGAATTCGGCAATCACGCGCGCGAGGCTCGTGCCAAAGTCATCGTCATCAGTATGGCCTGGCTGACGAGGCTGAGCGCCGAAGAGTTGGCCAGTCAGATGATGGAGCCGGATCACGACACCCTCAACTACTGGATCGACAGACTAATGCCACTTTTTGGACCCCATGGCGCTCAGTCCGAGGCTTTTCTCGTCTGTGCTAATAGGACAGGCGACGAAGGGATTGCCCCGCGCGTTGGGGAGGTGAGGTATGCAGGCAGTAGCTGTGTTATGGGCATTACAAAAGATGGGCGCGTCCGGCTTTGGGATATCCTTGGTCGTGCTCAGGAGGGCGTCCTAGTGGTGGATACAGACTCTCCACCCGCCTACTCCCTCACATTCAAGCAGAAGACAGAGCCGGAGGGCTTGACGACTAATGATGCGGATGCCATACCGGCGGCTTGAAAGACCATGGACCACAGAAACGGCCAGTGCAGAGTCCAGCAAGACAAATGGTCGCCTGGGCCTATTGTTCTGCCCCAAAAATGCCCCAGGGTAAGGAGTGCAGAAGGTCGGAAAACCGACTTTCCCATGGAAACATGCACTGCAACCACTGCACCGGTGTGCAGGAGATCCTGATATGGTGGCCGCGGCATTGTCTCAGCAATGATAAGACGTGCCCCACCACATGTTGGATGGACGGTCAGCGATGCAATCACGAGACCCAGTCAGAGTGTCAGGCCAGGCGATGGAGGGGAAGCAGCACTGCCAAGTGCGGTGGCAAGTCCACGCTAAAACATGCGCTAGGCGGCATTCGGACGTGCAATGTCGTGACTTCGTTCAAATAACATTTCACATGACCTGCACCTTCCCCGTGACCTTCGACTCGCTCTCTCCTCGTTATAGCCCGACAGAGAGTATTGAGTCTCAACACGTCGAGAACAGGTTGCCGATTTCCATTTTCAACGACCGCTATCTCGCCGCCGTGCCTATTCTTGTCGCGAAAGCCGCGGTCGAAAACGACACCGGTGCAGTTGTCTGAGGCAGGTTGGAGCTCAGCCAGTCAACCCAGGTAAGTTGCATTCATCAAAGTCACCTGATGCGATCCGCTTTACCCATGTCCCGCTTGGGATCAACTTGTTTGCGGCTACGGCTACGTGCAGTTCACCATGATGTCGTCTTCAGCGACAAGCGCCCTCGCACGTCCATCCCAGCCGGCGCCCAGGGTGCGGGAGACACCAGGCCGCTGCCTCTCTAGCTGTGATGCCTGGCGGCCAAAGTGCGCGCAGGCTCAGCAGTGGCAGAGTGGTAGACTGGCGACGGGCAGACGCGCCCATTCCACCTTCCCTCCCTCGCGGTCCTCATGTGACATCTGCAGCTGCACACCATCTTTGACCCATTTCCTCTTCTCGTTTCCACATATGTTGCCCACACTTGGTCGTCGAGGACCAACATGTCCCCGACCATGGCTAACCGTGCATTGGTAGTTTCCTTCGAGTCGCCAGATTCAACCTTGTCGCCTACCCATCCCCATATCGCCTTGCGACCCTCAACATTCAACGAAGCTAGTTGAGTCAGGCGCAAGCTTGACCATCAAGCTCGTATATTACCGCCGACCCCCTGGAGAATTTTCAGAAGTCACTCTCTGATTTCATGGCGAATCAAACTGGCGCCGCTGCGACTGGCAGCACATCTAATAAACGCAAGAGAGCAGTCGGAGATCAGGATGGGCGTGAGGGCAGGATGCAAATCAGCAATACCAATGGGGAACACGATCCGAACAATTATGGTCTCCTCCTGCAGGGCGATGGCATGCTTTCGGACGAAAACACTCGCACCGCACAAGCCGCGCTCGCCGCACCGGGCATGAACCCCTCCACCTACCCCGAACCCGGTCATAATCAGGGAGACGCCGGCCTTCCTTTCACCTTCGAAGACGGTAGTGCGACGGTCGGCGGCGGCATGAGCACGGCGCAAGCTCTGGTCGGGGCTGTGGCCAACGCCAATGCCAATGCCAACCCCAGTACCAACAATAACAACAACAACGAGCAAGCAGCGAAACCCGCCGTCGGTAGCACAGAGTGGCACCAGTTGCGCAAGGACAATCACAAGGAAGGTAAGCCATACAATGATTCCGCGCTTGGCCCTTTCGGCATGCTCATGATTCTGTCCTCTAGTTGAACGCCGTCGCCGCGAAGTCATCAATGAAGGCATCGAAAACATTGCCAAGATTGTGCCCGGCACCGAGAAGAACAAAGGCGCAATCTTGCAACGTACCTACGAATACGTCCAAGAACTGGTCAACGAGAAGGCCAAATGGCAAGACGAACGCGCCACCTTTGATATTGCCATAAAGGAACTCACCAATCGGCTCGATCGCATGAAGGAATCGGCAAGAGCTGCTTGGGCTGAGACGAGCAAGTGGCAGAGCCGATGTCGCGAGGCGGGTCTTCCTTTTGATGATTACGATGATGGTGCCTTGCCCGGGTTGGAGGAAGACGATGTTGGTGCCAACCTAGGTCCATAGCGGCCATGATCATGTCTTCTACTTCTGGAGCCCTGGGAGCTATGACGAGTTCATGTTGGCGGCTGGCGTTTTGGCGTAGCGTGGTTCTTACTCGGCGCATCTGAGGTTGCTAGCTCGTGATGCACGACGTGTGTTCAGGGTTGGACGGACATGGGTGATGGAGCTGCTCGGTCTTGGTATGCGCTCATTAGCGGCGACCATGTTAGATGGCTGCTCGGCGTCGTGCTCGGGGGTCTCGAAAGGGGAGCTCAACTGTACAACTCGAAGCCAGAGTGAAGCAAATAATCTTCAGGACAGACCGGAAAGAAAATGAGATGATCACGTCTGGGTCTGGGCTCGACCGCCTCCGCCGCTGTCGATATAGTTATTGTGATTACATTACCTCCACCACCAATCGCATTCATTCCTCGAACTTCCCTCATCCGTAGTCGACTCCCGTTCCCATGGGACGCCGTGGACGCCTTACCACCGCTAAGACCGTATTTCCCGGATAGCCAAGCACGATGCGGGTGCCATTGGCTATCGTCAACGTTCACCGTCGCCCCTACACGACTGCGATGGGGCTCATGGACAGGGCGGCACATTGCCCCCGCAGATACAGAAGGATATAAAGCACCCAATTAAGTCCTCGTTGCGGGCGAGACCTCCAGCGTTTCACAATTCCGTCGACGCGGACACTGAATGCAGTGTTGTTTTGAGACGATTTGATCGGATCGCCTCGACCAGGCGTCCCAACATCCTCTCAGATCAGTTTCATTACCCCAGGAGGAATCGCTCGCTCGCGCACTCTGTCCCTGTGGGCGACATCGTATCCCTTGCCCCATCCGTCGCTTACTGCCGACAATCCATCCAACAATCCATCGACCTGGCACTCTCATTCTGCACACTCCGTTCATAGCGAGTTATTTAATTGCTGGAATTCAGTCCCCTCCAGCAGCACAGCACAGCCTTTTGCTTTCATACATAGATATCTTGAGCCCAAGAAGTCGAAGCCCACCCTTTCGTCTCTGCAAAGCGATCAGTCACCATGTGGCGCGTCGTCTCGGCGGTACTGGCGCTTCTAACGGCCAGCGTGCTCTACTTTGTCATCCTCGTCTACAAGAAGCGGGCGGAGCTGGATGGACTGGTGAGTTTCGATCGCATGAGGAGTTTCCTCATATTGCCTCCTCCCTATCCCCGCGAGGAGCTTTTGGGTGTTGATACTGATACGGACCCCCAGCCACAACCGCCCATGGAAGGTGGCAAGTTCTGGGGCCACCTGAAGATCGCAGGGGATTGCAAAAGACTGTTCCCGCCAAACTGCCACATGCAGAACTGGGCGAATTATATTAGGAAGAAGTATGATCTTGGTGGTGAGTGCTTTTCTACCTATCCCATGCCCGGCCAGAGATACGGCACTGGATGTCTTGACACCCTCCGAATGTGAGCGTTGTGCAACAACTTAGGCATGAAAGGTCGAGTCCTATTTGCTGAACAGCATACAGTCTGACTACTCTCTCTATCTCCCAAGTCTGAAGTCATTACGTTCGAGATTTGTACTGTATGAAGTGTGCTATTACTGTAGGCTCGTCTCAGAGATCTCTACCTTAACAGTACACTCCATACAGTACGAGCCTTGCCCCAGAATAACCTGCAGCTTTAGAAACAGAGACAGACAGAGAAGTCATACTCAATCCTCTCCAGCAGATAGCACTCGACCTTTTATGCCTGAGTTGTCGCACGATGCTCGCATTTCATGAATGCTAAACTATCAAGTCCGCAATGCTGGCGCGCATGGGATACCGGTGCCTGCCTCTTGCTAAAACATTTTCTGGGAACAGATGTCTTTTACGTCGACTGGTGGCCCCTCGGCCCTCGCTGGGTGTTCATCGCCGACCCGGTCCTGGCGTCCAAGTTCCTGACGACAGGCCAATCACTCCCCAAGTCACGCCTCGTCGTTACGTTCCTGGCCAAACTTTTGGGGCCGTCCAACATGGTCAGTCTCGAAGGCCAGGCGTGGAAGTCTCTCCGGTCCATCTTCAACCCGGGCTTTTCGGCCAGCCACTTGATCACGTTGGTGCCCTACGTCGTGGACTCGAGCCTCGTGCTGCTCGACCTACTGCGAGAAAAGGCAAAGACGAATGAACTCGTCGAACTGGATCCCCTGACGATCGGCTTCGCCATCGACATCATCGGCAAGGTGGTCATGGACTCGGACTTTGACAGCCAAAAGAAGCCCCACCCGATCGTCACCACGTTCCGGAAACAGGTCCTCTTGATGCCCAACGCCACGAGCATCGGGCCATTTGACGACATCAACCTCCTCCGCCCGCTTCGACTGTGGTGGAACCGGCGCAAACTCGATGCTCTGCTCGGCGCGGAAATCGACAAGAAAGTCGCCGCGCGGAAGACCTTGCAAGAAAAGCAACATCAGCAGCAGCAGGAGGCCAACGAGAAGCCCGCAAAGGACAGTCGAAAACGCTCGATCGTCGACCTCGCGCTGGACGCGTACGAAAGGGAAGTCGGCGCGGGCACCGGGGTGACCAACTCCAGCTCCTTCCGGAACATGGCCATCGACAGCATCAAGACCTTCATCTTCGCCGGGCACGACACCACGTCCTCGACAATCTCCTACATCATGTATCTCCTCCACCTGCACCCGCAAGTGCACAAGAAGCTCGTCGAGGAACTGGACGCCGTCTACGGCGCCACCACCTCCGCCGAGGCGCGGGCCCTCCTCATCAAAACAGACCCCCACAGCATCAACAAGCTCGAGTATCTGGGGGCGGTGATCAAGGAAGTCCTGCGCCTGTTCCCCCCGGCGTCGACGATCCGCGAACTGAAATCCCCCTCGGACGTCTCCATGGTCAAAACCACCTCCATCATCGACGGCAGTACAGGTGGCACGGAATGCCCGCTCGTGGGCTACGACATCTGGCCCGTCGCGCACATGATCCACCGCAACGAGGTCTATTTCCCCGAACCTCTAGCTTTCATTCCCGAAAGGTTCATCCCGGGGCCCGAAAACCCGTTCCCGCACTGTAAACTGCACACCCCCGAGGGCAAGGACGCGTGGCGGCCGTTTGAAAAGGGCGCCCGCAACTGCATCGGGCAGGAACTCGCGATGATGGAGGCCAAAGTCGTGGTCGCGCTGGTTGTCAGGGACGTGGATTTCACGGCCGAGTTTGACGGGAAGAAGATCGAGCCGGGCGACTGGGTACCCCTCGAGACGAGGGACGAGTTCAAGGATGGCGTGGCGGGGGAGGAGAGGTTGACCGTCGAGGGGCATCGGCCTTATCAGGTGCTTTGTGGGGCCGCGAGGCCGACGGGCGGGATGTCGGGGCGGTTGAGGATGAGGCAGCACCTGGGGTAATTAGGGATACAAAGCCATAGGCGGTGGGTGTATATCTCTGTATCTCATGGGGAAATGGAAGATCGGCGAATGCAAACTAGGAAGCAAGCAAGCAGGACAGATAGATAAATAAAGGTATGGAATGACGACTGACATCCCCGGTTCTCGACTGGATACGGATTACCGCCTGATGCCTAGGCTGGGAGAGTTTAGTGGAGATCCCGACCCGAGGTGGCTCAAATGCATATACAGCAATATGCTTACGTGCGCTACATGCGATATATGCGATGCTGACATGGTGGAGCGCACGAATGGGATATGGACTCAGTTTCCACGGTGTGCCATCTTCCCATACTTTACAGCGTCGCACTGGACTGGACCTAAGCAGGAGTTCATTGACTGTTCAGTCTAGACTTCCGTCGATTTCCCTTGGATACTTCTGCCGACGAGGACCTATGGTCCTTCACAAGTGATTGATCCAACGGCGTGTTGTTCAATGAAGCTATGGACCATCGGATGACCGATTCAAGCTACGTGCCCTGCACCGGTCCTTCCTCTGTATCGCAGCCTGCAAGGAACGACCGAGTTGTCCTCGAAGCCATGCGACGCTTCGTCACCAACTACCCAAATCAGCGGATGCGTACCTCGTGATTCCTCCGTGTGCTGAATGCAAAAGGCACGCTTCAAGTTTATCTCCAAGCGCGAGCATTCAAAAATCGCCAACTCCAGAGACCAGGCCAAAGTGCCGGTATTCCGTTCCGTTTGTTCGAGTTGATGCGGAGGCCGAGCGTCCAAAGGGGGCACCGATTCGATAGACAGCTGAATGCCGAAATAAAGCTACGGCACTCAAGTCCTCAGATGTGCCACGCTCGTGTCATGTCAACTTCCAGAATAAGCTTCTTCGATCGCATGAGATCGGAGATTGGCATAATGCGGAAGTTCTCTGCCGGTTTCGGGTATCACTAGGTAACAGGCAGTGATCCTCGACAGTCGTGTGCTGGCATGAAATTCTGCAGGGCCAGATGCTCCTGACGTATTTCCAGAGCTTGTCGGTACTCATGTTCTCTGTCGACCTCGCTGTCATAGAAATATTGCATATCGTTGGGAAAAAGAAGTTTGATCGTGCCTCCCGGGATCGCCACTTGCTCACATCCGGGACCTATTTCGCCCAGTACGAGTATGCTGCTGTCCCGGCCAGGAAGGATTGATCAGTATCACACGGAGTGGGGTGTGGGATTTTCGTGCCGACCAACCAGTTCAACAAGTCGAGTGCCGAGCAGCTTGCTTCTTCAGACCCCAAGAACCGAACAATCAGGCCGCCCATACAGTCTTGCAATACGAGGATGCTCCCTTCATCCTCCTTGAACCTCAACGTCATTCCCCAGCAGGCCTTTTCGAGCGGTCTCGCAGGTGGCGCTGGCATGCCAAAAACGGAGATCAGTCGATAGAGAAGTAACGGTGAGGATATGATGTCTGAGAAGCGTATAGCTCCATGATTGATACACTTTTTATGGTCCGCGGCCAACCATCGACAACAAAAAGCAATGCGTCTTTCTGCATTGTCCGTGGTCAGGAGCCGAACGTAATTCCATACCACGTCTGTGGAACACCCCCAAGAAAGAACCAAAGTCTCGCTAGCTTCTCTTAGGTTGCGATGCTGCCATTGCGACCGAAAGTGCTCTCGAAGAGCATAGGGGTTGCTTGTTTCATCGTCATCCTCCTGACCGTCTTCGTGTGACTCCGGAGCGCCGCTCTCAGTGTCCGCTCTATGCTGCTCAAGTGTCCGCTCTATGCTGCTCAAGCGTGCGATCACTGATGCTCTTTGCGGTTGACTCCTCGTCGTTGCCGTTGCCTTTTCTAAGCATCGAGGTGGGTTTCTCAAGGTGGTGGACGAAGGCGATATGTCGGTCTGCAGCGGGCATGCCTTCCTCGATGGCCTGGTACTTGCGCTCCGCAGCCGCGAGTCGCATGAATTCCTGCCATAGATGGGGAACAAGGACCTGTTTTTCGTCTTCTCCAAGGCCGAGGAGGGTCTGGACGGCGTTTTCGTCTTCTTGCAGGGCCTGAAGTGTCTTTGCCGCGGCCATTTGTTGCAGGGATTTCAAGTTTGCTGCCGTCTTGACGGAGGTCGCTGGAGTCGAGGTGTCCATCGCGAATGACGGAGGAAGGTAAGCAAGCTGGATCTCGTGCAGTGCCGTCGACAGGCTGTGAAAGTTCTCTAGACACGAGTTAGCAAAGGCTTCGGTGAAGACGCCAACGAAATCAACCTTGGCGGAAGCAGAGGAGCGTGCACTCACCTTTTGAGGCTGCCTCAGTACGGAAGGGACAACCGGGATCTATTAGATACCGCGGACAGGTTTAAAGACTAGAAGGTGGAAGAGTGCTCAAAACGAAAGCGCGATAAGTCAAGGAGAAGAGGCAACGCGTTGCTGTGTGAGCGAAATATATATAGTCGCGAGTGAAAGTGAAGTGAAGTGAAGTGCAGAGGCAGAGGCAGAGGCAGAGGCAGTGGCAGTGGCAGTGGCAGTGGCAGTGAGCAACCTTGAGAGGGAATGCAGAACGCCATGCTGAATATGAAATGAGACACGTTTGCTCTGAAGAGAGACAAATCACTTACTTCTGGCTCAACAGCAATCAGTGAGCCTCAGCATTCAGCAAGGCTCAACAATGGGTATATCATCCGGTTTCCCGTGCGCCTTCATCGATCGCTATGATCACTTGCCATCACGAAGATTGGCATACGCAAGATCGTTCTGCAATTTCCAGACCAGGATTTTTCACTCATCGTCGTCCTCGTATCTCCGACTTCGTCTTCTTCTCTGTCTGTCTGGATCACCACTGTCTCGTCTCCTCCTATGCCGCCGATCTCGATCCTTCTCCCTCTCCCTGCTATCGTCACTATCGTAGGGGAGTCCATCCGGATTCAAGGACCTCGATCTCCCGCTCCGTCTCCCACTCGGCGGTACAGAGCCAGATCGCGGACCGACAAACGAACCCGGCGGCGGCGGCCTGCCACCTCCACCCCCATACTGGCCATAAGGACCTACACCGGGAGGCGGCGGACCGGGACCATTCGGCACACCGTTTTGGCCACCATGTCGACGGGACCTTCTCTTCCCTTGCTGGGGATTGAGGCGCAGCTGTGTGATGAAGTCGTACACCCTGGGCGATTGTTTCAACAAGACGAGTTCCGTCTCGGATAATCTCTCCTCGGGGATCTTCTCCTGTCCGCCCTTTTCGTTTCGAGCACCCCTCCTTCTGGAGGAGTTGCCGTGGTTTGTCCACACCACGAGCAAGCCATCTTGGTTGCCGCCCTGGCCGGGCCCCACGGCTTCGACATCGAACGTCCAGTCCCTCAGCGCTGGGGGATTATATGTCCCCCGATCAAGCGGGCCAGGGCCGCCTAGACCAAGTCTCGCCCGCACGCTCGCGTGGATGTATTCGTTCGTGCCTCGGAGGCGTTTCGTCATCGGCCGTCCCGTGTAGGGATCACTTCGGAAGTAGTTGCCGGGAGTCCTCGTCTTGCTGCCCGTCAGGGAATAGATGCCTTTTAACGAGTTGTAGAGCTCGCCAAACGACCACCATCGCGTCCTCTGGCCCGACTGCTTGTAGTAGGCGCGGTTCGACTCCCACAGCCCGATCAGAAAATTCCGTTCGAAATCCAAAAAGGGCTCGAGCTTGCTGATCATCCACGCGAGCGTAATATTCGCCAACTCTTGATCGTCGTACCCGCCCCCAACGTTCGAGTGCACGCCAGGAAACCAACACTGGACAAGATTCGTCGTGTTGTTGTCCCGCTTCTCCCACAGCGCCGGAGAAAAGGGCGCGCGCCGCTCGTCCAGGGCCAGCGCTTGAAATGCGTTCTCAATACAGGGATTCAATCGCGTGTCGTAGAATTCATAATCGTGCATTCCTGGCGCCTGGAGCCGGAGCCCTTCCAGCCAAGGGACCCGCGGGATGCCCAGACTGCCGACCGTATCCCAGCAGCAGATGGCCTTGATGGGGACATTCAGCCTCGTCAGGCCACGACGAGACAGTTCATGCACGTAATGCTCGTCGAAGGGCAGTCGTTTCTCCGGGAACGGCACGTGCGGATACTGGGAGACATAGCGGTCGTCGAACCGATGTTCCCAGTCCTCGAAGATCTCATTGAAAAATGGCAGGCCGTCACGCGTAAGCAGACCAAGGGAGCCGATCATGCCGCCCACGGTACGCGCCGTGAACGCGCCGCGCGAGAAGCCCATGATGAAGATCTCATCTCCCGGCCGCCAGTTCGCCGCAAGGTACGTGTATGCCGTGCGCATGTTTTCGCGTATGCCCATCCCCGTGGCGCCGCCCACGACGCGGGATGCCGGCCCGCCTTGCGTTCCGACACCGGCCTGGTAGTTCACGATCTGGGGGATGCCGTCGCGCGAGGTGTCCTTGATCGCCCAGCCTATCCTGGACACGTTGGACGGCGGCTGTTTATGGCCGTTCATCAGACCGTTGTCGGCGTCCAGCCACGTCCCGTCGCATGTCACGATCAGCCGTTTCTTCGGTCCGTGGATCGGTCGTTCGAGGGTGCCCGGCATGGGACCCATGGTCGCGGCGAGAGGGGGAGGTTCGAAGCGTGACGGGGGACGACTGAGGGCGCTAGGCGCAACGGAGTGAGGTGGTGGAGGTGCGCCGAAGACTGTTGAGCCATGTGCGCTCGCGGCGTAGCCTGCTGGTGGAGGAGGTGCAAGCCCGCTGGCAAGCGAGGACCGCGCATTCGGTGGTGGGCGCGACATGGTGCTGTCTGGATGTTGGCGCTCAGGTTAAAAAGATTACAGTCGCATTGCGTACGGAGGGCTTATGGCAGCTATCGGCGGATGAGGCTCGTTGCGAAGTCCGGTAGACACGGTCGCCTTCGTCCTGAACTGCGATCTTGTGGTGTGGCTTCCATCGACTCGAGCTCCAGTCGTGAGCAGCAGAAGGGCTCACTCAGGCAGCGCGACAACGGTCCAGTGTTAGATGAATATTGGACCGGCGATGAGGAGATGGAAAATACCAGCGCAGAGCTAAACGCGAGCTTCATAGCTTCATTATTGTACAAGTTACAAAATCACGAGGCTTGTGTTGTCCAGCTGCTGCACCTTGTGAGCCCCCACTGTGCACGACGCTTAAGAGACAGACCGACAGCCCAGCCTCCTCGTCACCACCACCACCACCACCCGTTCATGCAGCAGTCCGAGTGGCTGGACGCCGCTAACGAGGGAGTAACCTTAACTAACCAATGCTCCATAAATTCCGTGCATTTCCGATCGCCTTCCCGCCGCCTGTCATGTCCGTCATTCATGGGATCTCCGGGTCGTAGGTGATGAACAGCCCAATCGGACATTGGTTCCAGTCTTGAAACCACCTCAGACTACTGTTCGAGCTGCTCATCGTGACGGCGAATCTTCCTGGCGCACAGATCGTGCTGCCCAGCGCCCATGCGTGGCCTGGGTTAATGTGGATGATTCTGGGAAAGCTGTGTGGGTTTGATTGCAGTGGTTGATTGTGGTAAGTGGTATTACCCTCCTTCGCGCCGCCGCCCCAGACCGAGAGAGAGAAGGTGTACTCGCCAAAGGCGCCGGTGAATTCGAAGTTGGATGTGCTCAACTGGCTTTGAGACGGGAAGAAGAACTCGAGCACGCAGAGCTGGCCCTTGCGGGATCGTGGTATGTCGAAGTTGAAGATCATGGAGACGTCGAGAGGCGTGACATATGGTGTGAGCGTGTTGGGGTATGCAGTGTCAGGCTTGTTCTGTGAGACCGGTATAGCCAAATGGGCAAACTCGAAGTCTGGGAAAGGTGGAAGATAGGCGGGACACGGACCAGGCTTGGTGATATCGCCGGTGTCGTCCGCGCCGAGCTTTGGAGGTATGTATCGCTGTGCCAGAACACTGCTGATGAAGAAGCCGAGCAGGATGTAGATGAAATCCATAATGGCTAATTAGGTACTTGCTTTCGCCAATCTGAAGCCAGTCAAGAAGTGCCAAAAAGTCCAAAATACTGCAATGTCCACCTGGGGCCGTGAGCTGCAGAGTCAAACAGAAGAAGAGACAGGAATGGGACATGCTGCTACATAAAAGCACATTGTCGACGGGTAGGTGCATGGTCGAGCGGCAGCGACGCAAGCGGAAGGAATGTTTGCTACTCTGCTGGCAGGTGCTGCTGTACCTGTCCCACAAATACTGGCAAGACACTGATGCGGTTGTCCTCAATCGATGATCTGTACAGAAGAGAACGCCACCGAGTACCGTCACCCTCGCACAGATTGTCCACCCTCATTTGTAATTGCCCCGATGCAAACAGCCCAATCCCTGAACACCATCTCTTGCAGTCTGCGCCTGCCGATGCTCTTCACTCGTACCTGGGGAAGTCTCCAAGATTGTGCAGAGCTATATCCATCCGATCGCGGACGGTCGGGCTTTCCTCCTCCATTCCCATTGACGCGGCCGACCCTCGATGTGAGTCCATAAAGTCAGTGTGGACCGACTGCTTGCGCACACCATTGATAGCCGGAACAACCTCGCCATTCGGGTTCACCACCGCTCCATTGGTAGCGAGTTGGATCTGATGCTCTTCTGCCACTCCGTGTACCACGGCTCGTCTCGCCTCGTCAACAACCTTGAATTTGCGTGTCTGGCCTCTGATCTGTTCGAGGTGTTCAAAGTACCCCTGGTCAACAGGAGTAATGTAGGTGCCACAAAAGACCCCCACTTCAAAGTCGTTCGGGGCATCGACTGCTTTAGCTTCCCGAGCGGCATCGACACACGCCGCTTTCAGATCGTCGAGTGTTTGGTAAATGACGCTGTCCGCTCCAATGTGCTTGGCGATCGCCTCCGCTCCATGATAATTGTGTGCCACCAGTTCAAATGGCGATGCCAGGTCGATCCCATAGATGTGCGCATGCGTGATCGGAGGAGCGCAACTGGCAAAATGGACCTTTTTCGCTCCCGCTTCACGAGCCATTGTCACAATCTCCCGACTGGTCGTTCCGCGAACAATGCTGTCATCCACAAGGAGAACGTTCCGATCCTTGAACTCCATTGGCATGGGGTTGAGTTTGCGACGCACACTCTTTTGCCGAGTCTTCTGCTCCGGCATGATGAATGTCCTGAACACATATCGATTCTTCACAAACCCCTGAACGTATTCTTTGTCCAACATCTTGGCCACCACTGCTGCCGAGGTGACAGAAGTTTCGGGGATAGGAATGACAACGTCGATTTCTCCCAGATCCTCGGGGCTCAACACCTTCTTGACCTGCGCAGCAAGTCTAACACCCATGTGCTGGCGACTGCGATGCACACTGATGCCATCCATGATGGAATCAGGGCGAGCGAAATAGACGTACTCAAAGATATCCGGGGCATACGTCTTGCGTTGCTGCACTTGCCGGAAGTGCGGCTCTTGACCCTTCTCTATGAGAACAGCTTCGCCCGGGAGGATGTCGCGGACGACTGAGAAACCGAGTTGGGTCAGGGCGACCGACTCTGAAGCCATCATGTAGTCTTTTCCGGCGCCATCTGCTGACTCTCTTGCGCCAAGTACCAATGGACGGATTCCAAAGTGGTCTCTAAAACCGATCAGGCCGTAACCGGCGATCATTGCCGTGCATGCCCAACCACCCTTGCACTTTTCATACATCCTACTCAGCGCCGCGAAAACATCGTCCTTGTTGATACGCGCTTTCCCGGTCTCGTTGAGCTCGCTTGCAAAGATGTTGAGCATCAGCTCGCTGTCGCTGTCGGTGTTGATGTGCCTGTGAGCCTCCAGATCCAGGTAGCGCCTCAACTCAGGTGCGTTGATGAGGTTCCCATTATGCGCTAGTGAGATGCCATAAGGACTGTTGACGTAGAATGGCTGAGCTTCGGCATTGGCACTGCTCCCTGCCGTCGGGTATCTTAGATGGCCCACACCCATGAAGCCGGGCAAATCCAACGTCCTAGAGCCATTGTCGAAGACTTTCGCTGCCATTCCGTTTCCCTTGCACTGGTAGATTCTTCCACCCGCCACACAGGTAGCGATTCCGCAGGCATCCTGGCCGCGATGTTGGAGGAGATAGAGGGCTTCGTGGAGGTCAAGCGCAACGTCCGCGGACGCGGTGTTCGCGAGGATCAAAGCGAGAATCCCGCACATGCTGAATAATCGTCTGCAACACACTGATCTGAGGGTCAGTCAAATTATATCTGGTTTACTCTTTGCAAGGTGCGCCAAGTCCTGCCCCGATCAGACCCGATAGTCCTCATCAAAATTGATATGAAGTCTAACATCTAATAAAATAACAAGTGGGTTCATCCTGTGGTGGTTGCCGGTCGTGGAGGGTCTGACGTACCTAGACAAACATGATGCTCATGTCAACCACCATATGCGAGAATCCCGAGAAGAGTGTGAGGGAAAGGGTAGGATAGTCAGATCTCAACGATCGGAAATATTCGAGGGCTAGCCTGTAGTCCTTCGGTCTGATCTGAAGAAAAACGTGTAGTAGTGCTAACTTCAGAGAACCAGAAAGAATCCAGAGGCGAAGAGGACCTGGTGAGGTGTGTGAGCGACATGGTGAAAGCCTCTCTGAAGCGAAGTCCAAGGTCCAAGCGACGATGGGACAAAATTTTTATCCTCCGGCCGAGGGACTGGCATTTGCCCGCATTTTCGAGACTTTGGTTGGTCGCGGTGTGTCTGCCGTTGGACGGTGTTGGAGAATCTGGTTGTGCACGGAAGACGGCGCCGTGACGGAAGAAGGTTTCGCCGTCTTCCGCCTGGGGAAACCTCGGTCGAGGATGAAACAGATTCCTTTCAGTATCGCGCGACTCTTTCAGTCTGACTTCGTTGACTTCAAAATAAGGAGCACGTTCAATCAAACACCAACTGCGCGGCGCCATGATTGCTGTATGTTCAGCCGTCGCCCTTAACGACTACACGGCGCCGGGGTAGAGGCGCACAACTAATCATGGATCCATAAGAAGAATGACCTCGTGGTATCTGCAATGGCGACCTTTGACGACACCACCAAATCAAGATAACACCATCAAACAAGAATGAGCTGTGGTGGTAAGCCGCTCTCCTATCTCTCATGGACGACAGCCGCTTGAAGGACAGATGATGGTCCCATGGGCTTTTTTGGTTAAGCAGTCCATCAGCGGCTCGCGGGCCGCTCCTCACTTGAGAAGACTAAGGGCACGAAGGGGTCGCTGTTTGCTTACTGTGCAGAAAGGCCACTCCTCTGCAGCCTTCAAGAAACATCGGAACTACCCAACAACCATTCGAAAGGCTAGCGGTCGTGTTTACCGGACTGTCCAGCGCAAATGGACACACTCGGTGCAAAGCCAGGACATTGCCAGTTTGAATAGGTCTCCAAAAGCTGGTATCTGGGATCCTGTCCCTAGGTTTGATCACCAACAAGCTTTGTTCACAAACAATGGCCCGTCTTCATAAGAGCTGACTCCTTTTAGTGGAAGGGAGTCACGGCGTCAATGTAGCATAACTGCCTGAGAGTCTGGTGCTACACGCATATTGACAACGACAATGCCGCGCCTCATAAACGTCCTTCTACCGTGAACGAAGCTCAGACACTGCTTCCGCGCAGCTGCTCTTCATCTGAGGCATCTGCAGGCTCTTCCATGCTTTGTTTTCATTTATTTCTGTCCTCGCGCCGCTCCAACAAGTTCGTTCGTCTCTTCTGTTGATATCTCCAGTCCTGTTCTTGACCACTGTGGGGAGCCCATCTCGCACTTCTACGTCCTACAGGTTTATATTCCCTCTTGACTGTGCCCATCAGCTTGCCATTACTGGATTCACAAGCGATTCGTTCCCCTGTACACTCCTATCTCCTCGCAGCCTTCCTCTCATCTACCTGAACCAGCCAAACTCGCGGCAGAAGGGGTCAGCCCCAAACACTGGCATGGACTGGCTTACGGGTTCTGTTACCTCTCAACGAGGTGCTGGCGACTTGTCCAATCTCCCAATACGGCAGCTCGTGAATCTATTGTTGAATCAACAACCTCAAGCTACATACTCCAGTTTTCCGGTCCCTCATTCAGCACAATACCGCAATAACGAGAAGCTCACGACCTCGGCTTCTGTCAGTGACAGCGATGGCGAGCTCATTAACCAGGGCAAAGCCGCCGACGATGATGAACTTGAGATCATCAAAATTCAGCCAGTACCGAAGCCAGTACCGAAGCCTACGGCTGCATTCGACGCAAGAGATCCCGCACCCATCGGACCGCTGGTTCTGGACCCAGGCTGCGACGTCGAGCTGCAAGACCACTCATTCCTCACAATAACGGAAACATCCGCAGGACGACTCACAGGTCGTAGACTCTTGTTGCAAAACCACTACGAGCTTCTCATGCCGGAGCGCTCTCACGAACTAGTGCAGCTAGTCGACATTGACACGGAACTCGATAGGAAGGCTACGCTATGGGAAGTCCCGATCGATGCGGCCATTAGAAACTGCAAGATCATCTACACCAACCAGCAATACAACCAGCTGAACTATGATAAAGACGTTTCATGTGGTACTTGTGATGAAGACGGCAAGCACATCTACTTCTGCCGTTACACCAGTGGGTATACCAATGTCGGGCTTGATGGAGACAGGCCATCAAGTCCCCCTAAAACTGGCAGAATTGAGCATCTGCGTTTCCATCAAGTACAGAATGGTACATTGATCACAAGAGCTGGACAGCATATTCAGCTCCGGATCCCAGACGCAGAGGTCAGAAAGCAATGGCGAGGAGAAGCAAATTGCGTTCTTGGTGGCAGCCATACTGATCAATACGACGGCGTGGAGACGAAGATGTACACATTCGCAGATGCATTTGCCGGCGCAGGCGGTACTTCTTGGGGCGCATACACCGCTGATCTCAAGATGAAGTTTGCTTTTGACCTCGACCAACGGGCCATCGACACGTACCGACACAACTTCGGTGACACAGGGATGCAGGTCCTCCATATGGACGTGCACGACTTCGTCAAGCAAGCGGCATCACCAGACAACGTCCTGGCAGACACAAGTCTGGTAGATATCCTACACATGAGTCCACCGTGCCAACCCTTCTGTGGAGCCAACCGGACACCAAACTTGACAGAAAACGCAAGAAACCTTGAGGCGTTCGGCAGAGTCGCCGACTTGCTCGAGGTGTGCAAGCCTCGCATCGCCACATTGGAGGAGTCAAAGAGCATCACTGATGTGGATAAGAGACAATACTTCAAGCAGCTGATAGGCTTCTTCATCGAGAAAGGGTACAGTGTGCAATGGAAGGTCTTGCACCTAGAGTGCTGGGGCGTGCCACAGACGAGGAAGCGACTGATTGTCATCGCATCAGGGTAAGAAGCAATCGATCCACGTGGCCCGCTCTTTGCTGACTTACCAACAGACCCGGCGAGAAACTCCCAACCATGGTCAAACCTACGCACGGTAGCGGGCCAGGACTAAAGCCACTGGCAGGGATTTGGGATGCAATCGGAAACATTCCTGACGACGCACTTCACCACGGCGAAATGTTTTGGTTCCCGGAACCCAGGCTCCCATATGACGGCAATGGACTGTGTCCTACCATAATGACGAAGCCGAAGTCCAAGCAATACCACCCCAATGGGCTTCGACGCTTCACCGTCCGCGAACTGGCGGCCTTGCAGACTTTTCCGCATTCCTTCGAGTTCTTGGGCTCGATACCCGAGAAACAGAAGCAGGTGGGAAACGCTGTTCCAACGGTGTTTTCCGAGATCATGTTCAGGGATGTGAGGCACAAGTTGTGGGTAGCTGATCTGGCCGAGCTGGCCGAGCTGAGGAAAGCAGCAGAGGCTCGAAAGGTTGCTAGGTAGGTTGACGTATTACCAGGACAATGCGACTGGTCCCCCACGGGACCGCTACTGTTGGGACGAGGGAAAGATCGAGAGGTGAGCGGGCTCACGCTCGGATGAGACGACTCAGGAGATTTCGCACGCCTTGGCTGCACGAAAGACGAAGGTGAAATTGGAAATAATCAGTCGGCCTGATCACACCAGTTGCATGTTTGTACGCTATCCACAAAATGCTGATTGCCCTAGGAGACTTTGCACGGCTTGGCTCCTGGGCGCGAAGAGAACATCAGAAATGGTCGGTCCCCGTTAATCACACCAGTTTCAGGATTGTACATTATGTGGAAAATGATATCTCGAGGCTCTTTCATGTGCCAAACACTGCCTTTTGCTCTTCCTTGGCCACCAGGAACTCCACAGTCGTATACATACTGACAACCTCGGGCTCATACCATTGACTACAGACTGGGCCCCTGATACAGGCTCATACATACCATTGGCTACAGGCTGACAACGCACACAAAGGGAAACCTCTTTTCACGCCCTGCCACCAGATCAACGCAAACCACTGCTTCTTCCTCGTCTGCGAGATCGAGGTATTCAGCGATCTCGATTGTCTCAAAACCCAAGCTCGAATATAAATCGTGCCTACCCTATTATCAATGTCATGTGCAGTCCTTAAAACACCTGAACCCGCAATGATCCAAGTCCGATAGGAGCAGCCTACACACAGTAGTCACAACTCGCACCAAGCAGACTGTCCAATCTACTGTACAAGCATATCTGGATGAAACGTCTGGGAACATCAGGCTGCCAGTCAGGCTGCCGCCCCCGCAATGAGGTATACCGTATTTGAGCCTACCTTACCCGTCCATTGCTGCTTTACAGGACTGTGTACTGAGTACTCCGTACATAGTCACGACAGTATGGAGTACTACCTGTATGTATCAAGGAACCCGAGACTGTGTAATAGTCTCAGAGAGGGGGAGATCGGAGCTTGTCTGAGACGATGTCCACGTCAAGACGGGAAGCTTTTCGGGGAGCTTACCGAAGTCCCATGTATAGTCAAGCATCGGCTCAGCTGAGTCCGGACCTCATATGGAGCCCGGCCTCTCTACTCGGCCGCTACACATTAGTCTACGGGCTGCTGGGGGTGAAATGACGGGAGAGCACGACACAAAAAATCAGCCAAGGCTCATGATTGAGCCTGATTTAGTGGATTTCCCGTTGCAAATGTGGCTCTGTGCAAAAGCCTCTAATCATCGTCTTCATCACTGCCATACGCAACAAGCGGACCAGCAGCCGGTGCTGCCTTCGGTCGTGATGCCGGTGACGCACTCGACGCGTAACCTCTCAGCGCGGCAAGAGTAGAGCTCCTGAAAATGCTGTTCCCATTCCCGTTCCCCTTCGTCGCGGCTCCACCTTCGCTGGTGTCCGGCGCTTGCATTGATGAGCCGACAGTCGCGCTCTCGTCGACCGCAATTCCATCTTCAGCATTCTCCTCAGTCGGCGGTGCTTCAAGCAACCCTCTTTCGCCCGCTCTCTGGCCTCCAAGCTCCTTCTGGTGGTTAAACCGAATCACTTCCGGAGCCTCGTACCCTTCCAACCCGTAGCTACTCTCGATTTTCCTCTGTTCCCTTTCCTCCCTCGTCTCCCGCCCTTCAAGCTCCCTAACAGCCCTCTCGCCCAACGCCCGCCTTACCGCCTCGGCAGCCTGCTCCTCGATCCTTGCTGCCTCTCTCTTCTGACTTAGTGGATTCGGATCCACCGTCGCCCAACGTACGTTTAATATCTCATTGTTGTCGAGCGCCTGATGTGCCATCGCCTCCTTGGCAAACTGGCTGTTTGCTTCATTGACGTACGTGACAAAGGCGACGCCCCTTCCGGTCAGGACTCGAATACGGTCGATTTCGCCCCATTCTTGAAAATGCCGCGCCACAACTTCCTCTATATCGTCTGTGACGTGGATGCGCCCGACGTATAGTGTGCGGTTTTGGCGCATGAAGGAGCCCACGCCTCCCATATCGTCCCTGTAGTCCGAGTGTTTGTCGCGTCCGAAACAGTCCATGTTTGGGTTGAAGACATCGTAGATTGTAGGCAAACGGTGTAAATACTGGCACTCGTGGCCCTTGGGACAGATGCCCCTTGCGAAAAATAAACAGAAATAGCTCCCTGGCGTCTTGTCCGCCTGGGTCCAACCGCTGTCGTTCCTGATGTTGCATCTGTTTGGGGCTGCATGTTTTGATAAGGCGGCGTCTTCCCGGTCGCCACCAGACCACTTGTTATACCAGATGTTGAAGACTGTGCCGGTTTGAGGCGGGGGTTCGGATTTGATCGTGCTAGGGTCGACTTGAGGGCGTGCTGGTCGGCGTTTCCGGCGGATGAGTTTTGTCTTCTTGGCAGGAGGCTCGCCGCTCTCGGGCGTAGGAACAGTAATGGCGGTCTCGTTGTTGGTCGTTGTTAGCGCACTGCTTGAGGCTTCTTGGCCGCTGGGGGAGGCTGAGCGCTTTCTCGATGGTGAGGCGGGCGCAGCGCCAAGGGTTGTGCGGGCTTGTACAACTTCTGCCATGGTGTTCGGGGTGACAGCAGCTTGACGAGTATGTGGAGGGAAAGAGCAGGAGGCGAGAGTATGCGGCGCGAAAGTGACGTGAATTAGAAATGCGGAAGCGTAGCGAAGGATGTCTGGAAATTTCACTGCGCCTTAGTCCAGAAGATCCACCCTAGAAATCTGGGGTAATCGCTACTGCGAGGTACTCGTCTTGTGCCACTTTTTGTCTTGCATGAGCGAGAATTCATTACAAACATGCCGCGTCACAGATCCAAGCCGAAGTCAATACTGTTCCAGACTACAACTTAGAAGAGGTACTCCATCAAGGATGGATCCGAGCTGAGCCTATATTTTGCTTCGAGGGTGCGGAGCTCTTCTATTCCAGTTGTCGACATGAATAGGAAGTGAAATCTGCCCTCGATATAGCACGAATTAGGAATACCGATGTCCTTGCTGCTGAGACGGGGGTTGAAGATGGCGTCCTCTCCGCCGAAAGACCCGTTGATCATGATCATAGGTGCAACCGGCACGGGAAAGTCAAAGGTGAGTGCTCGCTTCCATTCGTATGGAGATTTAACCATCCTGATCGCTACAGAACAGTTAGCCGTCGAACTGGCAACACGTTTCAACGGCGAAATCATCAACTGCGACGCTATGCAGATGTACAAGGGTCTGCCAATAATCACGAATAAGATTCCCGAGAACGAACGCAATGGTATCCCGCATCATCTGCTTGATTTTATTGACCTCAGGGAACAGCCTTGGAGCGTGCAGCATTTCGTGAGAGAAAGCTCTCGCATCATCGACGCAATTCGCGCAAGAGGCAAACTACCTATCATAGTAGGTGGCACTATCTACTACACTTTCTCGTTGTTGTTCAATGACGCCATCCTGAGTACAGCCGATGGCGACTTCGGGGAGGGCTCACATATTGAATCGGCCGATAAAGCCGCAGCAGACTTTCCCATTCTGTCAGCTCCTACAGAAGAGATCTTTGCAAAGCTGCGTGAGGTGGATCCCGAGATGGCCAGAAGATGGCATCCGAACGACAGGAACAAAATCCGGCGGTCGCTCGAGATATACCTGAAGAGCGGCAGGAAAGCTTCGAACATCTATGCTGAGCAACGACAGTCGATCGCGGAAGATCGGGACGGTGATGATGCCAAAGATATCCAACCTACCCGAGACAACGCCACAGCCGAGCGCAAGATGTCTTTACGGTATCCAAGTTTGATATTATGGTTGGAAGCTGAAGATGCAGTACTGAAGCAGAGATTGGATGCCAGGGTAGATGCCATGGTTGCAGATGGTCTATGTGACGAAGTGGTGCAGATGGCCAAGTTCGCATCAGACCTGAGAAACCAAAGTCAATCTCTGGACCTGACCAAAGGCATATGGGCCTCAATCGGCTACAAAGAGATGAAGCCATGGCTGGAGGAGCAGCAGGCATCAGGTATTGATTTTGCAAGACTAGTCGCCGCAAAAGAAGAGGGCATCGAAGCCGTGAAAGCCAGCACTAGACGCTATGCGAAGCGCCAAAACCGGTTCGTTCGCATTCGGTTGGCAAAAGCTCTGAACGCTGCTGGCAGGTATGAACTGCTGTATCTCCTAGATTGCACCGACCTGACGCGGTGGCCAACCACCGTGGGAGGGCCTGCGGAAGGACTGCTAGAAGCTTTTGTTCAGGGCCATGAAATGCCTAGAGCGAAGACTCTCTCGGACATGGCAGAGAACATCCTTTCACGTATCGAGCAGGATAGCATGGTAGGCGATCGTCAGGCCCGGCATTGTGTGGTATGCAACAAAACTCTCATGACCGAGAAAGAGTGGAACGGCCACCTCGCAAGCCGCAGTCATAAGAAGGTCATTGCTTGGCAGCGCAGACGGGAGCTGCTGTCAGTGCAAGATCGCACCCAAAGAGAAGGGTCTGTTCGGCGTCAGAGCCAGCCGGGATAAAGGTCGTGGATCAAAATGGTAATGCCGGCCACCATCTCTGCCAGCGAAGAAGCTGTCGTTGAGATACGACGGCCATACCCCTGCGAATGAGTGGCTTCCATCAAGGAGGCTCAACACCATCACCAATGGGTTGTTCCTTCAAGCACTGCAGATGTTGCTGGTGAGCCTCGAGGCCACCAGTCCGCCATCCGATAAAAGCGGGTGAGAGTATGTCTCCATGACCTGGTTCCTCAAGCTTGAACACTTCCAGGACCGGGACATTCTCGCGCTTCCGGATCCGCCAGACGCCATCGGAAGTGATGATATCTTGGAGCCCTGTCAACAACATCAGATATAACCCTATACTGTGGTACCGGCGATGCTTACATTCTAGAAAGCTCGCGGCAAAGTTGATGCAGGTTTGCCCGTCCCACAGAGCTTTGCCTTTGAGCTTCACTTTGTCGGGAATGGTCTGGACGTCCAAGTCTTCTAGCCGTTCCAGGATACCTTGCTGGGTTCGGTAGCCAACAACGATTTTCGGTACTCCAAGCAAGAACGATTGTGCCCAGAATTTGAGCAGCTTTCTCTCATACTTGACCTGCTCCTTCTCATTTGTGACGATAGCGGTGGTTTTCAACTCAACCCAATCTATCGGCTTGGATTTGTCTTCCGGCTTGAAGGCCATGACAGCGTCAACTTCCCCAGCAAGTATCATCTTCACTTTGCCGAAGCCCGTGCGCACAATGGAGCAGTACTGCGCATAATTGCTCACCGGCTCGTCTTCACGAGCTTCGATATACTCGCGAGACGTCTCAGGCCATGGCGTCGGCATCAGCGACACCGATTCGAACTTGTATCCCCAGAAACTCATGAGGTCTTGGGACAAAGCACCTGGTCGCCCTGCTGATGAATACTGCTGCTGCCGAGAAGAAATCTTCTTGGTGTGGTTCTCTTCAAGGTATATGGTGCCTTGAAACAATGTTGCATTCATCTCCCAGTCGTCCAGCTTGGAGAAAGGGGCCACCATGATCTATTCGACGCATAAGCGAGGTTCTAGGGTTTTAACAGATTGCCGCACCTTGGTCATCATACCTCGCCAGGTTACAAAGTCTATATCTGTTCTTGACCCTTTCTCCTTCTCGTGAGCGATCAGTGCTTCCAAGAGACCGTCCAGGTGGTCATCACCGGAGTCATCGAGCTGTCGAAAAGTCTCGAAGCCTTTGCTCAGGTCGCAGGGCAGTGCAGGCGGGTAGTAGTAACGTAGGCTGGAGTCATCGTGGCGAAAACGGTGGTCCTCGTCGAACGAGAAGAATGTTATCTCCTGCGCAAGTCAGTCTCAATCAGACTGCGGCATTGGCAGGCATACTCTGGGTCTTCGAATGGCCGCATTCAGGCTCGCAAAGCGAGACACTGGCCCGATGTTGTAGTTGTGCATTTGAGTCATGATGCCGCCATTAACGCGCGTCGACTTTAGGGAAAGATTGTTCGTCAAGCATCTTGCTAGGCGCCCCGAACCTGGTGGTGGGCAGCCGAACCAAGCGTCCGCGCTCAATTGTAGTCAAGGCGCTTCGACATGCAAGAGGGACAGGTTCCTGTACAGCGCTCCTCGAATACGCTCACGTGATTACGCGAGGCCCCTGACGCGTCGACGTCATCAGCTAAACATGATGCGAGTCCGTCAGGGTCACCGGCGTCGAAACTTGCGCGAAGGGTGAAGAAATTTCTCGAAGCTGGATCGTGCTTCGTATCTTGTACTGTGATATATTCGTGTATCTGTCTTCTGCTTCTGTTGCTCCCACCATCTCTTCTCTCCTCCGGTCGGAGCACTTACGCACTACAGAATTACAATGGCTGGTGCCAAATGCGCCTTAACCGAGGTTGACGGCAACGTCGAGAGATCACAGCGGCCTTCGAAACGGATGTCCGCTGAGTCCTACGGGGAAAGGAGAACACAAGATTCGGGTATGCTAGCATGAAGAAGGACGAGCTTAGCACCCTGCTCCGTGGTCGCAATCTGCCCTACAGTGGAAACAAGGAGACTCTCGTCCGTCGGCTCGAAGAGGACGACTCGAAGGAACCACTCGTAGATGTTTCTGAGGGACCCTCAGCCAAGGTATGCCCTTGTCTGCGTGCTGATCGACCTGGGCCTGACCGATAGCAGGAAGCTAGTGCTACCAAAACCGCAGCAAACGAGTTCGAATACTGGACGCTCTGCAGGCCCCGGGAGGACATACAGGCGGAAAAACGAGCGACTGACAAAGATTGTGATTCTGAAGAGGAGGAGATAGAAGGCTTTTGGGAAGAAGGTGGCCCAAGAGACGAGAGTGCTCAACACAATGAAGCTAAGGCAACAAGCCAAACCGAGCAGCGGAAGTCGATCTGCGGCCAGAAGAAGTGCATCTGCAAGCTGCCTGCCTCGGAGAACCCGGAGCATAAATGGCTTCTCACCAAACAGGGGGTACCTTATGGCCGCGCGCTTGCAATACGAGGTCGCCATCCGAGACCAGGATGCGATTGGGAAGCACTTCTACAATGACTTCAACGGTTATGGTTTCCAAGAAGTGATGGAGAATCAGGCAAGTTCTTGAATTCAACAACTTTAGTCTCGCTGACTAACTTTTTGGATCAGTTATTAGCCTTCAACAGTGAATACTCCAAGAAGACTGTCAAGCCAGCCGGACTGTGGGCCTGCATCGAGGCATGGGCGTGGATTCTGAACGAGAAGTCCATATGGTTCCATGTCGATGACCCCGAGACTGTGCTAGACACTTTGAGAATAATTGGAGGAGCCATCTTCACCACCTTGAACGTCCTCGAGAAGCATGATCTGCTTCTTCCATTCTGCTGTAAGGAATATTGCTCTGGTGCTCGGTGTAATCTATGAGAGAACTGGAGACTGGCCTGGGGACTATGAGGATCAATTGGCATGGCGAGGAGCTATGATTCAAGAAGCTAAGAGTCATGGAATTGTTTTCAAGGACGCGCCATACACGATCAGCACCCGTCTTGAGGAGGACGGCCTAAGCGGCCCTCAAAACGGCAAGGGCTACTCTAAGTGGAAGAACTTCAACTGGGTGAAGGAGGTGAGTTGATTGTCCTCACATTATATGCAAACTTAAGCTGCTGACACGTTAAGTTCACTTCCTTTCACCGCAAACACCGCAAAGGGTCCGGCCCCGGAGCTACCATAGGGGGGCGACAATACGCTCTAGAGACGAGGGAAGACCGAAGAGGAGCTCGCGAAAATTTCGACTTTTGGGGCCTCGTTTCCGATTCGGAATGGTCTGATTGTTCAGACGACGAAGACGGCGGAATACTTGTCCGTGATGGAGAGTAAAAGACGTGTCCGAAATCCTGTGACAACATGCTGTACATTACATGCCGTGAAATGGCAAATGGCAATAATAAAGTTCCTGGGATGCTTGCTCGTTGACGTTCGACTGGATGCAGCCCCCGAGGTCCCTGCACTCATTTCAAGCTGCAAACTGAGAAACTCTGCGAATCGTCCATCTCAATCGCTAACTCGCTCAACCTGAATCGAGGGTTGAGATTGCTCAGGGACATCGGTCACCGTTAAGACATCGTAGGTGGTCGTGATCGCTCCGGGTCCATCAACGCTGTACGTGTTGGGCTCTGTGCGAACACTCCTCCCTGCCGTCCGTCTTAGGATAAAGTGACAGGGTGGTGTGTGTTCCGGGTTGTGTCCCTGCTTGAGCGTATGAATTATGTATCCCATGATGAAGGCCATGCTTTCCGTTACGCACATACTCCATACTACCCTTCGTGAAAGGGCCATTCTGGGGCTAGAGGCTTCCGGTACCAAACAGACAAAAACAATCAACAGCCAGGATTCCCAAGTGGTCACCCACCTTAGTACTAACTGACCGGCATGTGGCTTAAGTACGGCTGAGCGAACGGGAAGCCCTGTTTTCCACATCCTATGGTCGATTGCGGGAGAAACTGTGGTTCAGCGAAATATAACCCACAAATATATCTGAAAGTTCCGAAGTATTCGAGGGCGGCCTTGCCCTACTTAAGCCTAGTCCTCTTAGCAGCTTGGCAAATTTAGCACGTTGCCCCCCTAATTGCTCAAATTACTCGTCGAACCCATGGAAGCTCACTCGGGCTACGGAGCCAGACAGTCAGGTACACTTTGATTTCAGAAAAGGTGCGTTTCGGCATGGAGCTGGACCGGTCTCACAGTCACTGGTGAATGTGTCTGTCTGAATTGTTTAACAGACGCGTGGATTGGTAACCGAGAATGAATGCGTCTCTCCGGACCGTATGCCTCGGTCTTGCCAATATCCTCCTGATTGCGGCACTGCTCATCTTTGCACGAGGCTTCTTTCCACACAAGGCCTTCTTGCCAGGACTTGCGACATGGCCTTCGGACTCACTTGCCGCTGCAAGGACAGCACCATTTGACCGCGTCATTTTTATGGTTGTGGACGCCTTACGAAGCGACTTCGTCTATGGCAACGCCTCCAGCTTCCATTTTACTCAGAGCTTGATCCGGTCTGGCGATGCGGTACCATTTACTGGCCATGCCAGTCCTCCGACAATCACCATGCCACGCGTCAAGGCCATCACGACAGGCTCCGTGCCCAGCTTCGTCGACCTCATTCTCAATTTCGCCGAGTCGGACACGACTTCGACTCTCAGAGACCAAGACACCTGGCTCGCTCAGCTGCGGGCCAAGGACGGCAATCTCGTCATGTACGGCGACGATACCTGGCTGCGTCTCTTTCCCGACTTCTTCCGTCGAGCAGATGGGACCACGAGCTTCTTCGTTTCTGATTTTACCGAGGTCGACAACAATGTCACCAGGCATATTCCGACAGAGTTGATCATGGATGATTGGTCGGCAATGACACTGCATTTTCTCGGCCTCGACCACATTGGGCACAAGACCGGTCCCAAGGGACCCAATATGCCGGCTAAGCAGGCTGAAATGGATTCTATTGTGAGAGACATTTACACTGCAATGGAGCAGGAAGAACACCTCAAGTCATGTTTGCTAGTCCTTCTTGGGGACCACGGCATGAATGAAGGAGGCAATCACGGCGCTTCCTCTCCGGGAGAAGTGTCCACAGCTCTCACGTTCATCTCTCCAAAGTTCAAGTCCGCGTTTGAAGGACGAACAAGCCCAGTCGATAATGCGGTAGACTACCAATACTATGACGTTGTCGAACAGTCGGATATTGTACCTACTCTCGCTGCCCTCCTGGGTTTTCCCGTCCCTCTAAACAATTTAGGAGTGATTATCCCTTACCTACTGGAGCTCTGGACGCGTCCTGAAGATCAACATGCCTTACTGTACGAGAATGCGCAGCAAATACACCGGGTTGCAGAAGCAACGTTTCCAAACAGTTTCGAGGGGCAGTTATCGCCCGAGGACTGCTCAGTGACTTCCGGAGACGACCCTCATATCCTTGCCTGTCTGTGGCAGCGGGTTTGTGCAGAGCACAATGTCGCTACGCTAGCAGCTACTGGCTCCGCCTCGGCCAGCAACAATCTCAAGTCCTTTCTCTACAAGGCGCAGAATCTTCTAAGTGGCACCGCAAGCAACTATGACCTCATCAGCATGCAAATCGGGATCGGGTTGAGCACAGTTGGATTCGCGTTGTGCCTGCCTCATTTTCTGAAGGGGATACTCCAAGCCGGCTTTGATGGGGCTTTTCTGCTTTTGGTCATGCTATCCTACGCAATCACCATGTTTGCGAGCAGTTACGTGGAGGAGGAGCACCAATTCTGGTATTGGACTCTCGCCGGCTACCTTGTCATCCTTTACTGCAAGGATAACAGATTCGAGGTCACAGGCAGTAACAGCAGCCCCCATGCCCTAGTGGGTGGCGCAACAGGCACGGCGCTCGCAACCATCCTGTTTGGGATGGCCCGCCGATGGAGACAGACCGGTCAGAAGTATGCTGGAGAAGCTGATATCATCAGCGAGGTGGTCGTACCCAACGCTTGGGTGCTGTGGTTGCTCGTCATGCTTACATATGCCGTACTCTCCCGCAATCTCAGCCGCCGTACGGGCGTCTGGATGGGTTCGCCGCGGATGGGCGTCTTGCCGGCACTCATCTCTATCTCCGCGTTCCTGTTCAAGATCGCTTTCACCGCGGCGGACGCACCGGAGTTGTTGGCTTCCTTCCCAGTCCTCAATCCCCTGGTGGGCTTCGTCTCAGCATATCCGCTGGTGAGCCTTGCGCGAGTCGTTTTCCTCGGCCTCCTCCAACTTCTCGGATGCGCAATCTACTACGAAGCTCCTTGGAAGGGCGCTAAGCATCTCGAAAGATTTCTCACAGCATTTCAAGATGTCCTATCTCTGTTTCTCATCACGCAAACAAGAACGGTGTATGTGCCGTTGTTCCTGTTCTTCAACACTCAATTATGTCTACTCCGTCGTCGGAGGTGCCATTCCATCACCGAAACTGCCACCCTTGCGCTATTGTTCCAGTACGCCTCGTTCTTCGCTTTCGGAGGCACAAATTCCATCTCGACAATTGATCTATCCAATGCATACAACGGCGTAAGCGGGTACAACGTTGGTGCCGTGGGTATCCTCACTTTCGTCAGTAACTGGGCTGGCCCGATCTGGTGGGCTTTTGGCACATGCCAATTGTTCAGCACTGCCCAGCTTGGAAGCGGCAGTTGTTCATTCCTCTCCACGGCGCTGACAACATTTGCATGCATCCATACCCTGTCAGTCATGGTCGCCTGCATGGTTCTCCGAGAACACCTGTTCATCTGGACCGTCTTCTCACCGAAGTACCTCTATACGGCCGCTTGGGTCGTGGGCCAGCAAATCTTCGTCAATGTGTTGGCGGTGGGGACTCTGCTGTGGCGAGGAAGTGAGTAGCTTCTTCGGCTAGAGCTCAGGCGCATTCAGCCGAAACCTCACGCCACAGAAACTCATAAAGGGCTGTCATGAACACCATTTCCCTGCTTGGGCAGACAGAATGCGTCAAAGAATTGACCGATGCCTTCCGTGTCGTCGATGGGCAACACCTTCGAGACGTCTGTGGGAAGCCGATCAGCTCATTGGGGCTGCACAAATGGATTGGGGTGTAACTCACATTGATCAGGACGCACGATCACTGTTGCACCCTTGTCCGGATCTATTCCCAGCTTCTCATACGCGTGGCCATGACCAGAATTGTAGTGCTCGTCATCGACAAATACTTTGTGCAGATCTATGTCAACAAGTCAGGAGTTTTGTCCGCCGGAATACAAGCACCGTGTACATACCTCGCATTCTCCACTTTCCAGTTACAGGCCAGAAATAGTCAGGGATTTGCTCTTGTTCCAGTTTCATGCGCTCTCCGGCAAATAACACAATCGGCTCGATAAAGCTATCAATGTCCGCCGATGGCGCAGTGTACTTGTGGGCTGGACCGTCGGGAGAGTCCATGTACTTGGCGATCTGTCGCACCCGTGTCAGTTGCCCTCTCCCAGCAATAGAAGGACAGAACATACCTTGTTTAATCTCGCCAATGTTTCTGGCTCCCCAATTCTGCCGACGAAGAATATCGCGCGCCATCGACTGTCTGCCTTCAAGGCCCTCACCAGTTGCATCGCTTTGACGTCGCAGAATCGAACCACCTGGGCGCTAGGGAGTCTCATGCCAACCACAATTTCTTTCGCGAGTTCTTGGGTGCTTGCGGCACTGGATGTGACGCTGGAATCCTCATATTTCGACGTCAACCCAGCGGTATACCTCCCGGACTTGATGAACCCCTCTCTGAACTCTTCTGGGGTAATCTTTTTCTCGCTGCCGGCCTTGTTGCTTGCGAACAACTTCATGAAGTACCGATCAAAGGCAATTAGGTCGGCTGCTGTCTTTCCCCTTTCGAGAGTATACGTCTTCAACAGCTCCGAGCCCGCCTGACCCGTCAACACATGCCCCAGTTTCCAACCGAGGTTGAATCCATCTTGGAGACTGACATTCATGCCCTGTCCCGCCTTTGGCGAATGGGTGTGAAAGGCATCGCCTGTCAGGAATACACGATTGGCTTTGGTGAAGTTATTAGCCAGTCTCTGCCCGATGCTATAACAGCTCCACCAAAATGTATCTGCGAAATTCATCTCATAGGGGTAGAAGATCTGCTTGGCCTTTTGATGCAAATCCCCGAGTTTGACCTCCTTGACATTCGTCCCCGTCGGGAACTCGATATAAAAGCGGGTCAAGGAGCCTCCTTCGCGAGGAATTACCAAGAGAGAGCCGGCATTGCTGTGGACGGTGACTTTTCTTCGGATATCAGGAAAGTTAGTCTGAGGGTAGATGTCCATGACGCCCCAGACGGCATCCGTGGAATCCCCGATCATGTTGTAGCCCAGGGATTTGCGCACGACAGAGTGCGCACCGTCGCAGCCCTGCATTGCCATCAGACGAGGCTGCAAAGTAGATGGGGATTGCCTTACCAGGACATACTTTGCCTTGAAGACCTTCTCCTCACCACCGTCCTTTGTCGCGACCACGGTACAAGCATACCCTTCTGGATCCCTGGCCGCCATGTCCTCATCCACCACGACTCTGTTGACGGTCCACCCATACTCGATCTGCTCGCCTCCCAATTTCTGCATCCTTTCCAACAACAGCCCATTAACCCGCGCTTGGTTGAGGATCAAATGCGGCATGTGGCTCAGTCCCTGCGCCGTGTCAGCCGCGCGATTACTGCGGATGATCCCTCTTCTGGCGTTTCCGTCGGGATGCGACACGGAGTTAGGGGAAGGCGACCAGAAAGCCACTTCGAGGACATGGTACGCTTCGCGCAGCAGGTCCTCACTTAGGTCTAGGGACTCAAAGATTTCGACCGTCCGGCATTGGATACCGTCAGCTTGGCCGATGGACATGGGCGCGTCGCGGCGTTCGAGGACACGGTAGCGTATGGGTTTCGTCTTGGTGGATGGGTGGCAATGGTTATAGATGCTGAGCCAGAGGGCGGCGGTAAGGCCGGCACTGCCGGAGCCGACGATGAGGACGTCAAGAGTTTCCGGATCCATGGTGGATGTTGTGAGAAGTAGTGGGGATGTGTGGGTTGTGTTTGGCTGGTGGTCCGAAGAGTAGTGTGTCACGCTGATGTCGTGTCAACTTGATGAACGGGTTGATTATCGGGATAGGTAACAGCTTGAGGACTCAAGAAATGCTATGCCACGGTATGTGTGGTGTGTGGTTGAATTGGTGTTCGCTTAAATTCTATGCCAACAAGACGAAGGGATTGATAGTGTATAAGTGGTCGTACATCGGTGGTAAGGCTCAAGGAAGGTTATACTGCGTGCGTCGGAGTGTGACAGTATCCGTGCCAACGAGGTCCGTAGCATTTATATGCCAGTTCTTCGGATGCCAGCTTCTTCTCGGGGTGTTGGTACCATTAAAGAATTCCGCTCCGCCGTTCACCGTCGCCTTGGTCGGGAGCAGTTCCATGAACAAGAACAAAATGGAATGAGAACCACACGACGGGATTGAAGAGCGGCACTCACGATAGTATCATCAACTTCGCCGAGTTGGAGGACTGTGTACGCTGTGTACGATGTGTACGAGGTACAGTCGGAACAAGACAGCCTTGGAAGGCAAGTCAATTAAGATCTCGGTGAACGTCGATTGACGTGCAATTATGTGACACGAACGCCACCTGCCGCTTGCTGGTTCCATTTTGCCAGCGCACTTACAGTATGTATGTGCCAACTGCGTGCCGGACATCCCAGTCATTCAGTCAGTGAGTCAGCCAGTCGGCGCGCGTAGGTGGTCGTCCCCGCCTTACGGGTAACGGCATCGGAGTCTGGATATCCTTCCGTTTCCGACCTTGCAGATCAGTGCTTGGTGTTGTTATCCAATCATCGACGTTCGTCGTCGTGTGTTGCTGCAGAAATGTTGTGAAAATGTGGTTCTTATCCGGAATGAAATGCCTCCGAAACGGCGAGGACGGCCAAGAGCCGGTGCAGACGAGAATTCGACCATCTACCACGCAGGACTCCTTTTATGCGTGCAATGAGGCCGATGGAGGTGCCGAACCAGACGGGAGAAGCACTGGGTGTTGAGACGTGACAACTCACTTAGCACGGAGTACATTTGGCGGCGCGTGTATTTCGGAGATGGTCCCCTCCAGGCGTAGATCTGCGGTAGTTGGAGACGTGGACGTCGGTATAGACGTGGGTGTTTTCTTGAGGTGAGCGGACGAAAGACAGACGGCGGCTTGGACTTTCGAGAATGGAGGAACGACAGAAGGCGGCCCGTGATGCCATGTGGCCTTGGAGCCCAGAGAGTGATTTTATGAGTATGAATCGACGAGTGAGCTCATTAATGCGTGTTGAAGGACTAATTATCGGTGCCAAAGGACGGGGAAAGGTACATCGACTTCCCAGAATGAACGGAAGACAGATCGCGACTTCTAGAGCCACGAGCACTGAGGTGATAGATCGATAGAGTCGGAATGGACGATACAAAGTCATTTGTGGTCGAATGACTGTCAGTGCTAATTATAGGAAGGGAAAAGGTCCATGAGATGAATCCATTCGATACTGCAGACGGCCCGACATTCACGACCAACTTGCCTCTCTTGCAGCAGCAGGACAAGAGTACCATATGCCACTTAGGATCGCCCTCGCAGCCACGTCCTCGACTCAGCCCACCTAACGTAGCATACCATGTCAACGATTCAACACCGGTACTTAATTAGCTCGTAGCCACGCCCTCTACTCAGCCCAGCTGAAATACATGCCCATCGTCTTCCTTCTCATCACTCTTCCGCCGTTGTCCACATACGCCGTGCACACACTCGCTACTATATCCCTTCTCGCCATGGTGACGGCATGGCGCAAACAACATGCATGATTCACCACCCCTTACCATTACCTAGCGTGGGACCTCACTTCCAGTTCGGATAGACGTACCACACGCGGTAGTCGTTCTTGTTGGGCGTCGTGCCCTGAAAGTAAATCTCGCACCTGTCCCTGAAGTTCCAGCCGGCCTTGGGCTCCTTCCGCCCCGTGACGACCAGGTAGAAACATTCCGGCCACGTCGAGCGAGCGTTGGACAGGTCTGGTTGCGCGAATCAGTCAGCGTGAGCCCCTTGCTGTCACCGTAGGACACTCCATGCACGGCGCGGCTTACCTCCTTTGCCGTCCTTTTCGTCCAGGCCCGAGGGTTTACAGTTCCCAACCACGCCGGGGCCGGGATGCACATGGTAGACGGATACGATGTTGGTGTAGCCATCGGGCATCTTTTTGTACTCTTCCATGGTGACGCTGCTTTCTCTTTTATCTGACGACATACGTCGTCAGTATGGGTAGATGTGCATATGGGCTCTTGTTTAGCCCTGCAGGCTTGGAAGAAGGGGGGGGGGGGGGGTTTACCTGTATTTGGCCCGGCGATCTTGAACTTCGACCCGTCCGCGGTGGCATAGATGACTCCTCTGTATTCCAGGTTGTCTCGGAAGGACCAGTCGACTGCCACTTCCATCAAGCGGCGGAATTCCTTGAAGTCGAATCTGTCCGAGTTGAAAAGGTCATGGAGCGTGATGGTGGCGACTGTTCGAACCCCGGCCATGGTGGATTGGAAGCAGGCAGAGGTGAGGGCTGTTGTTGGATAAAGGAGGTAGGACGGAGAATGTTGGATGAAGGGCTGTAAGCGCTCAATCGCAGTGGATAGGGGTGAGAGACAGAGAGAAAGAAATCCTATGCGTTTACATGCAAGTGCAAGTGAAGCTTCGCGTTCTGCATTACCTCTTTCATGACTCTGAACTCGCGGCGGCTAGGCAGCTTATATACATATACGGGGATGGAAGACAGCACGCTCGCTTTGACAGTCTCGTGTTGGTGACCAAGTGCTCGGGGTCATGCTCGTGCTCGTAGCCGTGGCTGGCGTGGACGATGTTTGCACAAACCTAGCTTCCAAGCCAGCTATGTCGGCAGCACGTTATGGTCAGCTTCGCCGGCTCACCTTGTCCTGCTGAGACACAGTACAGCTCGACCTGACGTCGTGGCTGACCTGCATGCTGTATAGAGCAATGTCGATAGGAGCCGTGGCTCGATGAGCATGCCAGGCGCTGAGATCTAGATGCAAAGGGAAGTCGTTCACTCTTCATGCAGCTGTAGTTTGTTACGGAGAATAACTCATTTGAAACACGGCGGCTTCCCTGAGCTGAAGCTCTTCAATCTGGATGCGGAGTCGTCGAAGCAGGCGAGGTTTCACAGTGGCAGAAAACCGACCATGAGGTTTACAGTACAGTAAGCGAGCCATGATAGCAGCATGATGTGCGTGGCTTGCTGAGCGAGAGCGCGATGTCGAAGAGTGCGCCATGCTCTTCTAGGCAACTGTTCGGGCTCAGCCAAGGCAGACTGCAGGTCGGGACATCCGGCTCTGGGGTGCATGTGAACGGAACATTGGAGGTTCGGAGCTGGATACGAGTTAATGACATGGGGTTCACAGTACTGCAACTAGGCAGCCATTGCCTACATGATCAGTATCATTCTGCCTACACAGTACATATCGAACAGACAACACACGCTGAGCCTAATGACAGCGACGTGAAAACCCGCCATATCAACCGTTGATGCCAGATTTTAGCGCGACGGATATACGTCTTCTTGTGTTGCCCCTTCGCCGCCATCTCCGACAGGCTGGTCCACAAAGTCTTCGTACGCTACAGTATGGAAGCACCGGCCTTCTATCTTCACCTCCCGCCAACACAGCTCAAAGGCCGCTTTGTCATGCTTGAAGAATCCACCAAGACCTTCTACGACGTCGACACCGTCACACCTCTCCTGGGAAATCCGGCCACCTGGGCTGTAACGGGCCTCTCCCCGTCCGTCCTCGGCTCGGACCGTTTGGCCATCATTATCCCCGACCGCCTCAACTCGGAGTGGCGCAACGAACTCGTCAAACAAGGGCCCATGCCCGATGGTAGACCATACAACCCGGACTTCGAAGTCGCCAGGCTGGTCTCCATCACCTCGCGAACCGACAAGATGATCCATGCAAAAGTCTTGGGCAAAGTCAACATATGTCCTTCGAATCTCATCAGCTTTGACAAAATCAAAGACATGAAAGGGCCCGTGTTGGCCGATGAGATGGAGAACGGCCTCCTTGGCAAGCTGTATGGTGGAGTCCACCCAGGAAAGCCGTTCGTACACCCAGAGGTCTTGGCCAGAATGCCACGTAAATGGCACGTGGATGCTGCGGAGCTCAATCACGAGCTTGACGGCATCTTCGCTAGTGGGCAGAAAGTGGAGCAGGGGAGCGTGAAGTGGTTGCTGAACTGAGGTGGCCTGGACTCGACTGTCTTTGAGTTTGGCTATTGGCTGCGGACGATTCCACCGGGCTGGAAGGGATGCTCTACTTCATACTCGCCGCCAAGTTGGAACCATTGTGCTTCGTGTTTCGAGCTCTTGATGTCAAATTGACCGTCCTCCAGCAGACCGTGGATGTAGCATTGTCCGATAAGCTCAAAGTCTCCGAGGTCCGGATCCTCTCCCAGACTTTGACGGGGCCTCAAAACAAAGGGGAACTCCCCGCCAAAGAACGCGACAACAATGTCGTCCGCCCTTGTGCTTTTGTTGAACATGCCCATGTATCCTGCTGCTGTCGAGCCGAGGATCTTGTCACCGTTGAACGCATCATGTGCTTCCCTGAATGGCTGCTGGCGCTGCTGCAGGGAAAGCATGTCTTGTCGGTCAGAAAACTCGTGGCGTTGACATTTGCGCCATGCGAGGTAAGCAGCCGCGTATGGCTCCTCTGGCGCTCTCTGGATGTCGAGCGTGACACCGCATATTAGTGTCTTCCATAGAGCGGTCTCCAATGCTTCTCCAGTCGGGTATGTGCTTAGTGTGGAGACGATGGCATCGCATTCTTCGACGTGTCGACGCTTCTGGGCGAGCAGAAAGTCCTTGTCCTGCACTTGGTCTGGTGAGATGTCCAAGTGCCTATTTGCTAGAAGCCTGACTTGGTCTATGACAACGCCTTTCAATCGGGGAGTCTTTCGAAGGATCGTCGGGTCCGGCACAGGTTCGATCTCGACTTGGGTACCTCGTCCAATGTTGTAGAAAGCCGGTCGCCGAAGGGGGTCCCAGGGCCCTTGCGCGTACTCGAAGCCGAAATCCATCTGCTTTCCATACCAGTTAGGTACCCAGCTGGGCGCCAGCAGCTTATGCCCCTGGACGCCGGCGCGATAAAGTACTTCGAGGTTGTTCTTTCGTGCTAGAAAGAACCATGCATACCTCAAGCAATTGTCCAGTACGGTAGCTTCTCCATATGTTGGTCTCAATGTGGGGCTGTCTGCGTCCGATGCTAGTCCCAGGAGCGCAAAGAGGTGGTCGCGCAGGTCCGTTGCGCGTGAAGCTTGGAAATGGTAGATGGTGTGCATCAGCTGATACCTCCGCCCTGTCGTGGTGAAAGCGTTTCGAAAATTGGCCACGGCATGGAATTGGGCCAGACCCTGCTGCAGCTGTGTTTGCAAGTCGACCTTGGAGTAGTTCGTGTGGTCGAGAACCGCCAGGCCCTTCCCGTAGATTGCAGCATTGACCACATTCATGAAATCCCACTCGACTTCCCATACTCCACAGTGGAAGGTGGTGCTGGGAGGCAAGACACACTCTTGAATCGTCCACTTGCGCACAAACCACGGCCGGCAGAAGAAATCTTTCAGTGGTTCCCAGCCCCACGGTTCGGTGACTAGGGGGATGCGATTATGAATTTGCCATTCCAGAGGACGAAGCTCCAGATCTGCCGGAGTTTCTCGGACTGCTCTGTAGATGCGGTCCATTAGCTCCGTGGCAGAGGCAGTTGTCTCATCGGGCTCGCCGAGATAGATCAATACTCGTCGCGTGAGCGTGTAGATGTTACGCATGAGCATGATCTGATCCGCCTTCTCTTGGTCGTCTGTCTGGTCGATACACACGGCGTCAATCCACAGCCTCCGTGTCTCGGTCAGGGAACGAAACCGTCGAAGCATTCCCAAAAGGCTGCTTGTGATCGGTAAAGCGTAAGATTTGTCTTGCTTGCGAAGTAGAATCTGATGAGGCGTGTCCGTAGGACCAACACAGTACGACGTGGCGTCGTAGCGACATTCTGAGTCGAGTATTGCTGATTCTAGTGTTCCAACCAACGGCTCATTAACGGCCCCAGGTTCTAGACTCAAGATTCTGATCCACGTCTTGGGGTCTTCCAGCTTATCCCACTTGTAAGCCTCCATCGGCAGTGAGTTCACATACCACTTTGTTCGCCCAAGAAAGATCCTTAGAATGCACGCTATTAGGGGGCAATCCGCCAGAAGCATGCCGAGTTCCAGATCTGGGGTATAACTAGTGAAGTGTGGTTATTGTTGCCTCGTTATACTGTATTTGGGCAGGTCATGATCGGTTCCATCGCGCTGACTGTGCCCTCTTAATCTGATCAATGATACTGAAGTCATCACTTTCAGCCGAAATGTGTAGTATAGAGAGGTGGCGGGGAAGCTAGGAACCCCTGCTCCCCCCATTTGGACCATGGAACTATTGGCTCTCATTCTACTGTACCATCGGCATCTTCCACTGCTCAGGCCGAATAACACCTCCTGTCAGTTCGAGGTAAACCATGAAAGTTTTGACCCCAAGAGGGCGTCCAAAGGAGACCGTGTAAAATTGAGGAGGATGTTCAACGCAGCTCGAAAATAAAGTGACATTGTTTCAACCACTACTATGGGAAAGTAATTCCATATCGTTCCTGCGTCTTGAGGCACTTTGAATATTGCTCCCACCATCGTGTAAGTTTCACACGCGGGTTTGACCTCCCGGTTGCATCACCGCGTCATCTCCACCTACTTAGTCTTGCTGTGCAGGTCGCTATCCAAGTAAAGTATAGCTGGTGTGGCCATTCGAACATGCTTTCGCCTCACACAATTATCCTCAACTTTGGTAAGTCAAAAGAGTCAAGCACCGCTTGAGTGCGGAGGAACGCATCTCGGTTCTGATTGAAATATGGCCATTGGACCTCAAAAGGGTCCTCGTACTTCTTCCACGGGAACGCGCTTACCCCCGCGGCTAGGAGAAACTGGACATTTCCAGCTCTGAGTCGTTGCAGAGCTTTCCACAGTGCTCTTCGAGCAAGCGGTGGTACTGGATCGTCCGGATCCCCAAACGGTTGAAAAACGAAGCTCCCGTCTCTACGGATAAACTCGGTCATGACTGCTTCGGCGTTGTCTGCCCAAGTGAGTTACTCGAAGTAGCGCGCCGACCGAGATATCTGGACCCGCTGGTAGAGTTCTCGATAGCATTCTATCTGGATGAATGACAGAGCCTGTTCCGTCGCCACGTTCAATGATTGTGGATTCTGATCTTCAAGAACTCCACGATCGAGCAGGAAGCGCAAGGTCTCAACATTGCTGCAGCGGATAGTGAAACGGATATATGTGGGAATTAGACCGCGAGCGTCGTAGATGCGATTACTGAAGAGCGAGTCCGTTTTCGAGAACTCTTCCAAGAGCGCTGTGTCGCCTACTGCACATGCGTGCGTGATCAGCCAAGTCCGTGCTTCTGCAGAGAGTGGGCTGAAATGCCGTGTCAACAACCTGATAGTCTCGGCACCGCCACTAGACCGAGTGAGAACGGTGCGGCAACGACTCAAGGCATCTTTTAGCAAGTCGGGTGAATTCGGCGTATACGCAAGGAGAGCTTTCAGGACTTCTGGGTTGTTGGAAAAGATGGCTGCTTGCAGAGATGCATAGCTGGTGTGTATCTTTGATACTAGCTTTGGATGTTGTTCAAGCAACCGACGGACAATTCCGAGTCTGGCATGCTTTATCGCCACGTTCAACAAAGCGAGAAGCTGTGATGCAAGGACGTGATCCGGAGGGCTGAAGGCGGAGGAGCTCGCATCAAGTAGGGTCAGTTTGCTTCTGTATGTCTCAAACAGTTGGAGGTCTCCAAGCACGCCATGCACTCAGAGCCACCCAGAACGCGGGAGGTTCGGCTCGGTAGTGATCTGTAAGATAGAGATTCCATTTGCTTTGGACCAGCACTGATAAAAATTGTGGTCCTAGGTAAGAATCAACAGCCTCGGACAGAATCGCGCTGGGAACATCATTGAAGATCGGATTGTCACTGCAGGTCGAGTAGAACCGGACTTGGTCTACATCGAGCCGCGCAAGGTTCTCTACTCCTCGCAATACCGTAAGTGCCGCTTTCCACTGCTGTAGGAGCTGATGAGCGAATATGGCGTCAGCAGCTAGGTCTCGACTTGCGAGCAAGCTCTGGAAGTTGAAGCGCGCCGCGTAGATTCGTTTCCACTGGGAAGCCACCAATCGTCGGCAGAAATGATTGTGACATGGATTAACGCAATCGAGTGAGTGGCCTCCAGCAGATACCACAAGTCTTTCCCGCAAGTAGTAAACATGGAGCACCGCTTCATTGAACTGCCCTATATTCAGGCAAGTTGGTTTAGTGCGAGCCAAGCAGAGATTCCCGTTGTACTTACGATTGACCAGTCTTAACGATAACTGCCAGCCTTTGAATTGTGTGCAATCTACGACCACGGAAATTATATCATGTAAGACATGCTCGGGCAATTCGTGGAATGTGCGCATTTTGGCAGAAGAACGGTGTGAAGAAATTCCACGGTCTCAAGGAGGAGGAGAAGGAGCAATAAGTCATCCTTGCCATTGCAGTGTAGGATTGGGATGCAGTTGGTGTTTCATTACACGCCTACTGCGAGCGCTTGCCCTCACAATATCGTTCCTCTCCCGGCGCTGTCTCGCGGTACGACGGGCGCCGTATTCGACGTGTCCTTTTCCAGGGAAGCGCCTGAAATGTAGGGGCACGCAGTTTCTACCATCGGCCATGATCGAATGCCCATGAGCTCCGGGGATGGTGGTGGTGGTGGTGGTGGTCGCATGTCCCTGGCTGAGTTCGCCAAGCATCCTCATCGACGGCATCTAATCTTATCTCATCTGTTCCTGATCGCGGAGTACGTGACCGATTTTTGAGATCCCAACCATGTCACCAAATGCTGCGTTGCGCTCGCTATTCCAGCGACATGGCTTGAGGAGTTGCCGTTCCTCTCCTGGCAACAATGCCTTCAGCAGATCCAATCCCCGTCTCCGCCATGCCTCTCGTCTCTCCCAACGCACTTCTTTACGCCCACCTCAAACAGACCCCTCCACGCCGACGCTCAAACCGCGACCCCTCCGAACCGCGACCAATTCAGCTGAATGTAGGCTCACTAACGCACTGCAACGGCTCATCGCTGGTGAAGGTCGGTGCTACGACCATTGTCTGTGGCGTCCGTGCGGAGATTCTTCCCGTCAGTGAGATTCCCAGCTTTAGGGTCACGAAATCGTCAGATCAAAACCGAAGAAAACCTGTGCGGCGGATCGATGGCGGCGAGAGCAGTGACGACGAAGATGGATACTCTCCGATCCAACTTTACAACCTACTCGTTCCAAACATTGAGCTAGCGACTGGCTGCTCGCCCAAACATCCCGCAGGAACAGCCCCTTCAGTGGAGGCACAGTCAATATCCCAACGCCTTCTGTCGCTCCTTCACACGTCACGGCTGGTTAAGACCTCAGACCTCGAAATCATCTACACACCACCAAAGGAGTCACAAGATCTTGAGCTGGGCATCAATGCAGACCCGGAGATCAAAGCATACTGGACATTGTACATCGACATGATGTGCATCAGTCACGGAGGGTCAATCTTCGACGCTGCATGGCTTGCTCTTTTCGCCGCACTTAGGGACTGTTTGCTGCCACAGGCTTGGTGGGATATCGATTCAGAACAGGTTCTTTGCTCTGCAGCTACAGAGGACGCGGGGAAACTGGAGCTGCGAGGGATGCCCGTGCCTAGCAGCTGGGGCGTCTTTGTGCCTGAAGAGAGATCATTGGACATGCAGAACGGAGATCCTGAGCGGTTTTGGATCCTCATGGACACCGACGCATTTGAAGAGGAATCCTGCAAGGAGAGTGGCTGCATCACGGTGGATTGCAGTAACAATGCGGACTCGATCCTCAGAATCGAGAAGAGCGGCGGCCCTGTCATTGAGATCGAACAGCTTGAGCAGATTGCTGGATTCGCTAAGCGAAGGTGGCAGCAATGGAGAGATGTGCTGCAAACAGCCACCGGCCCATGAGAGAGCCCCTCCAACCAAACTTGACCAGTACGCCTGGAACAGCTTCTCTGGGCGTGTGCCCATTTTGACCACGGGCATCGAGACGAGTAATCCGGGCATCCAGGTCTCAACAATACTGCGAGCCGAGCGAAATTAAATGTTTGTAGCACATCTTGAAACCCGCGACGGACAATCGCACGATGTCCCGCCTTGCCGGTCTCCGAAAACCTCAACCTGTCAAGCGTTCTTTTCGGAGTCTCACACCACAACCTCGTGGCGCATGACGAGAACAAAGTCTCCAGGGAAAGTAAGATGAACCGCATACCAGTACGCCAACGACCCAGCCGTGCCGGGAAGCTTCAAGAGACACTACCAGGGTGGGCCATTCCTGCCGCCCCATCACTGCCATGCCGCGACGATCTGGCTGCTGAAGCGGCAGGCATCTTCAAGGTCGATCCTTGTACACGTTCGCAGGCTTCAAGTTCGCAAAGGAACGTGGTTTGAATATAAAAAAGTGCCACACACCCGCTATCTCGATCCTCTTTTGGATTGATGCTCTGAGATCGGAGACTTATCCTGCAGCGATCCATTCTTCTTCTGTGTGAGCAAATCAAGAACCCGACCGGCTCTTGGATCACAGGCATGATTACCAAGGCTTCGAGAAACACCAGCGGAAGTCAGAGCTGGATTACTACGGCTCGTACATTTCCGAGATTGACTGGTATCTTCGGTATGATAGAAATCTCTCGATCGTGCGACTGAGCGCTTCACCGCAATAGGCCTGTACTAATTTCTTCGCTCGTCCACTTGGTGGCCGATCATCACTCTACAAACGAGGGCCCTCAACATGTGCCATTTCTAGTTCATACACACGGAGACGACCGGTGCCGCGAAGACAATCCACCTAGCATTAGCGACGCAGGGTACTGTTTCGACCATTCAGTGGACCAAGAGCATCTCTCCGGTATCATGACGCAAAGCCATATACCCTTCAATATTGCACGCATTCGAAAGAAGTCTATGCAGGAAGTTTGGGAATTCACAACGAGGTTGTGGACTTTGCGGTAAAAGAGAAGGAGAACCGAACGTTGTACCACCGTTCCCTGCGCCAGGATGGAGCGGCATAGACAGATGGCAGGGGGTTGCATACTCCGTATGTAAGTCGACTATGCTCCGCACGCGTCCAACGTCGGCGTCTGCATGTATCCATGTATGCCGCGCCTCGGTCGGTGAGTACTGTACTTTGGGCTCGTACTGAAGGACTGCATGTACTGTGTATACGTTGGGCTGCGCGTTCTCCTCTCTCTACAATTTACTTTCCCTCCGCGTGGACCGTAGTCACGATTCTATTGCGCTGGTCATGCCCTGTTCCCGCCCTTTGTTTTAAATCTCGTTCTAGACTTTTTACTTTCATGTTAGCATTTCAAGCTACGGAGGGCTACTCCGCAAACAGGATCTGATTGCATCGTAGTGTACCGTAATTATTGTGCTGTACAATTCCCACGATTCTCGTCTCTATGACCTCGAGTCCACCCAAATTTTTTGCGTCCCACGGTCTATATCTAAATCATCCACCCAAAGACTCCGCCGGACGCAAGGGCCACAATGATGCTAACCTGCTACAACTCGCCGTGCTTGACACTGCCCTCGCCAGCAGCCAGATCCGGCATGCGCATAATCACAACCACCAAACTCGTCCAGCCCGTGAAATGCTGCGTGCGCTGCCCCTCGCCCGTCTCGGGATTATATTGCTCCCACGCGAACCCCGTCCTCTGCCACTCGTCAAACACGGTATTCACGAGATTTTTGCGCAAGTCCGTGTACAGCGTCGTGGCCTGGGCCTGGACCTTCGCGGGCGCGTTCGCGGCCGTCGCCGTGTCGAGCAGGGCCTTGAGGATCAAGTAGTTCATGTTGACCCAGATGGGGCTGCGCCAGTAGTTCTCGTCCGTGGCGTAAAACTCGGACGACTTGGACAGCGAGCGGATCCCATGCGGGGACCAGAGTTCTTGGGCGTTGCCGAGCAATGCCAGAATGTCCGGCAGGTGTCTGTGGTCTGGCGGCATGAGGCCCGTCATGAAGGGGAAGATGGAGATGTAGCCCTTTTGGCACACGTGGATGGAGTCTTCGTAGTCGTCGATCGTGGCGTCGCAGTAGCATTTGTGCGCGCGGGACCAGTGCAGGTCGTCGATGTTGCGGAGCTGGGCTTTGTGCTGGGTCGTAAAGTCCGGGATGTCGTCCGCCTCGTCGAGCAGGGTGGATAGGCGGAGCAGCGTGCGCGACATCATGCCCACCCAGGAGATGAGGTCCGTGTGCAGTTCGCCTGGATGGGGCGGTTGAGGGCGCGGGTAGTCGTCCAGGCCCGAGGTGAGGATGTGTTGGGGCGTGCGGCCGCGCCAGCGGTAGGCTTCTTTCGTGGAGAAGGCTTCGCGGTCGTACGACTTGATGTCGCCGTGTTGGGTGCGTCGGAACCAGTAGTACTGGCGTTTGAGCAGGGGGTAGAGGTGTTGCAGTTCGGACATGATCCGGTCTCTGGACGACGCGTATGCGGGGTCGGAGCATTTGTCCATCAGAGTATCAATGATGAGGAAGAGCGTTGGTGGGTTGGCGTAGTGAGGATACTGAACTTGGAACTCTGTGGGCACTTTGCTGCGCGCTTCGGCACCGAGGATCTGCTCGCGGGCGATCCAGCCGTCCTGGTCCATCAGATTGAACCACGACTTGACAATATCCATGGTGACATCGAGGTCCCACTCTGCAATGGGTATCAGGTGGAAGCCTTCATCCCACAAGAAGCCGCGCGGGAAGAAGGGTCTGGACGGGACGCTGGTGAAGAGCTCTGCGGGAGGATCCTTGACGATCTCGGCACGAGCCCTTGCCGCCGCCGTCTCTTCCCAGAAGCCTTCGTTGTCCTCGTCGTACTCCGGAGCATACGACCTGTCGACGAGTGAATCGCCATAGAAGTATCCGATCCCGCCAATTAAGTTCGAGAACATGGATTCCGAGAAGTCGGTGTAGACCGATTTGGTGAATGGGGCGAGGGGCTTAAAGACTTCCTTGAACTTCGTCTTGAAGCTCTTTGACGAGTCTGCAATCGCTTGCGTCAGTGTCTCGGAGGTCACTGGTGGGCCCGATGCAGAATTAAACATGATGTCCGTCTCAAAGCCGCCAACAAAGGTCCTCTGAACCATGTGGAAGTTCCCGGGCTGGGGATCGTGCTTGACGGTAAAAGCCTGCCAAGGAGGGGGCATATTCTCCTGTCCATATTGCTGTACTAGGCCCTCGATCTCGCCTTTCATGCTTGCAAAGATGATGTTCTTGGCCTGCCAGATGGCCTCGGACGGCACTTGTAAGCTGCTGAGGACCGGCTTGTCAAGTGGCTTCAAATCCCACGATGGGTGTGTCTTGTATGGCAAGAGATTCTCCAAGGGGTCGCCAAAGTAGATGTCAAACGACCCTAAGTCGGCTGTCTCGCCATGTAGGGTTACTGTGTCGCGTGCTTCGTCCGTGTCTTTGAAGCCCAGCTCACCGAGTCCTTCCATGCCAGCATAGAATACCAAGGTGGTGACCACATTGTCTGGCGCATCTTCTCGCGGCGTGCCCTTTATTCTTGCAGCCCAGCTTCCGCCGTGTTGTCCTCCTGGCACTTTGACGAAGTCAATGGTCAGATCGATCTTGTTCCCCGTGTCATGAATGACTTGTCGTCCGCCATTTCGCGCATCATACTCTTCCCAACCATATCCCGCCATGCCCTCATGTTGCTCGCAAGTATGACGGAAATTCTGCTGGGTAGAGGCATAGCTGTCGGTATTGGCCCACAGCAGGCCCGTCAGCAAACTGTTCGGGAGCCGCGGCCGGACGCCAAAGTAGAGATTCGGTCGGTAAGGACCCCATAATAACGTGTCGTTGGAGGCGTGGGTTGGGGAGGGGTTGAACAGAAGAAGAGTCGCAATGCAGAGCAGGAGGCTCCGCAGAACCACGACACCCCTCGGACTGCTCAACATCCTGTCTTACTGCGACTCCCAGAGTCGCACATCAGCTCGCCGCCAGGCGTTGTTTTGAGACACAATGGTTGGAGGACATGTGGCCTAGAGGGAGTGGCGTGAGCGAAGTTGTACTTCACCCTACATACCTGTGTAAGAGCACGGCGGGGCATTCGCGGCGCAACCGACGACGACGGTGGACCACGATGAACCACGATGAGCACTTGGGCATGAGAAAGACGTTATGCACAAGGGGTAGATGCAGTGTTGTAATAGCGCACGGCAAGTCATAAACATGGGTATCATTCGTTGCACAAAACAGTATAAAAAAAAGAAAGGACAACCACCAACTCTCATCTCCCCTTGGCCATCTTCAGGCGCAGAAAGCCCGCCAAGTCCACGGCCTTCACCTCGTCTTCTGAGCGGGAAGGGCCCCGGACCTTCAACGTCCTCTCCCCGAGGGCCCCTCCCCTTACGATCACCAGCCAGTATCCCCCGGCATTTTGGCTGCCGTAAGCCCTTTCCAACTCCTCCACAGATCGAACCTCCTCCGACAGCTCGGCACCGAGGCCGCCGCCCCACAACAACGACAACACCTCCAGGCACGAACTCTTCAATGCGTTGGGGTCGAAGCTGGTGACCAGGATCTCGCTCCTCCTGGTCGCGAGCTTCGACTCCGCGGCGGAGCCCGTCGTCTTGGACGACTTATGAGCCGAGGAGGGGCCACGAAGGTAGCTGATGAGGTCGAGTATGTTGAGGCGGAAGCCCGCCGCACGAACACTGCCTCTATCTGATTTGGTCTGATACTCCTGGACCAAGGCGTCATAACGACCGCCTACGGCCAGCACCTTTCTCGTGCCGCTCTCCGCGCATTGGAAGAGGAGCGAACCCCGGTAAAGATACTCGGAGTTGTTGCTGAGTGGCGCGATGAGGATCTGCGCCTGTACCCCCATCCGCTGGAGGTACTCGGCGACCTCATCGAGGCGCCCGAGCAGTGGCAACGCCTTGCTGAGGTAGTCGGAGTTCCCAAAGAGCTTCGACAGCTTGGAGCGCACCTGTTTGAGGTCGCCTTCGAAATTAAATCGCTTCAAATCTGCCACAGTGGTCTCCGGCACGTTGTTGGCAGGGTTGCGTAGTTCTTCACGCGTCTTGGACCAGGCGTGTCCCTGGGTGTTGAGGTGCGACAGTGCTTGCTTCACGTTGGCGGCTTCCAAGGGCTTGACCCGGCAGAAGGTGAGGATCAGATCCAACAAATCAGCATGATTGAGGAGGACCGTCCACTTGTGTGTTGCGAGAGCTGGAAATCCTGTCAAAACTTCATCGAGCACTTTGATCACTTCTGCTTCTTTCAAAGCCAGGTCCTTTGCGCTTTCAGAAATGAAATCAAAATCGACTTCGGGGAATTGTTTGGGCTGCGATCCTGCAACGGTGGCACGATATACAGTCCCGAAGCAATATGTCTTGCCATAGGAAGGGCTCGTTTGTCCTAGGGTACGTGCTAACGGCAGCGTGAGGTCGTAGGGTAGCTGTAAGACCAGCCCGGAGGAGTCAAGGAAGGTTGCAGCGTTACGGTAGAAGTCAGCTTTGGGTATGATAGCCTGGCGACCTACTTCAGCTGCACCGTGTCGGCGGAAAATCGCTTTGAGGTGATCGCAAGTGGACATCCACAGCATCAATTCGGCAGAAGGATTTGCGGTCCCCGACTTATCTTCCCAGGCGAGACTTGAAACAGGGTTATTGGGATTGGCAAACAGTCTGCTGATAAGCGCTTGATATTCCTTAGGGTTGTCTGTCGCCATCCGCTCAATGTAGCGTTGGAACTTTTCGTCTTCAAGGGGCTCCGGTACTACGCCGCTCTTGAGCAGTACATCAGCTGTCGGTCTCCGCGTCTGGTCAGGGTCGATAAGTTGTAAGATGATGGCTCCTTGTTGTTGCAAGCGCTCTTCATTGAACACTTCTGGAAGCTCTGGTGGGCTGGATTGCAACGCCTCCATAAGCCAATGCCGTCTCTCGCTACCAGTGGCCAGAGCAAAACACATCTCAAAGAATGTGACCCCAAGAGAGTACATGTCTGCTCGAGAATCATAGCTGCTGTTCGCCTTCGCAAGCTCCGGTGCCATATATCCCAATGTACCAATCTCATAAGATGCTCTGGTTGTGGTCATGGCAGGTTTCTGGTGACCCTCCCGCGAGGTAGCTTGTCCGTAGCCAGCGAGTCCAAAGTCGCCAATTTTGGGTATGTCGTGCGCGTCAAGGAAGATATTCTCCGGTTTGAGATCTCTATGCACGACTCCGTTACTGTGAATGTATGCAAGTCCTTCGAGAATGCGCCGGAATAATCGCCAGCCAGCTTCAACATCTTTAGGCAAACCAGCCATGATCCGAGTGCGGAGCGTTTGGCCTTCGCAGAGTTCCATCTGAATGTAGAGCATGGAGCGCTCGTTCCGTTGTATCAGACGCGATTTATCAGGAATGAAAGAGACAGACTTGACTGGTGAATCCTGGCTGACGAAAGGATTGTCGTCGCTGTCGAGCTCCTGCCCTGGTGCGTTGCTGCGCTCGAATGGGTCTGTTCCTTCTTCGGTTTCCTCCCTCTGTGGCTCAGGATCGCTCTCAAATGGATCTTCATCATCATCGTACCCGTCCTGCTCATTGATCGAAGGCGGATCCTGGTAGGCGAACATACCCCCACCATCATCGGAGTCGCTAAATTCTGCTCCCTGATTGGCATAAACGGAAGGCTCCATAAAATCGTGTCCTACACTAACGGGGCCGGTGTGAGCGAGGGATCTGTGAATCGGTCGTTGAGGGACTTCCTCGACTAGGTCGTCGTGCTCACTCTCGTACCACGCATTGTAGTATCTCACAATATTAGGGTGATTGAGTTTCGCCAGCAGTGCCACTTCTCGAAGAATGTCTTCGAGGTCCTTGACTGACTTGTTCTTGATCTGCTTGATGGCGTAAAACTGGCCATCCAGCTTGTTTCGGGCCATGACCACTTTGCCATAGCCTCCTTTGCCAAGCACAGCGGCCTCTTCCCAGTCCTTGCGATATCTAGAATCATCGAGTTTATCGCTGGACCGCCTCAAACGGCCGGGCGTAAGCGGCAGGACTTGAGAGCGAGCCCGGAAGAGCTTGTCATCTTCTTCGAAGAAGAACTTTTTGCTTCTAAGTTGAAAAGCCGAGGGGCGGCGATTGGCATTTGATCGGAACATCTCTTCTAGGAGCCCCTCAAAACTGGTGGTCAAGTCCACTTCCTCGAGAGCGTCCATAGGCGAGGTGAACTTGGACTTGACGGTCTTTCCTAGAGCCATCTGCATCACAATGACACCCAGCTCCCAGATACATGTCTTGCTGGTTCGTACTGGCTCTGTGAAGTTGAGCTCGGGCGCCAGCCACAGAGGAGTATCATCCGTCTTGTTCTGAGACTTCTCGCGAGCTGCTCGCACCAGGTCTCGAAGCTGCGTCCCGTATCCGTCGGAGAGCTTGACTGTAACTCCGCGTCTCGGGGACAGGAAGAGCATAACATTGCCTGCGTGTACAGCTGGATGGATGTATCCATGCTTGTCGAAGAACACGAGTGCATCGATGAGCTCTCTTGTCCAAGCACGGAGCTTAGCTGGACTGAGTTGTCCAGAGAGCTCCAGTAATTGATCGAGCGAGCCTTTGTCAGCGTATTCAGAAAGGATGGAAAGAGACCATCGGCCTGCTCCATCATCCAAAACCATGTGGTCAATCTTGTAGTTGATCAGGTTGACAACATTGTCATCGTGGTTATTCTTGGAAAACTCGAGGTCTATTTCCACAGTCTCCATGCACTTCTGCATATGGAGTTTCGACGCGGCGGTTTCGGGAAGATAAATATCTTTGAGGAGGAGTTGTGGAGCTTGAACCCGTGTCGCATCCACCCGTGGGGATACGATGGTGATCTTCTTGTCCTTGCGATTGAAAATGACATTCCTTCCTGATACCGTCTTGAATCTGAAGGGCGCACCGGTGGCCGTGTCTCTGCTGGTCATGGTTTGATCGAAGCGGATGACATCTTCTGGTGCATCGTGGAATTCTGGGCCATCTTCGCTGGTGGTCGACCGGGACAGATTCGTTTTCTGGCGACGCTGATATTCGCTTTCGACCTTCGAAAAGAGCTGCTGCTCGTTCTGATCCGCTTCTTCTTCCTGTTTGCGACGGGCACTTTCTTCTTTCTCCAGTAGTTGCTTCTGGGCTAGCGCTTCTCGGCGAGCACGCTCTTCTTCGAGGCTGAACTCAGCCTTCTTGGCGTTTTTGTCTGCGCTCTTCTGGTCAAGAAAGTCCATGATGGCGGTGTTAACTTCGTAGACGACCTCACTTCCCTGGTATTGTTTGGGATAGGTTGCAACGATGTGTTCTACACGTTTTCTGATTTCAGCGTCTTTTGGCTGAATCTCGACAATGTCGATTTTTGGGAGAACCTTCGGATAGTTGGACGGGAATTCGAAGATGAGCTTGGCGAAGTAGTTACGATCTTCAAGTGGTCCAACACGGACTTGAAAAGCTAAGTTCTCTTGAGTCTGTGCTGTGTCAGAAGATGTGTTTGTCGACTGTGGCAGCGTCAATTCCTCACCTTCCAGGCATCCTTCCTCCCGCGAATACGCTCAAACTCGTCAGGATAAATGGCCCTCGTAGTCAGAAACTCGTTGCGTTGAACTTCTGGGTAGCCGGCAATTTCCTCCTCCAAATTGCGGTGGGATTGTCCAAAAGAAGGCGGAGCTTCGAGAAAGGGTGCCGGCAGAGGTGATAAGGGTTGAGTGTGCGGTTGAGGATTTTTTGTCTTCTTTTTGGCCGGCATGATGAGAGACTCCCTTCAGGTCCCTACCGAGACCTGGACACCCACGCTGTGCTCTGTGATTCTGCCGTAAAGTCTTGGCGCGTGACGCCTTTGGAGCGTCTGCCCAGGTAGCCGCAGCGATGCTGCAACCACCTAATTCATTGAATTCGGGCTCATCGTTTTCGTTGTCGAGTTCTTGTCGTGGTTGTTGTGAGAAAGGAACATTAAGAGGTGACGCGACTCACCCAAAGGACAAAGAGTCAATCGCCGGCGAGGCTGAGGTTGCCAAGGTCCTCCGGAACGGATTAACTATCATGCGAGCCCGCGGATTTCAACCTTGATGTGGCTGGATGCCACTAATCTATCGCTCGACAAAGAGGGTTGATCCTCCCGGTCGTGGAAAGGTCGCAGAGAGGATCTCTCCGTTCACATCATATCTGTACATCAAGTCCAGAGGAGGTTGCTGGACGACTCGTCCAGACCCGGCCTTGAAGATGGTGAATATCACGGAGAAGATCAAAGAGTAAGACACTTTATCATGCCCAAGCCATCTATCAGACGACTGACCAACTGTCTAGGATCGAGGCCGAAATGGCCCGGACTCAAAGTGTGTCCTGCGGCTTATCGTCAAAGGAGCAGTCCGTGCTAACAATCCGCAGAGAACAAAGCTACAGGTTCGTGCTGAAGGCTCGAATACGCTGCACAGATTCTGACGAACCGATGTGTAGAGTACCACCTTGGGTTGCTGAAAGGGTGAGTTTTGAATCTCTACTCCCTAGCGTCATCAAGAAACAAAGGGCAAGGAAGACGTTGTCGTGAGGACAGAGGCCAGTCACCATGCATCTGCTCCATGGTATTGCATGTGGTGAGATGTGTGCGACACCAGGAGCGGCTGGGATAGTGTCCACCTTGCCGGACAGCAGGGGTCTATAGACCCAGCGCAGCTCTGGGAGAAATCATAGTGGCCACGCTAGTTGTTTCGGCGATTCCCCTGCACGTTCCAAGAGACTGCGCATGTCCCGTTGCCTCAGTCCGTATGGTTCTGCGCTCTTGGCGATCTTACAGCTGACAAAACTATATAGTAAACTTGCACGGCTACGCGCGCAACTCCTCGAGCCAGGCCCCGGTGCCGGTTCAGGCGGCGGGGCAGGCTTCGACGTCTCCAAATCCGGAGACGCCCGTATCGCCCTGGTCGGCTTTCCTTCAGTCGGCAAATCGACCTTTCTCTCGAAGATCACCAAGACCAAGTCGGAAGTGGCAGCATACTCGTTCACCACTCTCACAGCCATCCCTGGTGTGCTTGAATACGGCGGCGCAGAGATTCAGATCCTCGACTTGCCGGGTATCATCGAAGGTGCCTCCGAGGGTAAAGGGCGAGGACGACAGGTCATCAGTGCGGCGAAGGTACGTGTCTTCGCTTTGTACCGTGCAGTCCGTTGGACTATCTCCGGAGACCGCCTGGATATCCCATTCACTTGCTCTGAGCCGCCACCAACGATTATCTTCCACCTTCCCCGGCCACGAGCATGCACGCCGTACAACATTAGTGGAGATGCGCACGGCCAGCAACCAGAGCACTCCAGCCAATTCCTGACTCGACGAAATGACTCCCCTTCCACCACAATGGATGTATATTTCAATTCCACCACTGATTCACTGACTCTTTTAGACCTCCGACCTGATCCTCATGGTCCTGGACGCGACGAAGCGCGCGGAACAACGCGCCCTGCTCGAGGCCGAACTCGAAGCCGTCGGCATCCGCCTCAACCGCGACCCACCAAACATCTACCTCAAGGCCAAAAAAGCGGGCGGCATGAAAATCACGTTCCAGTCGCCTCCCAAAAACCTCGACGAGAAAATGGTCTACAACATCCTGCGCGACTACAAGATGCTGAACTGCGAGGTGCTGGTGCGCGACGAGAACGCGACGGTCGACGACTTTATCGACGTCATCATGAAGGACCACCGCAAGTACATCCGCTGCCTGTACGTGTACAACAAGATCGACAGCGTGAGCGTGGACTACCTGGACGAGTTGGCGCGGGAGCCGCACACGGTCGTCATGTCGTGCGAGCTGGACCTGGGCGTGCAGGACGTGGTGGAGCGGTGTTGGCAGGAGTTGCGCCTCATGCGGATCTATACGAAGAGGCAAGGCGTGGACCCGGACTTTGGTGAGGCGCTGATCGTCAGGAGTAATAGCTCGATTGAGGATGTGTGTGATCAGATCCATCGCACGCTCAAGGAGACGTTCAAGTATGCGTTGGTGTGGGGGGCCAGTGCGAAGCACATTCCCCAGAGGACGGGCTTGGGGCATGTCGTTGCGGACGAGGATGTCGTGCAGATTGTGAGCGCGTGGAAGGCTTGATCTACCGGCCGTGTTGTCTAGTCTACTCTAGCGAGCTGCGGAAGTGCAGACTCCTCGGGTACTGCCTGGGACATGTGCGTGGCATGGGAGGGGCAAAGTACGAGGCTCGTAGGTGATCGTCAGTATGCTTTATTGACATGACCAACGCAATGAAAGACTGCCGTGGTATTCACCGCAACACCCTCCTTGGATCCAAGCTTCCCACATCCGCACTCCCCGCCCTCCCATCAAACACAAACTCACTCATCAGTTTACCAGTTGCCGGCCCATTCTGAATGCCCCAGCACGTATGCCCCGCCGCGATGAAAACCCCCTTGGTGTTCGTCCTGCCCACAAGCGGCCCACTCCCCCTCTCCACCTGCGGCAGGTAACACGCCTGCCTGACCAGCACGTGTCCGTCGCGCATCTCGTCCGAAAAACTGGCGCAATAGTCCACAATGTCCTGGCACCGCGAGTCGTCGACCTCGACGTCGGCAGTCGACCGAGGGAGTGGGACGAGGTGATCGCCCTCGCCGCACGCGTAGAGCTCGTCGTTCGGCCGAGCGTAGATTTCGGGCGTGACGTGGCTGGCTCGGCTTTTGCCGTGGGGCTTGAACTTCTTGGGCAGCAACAGCGACGTGAAGAGGCAGTACGCCGACACGGGCCGCGAGGGTCGGATCGTCACGCTATGTGCCCTTAGCGCTGAGATGGGTGTGCCTGGCCAGACGGTGCGTGTCCACGGGCCGGCCGTGATGATCACGTCTGTGGCGTGTAGAGATTGCGCTTGCGGTTCCCCTGCGTTGTCGGCACCGTTACCTGCACCGGTAGCGCCACGAGTATAGTGCACCACGTGCCCTGAGTCTGAGTGGGCTGGTTCGATGGTATCGACACTGACTCCGACAACGATACGTGCACCCCTTTCCTCCGCCAGCGCTGCCATTGATGTCGTGAACTGATAGGGATGGACTTGCGCGGTATCCCTTGGCGAGCCCATACTCTCGTACGCGAGGGCGCATTCGTCGGCCACCCAGTCCAGGTCGTCTGGGAGGCCGGCCTTGCGCAGGTTGGCGTACGAGGCTTGGCTCCTCTTCTGGAGACTCACGCGTGAGGGGTCCGACTCTGGATTCACGTTCCCGTCGCTGGCTACGTCGGCGCGATGAATGCCGCGGATGTCGTCCCCCTTGCCGTCGACCTGGCTGGTGGGATCACTGGAATGGGCCTCACCATCCACGACACCCCTTTGGGCGATCACGTTCTCGTGGCCAGTGAGTTGCCGGCCCTTCAATTCGATCTGACCCACCCCTACGCCTCTGTAGCCCCATCTACGCGCCCCGTCGTGCTCCTTCGCAAGGTCTGCATGGAGTTTGAAACTGAGCGGCACAAGAGATTGGGGGTATGCCCACAGCGCTAATAACCCGCCGGCTTTGCCTGAAGCGCCGCTGGCAATACCGGTGGCCTCGAGGAGGTGGATGCTGTGCAGGTCAGGATTGTATTTTGGGTGGCGGGTCAGGAAGTATGCGGTCGTGCAGCCGATGATGCCACCGCCGACAATGACGATGTTTTTGCGCTCAGAGTCGGCCATGTTGATAAGCTTCGATGAATGCCGTGCTTGGAGCACACTTAGGAGGTTTGCACGGATGAGCATTCGTGGTACTCCATAGCGTGCTCTATACTTCAGCAATCAGTGATTGTCGTCGCTTTCTCAGAGGCGACACAGTCACCCCACAGTCAACTCTACAGCGATGACCTCATACGTGCTGAGAGTCCGACCAACCACAAGGCTGGAAAACAAGACCAGCGACAAGGAGAACACGCTGCCCATGGACTTCTTTATTGCTGTCACGAGGCGCAACGAGTCGGATATATGTACCGCTGCTGCCCAGCCCATGTCGTTGCATGTATCGCTCGTATCTTCAACTTTGTGGTTCACAAAAGCCTCGAATCTACAAGACCTCACCAGCGATTCGCAGATTGCAAACAGACATGATCAAAGCCAGGCTGTCGATCGGCCTTATCCCCAAATAATCTGAATAAGTCCGTGTCTGCAAGTTTTCTAGATAAGGGACTACCCGAGTCCACTGATAAGGACACCCAATGTCAGGCTCGACTCTGGCTGGGACCTGCAGATTGGTCATGGGATATTCCGTAACTCAACGCCGTGCGTACTCAACAGCATTGAGGGCCGTAGCGCCTCAAGGTGATCTCTGTGGCAGCTCAAGAATGTATGATTCCTGGACGAGGATGCGTACAGAAGAGCATGACTCCTCGGTGAGAATCAGTCGAGAAGCTCCAGCGTGGATACGGGCTCGTCTCGAGCAACCTCGTCACCCTCGACGCCTCGCGACAGCTCGTAAGTCAGGACGGTCATGTCATCATATGTGAGCATCAGCCTATATCTGCGACTGCTGTCCATGGCTTGCCATGGCTCCGCTCCAGTGGGGATCTCCCACTTTCTCAACTCGGTCTTGGTCGTATGATGCTGCATCCTGGAAAGGGAAGAAGAGCCGTGCTTCCTCTTCATGTTGTGCCTGTTGCTATTCTGATCCTGACTTGCATTCGCATGCTCGCCTCCGCCAACCTGTTCCGCTACTACCAGTACACCGGGGTCAAAGGTGGTAGGGACGCCATCGACGATGCGGTCGTTACCCCAACTGTCCGCCCCCTCCGACGTTTCCCTGGCTGCGGATTTATCGCTCTTGAAGTGCCCTTGTACTGGGGATGCCGCTATACCAAGCAGTGGGCTGAAAGGTCGAATTCCCTTGAGTTGCTGTTTCTTTGTAGGTAGGATCCAGTCTACTCGCAGGCCTAGTGTTCCCGTAGTTGTCAATCGTGTCAACGAGCAGACTGCGCATCGACCTATCTGGGTTGCGACGACAACGATACCCAACTCCGGGATCTGCAGCATCATATTCAGCCTGTCTAGATGCGAGGGATGGAAGCCATTTAAACGAGGCGGCAATACTTGTTTGAGGATATTGGCACAGAAGACATGAGGGGAGTCAGCTTGGGGAGTCATCAGGAGTCTCAGGTTTGATGCGCTGCAGTGAAGGGTGGGTATGTTGGGTGCGCTGGCCGTACCGCGGGCCCTGACGACACTCGAGTCATTGATGGTATATCCAGGAAGTTGATTTTCTTTCTCATGATGGTGCCGCGCCATTAGTGGAGAGTCCATGTCAGATGCAGATAGGACATCCACGTCGATCTCCGGACTGTGTGGATTTGCCAGGCTCGACAGAGAGGTGGTGCTTGGATGGCCCGCCGAAGACGAATCCTCATCCTCTGTCTGCTGCTCTGAGCCGGAATGGTATCCTTCCTCGTCGGTTTCGTGAGGAATAAAGTCATCGTCCCCCTCGAGGATAATGCCTTCGACCAAAAGAGCATCTGCGCTCACGGCGTGCTCAGAGCCCATACTTGGCTCCGGCGATGTCGAGCCGGAGTTCGTCATCCCGGGGTCCGAAACTTGCCCCAAGCTATCACCCGTGCCACCTCCAGTAGCGGGTGGCCCCTGTCCGGTAGCTTGGTCGTGGTCTGTGGCCAGATCCAGGTCATATTGGCCTCGATCTACGGCCACAGCTGCCTCGTCGAGGTCCGACCAAGAGTCAGGCGTCTCGACGTTGTCGTCCAAGTCAGTCTCATCTTCTGTACTCTCCTGCATCAGCGGATGTGCATGGCTGTTGCCCCGTGCTCGGATTCGGACCACGGCTGTGAGATCGTAGCTCTCAAGGTTATTGTGACCATGGTATCGGGCTGTGTGGCTATGTCCGCAAAACTGTTCCATAGTCTCTGCTGACCGAAATGACCGCGGGTCCAGAGCAGCAACAAACCAGCTTCTTTCGCGTGAATGACGTCGTTGACGCGGTCTGAGGAAGTCGGGGTCCGCCGTGGTGTCGGCGAAATCCCAGGACTTCTGACAGATTCCTTGCCAAATTTGCCAGATTTTCAGGTTTCCACCTATATCAGTACTCAAAAGCCAGTTGCCCTCGAGGTCGTCGTCTGTATTGACAAATGAGATGCATGGGATGTTGTGATCATGACCCTCAACTCCGGCCAGAGTGATTTTGTAATTTCGCTTCCGTGCCGGAGTGGTCGCAGCCACTCCCATTGCGACCCATTCTTCCCAGTCGCGCTCGTCGTGGTAGGCTTGACCTTCATCCTCTGGCTCATCCTCTGTCCTATTGCCATGGCTATCCTCGGTCAAGGCGAAAGCGAAGACGGTAACCTTGGCGCAGGGGTCGTCGCTGGCGGTATGATAAGGCGTATTGGCCGACACTGCAATCATTCGCGCATTAGTGTGAATTGAGAGTCCCCATGCCGATTCATCCACCCAGTGAGTGAAGAATGGTCTGAGTCCGATGTAGTCGCTCCGGCCATCGGTGCTAAAGCGGTATGGGTCCTTGCGAATGGCGTCGTCAATCATCTTGGTATAGTATGCGGTTACGTTCCCGGAGTCGGTGGCGATGAGGAGGATTTCCTCCTTTCCAAGGTCTCCCACAATCAGGTGGTTGACCGCATGAGGCACCCGTGGGTCGATATAACCCCGTGCGGTCGGATTTGCCAGGGCAGGAGGAATCACCAGAGCGGGCAGTCGGTATAATTTCTGGAATGGAAAGTCTGGTCTGTAGACGGCAATGGTGTCTGTTGTGGCAGCGAAATAGAGGTTGAAGCGCTGAGATAGGGCAGTCAAATTGCACCGCCATATAGATAACGGTGGAGGGGCATAGACACCGTCTCGTGTGAACCTCTCCTGCCCGGTCTCAGCACTGGCCAGGCCAACCCTGACCGAGTCAAATGGCCTACGACCATCCTCCATGATGGCGCGTATACATCAGTTGTGTTGCTCGTACTCTTGCGAGTTGCGCCCAAAGTGCCTAAGCTGCTCGAGACATGGCGCAGCCGGATGTGTGCCCGGAGACGCAGGCGCCCTCTTCTCCTTGCTGAGTACCTAGACCTTCCCCTGACCAGAGCAACGCTTGCATGTGGTGGACGCGGAATGAAACGCAGTCGGGAGTAGCTCAGCGCAGACGATGTATTTTCACCTTAGCATTGGTTGCGGCCCACCGAGTACACTCGTGCGGTGGGAGCAGGAAGGAGAGGCGAGGCGACGGAGAGGTCAAGAGTCTAGGTATCTATTGAGTGTCAACTGAAGGCTGTGGAGGGTCGAGTGACAGGGACAGGTCGGACACAGGTTACTTACTATCGCATTGTTGTACATGGAGTGTGGAGGGACGAGGGACGAGGGTTGGATGGAGGAATGACGAACGCACAGGCGACGTTCGAGTGGCCGCTCGGAAAAGCATCTCACATTCTGTTCCAGTCTTCTTCCACTCAGTACTGAAGATACGCATCACACTCGATTAATCCGAAGCAGTAAATCGCACGCCGGCCCTGACATGCTTTGATCGCGGTTGGCAACACAGAAACGTCAAGTTGGAAAATATTGCGCACAGAACCGGGCCGCTCTGTGACTGCTCAGATCCCGGCCCCCAGTCACTTGCTCTCGCATTCTGCCAACCCGGACGACACATCCAAACCCTAAGACATTCTCTCGCATGGGACATATTATCGCGCCCATGGGTGCATAAGGACTGTCTACACACTACACCAGGGCCCCGCCAGCTGACTAGGATTGGCTAAAATAGCAGGAAACACGCTGTCGTGGTTGTGACGAGTCAAGTGTTACACGGCATTGAGCTACGAGTCACGCAGATTCGAATCGGATTTCCAACCCCAATCTCTTCTTTTACGCTGCTGTGCTTTTTGAACGTTACCCATTTGGCACATCGTTGTGCTGCACACCTCAACAACATCATCATCATCATCTCCATTATGGATCTGCTGGCTACTGTCAGAAAAGAAGGATCGCGTGGCGGCCGTGGCGACTTCAAGTGGTCAGATGTTCAGACGTCTTCGCACCGTGAAAATTACCTCGGCCATTCTTTGATGGCTCCGGTGGGTCGCTGGCAAAAGGGGCGTGACCTCAACTGGTACGCCAAAGGGGATTCCAGTCCAAACACCGCCGAAGACCCTGCCGCCAAAGCTGCAAGAGAGCGAAAGGAGGAGATTCGGAGAGTCAAAGAGGCGGAGGAGGACGCCCTAGCAAGAGCTCTCGGACTGCCGGTGACTCCGCGGCACAATCCGAACATGGAAGAGCTAGGCACGCAACGTGAGGTTGGGAATGTTCTGAAAGCGGCTGCAGGAGACGAAGACGCCACAGTGTCAAGGGGTGTTGGATATGGCCGACTTGCAGGGGTTTCGGCTCCAGATGAGGGGCAGTCCACCACCGAGCGTCTGGAGGGCACCGCCAAAGATCAAGACAAGGAGCTTCAGCACGCGCTCCGGGAATACAAACGCCGCCATGGTGATCGAAGACATAGAAGCAGGAGTCGAAGCAGGCACAGACACAGGGAGGGTCACGAAAGAAGACACAGAGATGACCGTCGCCGCCATAGTGAGCGCCGTCACGATGGTAGGTCTCCGCGACGAACTAGACCTGTGCGGGACAGATCAAGATCCTTTTCGCCTGGCCGCGAGCGAGATTACACTCGTTGCGAGCGGCCGCGAAGTCACTCCCCATCCCGTCGCCGTCAGGAAAGGAACCGGCATGATAGAGAAGGAGGGCGTCCAGGGTCGCGCCATCGCTAGCTTATCATTGGGTGAGTAAAGCTGGAGGAGAAGTCCCTGGTGCCCGGCATCAGATGCATTTGGCTGTCCGAGAACACGTCTCTACCTGAAGCACTGCGCTATCTCAGGCCCAGAGCTGCGTCGAAGATATCCCCTTCCAGATCCTTGATGTCCGCATCTCCCGTACCTGCTGAGCGTCCTCCGCCACCGTGTCGGGGATAGATATCGGCTGATGCACTCGTATCCACAAATTCCTCCAGCTCCTCGCTTACGGTTTTGAGCTTCTCTTTGACAGCGTTGACCCCTTCCACTCCAACAATGTGACGCGCAGGGGGATTTTCATGCCCACCAATAGCTGTCAGGGCATGTACAGTTTCGGATATCAGCTTCTCTGTATGCGCATGACTGAGAGGTGGATACAAGCTAACAACCTCATCTCGACTCAGGAGGTAAGGGCCGCTTTGCCTCTCGGCTTCTGAAGATGGAGACTGGATTTCCTTTTCCGGAGGAGGTGAAAACTGGGCCCGGATGCCCGGTAGTCGATTCAGCAGACCGTCCACTATTCCCCGAAATATGGGCGCCGTGTGACCAAACTCTGGAGTATACTCTTTCATCAGTGGTGCTGAGGTGATCTTGTTGGTTAGAATTCCAATCTCGAGACTCGCTTGGACGATGGTCAACTTGATATTGAAGGGTGCAATCTCATACGCAATGCTGTCGCAGAAACCTTCGAGTGCCCACCCAGAGGCACAGTACATGCTCAAGCCGGGAGTGCCGAGGTGACCTGTTACACCAGTGAGGACGATAATGTGTCCATTCATCTGTGATCGCATCTGGGGAACGACGGCCTTGATTATGTTCATTGGCCCAAAGAAGTTCTTCTCGAATTGATCGCGCACCAGCGTAAGAGTGCGGTGGTTGGTAGAGAGCTCCTCGACGGTCCCGACAACAGCTTCACTAGTACAGCAGAAGAGGATGTCGACCTTTCGAAAAGTGTGCACTGCTTCCGCCACGGCGGCCTGACACTGGCCAACGACTCTACGTCACGGTCAGTTCCAGGCGTCGCTTTGGAAGAAAGCTCTAGTTCAAAAAGCAAATAGTGTCGACGTCGACTGAGGGAACGGATTGACCTACCTGATGTCCAATGCGACAACTTTCAACCGCTCCTTCATCCCCGGTGTCCGTCCCACCTGAGACAAGAATCGCTTGAATTCCTGACTTCGCGCCCCGTCATTCTCAAATTCAGCTTGAATGATCCCTGAGACCACATAGTCGCCGTGCTCGAGGACTTGACGGGCGACAGAGATCCCAATAGGCGAATCCCCGGACGTCAATAGCCACACCCGGGGAGCATTATGGGTAGGAAACTGAGGCGTTGGTGTGCCCACTGAGCCTCCATTTGCCATCTGTGCGCAGAGCTTCAGTCTGGAGATAGCATCGCCTAAAAGCACATCATATATGGTTTCATTGCCAACATCGATAGCCTCGCAATGCCATCCAATAGAGCGTGCTGACTCGACTGATATCAGGAGGAGTCGTGGTCGAACTATGTCGGCCTATTGGCCTTGCTACTGTCCACAGGCAAAGCCAAGAGGCATCGGAAGACGGATCAATAGTTCTTCCGTAGCCGATAACGGCCCACCTGCGGGACACTTCCAGTACAGGTACCAACCTCCTCGCCTCTTTCGCTCAGTCCAAGGTGTCCTTGTCGTTCGAACCTTGCATTGCTTCAGGCACGCACAAGATGTCCGAGTCAAGAACAGGCGGTGCTCCCGGCGCTGCGAGGCAGGAGGCAGGCGGAAAGGTAAGCACGTCGCCAGAACCTTGTCCTGGGATGTAAACTGACAACCCTCCAGTCGCTCGTCCAGACACTAATCCAAGGCGTCGGCATTTTCATGCTCACGCAGTTCGTCGTCAACCAGTTCTTCGGCTCTAAGACACAAAGTACCAGCGGCTCTGGCACGAACGTGAAGCAGAATGTCAATTTCGAGGACAGAGCAGACGTCACAGCCCTCACCAACTACTCTCAGATCCCTTTCAATATCGCGCCGCTGTGGCCGGATGACAGCGTCGTCGACATCAAGATGTACGTGTCCCCGCAGCTCACACTTCCCCCGCTATCGGCCCTGCCAAAGGACAACCTGGTCCTCGACGAGAAGAGCTTCAGGATTGGCAACTACAGCGAGAGCCGAGAGGTCAACACACAAATTACAATTCCCAAAGATGTTCAACACAATGGTACATTGTGGGGGCATTTCTACGTCGCTCTAGCCGGCAACGAACTTGACCCTACAAGTCCGAGCTACGATCCTTACAAAGCCGAGTACTTCAAGAAACCGCTGAATCACTACCTCCCCAAGAAGAAGGCACGAAAGTTGAAAAACCTGCTTGACAAATCTGAAAACACGGAAGAAGAAGAGGCCGAAGAAACTACTGGTCCCCAGATAGCGTCGTATTACCACCCGAACTTCACTGTTGCTGTCATCCCCAACACAGGCATCCAAAACTGGCGTCAAATGCACCCTGCTGTGCGCAAGAATATCGTCCTTGAACCCACCGGTCAGCGCGATTCCACGGGTCAGAATGGCTGGTACTACCCGGTGATCTTCCTGAACACCTTCTGGCAACTGCGATCGCAGATGACCGAGTTGAATGACACGGTAACCTCGATGCCCCTCAACATCAATCTGTATAACCTTGCGAATTGGAAATACTCACTTTTAGCGAGCATCGACGAAGGTATGAAGCAAAATGCCCAACAGGCCGCAAGTGGAGGTCCGATGCCCGCCTCGGGCGACGGCAGCGAATTCGAAAAGTTCAAGGAAATCCTCTTGGATACCAATGCGTACCTGTTGGGCACCACCTTCGTAGTCAGCATCCTGCACATGATATTCGAAGGATTGGCATTCAAGAACGATATCTCGCACTGGCGAAAGAAGAAAGACAATGTGGGCACTTCCGTCCGCACGATCCTGGCGAATGTCTTCATGCAGGCCGTTATTTTTCTGTACCTGGTCGACAACTCGGAGAACACAAGCTGGATGATTCTGGCCTCCCAAGGGTTCGGTATCGTCCTCGAAGCGTGGAAGATTACAAAGACGGTCGATGTGCGCTTGCGTGAACCTGGTTCCGACTCGTCATTCAAGGGATTGTTACCCTACGTGATCGTCTTTGAAGATAAACACAAACTCAGCGAGACGGAAAAGAAAACACAGGAGTACGACCAGATCGCCTTCCGATATCTGTACATCATTGCCGTGCCGTTGTTGCTCGCCTACGCCGTGTACAGCCTCATTTACGAGTCCCACAAATCGTGGTACAGTTTCATTATTGAGACCTTGGTCGGCTCGGTCTACGCTTATGGGTTCTTGATGATGGTTCCGAGCCTGTATATCAATTACAGGCTCAAATCCGTGGCGCACATGCCTAGCAAGGCACTTACGTACAAATTCCTCAACACCTTCATCGACGACTTATTTGCCTTCACAATTCGGATGCCACTCCTCCACAGGCTGGCGACGTTAAGAGACGATGTGATCTTCTTTGTGTGGCTATACCAGAAGTGGGCGTACAAGGTTGACTACACGCGGGTGAACGAGTTTGGACAAGGAGGCGATGATGAAGAGGAGGAACACGAGGACAACGCCAAAAAGGTTGATGGCGAAACGAAAAAGACACTGGCTGAACAGGACACCAAGGAATTGAAGCCATCTGCTCCTGTCTCTCGTGCGAGTGGGGCGCAGGCCACCGCAGGTGCAAAGAAGAGGAAATGAGCCAGGTGACGAGCTGATGTTGATCGTGGACCTGATCAGACGTGTCACGCCACTCATTTTGAGAGCCATGCGGCGCGACGACGACGCTGATACGAGTCTCGAGAAGACATTGGATGGCGAGGTGCCTGTCGAATATCACAGCGAAATCGTCGGATAGGCACTGCCTCACAAGGCAGACGTCCAGCAAGGTTGGTACCTGCGGTCCGCCTAGGTCCATGGCCTTCGGGCCACATACTTGATTGCATCAATATGATTTAGGAGGTGGACTTGGGAGCTGCAGCCTGTTGCCTGCTCGTCTCATCGACGCTGCGACCAGGACCAAGTGCGTGAATCCGAATGGGTTTAGAACGACATCAGCAGAACTCGACGTATGGATGGACAATATGTCAGCATCGTGGCTACCTACCGGCCATCATCTTCAAATCTCGATACATACTGTAAGTGACAATACATACCATTCTTCCGGGCAAGTCGGATTGAAAATGGAGACCCCTGAGACCGACGTCAGCTCGTGGTCTTGCCCGCCCCTCCTTTCCCCCCTTACCCTAATCGATTTCTTGCTTCTTCAATTTGCTTGTCGCAGGTCGGCCGGCTGTACGAGCTGCGACTGCAGAAGGAGGGAAGCTGAAACACACATACACAGCGCAGGGTAGTTTTGATGCCTTGCATGGATCTTCACCGCAAGCAGGTTCGACGGTTGGGCGCTTGTTTTAATGCCCAAGCAACCAAGATGTGCTCTCCAATCATTGAGCAGATGAGGATGGCGGCAGAATATTCATACAGAGAGAGTCGTTCATTCGTTCTCTCGTAAGAGAACACCGGGAGCTAGCACAACCTCCGAAGAGAATGGAGGTGTTCCCCCGGGAATGCTACCGGCATGGAAGACGCAGACCGAGCGTGTGACATCAGGCATTTGTCGCTAGGACGCGGAGCGGTTAAACGCCTTCGCTCCTATCCGCAACAAGTGGCTCAGGCGGGTGGGAACCTTGTGAGGCGTACACCACGATGGACGGCATGTACATGACTGAAGGGGAGGCCGAGTGCCATGTGCTTGTTGGTGGGTCTGTCCTTGATGCAGACCGCTTGTCTACAAACAGTTGTCGCCCATATATTTTGAACCAGTTCCCTTTCCGATTCGGTCTGTATGCGGCATGACGCGTACTGGAACTTGGGATCGAGGGCGCTCAGGAGCTGTCACATCGGCACTCCCGGCTAGCCACTTGTGATTCTCCGCTATTCTGCTTCAACCCCGTTGCTTTGGACTAATACCCTGGCTTGCAGTGAGTCAATCTTCGCTCAGACCGAGGGAAGCTGCACTACGGTATTGCTATCGGAACCTTTCCTTTTGCGAAACCGGTCTGAAAGCAGGACATGGGAGTTCGATCAATGAGGTTGAGCTCGCTAAGTCGAGCGAGGCATGGCGCCTTCAACTTCGATTGGTTGTTACTGGGACCTCTTTCTTGTACAATCGCCATCTGATGCCTGACCGGTCTGGCAACAACGCTGGTGCTCCCTTCACCACTCCTCAAATAATGCAAAGTCCGAGCGATCTCTCCCACTCTGATGACTACGCACGCGCTAGACTTGTCGGCTGAACCAATCTGTCGGCTCCATGCTACAGCCACGAACGGCGGCTCCGAGAAGTTCGAGCAGAGAAATGACCTGGTTAAGCAGATTGTTTCAACCGACAGGATGCCCTTAGTCCGTTCTGAATCATGCTACCCATAGTATACCATACTAGCTGCAGCACACGATCGGCACTTACCTGAGTTTTGCTCGTCCACCACTCGTTCACAGGACAGATCCGACCGCCAACATTGTTGCCTGCCCTGCTAGTGTACGTCCAAGGCAAGGGCTTCAGCCAGACCGACCACACTCTCACGGGCATGGCCATGGTCCACGAACACTTCGCGAATACCATCACAGGTCGCGCCTGGCTTGACTAGCCGGGAGAAGAGAAGATTGACCTGGGTCGTGGGCGGGATGCGGTAGCCCAGGGCCATTGTAGCCTTGACCGACTCGTCTGCCTCGCCTGTCCTTGCCTCCTCGGGACATTCGTCCTGCACAACATTGCATTGCAATCCTTGCGGCGCGGCGGCGCGACCGTGGTCTGACTGCGCGAACTGTAATACTAATGCAGAGCGCGGGCCACGAGATTTCTCGATCTCGCTAGGTACGCACCCACACCGAAAGCATACACCGAAGTTGTCAGGGCGCCAGGCGCGGCAGTGTGATCCCTGATCAGACCCTCTATAGCGTGGTGTGGCTCCCTTCTCGTCCCCGGATCAGCATGCCCTCGTTTGAGCAACAGGCGACTTGCTGCTTTTAGCGGAGAGATTGGGGCAAAGGCTGCCCATGAATGGATGCCGGGACTCTTCGTGGCAGCGCACACCTCCTCTGCTCATCCACAGTTGTCTGTCGAGACCCCATCGAGCAACTATGCTTGGCAAGAGTCTGTCCGGGGCGGTCTAAGAGCGAGTATGGCAAAGCCACCCCTGGTCGAAGCCGCCGGTCAAAAAGAGCAGGTACTCGTGGGTCACATGAATCAGAAAGAATCTCATGTCCTCCACAATCTATAAACCCTTCAAAGGCCGATACGTCATAGGCGTTGGAGAAACTCAAGCCAGTGATGGCGCCACTAGATCGGATGTTGGGAAGTCTGGGAGGCACACTATGGTGGGAGTGGACCAATGTCGGGCATACAGCCCGCCAGGCCTGCTTTGATTCAGGGTGAGTTTTGGTCGATGGCTTTGGGCCATAGAATTATTGCCCAGAGGCGTGGACTCGGCAGTAGGTGGTCACTGCGTCATTGCCATGATCCACCTTGCGCAAGGTTCGATAGTCAGCCATCCTTTCGCTGATGAGGAAAGGCCATTCAAAGAGACTGAGCAAGGCAACACGAAAGACGGATACACACTGCCTACTTACCGGAGTCTGCTGCCTGGGTGATTTCACCACGCCGGGTAGGGAGGACAATCATGTGGACATGGCTGTTGCATCTACGGAGCAGGCCACCCAATCGATGACACCGGGCGACAAGTCCAGCTCCTGAGTCATGGAGCAGTGCCCCACAACGACGATCAAGCATGACCTCGCAGGCCTATGGATTCGGTGCATGGTGGCTCACTGTGAGCAATCTTTGGGCGAATCCCAACCCGAACCCTGTACGAGCCGGGCAACCACAACTCTGATCCGGTAACTGCAATGAACATGGCTAAGCTCCTACCTGGTGAAGGCTTGATTTTGAGTGGCCGGCGCAACTTCCGTGCCATGGAGGGTGGAACTCAGCGCAGCGACCTGAGCGTGGAAAGACAATCAAAAATGACCCACCGTCACAAGCAAAGAAAACGCCCGGCATGATAGTTCCCTTTTCGCATCCATGCCTCATCAAATCAGCACGTGTACATGATTCCAAAACGACACTTTCTAGCAGACTTTGCGAGTTTGGAAGTTGCGGGGACCAAACTCTGGAAAGTGTCTTGTGCCTTCTGGCTGGATACAGACCACGACTTTTACCGCAACAGCTAGGCAATTCGACTGAATACTCGTGGAATCATGGTCCAGACTGTACAGATGGTGAGGTCCACGGGCGAATGGTGCCTACAGTTTGTGGTCTAACCGGCGTACAGGCTGTGCAAGGCTCTTCTAAGGTTGTCCCGGCCGTTGTGCCGTTGACGACCGTCTCAGCCCCCCTGGGCGACAAGGCTGTGACTAATGAACTATTGGACCGATTATGCTTGGGAGGATAATTACCTTCCGTGCTGGTTTGGACATTTCAGTTACTTCCAGTCCCATGGCCACAGATCCATACAGCTCTTACCATCTGACAGGGAGCAAATAGACGCACTGGGGGGTTCTCGCCCATCCGGCCATGATACCTCGAATCCGTTCCCACTCGAGGCTCAATTATTTGCTGCGCTAGCCCCGAAATCTCGGCCTGTCTTGCCAGGGTTTGAACCAATGGTCATCGAGGCTTGGGAAATGAGTCTTTCCATCTGTATCTGGCGGCTGTCCCATTCGTCAGGATTTCTACGACTTTTACCACGCTAGCTCGAGCGCCACGGTTTATCACCAGGCAATTTGGGCCGGCAACCATTTCGTTCGGCTATGCTGTACAGGCTGCGAGTATGAGGGACAATGGAGATACACAGCTCTACCATGCCAGAGCCGCCAATCAGCATAGGAGGCAGCAGATGGGTCACTATGATAAATCGCTCAGAGCATCACTCCTGTTGAGGCACCGAGCATGAAAAGCGTGCTTCCACCCTCGAAGTCAGACTCTCGCCATCGTTTCGAGCATACCTTCGAAACATCCGAACAGCAACTTTACCTCTCCGAGTCTAAGGGCTTCTGCACCCGCCACCACGCCAAGGTAAGTTGGCCCAGTGTCGCAGAGACTCTTGACTAATAACGCCCATCAATTCAGCGTTCCATACTATCCGCACCAAAGAGACATAGCAATCGGTGGCCCTTCACGTCGTCGAAATCCGAACAAAGTCTCCCGACAAGTGCTTTTGCTCCCCGCCCTCTGGAGGACTAGCTCTAGAAGCCGGTCTAAATTCCTCCCCATTGCCATGAGCGGCGCCGACGGGCCGGTCTGGTACTGCTGTCAGTGCGGTCATGGGGGTTTCTCAGTCAAGCTGAACCCATATTGCCCGCACTGTCAACGCCAACGGTGCAGCAGGTGTCGTGTGGAAACCAACAAGTCAAGTTGTCAGCGCGGGCCCACCAACTGCAGCACGGTCAAAGGTATCGAAGAGGGTTCCCCAGCCACAAGAAGGTGTCAAGCAAGCATGTCGACTCAGTGGGGCCGCTTGACCGAGGTTGACAGCCCAGGGAGGGATAGACATCTCTGACACGAATGACCGTTGATATCATATAAGTCTATCGTGGCACAAGGAGACGGTCATGCGCGGATAGGCTGTCCGTCGACTGCAGACATTGGGCTTGGACATCAAGAGTCGACTTGGCAGCATCTCAGGCTGTCTGCCTTCTCCACG